GGGATGAAATTCATCCAATAAATCATATAATGTAAGTTTATTATATCGAGAACTATTTAGATTGGGTGAAATAATTCAGCACTTTAAAAATGCATGCCAAAAAAGTAAAAGAGATTATTGAAAGTCCGTAGAATTAAAAGTTACAATACTAAAAGCTTAAATGTTTTGATAGTCTTTTATTGAATTGGATATTTAATGAAATTAACATCATTAATAATATAAATATATGTAGGTTTCGATAACACAGTAAATTAACTGGGTTTAGCATATAAAATTATGATTATTCATGATAAGTAAACTTATGTACGTACAAAATATTATACAGAGATTTGTACCAGATATAACACCATAACAGTAACGTAAAAATAAACCTCGAGATATTTTTGACAATTTTCTTAAACAAAACAGATGTTCCCATTTAAACATAATATGGCGACCACCCCGTCCCGCATTATGCAAGCATCCACCGGCATCGAAATCTTGTTCCATCCCACCGAGTTCACTATCTGATATTGAGATCCAGCCTCCGAAAAGATGCGGACGCAGTTTTTACGTGAGTCGCAGACGATCATGTTGCCCAATTCGTCGACAGTTAGTCCTTGAAGACGACTGAGTTGTGCTTTGGGTCCGATGAATTTCATGCTGCCAGAATCCACCTCAATGCGGATCATTTTAGAAGTATTGAAATCCGTGACGTAAATGTGTCGACCTGCAGACAGGACAAGAGAAGATTACTTATTTACTGAAGTTGCCAGATTTTTGGGAGGCGAAAATGCATAATATTTAACATAAATCAACTCACCGTCTTTGCTGAATGACACTCCTCTAGGATAGTCGAAATGCTGTTTGTACTGGTAGGGATTCTGTTCAAAGACAGAGAATTTGGCCAAAAAATTGCCAAATCGATCAAATACTTGAACTCTGTGATTTCTTGAATCGGAAATAGCGATGAGGTTCCCGTTTGGAGAAACGTCGACGTCCCACGGATACTGGAATTCGCCCGGCCCGTGACCTGTGAGACGTAGAATTAATTAATTAATTAATTAATATTAATAAACAATTAACAACAATTTTAGTATGCACCAGATTTATACCTCGTCTCCCGAATGATGAAATGTACTGTCCTTCCAGAGAATAGATGCAGACGCGATGATTGTCCTTGTCGCAAATTATAAGTCGCTTGTTGGCGTAATCAAGCACCAGTCCGGTTGGTCGGCTGAGTTGGTTGCATGGAAATTTCATCCTGAGATCTAGTCCCCCGAAGCGATGGATCGGCGTTGATGTGACCGTGTCGAACAAAATAATGTCGTTGGTCGAGCGATCTGAGATGTACAACTAAAAGGATAAAAAATAATTAGTCTTTCAATAACACGGCCAAAAACATGGTGCCAAAAAGTAAAATGTTAAAATGCTCAAAAAATAAATGAGAACTCACCCGATTTGATAATTGGTCGACAGTGATGCCCCAATATTTTTCACCATTTTCTCCCAAAGAAATCGGAGCGACGGGTGGACTTTGAGACTCGAGACGATAATTTCGGGACACCTCCAACTCGACAGAAGGACAAAGTTGACCTTCCCGACCGTTCAAATGGGAATCAGCAGAAATTTCTGAAGATGAGCTCTCGAAAACTGAGGCAGAGTATTTTCCGGCGTAAAATGGGACGAAAGAGCAATTGTAGCTGTCGGGGGTGGCATCAAATTTCCGAAGTGGGAAGCACGAGGTGTATCCAGAGGAGTGAGAAATTTTTGCGTATGCGTTCAGCACAGAGTTTTGTGGCATCTGCTAAAAATAAAATTTGGAAACATAAAATATCATTCGTTTTTACAAGTGGCGTCAATTTGAATCGAGAGGAGACTTGCTTATTTTCGAATAAATTAACATAATCTGGATTCAAAAATAGCATACCTGAGTCTGTGGATTAGCGGAAACATTTCGAGGTTTCAAGTGGAGACGCACCTCTTCTCTCGCAACGCTGGGACCTTCTGGACCCGTAAAAATGTAGCTTCTGCTGATTGGTGGGATCGGCATAAATTCTGCTGGCTGCTGAATTTCGTCCAGTTGTTGGAACCGAGAACGTCGACAATACAGCGGAATTGAGTTATCTGCCCGATACACCGACTGACTCAGAAGTGGTTCCAGATTTTCCTCCCACAGGTTTCCATTGCCGCTGTTTGCGGTTGGGCAGGGGTCAAAGTTCAAGGTTGATGAGGAAATTGGAGAAAACGAGGTTCCAAGTTGTTGACGAGTGATGGGGTCGAATTCTTCAAAATACGGCGGAGAGGCAGCTGCTGAATACGGTGGCAAATAATGTTGCTGCGAAAAGGACGCTGCTGACGACGTTGTCGAAGTTGGAGAAGATTCTTCAGTGGAATAATTATCGGACGAACTTCGGTCAGGCGAATTTGAATAAGCACCCTAACAAGAATTTACAAAATCGCAACCATAATTATTTTTAAGTAGCTTTACAGCACACGTCATAATACTTCACAAATTAGTAGAAAATTCTCAAAGTTATGTCTACTTACCTTTTCGGACTGCTCCTTGCGCAGAATTTCCACAATACAGGCTACTTCTCGTTTAAATTTCTCGTCATTCGTCTCTGGAGTTGACCACTCGTTTCCAAACACATTTCTGGACATCGCCATGATGGATTTTACTCGGGTCTGGAAATTTGCTTCAAAAAACTTGGCAAAAGAAATGGGAATTGTGGTGCTGGAGTAGAAACGTCGTTCCCGGTGCGAGAACAAATTGGTTGTGAAGGGACCAGGTCGGCGTGGTCTCTTTTTATACCAGTGAGGAAAGGACGCGTCCCTTGGTCAGCGTAGCTTGGCTTTTCCATAAAATCTATTTTGGGGACAATGTGAGCTCTGAACTAGAGAGAGCGTGGCCAGGTGCAAATATTTTGCGAGCCGGAGATGATAAGCTCCACTTTGCTCAACTTGGTTATACTTGAGCTACGTATGTATTTCTGTTTCAGTATGTATGCGAATATTTAAAGGAACCTGTTAAAAGATTCCTTTGAACTTTGTATTACAACTTGACTTAAACGCCTTATTGTGCATTTATTATTGCTCTAATCCGGGCTGTCAATTCCAATATTCACACAAATAAATACAAAGTAATGTAGATATATATATTTGCATTTCTATATATTTGTAAAGACATTCTGGCAATCAATTGACCAGGTTTCACAGATTTAAATTAGCAATTTATTGCCGAATATTTCTTCCTCTTTTATCGTGCCACAGCGGCCAAGGAAGTCCCCTATGATACGATGCCGACATGACTGATCTCCCCAAGTAGTTTTTCGAAATGTAGTCCGGACGCAACGTTGATGTTGTTTTTGTCCCACTAAATACAAAGCTTCGTCCAAATTGATTATTTAGTGCTGATGATTGTGATGTCCTTGATGAAAGGCTACTACAGTTAATGTTTTCTGTATGGTCCTTCATAGTATTTGCGTCTGTGCAACAAACGATTGGTTTCGAGCATGGCTTAGAATCTTGTGGGCAAAATTTTGTAAAATCTGGAATTTGATTAGGTTTCCCAACTTTCTACAGTTATCAATGCATATTTTGGTAGTGTGTTTGTAAAATATCCGTTACTGAAAGCACGGAAATTAGTATTTAATCGCAGTTTACCGGAGGATGCACGTGATCCTTGTATGCCTGTTTATGCAGCCAATTTCCCGGAGGCGAATATCTGCATACAACAATGTAAATTGGTTCCAGTTTCAGTTTCCCTTCGCGACACAACTTTTCCGTGACGACACGACCGCATCCGACTCGCTTCGTGGCGTTCCAAACGACTTGAGTGAAATGACCAGAGTTGGCCTGGTAGTAGTTCGTTGTCCAAGAATGACGAGCTATTTCAGAGTACCAAACCCGAACCGGGAAGCTGCCTGGAAGTTGGAAAAGTTGGTGGCGTGACCTACCCTTCCGCGCCCCCGTATTTTCACCTGATAAAGAAATGATTAAAAATATTTGAAGTTAAATTCGCATTTATTCATTAATTTATTGTATTCATAATGGAAAATATTTTGTCACCAAGTTTTATGTTGTGTACACCATCGTTTAAAATAATTTTTCCTGCTGCCATGCTTTTATTCGCAATCTGCATTGCATAAAGTTGAGCTTGATATGCGAGCTGCATAGAAGTACAAGCATACATATTTGCACACACATATTCACGTAGAATATTTTTGCCAATTGCAATACCAAAAATAGATAACGAGCGATTAATGTACCTCATAGTCCAAGATCAAGCTTCCAGACCCATGACGTTTTCTTTAACAGATATTTATTGCGTCAGAATAGGCATTAACAAAGCGTTTTTCTACACACGCGTATAATAAACCTACCTCAAAATGTTATGAAATCTGACAATTTCTCGTAACCAGTCCGATGGAGGTGTTCCGTCCAGGTTTTCATAGTTTAACTTTAATAAAAAAAAATGGCATCCTACTATCGAGGCTTTAACTCTTAAGGGTATTTGTTTTACCTTATCAAAGACAATTGGTCCTCCACTGTATGTAAATATTTCGACCGCATTTGACTCAGTCTCTCTTTTAAGACGATAACGATCATGATAACTTGATTCTTCACGACTACGATGCGAAGTGTTGTTAAAATGAAGATTGCCCAGCCCCTGTCCACCATTGCTGATTGCCCTTAAGCAAATGCACAACGAGAAATGTAAACTAATAATGATGAAATAATATGTGACAATTCTGGAAGATGTATTCCCCATTATAAATTTAGTGTACGTTGGGCTGAAAAATATTTGTAAACCTTGTGCTAAACCAGCATGACATTGAGATTATTGGATATTAAAATGCATAAAACGAACAATAGAGTAATGTGCACATGTAAATAAACTTAGGAAGTCATGAGTAGCATTTAAACTCACGTTAAAACTTAAGTATATGCTTTCGTACTGTTGGACAAAACTCTAACACAAAACTCGTCATAATTTAAAGAAGGTTTTATTCCTTGTAAATGCTCTTTAGTAATTAATATTAAAGAATTAATTAGCAATCAAGTAATGTAATTGTCTAACAATAAATAAATACACACATCAACATGAAAGCCAAAGTACAATACGAATTTGGTCAATGCTTTACTTTTTGTGATCATCTTCTCAAACCATGCAAGCTTCCAACAATTGGACGAATTTGTCCTTGTGTTCTCCATGTACTAGCACGAAATGTGGGTCCACAAAATCCATGAGAACTGCGCCGGTCGCCATTTTCTTGGCCAACGTTTCAAACAACTTTCCGAATAGACTAGATATTTAAATAAAAACTCCAGTTACCAATTTGATTTGAATAATTGTAAATAAGAATAAAAATGGTAAAAATAGCTATTCCTACTTTTTTGGCAACTCCAAACTCAAAGGTTTTATCCCCACGAATGTCCAATATCCTCCAAAATGTGGCACACACAGTACAAGTGGTAATGTCGACCAGCGTCTATTTCTTGCACTGGCAACAGCAGCACGCTGGGTAAACTGGGCGAGAAAAAGAAGGGAACTAGTGTTTCGAAAGTAGCACACGTTTGGCGATCCCTGGAAATTGTGAATTTTAGTCGCCTAACCAGAAAAATAATTTACTCAGCATTGATTGAGAACCCACAAACCTCTGGCATTTGAACATATAAAAATCCACCCCGAGGTAAGATCAGGTTCATGCTGAGAAATTCCTTAACTTGGTTGTACATTGCAGTCATTTGCGTTTTAGCCAATCCAATACCACGATCCAGCGTATCAAACTTCTTCCTATTAAAAATTAAAAATTAAGGTTGACGAAAGTTCTTAAATAAAAAATGCCATCGTCATACTTTGACAAGGCTGCCAGTGAATCCAAAAAATTGTCCACCACATTTCCACTCCCATACAACACTGGATTTTCCAACAAGGAAAGACATGCCAGCTGACAATCAAATGCACTGAGCGCTGGTCGAAAACCAATCTCTGAGATGAACGTGCCCACAGTAACGTCTTGGAAATTGTACTTTTCTCGGAGAACTGGTTCATTGAATACATTCTTGACCTTTTTCCGCAGTCGAACGTCCATTGATGTATACTTTTGATGGCACTCAAGTTGTGGAAGTCTGATTAAAAAATTATAGTGGATGTATTATCTGGTGAAAAGTAATCAATGTTTTTATGCTTATGGTACTCACCCCAACTCTCCCAACATCTCGTGAAACCTTCCTTCTCCTTTCATACCCCATGACTTTAACATACACGCCGAGTGTGGCGTCATTTTGATACTATCGTACAAATTCCAGTGGCGATACAGTAAGAAGCACAAGCTAAAGATCAAGATGTTTGCATTTAATAAAATAACACGGCACAACAAATAACCAGTAGTATTTCATAATATGCATAATAATCTTACTCTTTTTCGAAGTTGACTTTCAGACAATCCCTCGGTGTCTCCGTTGAACTTGCTTCTCGTGCAATGTGCAAACTAAGTTCGGTAGATTTCTGCACGTACTCAGATCGTGGAAGTTTCTCCAGAAGAAAGGCATCGGTTAAGGCAACCGTGGTCCACCACACGTATTGAATATCGCCTCGAGAAATTGCCCACGACAGCTCGAGTGCAACCAGGGATGACTAAATTTAAAATGTACATTACATAATTTCATAAGGACTGTAATATAAATATTATGATTATGGAAATTTAAATGTATAAAATTACCGGGGGAGCATAGTAGCCAAATTGTGTGTATTTAAACAACAATTCGTTCCTCTTCTGCTTCCATATCATCTGCCTTCGCTCTTTGTCATGTTCATTGCGACGACGCTTTGGATTTCTTCCACGACTTCCATCTTCATCGTCGCTTTCGCCATTATCCAAGATATCAGAATCATCGTCGTTACCATCATCATCGGAGTCGAGGGCCTATATATTTGAGACAAAATATCTAAACTGTGTGTCTACAGAAAAAAACTACAATTCTTCATAAAAATAGAAATTCACATACCTCACCCGACCAAAACAGATCATCAAAATTAGGCACTTCGTCAAAATTACCGTCCAGCGACAGGATGCGAATCTACAATGCAAACAGTGACAAAATAATCGGTCATAATTATACCGTTAGTCAACAAGGTCAAACCACCCTCTTTCTATGCTTACCTGATTGGTTTCATCATAAAAGTTGTTGACATGCACTGGGCGATGACAATCCAAAACGAAGACGAGTTTATTGTTCAGGTTGTCAAAGAAATCTCGAATATCCAGAGAAATGCCGCAGTTGATGAGGACAAAGACATTCACCTTGAAATGCATTAGATGTGTCAAAATAATTCACAAGTCGGCATGCTCACGATTAAACAGTATTAAGATGAACTTACCGTCTCACAATAATCAGAATATGCCTGTTTCATGTCAGTAATTCCATCCACAGGACACAAGGAGAACGATATTCCATCAATTTTCAGCAATTCCGTAAATATTTTGACAGTACAGACGGAATCAATGTCGGAATTGGCAATGATGAGGACTCTCTACAAAAGTATTGATAATACCAAAATGTCATAACCAGCATTTGCAATCATCAATTGTGTCTGGATTTGTTCGATAAAAACGTTTGGTTTTTTGTTGTTATTCTTGTGACCGGCTGATTTACTCACCTTTCCGAAGAGAAGTTCGTAAAATTCCTTCCGCAAATGCTTCACCAGCATTTTGACAAAGTTTCAAGTGATGAAAGTATGTAGTAAGATTAGGGTGACTTATTCACACCGAGACCGATAAAACAATTATCAATTCTCAGTTCATTCAATCGAATAAAATAACTGTGGGCTCAAAAATGCTGGCTGGATTGTTGGTTGGTGGCTGCTTGCTCAGTTGCTCCCATTCCCACCTACGCACTTCTTATTGCCACAGGAAACATTCAAGATTTGGCAAGTCTGACCGTGTCTCATCTTGTCGTCTGAACTAAATTCAAGACGGTCAGAATTTCATAGCTTCCATTTTTCACTATTTTGCAAATAAATAACGTACTTATTGAATTACATGCTTCTTTTATTTGCTATCGACAAAAATTAATTCTCTTAAAATATGCACTAATTATCAATGCTTAAATTAAATTACTCTCATGACCTATCCATGCAACCAATTTTTCCATCAGAATTAGACTTGCATTGGGAAAGGCATGCTGAAATTTGTCTACAAATATCTTCCCCCAACTTGCATTCCTTCCTTGTTTGCATTGAATTCCATCTGTCTTATCTTTACGCATGTAAATATTCCGTAAGAAATGTATGAGCAACATATTCCTAAAATTAATCGGAAGGTCGATCGGAAGGTTCTCCAAAATCTGTCAATTTCCAAATATTGTAGATTTGGAAAATATTCTTGGTATGAAATAATTTTGTCGGATGGAAACATGAAAATTATTTGCGCTGCTGTGGTTGCTAATTTTCTTATTAATTTTCTTTTCACACAAAAATAAATTCCCAGTTAAAAAAACTGGGAATCTCACGCGGAGCTTGAAATTGAAGTATTAACAAACTATTGCATAACCACGTTTTTATGCACAGCTAACTTGTCTCATACCACCGACAATGAATACTAAATGGGACAAGGCTTATCAACGATATATCGATCGTCCAAAATGCTTAAAATCAAGAGAAACACCAGATTGAATTACTTAATTTTTAAATTAAAATCCTACCATACAACATTTATATAATTTTTGAAATTTCCTCATTTTTCCTGTGCTTTCGCCTGTCCTGGGAGAAATTTATTCAGCAAAGTTTGGAACATTGGACAATTATTTATCATGTGATATGCTAAATTTTTTCCTTCATCTTCAACCTGCTGCCCATGAATCTATTTCTATTTTAAGTAAAACCACAGTTTTTTAATGCTGCTCAAAAGAAATCAATTTTTATTCAGATACACCAATTCGGAAAATCACGAGAGAATCTAGTTGAATAATCTATCCGTTGAAGTAAATTCCATGGGCCCTCCTCTGGCCACTGGCACCCTGCAGGTTGAATGGTCTGTTGGCCCCAGCTCCCTCAGCGTTGTTGAGAAGTTGTTCTGGATCCTGGAAGTCGTCGGCCATGACGGCGAAGGTGGCGAAGGCCAGGACGAGGAAGAGTGTCAAGAACTGAAAATCAATAGTTGGGAAAAATTAGTGGGGGTGGTTTTCAAGATTATTTACTATTTAGGATTACTAAGAGTTTCATGATGAAGCTTGAGTATAGCTTGATGCGATTGTTAATACTGTTGGTAGAGTGAGATTCGTGGTAGGCTTTTATATGGGTCCAGTAATTGAGTAAAATTTGAACATGACTTTATTACAACAAATTATGTATTTAAAAAAATTACTCTAATTTTTGAGGTGGTAATTAGAGTATTTAATTAACTTGTTTGTTTAGTCAGCAGCGTACTAGATATATCTGTAATTCAATAAGTATATTGCCAAAACTATTTATGTAAATTGCCAACATGTTGTTAAACAATTAACTTTAAATGAATTTATGGATAACCAAACATAAGTACACTTGTCAGACAGGATTACCATACATATTTATGTTAATAGAGCTGTAATTTATCGAAATCATTAAATTTGTGCGACGGAAACTATGTACACGATTGTAAGTCAGAGTATTTCTCTTATGTTGAGTGTAACATTTTTATATTCAGGGACTACGAACATCCGAATCTCACGTACATAGAGACAAATAATTATTTTGTCTTTCAATTTATTGAGATGAATTTTTTAAATGTTAGCGATGTTCGACCGTTGATAAAAATCTGATTAATTTTGCAGTCGCTTTACCTGACTACTAAGAAAATATTGATAAAAACCCCATGGGTATGCCATACATACATACGTATGGTGAGTACATCTTCAAAATACCATAATCAGATTGAAGGATAGTTTGACAATAACTGACGATAAGCTTTAACTGCATACATATTTATGCATATCCGTTACAATAGTTAATGCATGTAGTTAATGATAATGTTTAACTGATACTGATGAAAATTGCAGCGCAGGTAAAATATATTTTAAAAGTTGAGGAAAATTGTAGCGTGAATTGGCCAAAATTGAATTGAGACAAACTATATCAAAGCATTGCAGCAGCACTCAAGAGAAAACAGAAAGGTTTTCATTGACTAATTTTGAAAAACGCCAAATAAAGTCAAGAATTATTCAAGCAAAGTTTCATAGATTATTATTATGTAGGAGAAACTCGCATGCAGGCTGACGAAAAGTTTGCAAAAAATTGACAGTATGTATCTCACCAATTACATTTGCAATATTTTGTGAATAATGCATAAGAACGTACATTAGGTCTATTCATTTTAAATGTAAATAGATATGTAACTAAACAGGAGGCCAAATTATTGATTGATAAGATTATCACTTGGTAGATAAGAAAATATTTCGCGTTTGAGATTGCACTGAATGAGACGGAAGCCGTTTGGTGTGTTTTTCATCCGCGTCGAATTTCTCTCGTGCAACATTTTGGATCCGAACTTGACGTGAACAGGTCAATGCCTAAAACTGCTCCCCACTTCATCGCTCGCCACCTAAAGCGAGCTGAGTATCGTTCACGAGAAATCTCTGAGTATCGTTCACGAGAAATCTCTGCAAATGCACGTATTCAGCGTCATTCAAGGCAGGATTAAAAGTGAACAATTTACAATACGGGTACTTTCTCCCGGCGCTGGTTTGTGCTTGTAAATTATGTTGCCTATGCTAAAATGACTTTGGAAATTGCTGTAAAATGTTAGTGTTCGGAAATTCCATACACCACATGCCTAGACCAATTGATAGTTGATACATAAATATATCGCATTTATAAATATACATATGAACTAACGAGATTTATGTTCCAATCTATTTTAACTTATTGTTTGCGTCATATGTAGAAGGATTTATACGAAAGGAAATGATGATTTGAACTTGTGCACCTTCTAAATGCGACTTCAACATTTACATGTTTTAAAACGAGTCTAATTTAGAAGATCACTTCATATCAGTTGGTCTCAATAAGCGCACACTTCATCATACTTTAATTTAAAATTACCATTAAAGATTATTAAAATTTGTCGCGTGTGACGCAAGGACAATTTATATTATTGTACTGTGCGCAAATCCTTATTAAAGTTGCATTGCATTTTTGTTTATATATCAATTGACATTGGTTTATTTTAGTTGGATGCAGATTTGTTCAACTATGAGAATGTTATATCTGACCTATGAGGATGGATCAATTAAGACAATATACTTTAATAAATGCTACGTAAGCAGTTCCCACTATAAAATCTCGAGTCCAGCGCAACATGGATCACATTGTCACAGAAGTCCAAATCACGACGTCGACTTACGATAAGAATCAAAATGAGACAATTTGTACTACTACTCGTCGTCGTTGCTGGTAGGTTTCATGGGAATTTGAAAGTTTGCAAAATATTTTAAAATGCACTCTATAATTTTCAGCCGTTCTCGGACAAGAGACGGAAAAAATTGACTCCTCCGATTCAACTATCTCCACTGACCGTGACCGCTTGCTGGAGAATCTCTTTGCCAAATACAACAAAAGAAACTATCCAGACAAGTCAACCGTCCAGTTCGGATTGAACTTGGTCACCGTGGACCAGGTTTGTGATCTAGCATTATTAATAATTTCATAATTATTTTGAATGTATTTGTTTACAGGACAGAGAAAAAGACTTGCTTAACTCTGACGTCTGGTTGAAAATTAGTTGGACTGATAATCGACTGACATGGGACCCGGCAGACTATGGGGGTCTGCAAAACATGAGAATTACACCGGACCAGTTATGGCTGCCGGATACTACCCTCTTTAATGGGTATGTGTTAAATATAACTGTGGATAAGGGCTGCCTAGGTAATTGTGGTATATTAATTATTATATGCATGATTTTTACCACCAGCCCGGCCATGCAATGCACTCCTACCAACGCGATCCTCTACCCCAACGGAAAGGTCTTGTGGGTTCCTCCCTGCAAACTCACCAGCTACTGCAATTTCACCAAGGACGCCACCGCAGAGCAAGAGTGTGTCGTGAATTTCGGCTCGTGGACATTTGACGGTCTGACGATGGGGTTGGAGTTCTTTGAGAAGGTTGGGAAAATTTTATTAATTTAGAATTGTGCATTCAAAGATGATTCTTATATTTATGTGTGCATTGCTGAACGCAGGAGAACAAAGCGGATATTTCCTACTTCCAAGGCCAGCGATACAAAGTAACCAAGAATGAAGCCATCCGAGAGGAAAAATTCTACCCGTGCTGTGTTGAACCTTATCTCAACCTCAAGTTCACTCTGGGTCTTGCCCCCACCACTAAAAAGGGAATCGCACCATGAATAAGTATTTACCTTTTGAGCAACTGAATTTCATATGGAGGAAATTAATAGTGGAATCAAAATTTAAATCAGTATTACATAAACTCGAATAAAATAGAATTGTTGAAAGCACCATGTATGTATTACCAAAGGAAAATTCATTAATGTATGCAAAACTTGTAAATCATATAACACTTGTAAACTAATTTTACAAAATTTGCAATGTTTTTGCAAGGTCTAAATTTTTCATGAATATCTAATAACTGGTGAATCAGCTTAATGTAATTGAGCTTCTGATGGATGTCAAGAACAGTAGTATGCATCACAGTTAAGCTTCCAGGGGTTGAAATGTATTTAATTTTTTGATAACAGAAATCATCAACTTCTTCCGGTCTGTTCCCTGATATTTGAGTTTATCCAGATTCAAGTTATGTCCCACTTGCACGGAAGGCCTCCACAAGTGTGCCAATAATTTATCCACGACTACAAATAACACAAAGTTAGTCATTATTCATGCATAAAACTATACAACACAGTTGACAGTACCTTTGTACGCCACCTCAAAGTTTTTCATGAGGGATGGGAACACTTGAATGTAAAAATTCTTGTAAGATGTTAGTCGATTTCCAATCAAGATCCCAATTTCCCGATCGGTGCAATTTACGCCGAAGCTGCAGAATGGCTTAGATCCAATGTAAACTGTTATTGGGCCACTCCTGAGGAGAGGCTGATGCGAAATCCGGAGTGGAATCTGCAAATATTTGGTGCATAATCGTTAAGTCTGTTTAAATGAAAATACAACATTTTTAGAAAGAAATAAAATATTTAGCATTTCTTTACAATAACTCTGTCGATAAATCGTCTATTAATGAGCCGTTTCCAGTCGCTGTTCACTCGACGGATAATTTTCATTGTTTTAAAATCCATAAATGATAATATGTTGGTCAATATCTAAAAGTTCAGAATGATTTTACAAAGATTAGGTGATACAGATTGTAATAAATTTAAAGAGAAACAAACTTACTAATTCATTTCCAAATATCAAATCGGTTAACGAAGCCATAATTTAATGATTTAAACTTATTAAATTGGTGAAATTATTTTACTTATTATGCAAACATTTAGATTTAAGGTTATATGGCTTCTTAATAGTTTTTTATTTATAATTTATAGTCTTAGAGAATTTTGTGTGCATTTTAAACAGTAAAAAAATGAAATTGTAAGCTTTGTACTTTGGCCAGAGGTGAACTGATGTAATGTTCTAAAGGTTCGTCCAAAGGTTAACCCATTTCCTGGAACCCTTTTGTCTGTACCAGATTTGAAATCTACATATTTTTTGTGGAGAGTGTATGCATCACAGTGATAACAGTCTACCATTTGATCTAAAGTGGGCGTCAACGCAGTACATAAATAATTCCATGAGATATGTATTTACATATGTATATCTAACACTCGTATTCTTCAGGCAATACAGTGAATCACTTTGTTTCTTATTAATAGAATATGAAATCAGAGTGGCCACTAAGGAGATAAGTGTCAACTTGTTATACATATTACATGTATGTATATGCATGCACGCAAACAAACCCATTTAATTGTATATGTCTATACTAATGAGTTAAAATTCTCCAATAAAGATAACACATTCAAGACAACAAAAATGCCGATATGAGGTTTTTAAATATTCCCAAGTTACAGGAGTCAATTCACAATTGTTGAAATATACGAGTATCTTTTTGAAGACTAACTTGAGATCTATGTGTATGTGCATATTCAATGCATCAGGTTGTAAGTATGTTATAAAAATGCAAAACATACTTAATCCCTTATAGAATCATGAGTGCAAGTTTGCTAATGAAAAGCTGGACAGGTATTATTATCAGGATTGGACTTTGTATTTATGAATTAAGACGTATTGTGGTGAACTTTTGCTTAATAAACGTGCAGGTCAAATTGTCAGCCAAACTTGTGAATAAATAATTGAAGGAATATACATAATTACGTGCATCGTCTGCACTGGAAAGAGACGCTATGTATTTCCATATATTTTTACACTTACTAGTTTACAGTTTTTGGGGTGTGATATATGAAATAAAATTTTGATCCGTAAAATCGAATGTACGTAAGCGTCTCTGTTTGGTATCCGGTTTCTGAAGATGATGCTGTAGTGGAATGGTTCCAAGAAATTTTGTATGGTCATCATCATTGATAATATTTGAAAAGGTGGTTTGGATAGTTTAATACATTTCTTATAACTTTACAACTAGAAACTACTGTAAAGAATGTAAAATAGTAACATCAGAGTTTACGTATTAAAGTACATTTGCACTTGCAGATTTTACATGTATCCTACAGTTCCATTGTACGAGAACAAGTATTCTACACACGTCATTGTGCATAAAAACTAGTCCACTTACTATCTTGCGGTTTGTTAATTAGCATACGCAGCCTGGAGATTGCAATTGATTCTGTTATTTTCCGTAGCAATAATGGAAATGTAAATATTTTTAATTTAAAAATATATAAAATTATCCGAATGGAAATACTTACTGACCTTACGCTGCGCTGATTTACTCACAAGTTGTACACATTCATAGAAATTAGGCCGGATTTTGTGTATGGCTATCTCAACGAATGGGTACGCACGCATAAATATTTATAACGATTGGATTTGCTAATTAAAATTTTGTTCTTCAGAAACGACGACCTCATCCACCAACTCTTCAACATTATACACCCGCCCCTTGGAATTCACATTGTTTGAAACAATAACCCTCATAATTTCCTTATCAACAATATTTATCGTATTACTATTTTCTATAGCAACCAACATAATTGCAATACGTATATTTTTAACAAAGAAATTAACCACCCCAAAACTTCTATATATTTCAATTTCCGTGAGTGACTTGATATTTTTGTTGACCTCGTTATTTTCAATTTTTATCGATTCTTCACAAATTTTAAACTTTTTAATAAATCACATTTCCGCTTTTGTTTCCACGTACACGATGGCTTTGATTGCATTTCATCGCTATAAAGCCATCGCTTATCCCATGCAAAATCAACCTGGAAGAAAAGTCGGGAAAAGTGTAATTATTTCTATTGTATTAATTTGGATCCTTTCCATAGCTTTTTCAACTTTGTTTCAAGATTTTAATATTTTTGGACCAACCCCTGAAGAAAATACATTTTTTAGTCAAATGTGTAGATTAGTATCTACTCCAGTCAAAGCAACAAAACATGTACCATTTTTTACCTTGATTATGATGGTAATATTTCCGTTAGCTATGGGGTTAGTGTTCTCACTGTTAGCAATTTATAAATTAAGTTTCCACGGAACTGAAAATAATATTATTAAAAGAAAGCAGTTAAAATCTGTGTTTATTATTTTAATTGTTATCGTTACATTTGGTGTTTGTTGGATACCGGTTAGCGTTTATTTTGCGGTTGAGGGTGTGTTGTCAGGAGGAGGAGGATGTGACTATAATTATGTTTTATATGCTATTTTTGGTGTTTTATTGATGATACAATTCACTGCGAACCCTATAATTTTTTGGGCTATGGATAGTGGATTCAGAAATGGGGTGACCCTTATTTGGGAAAAGTTAATAAAATTAATAAAATAAAACTATCTATGTTTTCATGACAAGCAATAAAAATTTATTTATTTATGTATACAAGGAGTATTTAGTGGAAATTCGAGTGAGAGGTTTGGACTTTATTTGTTCTAACTTTCGGGTGCTATTCTGCACTAATTTTCAGGAACAAATATAAACATTAAAAATATAAATAGCAAAAATTTATTTCATAATTATTTACAAGCATGCTTTTAATTAATCAACTGGATGGATTTTTATCGGTGTAATTTCTTATTCACTCGATTTTATTCGAAATCTAAATTAAACTAAATTCATCATTAGGATCAGAATTTTGGTGAGAGAAGGATTGATCATGGCTTTATCTAAATGAGTAGCTCCTTAAACCTTATGTACGAATATACAGCTTCACAAATCTTTAACCCTGTAACAAATAACAAATGCCTTCCCTTGAAAATTTGTAAGATTTGCTTAGGAATAATAATTACATTGCTTATACTGTACTGTTTTTGGTCTGTATGGATCGGATTTAAGAAAAATTTAGTTTAAGAAATTCGAGCTGAGACTTAATGGTAAGAAAAAATTAAAATTGCAGGAGACGTAACTTGATCCTTAGTAAGATGTGGAATGATATTTCCTGTATTACGTCGTATTGGGGCTCAACGGACGTCTGAATAGATATCCACATTATGGTCTCACTTTCGTGTTATCTATCTATGTACATGTCAAGGAGCATAAATATTTGCAACACAGGGTAAGCATATTTGCAAACCTTAGATCTTTCCAACCACACAATAATTGTAATGATTCCAGTCAGATTCATAACAGTGGACTTTGCATCTATCAGGATCCGATTACTTTGGTTTATTAATATATGTGTGCTTATATACATGCGTACATAGGTATGTATGTATGCATGTACATACATACACACATGCATGTAAGCAAAAAATACATTTTCCATATTCCTTAAATATATACGTCGGATCTTAAACTAGAGTATGGATGGGTTTCTACCAAGTCCTACTACCAAGAAAATAATGTGTCTCTCGTGGTTTAAATAATGTAATGCCAATGGATACTGTCTAAGATAACGATCCCAAGAAGGATTAAGAATGATGATTCATAGATAATCACAGTTTGCCTTTTAGTTTCATTTAGCCATCCTCCTGCCTGGACTAAATTGGCATCGTTTCAAGTAAATTTATTTCGAAATGGCGCACTCATCAGGATTCTTTTACGACCTGGCTGGCTCCTTTCAGAACGAGCAGCCCCCCAACCAATCCCTTCAACAGGACATCCTCTCCACCATCAAGTCGCTCCATATTTCCTGTGGGGTGGACATGAAGGGGCCCGTGATGGCAAAATCCAATGACGATTTCATCGGAATCTGTATCTTGCACGCAAATGGGGACAAAGTTTTGCAAGACTCGAAGGGGCGCCGGGTGAAATCTGGCTACATTCTGACAACCAGCCGAGCGGACCTAAAGACACCAAAGGACGTCAAAGGCACCGACACCCTTCATCGCCAGGCCTACAGCAAAATTTTTGGCGACTTGGAAACCCTCCCAGGCGTCGTGATTGTGGGATTCTCTCAACATCATAAAGTTCTCAAGGGCTCTTCTGCAACTTTTAATTCAAATAATTGCACAAATTCACTCCCTGGAAGAAAAGGCTGTCTCTTCTCGTACAGGTGCGTATGTCAGTTTTAGTCTCATATTTTCTGTGGATTATTGTAAACTGATCATCTTTTACAAAAGTAAATATCAACGTGCGCATATTTTAGTTAAATTTGTAAATAGAATTTGCTTGAAATATTGGTTTTAATATATAATAATAACGTTTGTCAATTTCTAAATATACAAATTTGCAATGCTTTCATATTATAAAACTTACGTAAACCCCTTCGGTATTTTTTTCCTTCAGGAGTTTGATCTTCGGGGCCATAATTCTTCACAAGCTAACCGGTCCTCGGGATATTAGCCCATCATCCGCCTGCTTTTGCCTCTGTCTCTTCTTAATCGTCAAGAACCATGGGGACGACGAAGATATGGCTAATTTTCCAGTAGCCAATTTGGAACTTGAAGGGCAACATGTTTTCTTGGAAGAGATGCTGAAGAGTTTCAAGATTGAAAAATCAATTCTGGACGCCGTCTGTGTGGTGAGAACCCCTGGTTTAAGGTCAAGGTCAACTGAAATGAAGATTTCCGCCAGTAAAATTGCGATGAAGGGGTTGACTGATGGAATTAAGGCAAATTTCTCCAAGGAGGAATTCAAACTTTTCGTCAAGAAGCTCGTGGAGACTTTCTCCAAAGACGGAGGAGGACGAGGGCCCTCCTCGGCAATGGGGGCAGTCGTCCTGTACTTGGAGGATGCTTACGCGGAGGAAGAGCGTGAGTTGCTTGTGGAACGCATGGAAAGGTTGAGAATGCGGAGTCCAGCTGAGAAATTGAGGAATTATGCGCACAATTATTGAGTGAGAAATTTTAGAAAGTGAGAATGCTATAATTTTATGTAATTTAGCATAGATTTCCTAATTTCCACTTTTATACGCCAATTATAACTACAGCCTAGACATAAGACTTGCTGATACATTTGTACCATGCAGCATCGTAATTTTATAAATTTATAAGTCCACCGTTAACACATTTTGATTCTGCTTCTAAAACTTGCTCTGCATTAAATTGTTAATAAGAACTGTTTGATTATTTGTTCAAACCATCTACATACATATTTATGCTAAGTAATTGCATATATGTATTTAGGTATATTGATGTAAGTCTTTAAATAAATCTTTAATCACTTGCATGCAGGAAAATTGGTTAGTTATGTATAATGTATTAAATTCTTTGTAAAGGAATAACTAGTTTTGAAAGGGGTGAAATTGGTACAGTTAGTAATGAACATATTCTGCTAAGAATCAAATACTAATTACAATAAAAAAATGTTCAGTTGCAGCATAATAAGTCTAATGCATATAAAAATCGATAATAAACTCACCTATCCATAGAACTATCCCTAAAGACTATCGTTGAATGAAAGGTGATGTTGAACGCCCAGTTGCAAATTACATGTTTGACAAATCAAAAGTTGTAATAAGCTAAACTCTTGTGCAAATTGTAATTTAATGCCAGGTATGTAATTTAATAAATACATTTAAATATGTACTTACATATACACATTTTTGAATGTGATTAATGTATGCTGAACATGTAATGTGCACAGTGGCCGGATATTTATTTAGGTCTCATAAATCTTAAATCCCTAATTGATAGATAATGTTAGCGTCAGCATAGTTGGTAATTTATAGACATGTGCATACATGCGAGCAACGTGTGTCCTTCTCCCATACAATTGTTGAATATCATGAGACAAACCTTGCTAAAATTAAGTGATGATGTATTTATTTGATTATTTTTAGCTTTGATTGGAATTAGCGAAACACGGTTAGACAATGGTTACTGACACAGTGAGTATTGTCAGAAGTAATCGAGAGCGAGGAAGTGATAATTTACATGTCTGATTTATGCATTTGATGTACATAACTTGAGTTAACCACGTATGTACTATCCTCGCATTTAGGCGTGTCATCTCATTTGCATAAATCTCAATAGCCCATTTTCAGCGATACGGGCTTTCCATGTTGAGTAAACTCTATGACTCTCACGAATGTGTTAAAATATGCAAATGAGGTGACAGAGCCGAGTACGAGGACAGTATGTCCCTAATGTCGGAAAACTGTCATGTCGGAACTACATGTCGGAACAAAAAAAATTATCGCTCATTCACCAAAGCCATACTTGAATGAAAATCAAAAAGCGACTTGTACCCTCGAGTAACTAAATCATTACTTCGTCAACTGGATAGCATTCGTTGTAGGAATAATTTCCCTTGCTTAATTGCATGTTTTTACGGTGCAAGGTTTTAAACACCTCCACGTAGCAAAGACAATCTGACTTCATTGCTGCATAAAATATTAAAATATTTACAGGTCCTATTGCTACAAAATTTCAGCGTGTGAGTGCCAAGCAGTTCCTTGCAGACTTGAGAAAGTGGATCGATACCCTTTCTCTCCAGATTTAAATCATTTAAAGGCAATCGAAGTGTGAAAGTGCATACCAAAGTAATAAATTGTAGTAGTGTATGTATGCACATACACTGGCCTCTTACAAAAATAACAACGTTACATTTTCGCAAATTCGAGACTTTTCTCAACCATGACGGATACTATTTCACTATTTCCCTTTGCTCTTTTATCGAAAGAATGCAAAATCCAGGTTCTCTTAGAAAACGCCGACCCCGAACATTTTCTAATGTACTTCGTAATCTATAACTACACAAATTTTGAAATATTATGTAGGCAATCATTATTAAGGGTATGTATTCTTACATATTTTTTCTGAAATTTTAGGTTATATCGTCAGACGTGTGGAGACCTCCCAAAAGTGACGACTCGAAAATACAAATAATACCTTCCGACCAACAACAAATCGCCCACTTGAATGATGAGGATACTATTTCGTCAAGTTTCGAAGAAGGCATACCTAAGCGAAATTCCGCTAAAACTTGGGGAGTAGAGAAGCCTTATCTTATAAGCAAACATCGCATCTGGCGACTCCGTGCTTTGATATGGCTAGGTCGAATTGGCTTCATGTTGCCATGGAGATGGGCTGAAAATAGATCCCTTGATGGAATTGTAATCGAAAAGTTTTCCACATTTTGGGAACGCGTATGGAATTTGGGGTCACTTCTCGTCTGCTGTTTGTCTTGCGTTCTTACTTACTTTCACACTTCAATTGCCTTTAAATCATTCAAATCTGGGGAGGAAGGGTATCGATCCACTTTCTCCAGTCTGCAAGGAACTGCTTGGCACTCACACGCCGCAATTTTGAGCATCGTTTTTATCGCTTACCAGGACAGGATTAGAGTCTATTTGAACGCAATGTTTTTGTTTAACAAACATCTTGTAGAGGAGTTATGTCAAGGTCAATTCGATGAGGAGGACGATGGCAGCAATCTCTTTTACAATTGGGCCTATCCGTTCTTATGGATAGAAATCTTCTTATCATTGTCCAGATACATTGTCAATTATGATGCTCCTCTGTACCTGACAAGTTTTTTGGGAACTAGAGATCAGATTCCGTGGTGGTTCGTGTTGCTTGGAGCATTGCAGGATTTTATGACATCGACTCAACTAATTACGGGGACCTTGATGTTGGGATATGTTATAGTAACTCATGCAGTGACGATCAATTTCTGGTTGAGGGAGGCACAGTAAGTGTAAACATACGGACTATTTATGAGGTAATTATCTTAATTTCTGAATTTTTGCCTGCAGCAGGAACAATGAAAATGTGGCGACGAAAGAATATCTCCGTTCTCAAGAGAGGGCAGTGCAACTATTTCGTGCGGCACAAGTCTTGTCGGGACATTTCAATTTAGATGTCGCCCGTTGTTCGGTCACTCTTTGTGCATTCATCAACTGGTCGGCTGCTATAGTTTGCGGTTTCACCTTTGTTCGATCCTTGAACTATTTGATGATCTCTGAATTCCCGGGATCTATTTTGTACCCCGTCGGCGTCATTGTTACAAGTTTAATACATGAGCCCGACCCGGGCGACCCAGAAAGGTGTCACCTACCACAAAGAGAATGATTAAAAACAGACTTTACAAGAAAACCGGTAGTTCATTACGTAATTGTGCAAGGGAGTTAAATGACTCAAAACGCTATAAAGAGAAGAAGAAGCAAATTAACTATGTGACCGTGCAAAAATTTGTGAAATCTACGAGGTGGGGTCACACAGCTTACAAACTAACCAAAAAACCTCTCATGTCACAAAAAAATATCGATGACCGTCTGAAATTTGGAGAACTCCTTCAGAAAAGTGGCCATTTGAGTGAAAAAAGACTTGGTGAAGAATTGCGCAGTCACATCCTTTGGACTGACGAATCTATTATTGAGCTATATCCAAAATTGAACCAACAAAATGTTCGTTACAGGACAGAAAACAAATCGGATGTACCATCAAGAGCAGTCCCAAAATTCGGGCTTAAAGTTATGGTAGCGGGTGGATTTTGTGCACGTGGCGTGACTCCTCTACATATCATACCAAAAGGCCAAACAGTCAATGCAAAGTATTATATGGAAAAAATATTACCTATCTATTTCGATAGCATGGGGAACAAGGAAATATTTCCGAATGAAAGAAAAATAGTTTTCATGCAGGATGGTGCTACAGCCCATACAGCAAAAGCGAGTTTGAGTCTCATCAAGACGCAAGTTTCAACGGTCTGGAGCAAGGGGGTGTGGCCCGGAAACAGCCCAGATTTGAATCCCCTGGAGAACCTGTGGTCCATACTTAAGGAAAATGTATACAAATAACCACAACCCCGGACGAGGGAAGAGCTAGTAAAAAAAGTTCAAGATGTATGGAATTCGATTCCCACAGACACATTGGAAAAATTAGCACAGAGCCTTAAACAAAGAGTTGAGGGCATGGTTAAAGTAAATGGTAACAAGACCAAATACTAAGGTAAATATGTCGAACATTTTTTGTAAGTATCACGGGTAGTTTTTTTTATACTAGCCTTCACTTTTTTATAGGAAAAATGGGATCGGACTTTATTAACACCCTTTATTTAGTTTTAATTTATTGAACTTCATCATTTAATTAAATACAAAAATTGGATAACAGTAAATTTATTATATCTTAATAATAAACATAAGAAATTACACGTAGTAAGTACACTGTCACCAAGCAAGAGCTTTGTTTCCAATACGAATAACAATAGTGTAACATACAAAACAAAATTCGACTCAAATCTCAAAATTTTTGAAAATTCTAACACTAACGAGTAACAACAGGGTCTTATCAGGTTTACCATTTAGGGGTGTTGCTTTGTACTCTCTTGATTACTGGAGATGCTCGCATTTCTTAATATCTTATTACTCTATAATATAGAGTCTATATCAGTACACGTAGTGCGTTGTGCCTCTGCTGCATATTTATGTATTGGTATGCGCCTCAATCCATCCATCACCTCTGTCCTTAGAAACTGAAACGATGTGTTCGAAATTTGAAATTCCGATTGTTGGCTCTTTGAAGCCAGAAAATGAAATTGATGTCCCCAGATATAATTACGTAAAATGATATTAGATACAACAACCATTATTCATGTGAAAACATATGTATGCATCTCGGATGGGTAAATTAATGCCGATATCCTATCGAACACGACTGCCTTCGCCTTGTCAGTTCCCATCCGTCCTCTGCGATATCAGTCACATAGAGATTCTAGATAGCTCGAAATCATTTTTTTGTCTCCATTCTCTGTGATTTCCTATCAGTCCTCTATGATATCGATCAAATGTCTCTCCTTAAAATCCAGACTAATTTGCTTGAGCTTCATGATTTAATAGTGTACATTCAGCATGCCTGGAATTTCTTACATGAATTTGGAAGTGTTCTCCCCACTAATTTTCAAAATGTTCTCTGAAAACAGGGAAAATTCAATTTTTTCCAATTTTTTTGCTACACTGAAGGTGGTCAATATTGAAATTACTTGTTTAATTATTTGATTTCTATGATTATCATGTGTAAAAAGTATGATTTTAACTTGCTAAGGTCGATGTGATGTAAATTGACTGATTTGAGTAACATCATCGTTCATTTTATCATTATTGGCTCACCCTGCGTAGCACGGGAGCTATTGAATTCCTCGTGTCCGTCTGTCTGTCTGTGTGTTCACGAGTTTTTTGCATCAATTGATGCTAATTAATAAGTCCCTGCTCCAGTTTTACAGGACTACTGGTATCAAACAATCGTTAATGCAAATGGTGCAAGTTAATTCAGCGAATAGATCGAGATAGGACTATAATTTTGGAATACGTAGCACCGTTAGTACCGAGCAATTGGTTATTAAAAATAATGCGTAACAATTAGGCCATCTATTCCCCTCCAAAAATTATGTCAAAATTCTGTTCTATTTGTTCGATTATTCTGAACCATTGGCGCTAAAATATATAAATTTTACAATAAATAATTGGGAACTGGATGTCATACGCATCAATAATGCAAAATGATCCCGTTGGTCGCAAATATTGCATTAGTGGTGCCAAATAATGCCGGATTTTAAAAAAAATATTTTTCCGTTTATATTGCACTATTGGTGCAAGAATCTATGAGAGTTGTAATCTATTTTGTCGACTTATTCCGTACCTTTGGTGGAAAGTTATATGCAAATCATTATGACAGGGTGAGCTACTTCTAACGTTACTACGGTTTATTAATAATTTTTAGTTGAATATCTGTCCCTATTGAAAAAAAAATCAGTATTTTCTCCAAGTGTTCTCCCCGCATTGCGGGTTGGTGGGGTAAGAAATTCCAGGCATGGTACATTGTAGACTACAATTTGTAGTAGATTACATTACACTGACCTGACTCACATCACACTAGCACAGTTCTGCATGCACCTCTACATTTGATGCACGTAAAAGCAGTAAAATTACTCCTTTTAACCATTTGCTAATTCCCTGCATCGTGGATCCTAGCGCCCGCGATTTTCCATCGGTCCTCTGCGATATCGATCACATACAGATCCTAAAAAGCTCGATATGTATTTTCCAAACTTGTGACATTTGTACATATTTTTGTCTGACCAAAAGATTACATTTCTCTAGTCAAAATTTGTCTATACTGAACATTGAGCTAAAATATTTTGCTTGATGTGCAGCAGCAGCTACACAAATAAGATCTTTGCATACACACGCATCGAATCCCTGGCTGCAGCGACATATGTACAAATTTATGTATGTACATATGCATAGATATGTACATATTTGCAATACAATGAGAAATTCCATTTCAATGAATCTCAAGCGGTAATAGATACATAATTTTTCGACTGATTGTGTTTACAGATCTTGTTTAACTGGGCTACAATTATTACTGCTACGATTTTAGATAATTTTTGACAGATGACCAAAAGAAATTACTTAAAAACTAACATTAAATGAATTAGTCAAATTACGCAGTCTTTTCATTTCGCAAGTCTAACTTGTAGATGTTGGGTGTCTACGTTTAGGTAATTTGGGCAAATAATTTCTTATCCAAATGTGTGGAAAAAGTCAGGTAAATGTGTTGAGTGATTTATAATATAGTAAAAATGTACGAAGTCTGTTAATCCTTTCACGTTCAAATCAAATCATAAATATTCATGCTGCATAAAATTAGGATGGCAATGATCACTTGAATGGTTGCGGAAATAACTTCCCGGATTTTGCCCGACTTTCACCCGTCTTCCAAAATAAAAAACTTTTTGGTCATGATGAAGTACCCCATTTTCAAATCTGTCAAAAAAGTAACATTAGAAAAAATGTTTTGATATTCACATAGCTTTTATGATGTAGAACATACAGTAAGAAGTGAAATTTACCTGGTGACACTTGTTGGTGTATGTCATCCAGAGTGTTTGGTATTTCCAAGTCGGTTGACGAATATGATTTTGGTTGCTAGCAAAAGATTACATATTCATTAGTTGCATTTGCATGACTTCATCGCGTCAGGAATGTACACTTTCATAAAAATTGAAAGGTACGACAACTAATTAGCTGGATGATTTTACTATTCTGCAAATTCGAGACTTTGAGAGGCATGTGATCGATAGGGTCAAATCGTCGGAGCAGATGCTTTATGTACATGCGGTCCCTGACTAAAGTACAATGGGTAACTAACTACAATGACCTTGACACTTACAACATATTGATGAGAAATAGCACTGCGAATGTGCTCGGGTAGTGGTGGTTCGTGTCAAACTGGATAAACTGCACAAGGAAACATCAATATTATGCAAGGAAAATATATTTTATATAACATGTTCGGTACAAACCTTTCTGAGCTTCATCCTACCAATTATGTCACTCTTAAAAAAATGGAATTTTCGAAAGTATATATTTTTATACTTTGAGAGATGCAACAAGTAAAAATCCAGAAAATGTGTCCAGTTGGCCGATGCGAGTGATGAGGAGTAAATACGAGGAGAGATAAAAACGGCGTCCTTCCCGTCCGAAAATATGTAGAGGCAAAAATCCTATAGAGATGCGTGGGCATAAATTATCAATTTATCGAGTTTCTCCCAGCAAAGATCTTTCGCCAATGTCGACCCAGTTCTGTCCTTCCGTTCGGCTTTCTTTCACTCAAAACTTGCTAAATGTCGGCCTACCTCGTCCATTTCGCAGACCGAGTTCGTTAGCAACAGGTTGGCAACAACTCGGACCATCCATTATTTTCAACTCCACTTTCACCTCTCATCCCAGATTGTCACTCCACCAAAGAATTCATACTCACTACATTCCTACATGAAGATGAGATTCTCTACCTCAGCTATGCAAATATGCACGAGAAATAAAGTTGGATATTAAGCATCAGCTTGAGCATGTCTTTCATAGTTTTTCACAACACTCTGCCCTGCACGTCCCCGTTGACATGAAAATCTGGATGTAAACGTTTGTCATAGATACATATCTCTCTGCCTTAGTTTTTCAATTAATATAAATCATCTTTTAACCTTTGTGCCATACATGCTAAATGTTTTAATCTACATCTTACATGTTTTATGTGGACTATTGTGGACATGAGTCACAGCAAGCTGTGACTTGGGCTGAGACCAGAAATTTTTCATGAACCTACATATGGGTCCCAAAGTTTTACAAATTCTGCAATTATCTCACTACGAAATTCCGTTTTTGGGAACATCTTAGTTTAGTCACAAACAACCTCATGTAAGAAAATCGTTAGAAACCTGTATACCTTCTCATTAAAGAGTATTAGTATGTTGATGGTTCAACCTATTTTAGAAATAATTTTTAAATGTGCTTCACATATAAGGTAACATTTCTTAGTTAACATTTTAAAATTTGTATATGCAGTTGCTTTCAGTCCTTGAAAAAAACAAGGTTTGAATGTATGTAAATGGAGTTATTGCCATTTTAATGCAACCTATTTGCTCTATAATTTGCTTATATTGGTCTTTTTCTATGTCAAATCATATTAGATCCTTACTCAATATTTGTTCAGAATCCCATCCACTATTTTATTTAACTCTTTATGCAAGTGTGTGATTTGCAATAATTAATTATACCAGGATAAAATTATCGGTCCAGTGTGTAACTAATTCGTCTGAATTTATACGGTGATCTTTACCCGTGCCATGTGTGTGATTGCATGGTCTCTGGTTCGATCCGTGTACGTGACAAGTAAATCATAAATGAAGTGTAAGTTGCTAATTATTTACATATTCTTCTAGAAGCGTGGCATTTACTTTGAAATTAATTAAAAACGACACTAGTTGATATTTGATGTGAGCATCCAAATACTAATCAAATCTAGTAAATAAGTAAGCTTACATCACATCCTTTAATTACATATACATACGTCTAATTTAGAATTGATAAGCAAATTTTTAATGCGTAGTTGCGGCTTTGCTAAAGCGATACGAGAACAAAACACTATTCTCAAACCGGATTAAATTTGTTATTATTATTATTCTAATTTTATTTCGGGAATAAATAGCAGACGACGCTGGAACGGACCGGCACAGCGTCTTCTTTCGTTGAGCTGGTAATGATAAAATCTAATTACATAAAGAATACTGGAAATCAACTTTGAAAAGGTGCATATTTTTGCAAAATATAAATTAAGAAGAAATACATAGCTAACAATGGTTGAATTTTAGTAGGGATGAGCCTGTTGAAGCGTCATTGTGGACCACCATTTGGAATTGTGGTTATCCTTCACCGACCTCCAGTTCCAGCCGTGTCATTCTGCGGACCGATTAGAAAACCAGTTTCGAGCGAAGGGTCGAAATCGCATTTCCATTCGTGGAGAGAAGGAAGCTTGAAGCAGGTGAAAATGAACAAGGCCGAGTATCAGGAGTGGATCAAGGGAAAGTAGTCGCCCAATAGGGAAGACTTTCCACTAATTTAGAGATTGGATGACGAATTATGGACTAGTTGAAGTTTGAATCATTCAAACGCTACAATACTTGTTCTGAAATTTTATGTTCAAATTTAAATTATGGAACTGTTTGTAATTAACATATTTCGCATGTTGGTTTCAAATAGTTTCTAAATAAATGTATTTCAAATTGAAATTTTTTCATAAGTTGGCATATTATTTTATAGACATTTGAAGTGTGACAAATTTTTACTTTGTTTCTGAATTTTTTACAATTCATGCTAATTTATCCTCAGATACTTATGTACAAGCAGTATGTCTCCTTTCATATCAGAACAGAAACAATAAGGTGAAATTTCCCTATCTAAAAAAATCGATCGATTGCATAAAAGTTAAAACTTTTTGAGAATAGAAAAGTATCTACTTTTGACCTTCTTGAAGGGCAAAGCACGACACCACTGAATGACCTTCCACAAAGTTTCGGGTTTAGAGTATTTCATATTTATACAATCATTTAGTTATCACAACCACATGTACTTATTTAAATAGAAGTTCAAATTTCGAACAGTGGGTGCATAAACATGGTAGCAAGCGGATTCTTAAGTATGATATGTGTAGATTATACACATATTTAAATAGTTTATCTTAAGCCAAAGTTAAAAGATGAAGCGCAATTACAATCAGACATGAGATATGCTATTGAGTCTGTGTGAACTATTAGTTCTGCTCGTCAAATGCAACGTCTCGTTCTAATGATTTGCAATGCACTTTACTGATTAAAATAGTACACTTACAAGTATTGTATTCTTTCGTTACATAAAATTCGCAAATTTTGACCAATTTCCAACATTTGTTGGTGTATGCACGGAAGTTTCTCATTAAATATCATGATACATGCATACATATATACGCAATCAGTCATGTAAATTTAGAAAAAAATGATATTACTCAAACTACGAAATATCGATTATGTTCAAATACACAAGTGCTTGCACACGCAACTTTCGCGAACTTAACTTTGTCCTTCTCGCCAATTTCAAGGAGACGCCATCGACACCTAAGCTTCAGTGGATGGCCAGTCGGAATCCATACCCTCCACTGCATCCGCTTATGTCTGCATTTTTAAACCGATTGATTAAGTCGTAGGCAAATTTAAGAATTACAAAAATTTTCAATTTCACAGAATGAAGTTCACCTTTGACATCGACATAACATGTTTTTCCATTCGACAAATGAAATTGTTAGCAGCGGTAAGTGATTCGACATGTAATTAATTTTATGTTCATTTTAAGCAATCAGTTCATGTTTAAAATTAATTTTCACAGATCCTCGGCATACTTATCGTCTCGCTGGTCCAATTCTGCTGGAGCGGTCCACCAACAATTTTCTTTTTCACGTTCACCCTTCTGTCACTCACTCTCACTTTGGTTCTGCTCCTGGGGGAGGCGTGTCGGTGGAAAAGATACTGTTCTGATTTGGACAACGTTGTGAGTATTTAACACAAAATCATGACACATTTATGTATGTACATGGGGGAGGATATATCAAAATGGTGTATTTATTACTGTAAAGGAGCTGGGATTCTTCCTCTGTGGAGGATTAGCTCATATCCTGTGTGCCATCTTGATGGTCGCTCTGAAGGGCAACCGGTGGGAGGGGTCATATTCATATGATCAAAACACAATGAAGAACTCGATAACAGCATATGTTTCCGTATGCATGAAGAATCTAATTACCGCTAGCTTAAAATTTAACCATGCATCTTTAACTTTATGACGAATTAATTTCAGGTGATTGGAATACTGAATGGAATATTGTACCTGATAATTGCTGCTAGAACGTATCGGTGCTCAGGAACGAGGTCAGACAACGACGACTGTGAAGAACTGGCAGCCAGCAGCCCGATCCATGTCATCTACGGAATTGGGCGTACGGACACAATTTCGTCCGCACAAGTGGGTCCACCCCCACCGTACGCTGATGCAGTGCAAGCCCAACCTACGCAATTCATGTGATAGAGTAAAAGCTGCATTTTTATTTAATTTGGAGATTAATTACATGACACAATCAAGTTCTGGCAATTTGATCATTTAGTATTTTAAAGTAAGAACGCATTAAAAACAATGTCAATTTATTAGAAATATTGTCATTAGTTTTATGGAACTATTGTGAAAAGCTAAACCTTAATTACAAGACACAAGGTTATCATGTCTGACCAACCATCGGTCACAATGTGCGTCACAAAATTTAGCATCAACAACGCAAATTAGTCTTGCAATTATATTTGAATAAGCTGGCAAACGTGGTACAAAGAAATACATACGAATAAAATATGCATGATGATGCCTGCGTGAAAAAGTTTTGCATTCAAGAGGGGTTTGTCTGGACACGGAAGGTTCCAATTTAACGAGGATACATGGAAAATAAATTTGAGCCTATGTGACAATCATTTGTCTCGAAGCATATCTCAAAAATCGGTTGGGTATTGATTACACTCCACAAAGAAACCGAAGCCATTGGTTCAACTACATTGCAAAATATTTATTTCCCTACATACAGTAATTCTAAAGTAGTTTATGCTATCATCCACTTTCTAATGTGGGAGATTTTTACCCAAGTACAAAATTGCATACTTTGAGCAAAATAATATGTATGTATGTATTGTGCATTATTCTTCATATCTCGCCGAGTTTTGATTGACCAATTCGTAATTAGATTTTACAAATGAAATTAACATTTGAAGTGCATTTTGATTCCTACACCGTGCAACAAATGAAGTTTGTGACAGTGGTGAGCTTAAAATTTGACGTGTCCAGTTTATTTCAAATGGGTGGGTTAACTTTTAATTTTATTACAGGTTATCGGAGCAAACATCGTCACACTGATCCCATTCTTCTGGGAGGGAGCCTCCTCCTACACCGTCCTTTATTTTGTCGTCGCTGTTTTCTTGCTCATAATAGATTTCACTTTTCTCGTGGGTGATGCATTCATTTGGAAGATTTCATCCAGCGATATGAAAAATATGGTAAAAACAATTATCTTAAGAATTAAAAGTATTTATGCATAATTATTATGACAAACGGATAAGCCATTAATTTACTTGTTAGGAGATTGGGCTATTCACCTTTGGAGGATTAGTTCACCAATTATGTTCTATTCTGATGCTGGCCCTTGAGAGAGGAAAGAGCACTGATTGGAATGATAACAAGCATATGAGTTCTTTACAAATTTACGTCGCTGTAGGTTAAATTAATTTTATTAGGGGGATATTAAAATAATCAAAAATTACTCTGTGCTGGATACATGCGAATGGAATTCTTAATGGGTTCATACACTTGGCAGTTGCTCACGGAATTTACACCTTGGATCGTCTCTCCACCGGGAGGCCTGGCGTCAGGTCGGAAGAATCTGCAGTGGCGTGCTCATCAAGTCAAAGATATCGTGCTAGGAATATTGATCTTCTGTTGATTCGCCTACCCAGTGCTCCGCCGACATACTCGGATGCGATGCAAGATCCGCATTCGACAATTATGTAGATTTCAGTACATAGGCACATACATATGTAGACGTGGATTTTCAATTTTCTGAATTTAAGTGCATGTACGTATGTATTTATGACTTTTAAAAGTTTAGAGGATTTGCAGTTTCAGTTTTGCATGCATATGAGTAACTCGTAAGTAGCAATGCAGTAAAAGACGAAAGTCTTGAAGATCTCCCCTTTTATGTCAAGTTTGAAATCAATATATCATTAATTGATGCCATGCAAATATATAAATTATGTAAAGTGACATGGACAGATTATTTTATGATCTCATTTTCCAAACGCACTCCCATAAATGTCCTCGGCACCTCCACTTCCGGCGTTCTTGGCAGCACAGTCCTTGCAATCTGGTGGAGGGATGCACTTGGAAGTGTCGTCCACGGAATGCATGTCGGACGGGCAGACGTAAATGATTTGAAAGTACCCTCCCGTGACGGGATTAATCTTGCATTTCATGAAGTAATTGTTCTCTCCTTGGATGAGCATGATGCCTTCTTCTTTACAAAAAGGGGCAGTTATTTTGATTATCTCATCGGAGGAAGCCTGAGACGCAGGGTGGGCCGCTTGGGGATGAGCCTTGACTTTATTATGGGCCCGAAGAGCACGTTTCTGCAGAGTTTTTCTGTAAAATATGTATAAATGTTTGCAAAATAAGGTTGTCGACATAGATACATAAATTTATGCGCGTACTCAGCAAAAGTAGTGGGAGCAAGTCCAAGGCTTCTTTTTGCTCGGGAATTTTGACCAGCTTGGTTCCCATGATAACTTGATCCGGAGACAAATATGTCCTAACAAAGTAAATTTAATTAGTTGTATTTCCTCTAAAAATAAACTTCCCAAAGTAAATTGCGTCCCTCGAAGACGACTTACGGAAGACAATGTTATGACAACAAGGAAGCAAAAATATAGCGTCCAACCCATATTGACGGTGGTATTATAATGAACTTGTGGATTAGAAATGTTTATTAAGTATTTAATTTAATGGGGAACAAGTTTTTAAATCAATCTACATCCACACATATGCATGTAAAAGAATGCACTTTGCAAATTTGTGCTAAAACTTAATGTGACGTGAGTATGTAAAGTAATTGTTTTTAATGCATAAAGTTTTTATTGGCCGAATTACCATATGACTACGTCCTTGCAGAACAATCAATAGCTTACGGATCTTGCAGGCTTTCACACTTTAAGTTGTTTAAGTTCTCTTTGTTTCGATATATTTTTACATGTCTTTCATGAAAATATTAAAATAATACAAACTAAAACACTGCACATTTAGTGCATTGTATTTAGTGCATTGTAAGGCATAAGACAGCTCCGTACTGATATTACCTAATATATTTTTTTGTGTAAGGTACAGACGCTGCTTATACATACATACATCTGTACTTATAAACATATTTGCATCTGCATTTGACATCTTTATTTCAAAGAAAAATATATGAACAATGAAAACATACCTATTTAATACGCTAGAAAACGCTAAATGCATACATATATAAACATATGTAATTACTTATGAAGGTATGTGGAAATCAATTTGATTGGTAATGCCTAATTGCAGGTGCATGGTTTGGTTCATTGGTCATTGGTAAAATATTATATGAAAATCAATAGATGTTTTTTCTAAGTTATCAATGATAATATTTTGACTCTGACCTTTCTTAACCAAATACACATTAAATTTATGCTTAGCTTTTTGGATTACTCATGTACATCATTTAGTATATATTATGTTGACGTGGAACAGAGCAACGAACGAGTAATCTCTTAATCTCAACTTCAGTATCATTTCATATACTCATCCTTTGCAATTTTAGGTTTACATAGATGAATATTTGTTTTTTCGGCTTTTTATAAACAAGTCAACGTGGGCCATTGCAATGGATATGTTACTTGTTGATGTTTATAAAGTGTGTAATTTTCAGGTATGCTTTACTATAATATTTCATTGTCCCGGTAAATATTTAGTTGTCCATTTCAATTTGTTATTATTTATCCACCGTAAATTAATGTAATCAAGCTTCTGGATAATGGTCATGGGATATGAACACTTCAAGCTTTTTTTACGACGCATCAGAATTGCCACAGTATAAAAAGAGATCCCTAACTCCTTCCTGAACAGAACGGAAGAAGCCGAGGAAGCTAAAATTATTCAAACCAGTACATGTTGACATCAGTAACAGGTAAAAATTTGATAATTTTCAAGAAACATTTATAGAAATAGAACCGGTTGACGACTGATACTCAAATTATATTCTGTAGTTTTCTTCGTACCATATTCCGAACATCTACATATTTCATTTCGACTACCAACAATCCTGAAAAATATGAAGTGGATAATCCCTCTCGTTTTCTCGTGTTTTTATTTCGTCGGCGGGACTCCGTACATCCCTGAAAATAAAATTACGGTGGTCATTGCCAACGCTACGCAACAGGAGTGCAATGACAGACCGATCATTTTTACTTGTGACTACTACATGCCTCCACACCTAGGGGGCCCTTGCCTTTCCCGATGCTGGCATAATTCATGGGAAACACGTGACAATTGGTGCAGCATGAATGGACATTGGGAAAGACGTGACAGTTTTAAAGCTCCATGGTTTATGGGGGGGACCTGCTTCTGCTGTGATTGCCGGGGCCCAGAAAGTGAGAGATGTTGATAGGTATAAATAATTATAAGTAAGTGGATAGACGAAGTCTCGTATTTTCGTCTTCCTATTTGTACATAAATTTGTAACTAGCTAAGCAAAAAATTCAATAAGATTGAAATAATTCGATTCAAATACATACTTAATCGCAAAAAGAGAGTTGATATCCATTACTATAAATTATTTGATAATTATAACAGCTTGTTAGGTTCAGGTGGTGAAGTCAAAATTATTCTACAATAAATAAACAGATTCACAATTTGACGCCCTTGTACAGTAATTCGGTGCTTGACGTATGTATAAAAAGGTTTTCTCGTTAATGCATTACCTGATGTATTTGTATTGATTCTTGTAATAATAATGAATTAAGTGAGCTGGTTGAGTTTAGTTTGTGTGTGTACATAGTTTAGTTTGGTCAAGGATTTTGCATAGGCTGGATTCCGTTGAAAATGGTGTACAAAATTAACCAAAAACTTTTCGTAATGAGGAACACAATTAATTTTGTACCATCCTTTCGTTCATACACATTTCTTTATTACCAAGCGTTCTCAAAATTTGCATACTACACTTTACTCGCCCCATGTTCCATGAAAATAGAAGACAATTCTCTAAAGGTCGTGTCAAACAGGTTTCAAAAGGTGTGCAATAATTTTTGACACTATCAGAGCAGAAAAATTACCAATTATTCATTTTCAACCAAGGTCCTCTGCATAGTCCTCCACATTTACATGATTTACAAACAACTCTCTCAAAATTGGATCATGTTACAGAACGTGGGACACGTTTTAAAAAATCCACCTCTTTTATATCAAATCGCAACAGCGCTATCACCCACTTTGAGCATGTTCGTATTTTTGCATTTATGTTGGACATCACGAAAAGGGCTGGATTTCTTGTACCACTCTTGTTTTAAAGGGGCAGGATATCATACTGGGTACAGCTTTTCGGTAATATTTAACAAATACATACTTCAACAAGTGAGAAATAAGTTAATAATAATTTCTGAAATTTACAGAACATTGCGAAAATGTTTGCACTCTTATCAGTGAGCATGTTGGTAACATTTGGAGGGGAATTGAATTATCCACTATTCAGTGTCTTAAAACGACGAGAGTTTTATGATGAACCTGTCGTTCTTCTACGCTACGTTACAGCAGATATCACAGCTTTGAGGGACATGATGCAAACAGTGATATGTCCAAGTCTCGTATTTCTGTTATTTTTTTACGATTCGATTTTCCGTTTTACAACAATGCTGCATCTTTCTTTCTTGACGTGCTACGTGATAAAACGGATTGGAGACGAGGTACAAGATTATTTAGAAGACGAAAAAAATTCTTTGCCGTGTGAAAAGGTATTAATTTCTGAGTACATGTTTATAAAGGAATATTGATGATGCTGTTTAATGAATGTCCATATTTTCTAAATAGTTCATTGAAATGTACGACATAATAGTACAGCTAATTGGTGACATTAATGAGTCATTGGGGGTCTTGGTGCTGGCAACAATAGTGAACACGCTGTCATTTTTCAGTCAAGCCTTGACGACGGTGCTAGACTCGGAAAAGCAATTGTGGGATCGCCTCTATGTCATTGGAATTGTCAGCTTTTTCGGAATATTTGTAGGATTTGCTGCTCAAGGAGCTGATCGTGTAAGTGTTTTAAACGGATAAAAAAGTGGCTACTTAAAATTCACTTGTTGAAAATCACTTAGCTGGAAAATATTGAAGGATTTGTTTCCCGTAAAAAACAAGATCCCGATTACAATGAGAACAGAGCGTTGCAATTAATGATACCCAACATGACAAATAATCCGCTCGGACTTAAAGCTTTCAAATTCAGGATTTCTTATGGATTTATCGTTTCAGTAAGATTATTAATGTGTGAATAACGTTAATTTTTTAGGTTTACGATCTAATAATAATTTTGTGCAGATTTTCAGTACAGCAGTGACATACTTTATTATACTGCTACAGTTCTCCACGTCCTCAGATAAACAGTAAACCTTATGCGAGCATATATATCCTAAGCACTTGTCAATTAGTGAGAAACTCCAAAATTGGTACTTTTGTATTGTATTTAGATACACCATCAAATCAATCGCATCAATAAATAATGACAAGATAATACGTAGATAATTAATTTTTCATTTGAAATAGGGTCCTCTGGTTACTTGTGGGGGTTGGGATTTAGTTAAAATCAAAGGAGAGTGATAGAAACCTTGATCTGCTGAAGGTTTCATTAAGATCTCAGATTTAATAAAAACAATCCTCATTTGTTGATAACCAACCTACCTGGATTTGATTTTCCATTTTCCATAATGCTTACGTTTTGGCTTAGGATTTTCAATTTTTCTGCCAAAAAAATGTTCAAACCGTTGTACATTTTCTATTGTTGTAACAATGTATAGAAAAGGTACGTACAGCAACATATTTGCGAGATTTTAAAAATTCGCCAATCGAAATCACTCGAATATTAAGCACGTGGCGTATTCGCCAGAGGGCGATTGCAATGAAAGTTTGTAATTTACTTTCAATCTTCCATTATTAAATTGTTTATCCAAAAGTACGCGTAGAAAAGTTATCGATTCAATTCCATTATGTCGACATTGCATCTTCGCCCACTCTGTGAATATTTGCACAACGTAATTGCACATCACCCAGCAAGTATATAGAAATATTATTGGACGCTGGTCTTACATAGTTTTCCATGGAGCATCTCCAGTTTTTTGGGAGAAATTTTTCCGATAGAATAATTCAGGGTACAGCCATGTGAAATCAAATAAATAAGTAAAAGTAATTTCACTGTAAATTAATAATCACATTCTTATCGGTCTCGAATCTATAGTTTCATTGCCTCAAAAATGGTCAGATCTACAGAAAACATTGTAACCAACTCACAAATTCTTACTAATCCACCACAAAATATGCAGAATGTTTTTCTTGGATTGAAATACTTGTGCAAATTTTCCTATTTGACTGGTTCATTTCCGGTGAGAGGTGGTTTTAAAACGGGAAAATTGTTCATGGATTTCACTGCCAAGAAGTTTTCTTGGTCATTTTTCTTTAGGTAAGTAAGTATTTTACATATGACTTAAATACCTAACTGAAATTTAGTCACGTTTTGCCTCTTAATTAATTATGTAGCTGCACCATCGGCGTCTTCATAAAACTTTGTTGTGCCGCATTCGTCCCCGAACCTGTCGCACTGTCGACCAAGGATCGCACCAGATTTAACGAAACTAACAGCACCTCGGTCACCGACCTCCTTACGACGAACGCTGGTTTCATCCTGCTAAATACGTTTGGTATAATCACTCATTTCTTGGTCACCCTCCGGACGGCCAAGTTCCTCAAGGTAGCGACTCTTCTAGAAGAATATGCGACACGCCACCCTACGCCAAAAGCTAAACTGTTTAACTCCTGGACGATCGGGGAGTTATTGTGCAGCCTGTTTTCCTTAACTTACCTGACATTTTGGGCTTACTTTTGTTACAGTGAATTACGAGAAACAGTAGAATTTTTGTCTCTCTTGCTAATTGGTGGCTATCAGCCGGCACCGTGGGGCTATGCGGTCATTTACTTGACGGCACTGATCCTTCTAGAGTACAGCATTTGGTTCGTGCATATGCAAATCTTCTTTCCCACAAATCTCATCTCAGAATTTTTGTCCGACCTGATTCATGAGATTACAGAGAGAAGTAGGAATTACTCAGCGGAACCAACTTTTGAAAGCAACAAAACTATTAAATCAAAATCCAAAGGCAGAATCAAGTCAATCTCGTGGACAATTCTGAACGTAGCTAATGACGACACATTTTGGGTCACGCTAAGTAGCCGTTACATACAAATTGAGAACATCGTATTGGCATTTGAGTCCTTTGTTGGTCCGTGCATTACCATTTCCCTGGCTTTCGCGGTGGGTTCGAGCGTTTGCATGATATATATCGCTACACTTTCCGACCTGGTCTGGTCAAGTAGGATCCTTCGAACTTGTGTAATTCAGGGAACATGTTTCACAGCAGCATTTCGGGTTTTTGCGATTACAAGTGTGGGGGAAATGTTAAAAGAAAAGTATGCACAGTTGAGGAAGGAGATAGCCATTGCGAGGGACAGAAGTTTGTCAAATTTCAGTATTGTTGAACCACGAGAGGTATGTAATTAAAAGTATTTATGAGTTTCAAAGTAATAATAATTCTGCTCTAAAATTTGAATACAAATTGTATCTCGAAAAAATATGTAGTTGGATAATTTCGACCGATTAGTGCATGCTCTTCCATTGAAATTGAATGCTGGAGGATATTTTGTTGTGAGTAGGAGAAATGTTACATCGGTAAGTGTAAAAAATGTTACATTTGGGTTCAAAAAATTTTGCAATCAAATTATTGTGTGAAATTTCAGATCGTTAGCGTGGTTATTACGTATTTTATTGTACTACAGCAGTTCAAGATGTCAGAGAAGTAGAGTGGAATGAAAATTTTACCACACTGAAACAAATCAACAAATACAATCCAAAGTTATTACTAAATCGATACTCAGTAAGGAGTACGTATGTACATACATCTACACATTCCTGCATACGTGACTCTACCAGATTTTTAATAGCGTCACATTACACACAGATTTTATTAACCTAAAAATAAAAATATTTTTTACTAATATTGAGAGGATTATGCTGTTTTACAGTGGCAGCAAGATAACCTTACCCCGCCGAATCTCAAGGCCATGCGCGCACAACGACAGGCTCGATCCCGCACAAATCGCCTAAAAAACAGGGTCTCGTTTTTAGTCACTCTAGTGACCTTAATATTTGACCTTTTGAGGTCAAACTTGGCACACACATTGCCAATCATATTCCCCAGGGTGGTTCTCAAGGATTTTGAGCTAGGTCCCTTGAATGACCTTCCAGAAATTACCAAACTTTTTGCATAATATTTGGTTTTTACACTCTAGTGACCTTAATATTTGACCTTTTGAGGTCAAACTTGGCACACACATTGCCAATCATATTCCCCAGGGTGGTTCTCAAGGATTTTGAGCTAGGTCCCTTGAATGACCTTCCAGAAATTACCAAACTTTTTGCATAATATTTGGTTTTTACACTCTAGTGACCTTAATATTTGACCTTTTGAGGTCAAACTTGGCACACACATTGCCAATCATATTCCCCAGGGTGGTTCTCAAGGATTTTGAGCTAGGTCCCTTGAATGACCTTCCAGAAATTACCAAACTTTTTGCATAATATTTGGTTTTTACACTCTAGTGACCTTAATATTTGACCTTTTGAGGTCAAACTTGGCACACACATTGCCAATCATATTCCCCAGGGTGGTTCTCAAGGATTTTGAGCTAGGTCCCTTGAATGACCTTCCAGAAATTACCAAACTTTTTGCATAATATTTGGTTTTTACACTCTAGTGACCTTAATATTTGACCTTTTGAGGTCAAACTTGGCACACACATTGCCAATCATATTCCCCAGGGTGGTTCTCAAGGATTTTGAGCTAGGTCCCTTGAATGACCTTCCAGAAATTACCAAACTTTTTGCATAATATTTGGTTTTTACACTCTAGTGACCTTAATATTTGACCTTTTGAGGTCAAACTTGGCACACACATTGCCAATCATATTCCCCAGGGTGGTTTTCAAGGAATTTGACCTAGGTCCCTTGAGTGACCTTCCAGAAATTACTAAACGTTTTGCATAATATTTGGTTTTTACACTATAGTGACCGTACTTCTTGACCTTTTGAGGTCATATTTGGCACACACACTCACAACCATATTCCCCAGGGTGGTTTTCAATTATATTGACCTAGGTGACCTGCGTGACTCTCCAGAAATCATCAACTTTTTGCATTATATTTAGTTTTTTCTAAGGTCAGGTAAAAAACTATTTTAGAAGTGCCAGTTGAAAGATTTCAAGTTTAATATGACTAACCCACGCAAATTTGATCTTCGAATTATGTGTAAAGCTATATATAAGACCATTGGTGACAATTTCTAAAAGGTGTGGGTGACTTCAAAGGGTCCCTCCACATACAAATTTTCCCAATTCCACTTCCATTAGGGGCGACTGGAAGCCGTTGTACCAAATTACAACTCTATTTGACGATGTTGAGAAATCAGTATGGGTGACCCCATCGGGTCCCACCGGATGAAAATTTTTCCAATCTGAATTCATTTTTTACCATTAGGAGCCACTAGCTATCTGTATGCCAAATTTCAACTTTTTATGACAATTTTTAAATCTGGAGCATAGCACCCCACCCACTTAGATGACACCCCAATTTGACCGATTTCACCCACCTTCGAACTCGTTTCATAACTTTGTCCAATATGCATATGGTAAAATTGCAAGTCTATCGTGTTTGCGGACGGACATGACGGTCCCATAAGCCCGGACACGGGCTAAGACTCCATAGCGAGGGTATAACTATATAGTTACTATATAGCAACCACTCGGGAATATTCGTTATAGGGAAAAGTCACTGGTTTCTCAACCAATCGACAAAATTATTGCTTCCGCTTATATTAAAATGGGGGCGATGTTTCATAAATTTAAATACCGCGCTATGTAGGTAGCCCCCTTCATACTTAAATTGCGATATGCAACCATTCACCACCATCAAAACTTTTTTCTGGGAGGTCATATCGAAAAATCCCTTAGGATGGTTCTAGATTATGTCCGTAATTGATTTTTTGGTCTCTTTATTTTTTCTCTAAAACGCACCCCCTTGACTGTAGAAGGCGGTCAAGGTTTTCGAAGGGGGGGGGGGTGAATGCATACTAAGGTGTAACTGTAACTATATTTTTTTACCTGACCTTAGAAAAAACTAAATATAATGCAAAAAGTTTGATGATTTCTGGAAGGTCACTCAAGGGACCTAGGTCAAATTCCTTGAAAACCACCCTGGGGAATATGATTGGCAATGTGTGTGCCAAGTTTGACCTCAAAAGGTCAAATATTAAGGTCACTAGAGTGACTAAAAACGAGACCCTGTTTTTTAGGCGATTTGTGCGGGATCGAGCCTGTCGTTGTGCGCGCATGGCCTTGAGATTCGGCGGGGTAAGGTTATCTTGCTGCCACTGTACATATGTGAATGATTAATGTGAGATTTGTATGGAGTTTTCCATGTTGGAGAATTGCACCCATGAGGCATGTTGAGATTCTCAGATTCTCAAAACGAAGCAAAACTCCATCGAATGTTCGCATCGCAACGTACTTAATTTTTGAAACTATTTAAAAGCCTTGGAGTGGCTTGGTGATGTTTAAGTTCGTAAATGAATTTTCAAGCAATTTCGATTCTTCAAAATCTTTTTGGGAACTTGCGGACTTTTTTTTCTAACGTTTCTAACGAGTCGAACTCGTGATGAATGCCCTCATTGTTTCATTCATTGTTTCCACCTAGCAACATAACTTAAAAGTTTTGCTCCCGTTTCCACTGGTGTGCGAGAGGTCAAAGCGGGAAATAAAACTTCTGTCTCCATAATTCGTCCTGGACTAGGGACCTACTTGGTCTTACTTCATTCCTTACTTCACATCACAAGGGTGCAAATTAAGGTACGTACATACTTATTTGTATTTATTGGATGTTACTTCCCAAACGTGTTATGTTGTAATTTCTGATCTCCTAATAACGCATTGAAGCTGACATCCAGGACCCTTCACCCTGTCCAGAATTCAACTTAAATTTGTCTACCCAAATAAGTCAACTAAATTTGTCTAGTGTATCGTAAGTCACTTCTCCCTAACTTAAACCCTCACATGACGAGCAACTCTCAAGCAGAACAAGTGACATTTAAGGCAACCGCTTTCAACGAAAAACTCTTACCTGCCCTTCAATAAATAGCATTATATTCGGTAAGTATTTTTGGGCGATAGTCACATTCTGTTTGTATCGTATTGATATGTAATATCAATACGATTGTGTCAAAAAGTGAGTCATTCAAAGTTACTCGACAAAATTTATAGTAATTCAATTGTGAAGCCAATTTTAACTAAAAACCAACTGGCATTGTTATGAAGACAAACTATTAATTGCAAAAAAAATTGATTTATATAGCCGACTCTGAAATTAAATTGGGTGTAATAATATGGACCCGGACCCCAATAATAAGAAACCTTGGACCGTGGTTGTCAAACATCCCTCCGAAATGGACGAGTTTGCTAAAAAGAAACTGGGTCAAATGCAAGCTCAGTATTCAAAATGGGACTCGGACCCAAAATCGGCAGAGTTCTTCAAGTATGTATATAAATTATTTGCATTGGAAATATTTATGTACATTATTGCATTAAAGCAATCCGTAATATAGCAGATATACGATTGTGTTTCAAATTATCAATAACTAATTTTTTTCTTCATTAACAGCCAATTTAGGCTGTGCAGCATCGTCATTTGTGGCAACTGTAACCTTGACGAGTCGCAACTTGGGGGCGAGAAACTGAAACGATGCTCCCGTTGCAAAAGTATTGGATATTGTTCGCCTGCTTGTCAGAAGGCGCACTGGCCAAAACACCGACAAACTTGTGGCGTTCCCCTACTCTCCAAAGAAGATCAAGCTAAGCATAATGACATGATGATGAACGTCGGTAAAGAGTTAGCCAAACAGTTGGATTCTGTAACCAGCGAGAAGGAAGAGAAGAACAAATCAAACACTTCAAACAACGGGGCGAAAAAAGGGAAAATTGTCAAGTATGTGAAAGATTTTTACATAACTTGAAATATTTAACAATCTAATTTGTTATTTTTCATTATCCTCACAGTTCACCCAAACCAGTCCATCTGACAAAATGTGGGTCTTGTGGAAAGGACGAAGTTGAGCAGGAAGGGGGGCTGAAAAGATGTGCCCGCTGCAAAAGTATTCGATACTGCTCATTCAATTGTCAAAAGGAAGACTGGCCAAGACACAAAAAGGTCTGCATTGCAGCCCCGGTTGATCTGGGGGATGACTGTTCATGCACCCAATCACTGTCACCGAGGACGGCCTGAAGTTCCAGGAGATGGAGGGCCAACCTAAGCTGGAGAGAAAGAAGGGGTCAAATAAAAAATAGCTGAATAATCCGTCCACATGACCCGGAATTCGACACACAAAAACTATGAATTAATTAATTAATAACTTTTTTAAATTATCAATCACTATAATCACCGAAGCTGCACAATTTCAAAATCGAATATGTATGTACTCCGTCATGTATGATTTTCCTCCAATTTACGACCTGGTGAAGGTATCTGTAAAGCTTGTCAAGATTAAATTCACTTTCAAAAAACACATCCTCCAATGCCGTTGAATCTATGTAATTATATATGAATTAATTGTCCTCATATTTAAATTGCAATGTGAAGGTTGGTTACCTCCTTGTCAGTTTTCATTTTTCGTTGTGTCGTTATGTTTTTGTGTTGTATGCTTCCTGTTGTAATTTTCTTCACACTTACCAGTGCATACATTCGCATGTAAGAGAGTTTTCTGTTTTAGCTGCGTCGTTGAACTTATTATACATATGAAATGCATATGCATAAGTCACAAGTATTCTTGCTTTCTATGAAATTATTGAAATTTATTTATAAGTTATTGATTAATATTTGCTATGAAATAAATTAATGCGTAATGTTATTTAAAAATTAGGATTATTGAATTATGCATGGTGTTGTGCTGCACAACACCATTTGAAGTACGAACGATAGCGAATTAAATTTTCCACAAAACCATTATAATTTTTATTCTGATACTTATCGTTTACATACATATATAAATTTGTGTTTCGAAAGTATGAAAAGTTTTGCCTCTCATTCCTGACAATCATTCATGCTATATATGTACTTATGAGTAGCCGTCATCCAATCCTATTTATAAATATCCAAGTCTTTGTTTTACATTTTGAAGTAACATACCTCCAAATCGTCGAGCAATTGATGTGTCGTTAGTATAATTTATGTTGTCACAAGTAGAACAATTCTTAATGCAATACAGCTTTAAATAATCCTGGGAACAAGGCCTGTAATGAATAAAATGCACGTGCTCCTCGTCAAGATAAATTTGCTCTGTTCCAGAAACCACAACTGTTGGCCAACGAACTTCTTCTTCTTGGACTAATTTCGGGCGTAAGATTACCTTCGATCTGGACAATATTACGAATATGACGGTATTATTTTAGCTACATATACTAAAGTCATTCTCATTCATCACTCTTCACATTCAGGAAAAACTTACTTGTAAATAAAGTTGCCCGATGATGCCGTATTAGTACACGTCAGGATACGTAGCTTTTGTGACAATACAGACGAGGATGTCACGTCGTAATTATGTGGAAAATTCGAAAAGGAAAACCGAGAAGTTACAATTATTGCTGAAATTGGTTTTTGATTTAAAATTTCATAAGCAGAGAAAATTTCCTGAAATAGATTATGATATGAAGTAAAATCATTCAAGTATTTAGACCCAGGTACGATAAATTCATCCACGTCGGTTAACCCCACAAATTCTGCAATGCCTCTGTACCGGTAAATGCAGTCATTAATTTGCACGACTTGGCCGTAATATTTTATCAGTTTTGGATCGAATGGAAGTGTCCACTGCATAATCTTGATTTGATTTCCATAAGAAAATAACAATTTAGACGTTTCTGCCCCAATTGACAAGTTGTAAAAGGTGAAATGCTCAACTCCTAATATTTTATGGTATTCAATCCACTCTGCAAGTCCGATGGGATCTTCGTAATTGTACAGAGGCTGGATGCACATTCCCATTTTGTAAAGAACTGGACCTGTATTGTCTGGATACATTTCTTTGTTCACCTCAATTCTTGGTTGGTAGTAATCTCTGTTACTGCTAGTTTTCAGCAGGATATCGATCTTTGGTGTCTTTTCAAAACTTGAGCGTGCCCCTTCCAATGGGCAGCAATATATCCAGACGGGCCTTAAAAGTACATTGTTAAATATTTGTTTGTGTAGTATTTATTGTACAAACTAACCGAAACAGATTGCTTTTCATGACTTCTTGCTTGAATATTTGTACACTTCCTGAGCTATTTTGTAAATTGGTACCATCACTGGAGTTGATAAAAGTGCAGGAGACATTGGGATATTGAGTTAATGCTGCAACTCCTAAAATCTTGGTGCAATTGTCATTCCTAAACAAATAGGTTAATTTTAAAAACTGCAGGTATTTCCAATTACTTCCTGTATGCATATTGAAATCGATATCGATGGATGATTACCTTGCATAAAATGCTGAAAATGTGAATAACCCGTCTTATAGTTGTTGGAAATGTGGCTGAGAGATTTCCTCTTGCACCAAAAAGCTAAATTGATGCGTTTCTGGAGTCAACAAGATGTCATCCCCTGTTAAAATTAATAATGAATTGCTTTGACCTTTTAACAAAAGAACAAGAAAAGTGCCACTTATTATGGTGAATATGGAAAATAAGAACTTTCGAAAAATAGAGGATCGCATTTTACTTAATTTCTCGAATATGTATGCATAGGTAGAACAAATACTGGAAATATTTTTTAAATATAAGCAGACGTAAGTACATACGTCTACTGACGTTTTGTACAAATTTTATTGTCATTTGGACAACGAAATGCATAAATATTTAAAATTCCAAAGTTACAGATGTATGAATTATACATAAATGAATCATGATGTGAGGTTAGTTTTGCATATCTATCATGTATGTCAAATAATAACTGGGCTTCAGTCAAAAACTTGGAAATTCTTTGTTCATTTACAATGCTGTATAAGGTACAAGGTATTCACAAAATGTAATTATAATTTAAAAAGTTCATACGCAAATACACTGTGGAGATGTTCATAAATTACGTAGAGCAGCAGGCTGTCAGATGATATTTTTAATGTATGTGCATGTAAATGTTAAGGAATGAGAGGGGAAAGGGGTGGGGGCATAAAACCGAGATATCGAGATTTAGTTTTATTATTGCACATGAATTTTATGTTGTATATATTATAAATTCACGAAGAAACGAAAGCACTTTCTTTTACATATATTACGCAATTTCGAGAAATGTATCAATATGTATATGTAATCGAAAAAAAATCCAAAAACATTGTCTGTCTTAACTGTTATAAATATTTTATTGGAAGAATCTCGAATGATATTCTCACACGACATCCTCAGATGTCGTGTGATGACGCTTTACAAATTGTTTTCTAACGTCTGAATGTCAACACCTTGTATCATTACCGAAACCAGTTAGATGTTACCAAATCGTTCTAAGGATAAGTACGGTTTTAAAAGCTTGACTTTTTCACCAGCTTTATGCATTTGAGCGAACGGACTAATAGTCGAAGTTTACAGAGTCTGATCCCAACTCTAATTCGGACGATTTTGTTACATCTTCGTTTCATGTTTCGTATGTAAAATGTAATATCACAATTAACATACAATTCATTTGAGACCTTTTTTTATAATAATGAACACGTGTATAAAGCCCAAAACGCTGTATATTAATTTTATCGCAAGAGTAAATGCCAAGTAATATTTTTAAATCAGTTATTTACATGCAGAACCTGTCTTTGCAAGATGAAGTTTACACACAACTAAAAACCCTGTTTACCGCAGAAGTAATAAATTTTTATCCCTTCACGAATTTGCGAAAAGGCAACAATATGGTAAGATTACACATTGTGCAGAGCGGATTAAATGGTGGTGTTGTAAACTTTATCACGACGACGGCTTGTTCTCTGCAGAAGAAGTGTGTAATCTAAGCGCCGTTATAAAATGTTGACGAGAGAGGAGAATAAAATTCAATCGAAATCGTTAAACCATGAACAATGCGGTTTAGTCCAAATCCAAGATTTTGGCCGACACCACAAAACACGAGCATCAGTGGTTCAATGGTAGAATGGCCGCCTGCCACGCGGTCGATCCGGGTCCGATTCCCGGCTGATGCAGTTCAATTTTTGCTAATTTTACTTTTAATTTTGCAAGAATTCACTTTTTAGGCAGTCGCATTAATGCCAAGAGTCACGTCAAGAGAGAATTCTTGCTGAGTGAGACAAAAGAGCACTCTCCTCACTGTGAGGCAACATGAGATGGCCCTGATCGGATTCGCCCAAAACACATTGGAAATTTTTCTCCAACATTCCGCCGTTGAGGAATGCCTAGAAATTATACAAAAGATCTAGTTTCTCATGGTGAAAAATCTAAGAAATTGGGTGAATGCTTCTACGTTAAATAGATATGTACTTATGTATAATATGTTATGTATGCATGCATATTATACATACACTCTTAGCAAAATGGGGAGCCCACATGACTTAACCAAATTGTGATAATATTTTACCCCACATTGTGATAAATCTTCCCCACAATGTGTAAACGTGATACTAGACAGTTAGTTTGACAAGTTCCATCAGACCCATCAGTTTTGTCATTTTCTCCCAAAGTTCACCGTGTGCTAAATGTGTCACAACTTTCTTGTTAGTGAAAATGCATTTTTCTGCCTTAAATACTAAAGGTTTTTCAACTATTTAAAAAAATGTGCTATAAGTACATTCGAATAAGTCTTCAGTCAGGCATTTATACATGTATGTATTTTCATGCTCTTGCCATTGCAAATTTAACATAACAGAACAGCATCTACCCATAGTTTGTTTATGTATGAATTTTTGAGAACGTGAATCTTTGTATACTTTTTTGGCATTCTCCCGGAGATGAGAAGTGTGAGAACGGCGTTTCAGATCAGGGCCATCTCATATTGCCTCACAGTGAGGAGAGTGATCCTTTGTCTCACTCAGCAAGAATTCTCTCTTGACGTGACTCTTGGCATTAATGCGACTGCCTAAAAAGTGAATTCTTGCAAAATTAAAAGTAAAATTAGCAAAAATTGAACTGCATCAGCCGGGAATCGGACCCGGATCGACCGCGTGGCAGGCGGCCATTCTACCATTGAACCACTGATGCTCGTGTTTTGTGGTGTCGGCCAAAATCTTGGATTTGGACTAAACCGCATTGTTCATGGTTTAACGATTTCGATTGAACTTTATTCTCTGTCGTCAACATTTTATAACGGCGCTTAGATTACACACTTCTTCTGCAGAGAACAAGCCGTCGTCGTGATAAAGTTTTACAACACACCACCATTTAATTCGCTCTGCACAAAGTCTAATCTTACCATTGTTGCCTTTTCGCAAATTCGTGAAAGGATAAAAGAAGTAATTCCTGTAGTAAAGTTTTTTTTGTGACGGTTGACAGTATATGAAATTGAAGATGACGCTCTTCGAGTTGAGATTGGTTCTGCATTGAAAAATATTCCTTTTTGCTTTTATGCTATTTTGCTTAGTTGTATACATATGTAAGTATGCAAAACTATTCCTAACAATTAAATGCAGAATGCATGAATTTTTGCCTGCTTGATTTGTCAAGACCTTTATATCTCAAAATAAGCTTGCATGGGCAACTGGGCGCATGGGGACGTTTCAATCGATTTAAATCAAATCTGTCGGGAAGCATAACATATTATTGCCCATGTTTTGGGGCTGGATACTTGATAATAATCAGTCCAAAACAATCTCATAAATTACTTATTGTTTGGGGTGGAGGTTTGAGTCAATTAATCAACAAACTGTTTGACCAATTAAAAAAACAAATAGTTGCAACAACTCAACCCGACGATTGAGATATTTTCAAACTCGAATTTTCTCGTATGCGGATTTTACAGAATACTATTCTCTCATCGAAGTATTTCAATAAAAACCTCAATGGACCCCAAATTGCAAGATTTTAATGCGGGATCGATCTTGCTTGACGGCTGTGAAACCATTTCGTACCCAGTTCATTCACCTGATTCTGTGTGATTCCATAGTGCTTTGTAGAGGAAATGTAATTAAGGTCATTTAAATTTATCTGAACCCTTGTCAACTTTAGCCGACAGTCATGAACAATACAACAAAAAATACCAAGAAGCGCACCTACCCAATATCCATCTACAACCCGTTTGTTTTGCTTGAAAATATTGACGGTGCGTTTTAAATTTTATTTCTCCTACAATTTTAACTACAAATTAAAACCCTAGCTATGCAAAAATTATTAACATACTTTTTCTTCCAGTGGCGATGGCTAGAATGAAGAAATTTTCCAAATCCAAACACAAAATTGAGACGAAGCCTAAGTAACATTGATATTTTTAAGTTTGTTTTTAAAGATTTCTTCATAATTCTAAATATATTTAATTTGTTTGAAGGGAATACTTCCATGTTCACACCTTGGCTCTGATTGGTGAAGACCTTGGTACAGATTCCGAAGCAGAAGATGACCCAGTCTGGGCTCAGAAGCGTCGTAAAAATCGTGTAGAAGATTTTTTTGATTTAAACAGCGGCGAAAAAGAGTTGATAATCATGTGGAATTTATTTATCACACGTTATCGTACTAGGTATGTAAGATTTAATATTTTAATCCTTGCGTATTTTACATAATTTTTGTTTCAGATATGTCGGTAAATGTCACGTTTTGCAAGCTTGCAAGGACTTCGTTAAAGAATACGGAAGTGATATATTCAGCAAAAGACTCTATAACAATTTTATACTACATTTAACCAACCTTGGCGATCATAAAATATTGCCTGCTAAGCAAGTTGTTCGAGTAGTACGGAGTTTGAAGAAAAATTGTTTTATAGAAGATTAGATTAGTACATTTGTTAATTTATTAATTACATCCTTTGTTTTTACCATTTTGTTTTTGTTTAATTTTGTTTTTAGCATCATGTTCCATGCAATAGAGATTTAACGTGTATATAAAATTATTACTGTTGGGGACAAGTTATATTTTATTTTAAAAGAGTTGACTAGGGTTAAAATTAGGTTAGACATTCTTATAATGAGTTTATACGTTTTATTCTATTATATAATGAATTATAATGTTTCACAAATTTTGAATATTTTGATCTGGCCAAAATTACAAGGATGATAATGTTTAAAATTTTAATTTGTTTTAAAGTCCGACATTGACATGTTTATAGGAATATAATTTGATTAAATCTATCGCATGCAAGACAAATGAAGATGACCATGTCCGAATCCAGAATATTAATGCATTATTCCATTACTGCAAACAGTAAAGCATTTTAGGCAACGTGGTAAATTAAAGGCATACGAGAACGTTAAACTGTACAAATTGTACAGTACAATACAAACCCGATAAACCTGTGTCATGTCATATGTAGTAACTTTTCATTCATGCACAAACTTGTCATTGTTTGCCCTCTAAATTTCATGGAATACAAAATACAACCGGCAGCTGATGCCAATGGGTATGTTTCCCTGCTGATTTGAGTATACAAAGTTGTGTGTCAACTGGAGCGACAGTGGCGCACATACCCATCTGTGTATTATTTAGTTGCTAGGTGAGAAGTGGTGGCGCTCGGGTGCAACACCTACCAGTGTATTATTAGTTGGTGAATGTGCATAGACGGCGCTCATAGTGTGGCTACTATCGCTCGTCCAGTACTTCTAGATAGAATAGTATAGTTCTGTGGCTGATGCAAACATTGTAAACTTACTCTACCCCTCTTGATTCTTATACTTCATGCACTGTTCATTGTTCACTGTTAAAATTTTAATTTTAACTAATTTAGTTAACCTTAATAACCCTCCCGAATTGTAGAAGAAATAGAACCAAACCGTCAACTTCATAATAATGGAGGAGGAGACGGGTGGTGGTTTAAATCCACTGCTTGTTCCACTGGTAAGATATTTCGTGGTACTATATAAAATTTGTGTTTTTGGTATACAAATTATTTATTTTGTGAATTAAAAATTTGATTTCAATAAATTTACTTATGACCCACTATTTTCAGATTGCTCAGCAAGTATTTCTATATCTTGGACCAAGAGATGTGGCGAAATGTCGGGCCGTTTGTTCAACCTGGTGCTCAATTGCGACTCCAATGTTTATTTGTTCGCTTGACGAGATTCAAGTTAGATTTCGAGGAAATACTGAACATGGACCAAAGGAATTGGAGAGTAATTTCTTTGATTTATGTAATTCCAGATAATTGTACGACTGTTATTAATAATATCCTACTATTTTCTAGCTATTGGATCGACAGACCTTTCACAAATATTCAGCCATGGTCAGGGCACTGGAGAAGAACCTAAGCTGTCCCCTTTCTCCAAATATTGCGATTCAACAAAGTCAATTAAGTACACCAACTTCTCCATGGAAAATATCGACTTGACGGATCATGACGCGCACGAGTTCTTTCTCCGATTCGGACAAGATATTAAAATTCTGCGATTGCATATTGAGCCCCTGAAAATTCCAAGAACTGCAGACAATTCCAGTAGTGTAATATCTTATTTTTAAAACATTTCTACCCAGCAAAATCAGACGGATCCAAAAATTAAAAAATAATGCATGGTCATAACTTTCCAGGTCATATCTTCTCGCTACGTGGACAATGAGACGTTCAAAAGTATTTTGCTGGCCCGTTGCCCCAACCTCGTTAAACTTGACATTAGCAACCTTCCGTTGAGGGCGACCTACGGTGATGTGCTTGAACCTGGTGCGGAGATCGCGAATCATCCCAAAACTAATTTGCAACACCTTAGTTTGAATTGCCTCATCTGTACGCCAGGGTTTATTCGGTACTTGTGTCTTATATCGCCTAACCTCCACACCGTTGAGTTTCTGGAGGGACACAATCGTCATCTGAATCATCCCTGGCTTGACTATATCGAGACCTTATCGACGTCCCGCAGGTGAGGAACTTCCCTATGTACATATGCAAACCCTATAATACTAATGTTTTATTTTTTCGACAGACTTCCAGGAATTACCTCCCTCTCGATAAATCATCTTAACGATGGAAGGATTAGTAAATTTCTACTTTACAAGGACCAGATCCACCTCAAGAAATTAGTTGTACAAAGATTCAACCCCGTCAATGTAGAATTAGAGTTTTTCCAGCTACTTGAAACGCAATCCGGCACACTGCAGTATTTTGAAATTTTCTTTCATTCGGATGGCGACAATGGAGTGGGAATATCTCCAATCATTTTTCCACGTATGGAAAATTTGACAGATTTGGTGATCGGACTGGAACAAGGTTCGTCATTGGAATTGCCAGGTTTTAATGTAAGATTCAATATGTAAATTATCTAGATGAGTAATAGAAATAGAGTAAGCTAAATACGTAATTTAGTTTAATAGTATTTTGTTATATGTATATATGTAGATAGTCAACATGAGCATCGCCCCCAAGTTCCCATCCTTGAGGAGATGTATTTTACACGGTTATAAACTAGTCGAGCACATTAGTGCATTGTTTGGTCCAATGTCTAAGCCCCTCCTGACCTTGAGGGAGCTACAGTTGCCTCCCGGTTTGGACAAGGATATGATGAGAAAAGTGGCGAATCTTTTTCCCAACGTGGAAACTTTAGCGGTTGGATGTCAATCTGATGCCTCGTTCCAAAACGTGTTCAAGATGTCAAAACTGAAGTCATTGTTCATGTGTGTACAGCCTGGATACGTTAATCGAACAAAGTATTCATTAGAGTTTCGTGGATTAGACGCCCTCTTAACAGGATGCAGTTCTGAGGAGATAGCTGAAACTGCTGGTGACGATAAGGTTTCAATGAATCCTGCAATAACTGATTTGCAAGGTAAAATATTTATATAAAATAATGAACTTTGATCTGGACTGGAAAGATACACAAATTAAATGTTTTCTGTTCTTGGTAGATTTAAGAACATTGGTGATTCATGGTCGTCACAGGCTTGGCGTTGGGATGGGTTCAGATTGTGAGGTTCATGATAAAATAAGTGATAATTCCATTCGTGTCCTTCATAAACTGGGGAGACTGAGCAGCATTCACATTTTCGACTGCAAAGTAAGGGACGAATTAATCATGGCAATACTGATAAAAATGAGTTCCCATATGGCTGGGAGATGTTCTGTAATAATGGATTTCTCGGTTCCTATTAAAGGTGACAAGCGAGGAAGTATCATATCTAGCGACGAGACTAGACCTGAACAATAATTCTAATGTTGCCGGACTGGAGGTCCATCTTGGAGAGGAAATTGATGACAAATATACTCCTTGTCCGATGTGCAAAGTACATGGAATAAGCATCTAGAATGGTGACAAGTGACCAATATTATTGAAAAATGTGGTTAAAATAATGGTTTATAAATGGTTCTGTTTCACGGGGATAATTATGTTGGCGTTTTTATGAATATTGTCAGAGTTAAACAAACTTTGTACTGAAAAACGATACAAATTTACAAAGATACAAATTTTAAGGAATATGTTAGCAACTTTTGAATTTTGACACTGAAATAAATTTCTGTAATTGATAAAATACGAAAAATAGACAAATTCCGCAAGGTAACCTTTCAGAATTTCTAGGGCCACATTTTTCTCGGATGAACAGTAATTTGCATTTGTATGAATAGCTCGTTCTTTATAAGCTCATAAATAATACCTCGAGAACCACAAGCTTACAACACGTGGTAATAAGTTATTAATGGTTTTGAACAAAATTGTAATTTCATTTATATTATTATGTATATAAAGCTCGTTGGTTTTGAAGTAAATACATGATGTTGTTGTTAGGTGGGTAGCATGTTACTGTTTACAAAATTTAAGTTACACAATAATCGATAGTACTCGAATTTCAATTTGTTTATTCAATTCCATTTACATGGCGGCTTTGTATTAAATTTGATAGTATGATGATTTTACATATAATTCTATACAAACACTTGTATAGTAAACGCAAATATTAGGCGGTGTTACTACAGGGAAATGGTTCATTTTAACTGATAAATCGGACATTAAAATTAAAAATTCGCCTGGAAAAATAAGCTGTAGTCGATATTACATCGAAATATATATTTCAGTGTTACATAAAATTCAAAACATGATTCACATCTCTTCATTGCTAAAAATATATTTTATCCTGGTGTTCATTACTCGTCCTATTTGTGTAACTGCAAGTGACGCTGTAGAAACCTTAGGAAACGTATTGCTTTCATTGTCAGATTGCACAATACAAATTTTTATCTCTCCATCTCTAGTGACTAACCTGCACATCGAGGAAATACTTCATCAGTCCAAGAAATTTATGATATCACTCATATCGTATAAGACTTCAGAAATTATTCATCATCGAAGAACACCAAGCTTCAAGTACGACCGCTATTCCGCCGCGATTCATACGCTTTCTCGATATGGCAAGGAAGCCGTGGAAAATCTTTACTTGACCAACGCGCAAATTCACGCGTATTCAGTGAAACAGAACTGCCACGTTGTCGTTTATGATACGGGACCAACACTTGACGACAGTAAAGACAATGCATTGTCTGCTACAATATTTGTAATGGGTTTACTCCACGAAATTCCTCACTATCTGCTATTCACGACAAATACTGGAACTAGCGTGCAGTCAGTGGTCAATTTTGGATCAACTATTCTTCCCAAGTTATATACTACTTCTGTTATTTTGTTCATGTTAAGAAGCAAAATTAGTTCCCAAATGGAGACACATCATTTGTACACTTTCTGCCTGCAATGTGAGGAAAATGCTAAAATTTTGTCTTTATCGACTATGTCGGGGGAACTCATATCGAGACGACATATTGACGAACTTTGGAAAAATATGTACACCAATTTGCACAAAGTTGTATTTATTGAGCTCAAGTTTGGTCCAGAGACGCCTCCCAAATTTGACTGCTTCAAAAAGCTGGAAACCCCAATGGAAGAAAGTGTCTGCACCGTGCAAGTGTTGAACAAATGGCTAAATATGTCTGTCGACTTGAATGAAGGAAGTTACACGTTGGAAGCTTTCCACATAACCGAGGACAGCGTACCCTCAATTGCCAGCTCATATTCAGCCTATCCACGCCTTCCCGTCGCATGCTCGTCAGATCAGTTCAACTTTCACATCTTTTCAAAACCAGTGTCCGCCGGATATTTGGCCCTCGTGGCTCCATTTGATTTGTACATTTGGATTTTACTCGCCATTTTGGGCGAACTCCTTGTCCTTGTGTCCGTTACGGCGTTAAATGTCCAAAATTATGAGAAAAATCTCTACTCGACGTCATCTCTTTGGGTGATTGCTGTCGTGCTTGACCAATCTGCTCCTTATGGAATTGGAAAACCTATCCAACGGGATAAATACTTTGCTATAGTTATTTCTTGGATAACAGGTGTGCTACTGATTGGGAACTTGTACAAGGGGGACATGGTGTCCTACCTGGCATCCAATATTTTACCCAGGGTTCCAGAAAATTTGAATGATTTGGTTAATAGCAACCTACGGATTATGACATTGTCTCAAGCACTCGGTTCTGTTGAGGGTGGTCGCTTTGAATCGCATTCTCAACTACTAGAAGTCATATTGCCACGAGAATTTGCTTCTGCAATGGGATTTAAGGGCCCCCTGATGGGCTTATGGCACCCAAGAACAGATTTTGTCCGCCTTGACGAATCTCGAGGGGTGGTAGAATTAGTGAAAGCTATATCGACAGGTAGCCCCCTTACAACAGAGAAGACGGGAGAAATTCATTTTGATGAGCTAAACGAGTTTGCATTTATTGATCCAGAGGAAGAATTTTCCCCAGTGGCGAAATTGATCGAGTTGTTTTCCCCATTCAAATTATCACCACGATCGAAAGAAGCATTTTACATGGAACAAAAAAGTTGGAGGATACGAAGAGCATTTTTTGCAGGGAATTTGCATACAGGGTTATCCCGACTTGATCAAAGTGGAGTTTGGCAGCATTGGATTTTTAATAAGAAATTGTCACTTAAACGAAATTACATTGTGCAATATGATTCAAATCTTATGAAGGGATTAGTATTACAAATGGTGATGATGGAGTATCAGGGTCTCGTCAAGAAGGCTAAAGGCCCTGTCCCGATCCCTCTTCATGTGTTGAAAATCCCATTTTCAGTTTTGTTTGTCATGTCAAGTTTGGCCGGGTTAACATGTTTCGTCGAGATTGCGATTCAATATTACGAAACCGTTAAAAGAACATGCGTCCTATGGGCACAAAGTTGTATCTGGTATTGTAGAATAAGATTTATATGCATAAGTTAATCAAATGTATGTAGAGTACATGAACCTGTTTTGCGTACGAAGTTTTGAAAGAAAATTTCCAACCGTTTCGGGCTATTGGTTTCAAAATATCTTTGGTTATGATTGAAATATTTATGTATTACAATTGTAAAGAGCACAAAATCAATAAAACCATTTTTATAGTTCTATGCAATGTCAACAGGACCACCTAACAATAAAATTAAACTGTTACATACTTATCTACAGGCCACGCCACCCCAATCGGTCACTGACGAGTCATCAGTGACGACTTATGTACACATCTTAATGACGATCTTTATAAGACGTGTCCCATATTATAGGACACATCTTAAAGTCATCTTATGGAGATCTATTTTGCGGACATTGGGAGACCTTAAAGATATCAGTAAGGTGTGTGCATACGTCTCAATAGCCGATTGAGACTCTGGTAACGTTCCAAAAAATACTGATGCATACAAATACATTTTTTACCTTAATACTCGTATGTACATATGTATAATAAATATCTGTAAGATCAAATCCTAAGATTAAAATATCAATATAAATTCACCCCGTGTATTTAAAGTTAACTAATTGCGAAACAATTCCAATCTCCATTGTGCAATCTGTATCTCACTCATCATATGTACACATACCTATGAGTAATTATGCTTATTAATAAATATAATACCTTGGTTATTTGAATAATGTGACACAGATTCAAATACATTGTATCTACATATCCATTCTTATGCACTCATTTAGAATACATTAATTAGATAATATGTCGTATAATTCTATTCGTCACTTTGCAAGGAGTTTGATATGCAGTGAAAATATTAAGAAGGTGCTTCATTTACATATATGTAGGTGGAAATCATATGCATAAAGTTAAAAAAATTAAGCCCAGATTAAACATGTGGCAACAGAGGCCAGATGAATGACGTAGATGCATACATATCTACGTATATGTTAATATTATGAGATAAGTAAATGACATGAATTTTAATTTACTTCTCGTCCAACAACTTTATTTATAGTTTCACATTGATTTTGAACTGATTTGCATCATACATACGTACATACATATTTACATATGAAATCAAATTTTAGGAAATAAACTTGCCCAAGATGAAGTCCTCCTGTTCTCTCATCTTATTACTGACAGTGTCCTTAAAATTAGCATACTCTGATAAAATCTTAGTGTTATCCTTCATGTCGAGCAAATCGCATAAAATAACCTACATGCCCCTAATACAAGAACTAGCATCAAGAGGCCATCAAATAACGATCGTCACTCCAATCAAGTCCGAAAAAGATTTTCCAAATATTAAGGAGATTTTCACCCTGGAAAATGCTACGCCATGCACGATGAAGCAACACATGGACGGGAACAGTTTAAACGTCTTTGAAATGAAGGAGGCCGGTCAGACCATGAATCCATTCATGATGTTGGAGCAATTTGGTGACATTTGTCGCTCCACGTATGACCTCCCACAAGTTAAAGGGCTCCTAAAGGAAAAGTTTGACTTGGTTTTTGTGCAACCAATTTTCAACGAGTGTGCTTTAGGATTAGTTTACCGACTTCAGGCTCCACTCGTCCTCTTCAGTCCGGTTAGTGTTCCGAGTATACTCGTCAATAAACTAGGAGGATATTTTCCTTCGTCCTTTGTGGGAAATGTTTTTTTGGGTTACTCGGATGATATGAACTTTCTCGAAAGATTAGTTAACTTTGGGATGGACGTGTTACTTGAAGGGATGTTAAAGTTCTACTATGAACCTTACATAACGTCTGTGTACAGGGAGAAAATGGGAGAAGATGTGCCAAGTATTCCGATTATTATGAGAAACGCATCCCTATTATTAAGTAATGGACACTTTAGCATAAGCAGACCAAAACCGCTGCTTCCAGATGTGGTGGAAATTGGGGGACTTCATTCCAGCCCAGCTCAGGCTTTACCGAAGGTGCCACAACGCTGATTTAATTTAATTGCGGTATGTACAATACAAATTTACTTAATTTCTGGACAATTTCCAGGACCTGGCAGAATTCGTCTCAAGTAGTCAACAAGAAGGGTTTATCCTCTTTAGTATGGGATCCGCTTACAAAGGAGACATGATGTCTGACAAGAAACGCAACTTATTCCTCAACGTATTTTCGAAATTGAGACAAACCGTAATTTGGAAATGGGAAAGCGAAAAGATGGAAAATCTCCCGAAAAATGTTTTACTAAAGAAATGGTTGCCTCAACAAGGGCTCCTGGGCCATGAAAGTATAAAAATTTTCATCACTCATTGTGGGGCTGGGAGCTTGGAAGAAGCAATTTATCAGTGGGCACAACTAATTCGTGCATATTTTATTTATATTTGAATAGTTTGATTGACAATATTGTTTCGATTTGAAGTGGGGTTCCTCTCATCGCAATTCCATTATTTGGTGACCAAGGTACGAATGCGAAACAGGGGGAGGACCAAGGAATTTTGTACCGACTTGACTGGAATACTATGACGGAGGAAGATTTGATGAGGGCAATTCAACAGATTTTAAGCAATAGCAAGTAAGTTGGGATATTTGTTTTCTTACTAGCGATGGAATAAACGATATTTTTTAACGATTGCTTGTACATAGATACCGGGAGAATGTGGCAAAATTATCGAAAATATTCAAGGACCAACCAGACGATCCACTTAAGCGAGGTGTTTGGTGGATAGAATATGTTCTTCGCCACAAAGGTGGGTCGAATTTTATGTAGTGGATGATTATGAAATGATATGATGTAAAATTTAATGGTAAATGGTTAAATTTACTTTGTATCATCAAGGTGCACCACAATTGAGAAGCGCATCAAGAAATCTGAACTTTATCCAGTACCATTCCCTTGATGCTATATTCTTATATTGTGGAATAATATTCACCGTATTTTATTTATTACTTGTCGTCGTGAGGAAGTTGGGAAGAAAATGTGTCCGTAGGAATACGGCTGGTAAGAAAGATTTTGAAAAATCGAAGAAAAATCTATAAAATGCGGCAAAGTTTCATGTTATTTGGAAGACAATATTAATTATAAATATTTCATGATTCAATTCGGTATTCAAAAGCTGTAAATTCGCTTGATTAAAGACTGATGGATAATTAAATAAATACATTAATTAGTCGTATTCTTTCTTGCGATAAATTCTTTATTATTTACTTGTTATCATACTCAATTCATAACAATGTAAATTTATAATTCTATTCGACAATGATATAATCTAAAATTATCCAATTTTATCAGAATAATGATTTTACTTGGCAAAAATTAGCTCACTTAATTCTTGTACAATTCTTAATCTTTCTCGCGATAAGCTTATCCCTCCTTGCCTCCACCATTTCATCCCACAGGTCAGCAACGTTTGTCCCAAATCTATCCTTCCAAAATTGGGTTTCATTGTAGGCATTTTCTCGTGCTTCCCAGTTCAATATTTGGATTAAATCCATTCCCAGCTCGACCTCTTCTTCGTGACGCTTCATTTCCGAAGACTTTTCTTTGTTCTTAATAGAGAAAGGAGACCCAGTCGGCTGGCCGTATTTTTTTGCTACTCCACTTGTTCCCAAGATTCGGTTTGATGTATCGAAAGAAATTGTCCCCTTTTCCTGAGGCTTAAATTATTACAGATTTTTCAGATAATTATCTGTAGTACTTGCGTACGTCATTATACACATAGTATTTATATGATTGTAAACAAAGAAAAATTAGAAAATCTACCTACCCTGTCCACCAAATAGTAATCCCACATATTTCGATATGCCATACACAAGAAACGGTGGCTTAGAATACTTTTGAATTATACGAACCATCGCATTTATCAAGGATAAGAAATCAGTCTCCCTATGATGCTTAAAGTAGTAATCATTGGAAGCAAGAATTACGCCAAACTTTCCTCCCGGCTGGGAATGATTAATGCCAGAGCAGTTGGTAAAAATTACGTGGATTTCGGAAGCGGGCGTGAATCCAGGTGATTTCAGGTAAGTGGAAATGTTGGCGTAAAGTGATGACAGCTTCGTTTTGATATTGGTAACAAATTCTTGGAACCCTGGCGGTGCAGGGTCGTCTGGGTCGATGTTTTCGGTAGTGACTTGTATATTTACGGTAATATTAGCAGTTGATGGGGACACGAATGTTGTTGATGGTAGATCGGTGGAAGTGGTTGATGTCGAATTTAGGATAGAATCTAGGAATAGTGAACATATTTGTGAAATTATTATAATACAAAGTTTGAATATTTTAATGTGAATGTACGTGGTGTAACCTTCGTCAGTTTCCATTGCAAGCAAATTTCCAATGGAAAAGATGATTAAAAATATTACAAAATAAAATCTGGAAATTACTAAACGCTGCATGTTAAACCACTGTATCGACAAGCCAATATTGTAATTATATATATGCTCAGTACATGCAATTATACAATGATTGACTACAGCTGGTAACACCAGTGGATGAAATCATGATGAATATGTAAAGTATTAATAGCAATGAAATCTTCAAGTTCATGTATCACGCAAACAACTTTATTATCATACAAATAGACCATGCAATACACAAATAACCTTTGTGACGGAACCATTTCATTCATATGGCAAAATTTTAACAGAAATTTGCCCCATTTTATCCCGTATTAGCATCATACGTAAAACTATTATGCATACATCCCTTGTGCATTCATGTCCAAAAGACCATGTTTTTTTTTCAGCGTAATAAGATCATGCGTCTTTACTGGGTAAAGATCAGTGTTTTTTTATGTACTTCGGATTGCTTACATAAATCCCGGAGAAAGTCGAGGGTTATACATCTTCTCTCCCGGAACTAAGATGATTTTGTTGCCTTTATATGCTCTCCACCTGTGGCCAAAACAGGCTCATGGGAAAACACACAACTTTCTCTTTCACTCAACCACACAAACAATAAAGCGACTGGACCAGCGTGACGAGATACTTCATCTCAGAGGAAGAGCCTACAATATATCATAGGCTACTACGTGGAGGTGCATTTGTGCCAATTTTTTGCACCTCGTCGCCTCTTTCAATTCTTGCAATAATGATAATACGAGGGGGATTCCGAGGCTTTGTCTCCGGCTGGGCTGGAGTTGTCATGCTTTGTTTCATAGTTGGCATTGCTGGGGTAAGAGTTTGGATAAAAATACTTTCACTTGATTGTTCCAGGATTCTTTTTCATTAAAATTTTGCATTAATAAACATATTTCAGACATGTTTCTGTTGCTGGCTCTGTGCCGCATTGCAAATTCGAAAAAGGAAAGCACAATGTTTACGAGAGCTAAAACAGAAAGATGAAGAAAGAACGGATGGCGTGGGTGGGAATGAAATGTGCACTTTTGGTAAGACTTTGTAATAAATGGGTTTATAAATTGGTAACGAATAACAAGGTGAAATTGGGTATAAAATTCTGCAGACATGCCACCAAATGTGAATGGAGGAGCGGTAATTGATGTTCGAAGTGACGACGACATCTGTCCCTATCCTCCGGAAGGATTTAGGTCACCAATGCCCATGCCAAAAGTTTAAACCTTGTTCCTGATGAAACTCTTACATACTCATATCGATCTTAACGTCTTTCCCTGTCAAATGACATACACAACCCGTTTGATTCAAATAAACCCTGTGATATAATTTAGATAATCTTAACTTATTTATGCCTGGTTTATGTCTCACTTTTTACTCAAAGCTATTCCTATCCAGTCCAAGGGAAACAATACATTATACATAGGATAGGAATACCGTTAAGTAAAAAGTTGAGCATAAATTATGTACATTGAGTGAATGTGAATTTAATAACGTACCTAAGAAATTAACCAATCAATTTTAAAGATTACATTTTGACCCTTAATAAAAAACATTTTCCATTTTACTCAAAATTTGAATGTTAATTATTTATTAACTTGTCCGTCCGCAAGAGGAATTCAATAGCTCCCATGCTACGCATGGCGACCTAATAATCCGAAATCCGAATTTGAAAATTCGGAACGGATTTGCCCTACTCGTTGCAGCGACGCCAACACCTCGACAAGCAGATAAATTACAGGGAAAAGAAACATGAACATAGTCGAGCAGTTGCATATCGTTGGCAATAAAATGCTAATGATGTGCAAAAATTGTAGATAGCCCACTCTGCATGTTCTTCACAGGAGGGATGTGACTGACCTCACCATTAGCTTGAATCTTGCTCATGAAAGTAGTGTAGTTAGATAGATTTAACGGCAAAACGATTATCCCTTAAATTACGATTGACTTGACTCTAGTTCTAGTCGTAAAGTCATGTACGGGGATTTGTACTGGTCGATGTAGAACTTCGTCCAGAAGTACAACGACTTTGGCTGGAGTGTTAATAAAATGCAGGTTGTTGAAATAAGTAAACTACTGTCAGAAATATCCAAGCTTACTTTTGGAGGGATGACTTACGTAATATCATCTTTGTTCAGTTGTTCAATTATTATAATTACTTTAAAAATAGAGTTCACGGTCTTAGCAAACATTTGTGATTAGTGTCTGATCATTCGAGCTACAACTCTGAATAATAATGAGTGTTACGCTTACGAGCAAAGTCATGAACTCATTTACCGTTACCCATATTTATAATACCCAATGACTTTATTCTATGATAATTGTTGTAAATCGTACTACGAAAATTGATAGTCTGGAGTTAACCTATATTTAACCACACGCTTGGAATGTATCTACATGCATAGATATATATATATATTAATAAATATTCTAACTGCGTTACGTACTTATATGCGTATATAAATATGTATCCATAATAGCTTTCAAAGAAGACGGGAAGGCGGAGGGTATTTAAAACTGACCTAAGATCGTTGGACTGATGTACTGCCTGATCCTAAGTATAAATACATCTTTGTACATACATAAATTGAGTACACTCCTAACATGAGGCGCAAGTTGATCCTAGATATTATACCTCACCTTGTCGCCACACAGGTAGGAACCAAAACGCAGATTAACCTGCGTACCAAGGCGACATCAATTATTTTCTCAATTAAAGAGTTAGCTCGTGCTCGTAATTATTATAATTGCGCTACAGATAAATTAAACTGAAAACGCGATTGCTTAGGTGAAGCAAAATAAAGTGTGATGACAAAAAACGACATTCTCAGCGTTGTATTTCCATGCATATTTAGTTTTCTTGTTATCAGTCACCATAACCTTACTTAGGAAAAAGATGGTCATTTAATATTGTAGAAGGATATCTTGAGGACAAACTACAATAACAGAACAATGCGTTAGCTAGTAATTAAGGTGACAATTAAGTCATCGATAGTGGTAGATTATCTTTTCTTTTATCTGGATCAATGGAAATGCATAGGTACAAGTGTTATCATTGCTTACATTTATGTGTGTCTACCATACCGAATATAATAGCCCTAGTTTTATAAAATTCGAGTCACAAAGTTAATTGGGATAATTTCAATAGTTAAATTACGTAATTAAACACCGGCGATAACCCCCACTTGCAATTAAATCCAAACATAATCCAGTCTCAACTTTGGATTATTAGAAAATAAGCACCTATGCACATATTATCAACCTAAATTAAAATATGTATAAAATAAAGATCTTCATTCCACAAAGGGTGACATTTTCTTTCTCAGGAGCAATGCTGATGCATCGGTTTTCGTAGAAAAAGAAAGCCCTAAAATGTTGACCGAAACGGCGATCCAGTATTATTTGTGGATGTTGCAGTTTGGCTGTTACACACATCTGATTCGTAAGTTTACTGAGACAATTACTTAAATTTTCATGTTTTTTTTTAAAGTCCTAACCTCTCTCTCAGCATTCAGTTGGGACGAGCAGAAACGACACTTACGACAAAATAAGAGTAAATCAGGCATGGTCTCATTTTACCTCCATTTCGTCGTGATACTTGTGATGAACGTGTACTGCGCTGGACGACTAATTCAATCCCTTTCCAAAAATGGATCAGAATTTCCATTACTTATCAAAATCTTGAATTTAATTTGGACTGGAGCTTATACTTTCACTTCAATTCTTATGATGCAGTATCAAATTCTTGGGTAAAGTTACATATTTCAGTTTTTTATAATATTTTGCAACTAATATAACTTTTGCATAGTAAGGACATGATGCTTTTTGCCAACTCGATTCTGGACCAATTGGATTGGAAGCAACATGAAATATCTGCAAGATTTAGCAGTGCAAGGACATCTGGAACTTCATCTTCTGCCCAGCAACCAAATTCGGGCCTATCAAAGCAATTAATTACAGCCATGATTCTGCTTACCATTAACCCTCTCATTCACGCCTTAATAGTCCCCACGGCACCCTGCGCTCCCCAATTCTTGTCCTCAGTCCTCCTCCCGTGCAAATCCATTGGCGATTCTGACCATCCCCTTTACACTCAGATGCCCTTCATCATCCAAGAATATTACGGCATCACGGTCAAACTGTTCACATGGTCGTTCAACTGGTCCCTCACATTCCTGGGGCTGACTTGGATTCTGCGAGAAATAAAGACTACCCGAATGCAAGGGTTGCATCGATATCGAAATGTCGAAATCATCACCACAGCGCTGAACTCGAGCTTAAAATATTATCTGACCATTTTCCCCACCATTCTGTTCACCGTGTTGAGCCTTCTCCTGTTTGGTTGCGTTCGGTTGTGGCATCTCGACCCGAGGTCAAATCTGCTTTTTCCCACGTGTGGAATTCGATGTGGTTTTGAGTCAATGTCACCTCTTGCGTTGGCTGGGAGGGTGAACCAGGAGAGCAAATCGTTGCTGAGAAAGTGGAGAAAGCAGACGAGTGGGGGCAAATGGGCGGCTCGGTTTAAGAGGTCGTGCAGAAGTATTAAGTGCACGGCAGGCAGCATGTACACCTTTGAGGAGTCGATCCTCATTGTGAGTATTCATAACTTGAATCAACTCACGCTAAATTTTTTGGTGGCATTTCGTTAGTGCATAAGTGAAAAAATGGTGATTGCTAAATATCTAATATCCAGTTAAAATCGCAAATAAATATGTATACCTAGTTAGGTTTTATTACACACATTAATATTACAGCTTTAGTTATTTTTACGTGATAGACGATTATGTTTACACAAGTAAAATCGTATGGAAAGCAAAGGCATGTTTCATAAATAGAACTAAATAGCATGCAATAGTTTGTGTAACACAAGGGACGATATTTTTAGTTATCTTGGTATTTTAATAGGTATGTATTTCTTTATTTTGTTCGTTATTTATCTATTTCAAGTCTAGTTGTTTAAAATAAAACATGAGATGTACTTCATCTTTGAAAAACATGTTGCTTACATGTGTATTAGTGCTGCATTTGTATTGTCGGTGTTGCACTGTTCATTCATTCATTACACACCCCACATTAGACGTCACATTATACATTGTACCAGGCAGCAAAATATATGTACGAAATACTAATAATTATTTAAATAATTAATCTACAATAAAGATTGTAAATATTGGTTTAGCTATTAATTAAAAATTAACTTGCTTTAGTTAAATAAAGTTTTTTAAATAAACAATCAAAATCAACCAGCTCTCCGATAGACTGGAACATTAAGGTTTTTGGGTATTGTGACATGTCCAAAATTTGTACCGTATCTTTTACACCAAACGGAGATGTAGTCAATGTCCTTAACTGAGATGTCATTCGGCAACGCGAGCTCGATATCTTTGCCGTTGTATCCATTCAGCTTGTCCGACACGCCACGCTCATCTGGTATCTGCTTCCCATTCCGGCTAGGGCGACCCCTCCCCACCCAGAAATAACTATACATAAATAAATAAAATAAATATATATGAAATATGTATTTATGACACAAATAAAGAAAATAAATATGTATGAATACACGTCAGGGGCAGATCCGTCGTAATGGAAGTTCTTAATGCGCACAGTATGCGTGTCAACGATGGTAACATCACCGGAAGAAACGCGATGTGCAGTGCCTCGAAATCCGGGTATCGTCACAGCATTTTGTCCAGTAACGGTTTTGTCGAGCAGGCAGAGGGACACTACTACCCCGAGAAGCACAAGATAATATGTCATTTTGTCAACGGATAAGGTGACACTGATGAATAATGTGTTCCTTGTCACCTTTTTATAGTGACAGGTGAGATAATGATGACATAGAGTTTGTAGAGTCATGTACTTTAATGATTTTAATGAATTGTTTACTTCCTGTATGAATTTGGAGTGGAATTGATTGAGGTCGAGTGCATTTTTTGCATGCAACTTCGCATTGCAATGCGTGAGTATAAGAAATTGATTTGCAAATATTTATAAATTAAGAAACACTTATGTAATAAATGGGCATTGATAGGCAGCGATCATAACATGGGTATTGGGTAAGGAGCAAGTATGATGTTGGTTTGGATATGTAAATATCTAATTTATTATACGAAATGCATATTAGTGCAGTAATACTAAGTCAGTCGTATGTTCTGGTTTAAATTAATTTACTATGAACTAAATATTATTGATTCCTCTTGATTTAATTCCTAAACAATCGAGGAAAAACATTGGTAAAGCATTAAAAATTACACATTTCGTAGCTCTGCATCCCTAAACCTCAGTTGAGACAGGATCCGTACTTTTGTAATGAGAAATTGTTCTCCAAATACATATGTATATTCTAAGCACCTATCTAAATATGCATGTGCATTCAGCAGTCCATTACGTAAATATGCATGTATGCATGTATAGGACAAATGAGTCTGGTTTTATGCAATATTTTTTATTAGAAACTGAAATAGGTAGGACATATGTACAAGCAGACGACACATATCAAGTACATACGTCATGTAGATAATATTCATACAAACATGCTTAGTGCATAAGTACATATCTAGAATTTAAAAAAAGAGCTGCCCAAATATCTAGTTTTGAGTAGCTTCGAAACTTGGAAAGCTAGTGGCTTGGAAAGTATTTATGTTTCCCTTGAATAACCTTTATGTATTTATATAGTCAGTAGTAAATAATTAAACAAAATTATAATAAAATTTTCTCTGTTCATAATTTAAATTTCAGATTATACACAAAGAAATCAGATTATGTACATAAATACATTTTTAATCCGATTACAAGTAACCTGCCCAGCGAGGGTAACACATAATAATCATTGGTAAACATTGGTAAAATTGAAAATCCAACCCATTCTATTTCTTTCTCGCGTACTCTCTCCACTCCTTTTGTCCGTCACTGACTCCCAATTTCTCTTTGCAATTTGGACAATAATGCGTCACGTCGTGGAAATGATGACCACTTTTTTGACACCAGGATTGACACCATAAAATGAAGGCGAAGAATGAGAACAACACTGCCCCCATCACCAAAACGGCCAGCCATTGTCCAGTCCTCCATGCGACAAATATCAAGGCCGGGATTACAGGCACGGTGACAATAATGCAGATACACGTTGTGCCAGTTGACCTGTCAGAAGACGCTGCTTCATTTTCTGTTATGACGAGTTCCGTCGTTATTGGGGTGTGGCAGTAAGGACATTGCGTTTCAATGGGGTTTCTTCCATTTTGTGAAATTTGTGACGTAATGCTCATAAAGAGAGAGACGTCTTCTTTGGAAAATGTGGGTGGGATGTTGGCGGACGGAACAATGGGTTCCATTTCCACAGTTTCCATTGTTTAGTATAATGCACGTAAGGCTAGCTGTCGAGTGACCTATGAAATCATTTGTGAATACGTCAAATGTATAACATTGTGTAACATTTTTAGAAAAGTGTTAAAATTGAGCTTACGTTTAAATGTTTGAATTTGTTTAAATTCCTGGACGAACTGTCTTCTTATGCAAACAGCAGATGGATGGATTTGTGTAATAAGTAAGCATTCAAACTCAGGCACCGATGTCAGCAATGTTTTCCTCGCTAAAATAACTATTTGTGGCTCAACATTGTTGTATTAAGGTGATCGATAATTCAAATGTAAAATTTATCACTAACTCGTGTATTTACTTATTTTAAAAATCGTAAAGATACAATTTATTGGGAATTTAAATAGTCTTCATTATCAAGATGATCCAAGTCAGGCTGGACATGGCCTTGAAATAATGTGCATTTATTTGTTGACTAGTTGCTAGACAAGAGAGATTTGTATGGGTTAGGAAAAAACTGCATGCACATGCAAAGTGTAGAAACCGGGTGCAGGAGTCGAGCGACAGAATGGGCAGATGCAAAGCAAGTGGAGCAAGGTCGAGTGTCGGGACGTAAAGATCCTAAAAGAAAGTCCGAGCTTTTTCATAACTCGCACTTTCTCTTCTCGAACCCGTTCATCCTTTCGCATTCTCTTTCTCTGAAGGTAAAATTTTATAAAAATTATATAAAAATATGAATGGCTTTACTTTGCAATACATCACCGGAGTTAAAAGCCGGAGTTAAAAGTTTACATGACTGTTACATAATTGAGTTCAGAATATGCTATAAATCGTGTGTTTGGTATGATATGGGCGCACATCCATGGGTATATCGAGCCAGTACAGCTAAAAGGTTTACAGATTATAAATATAAAATAATAATCTAAGGTGTTATTCAGTAATCGACAAAATATTTAGATAATTATTTTGAACAGAAAAATTATACAATTATAATTACAAATAATTGGTTGTTCTTAAGAGGGGTTTTCAATTGCAATATTATGAAGTACTAATAAACTAGTTAGATCTTTATTCATTGGAGTACATATCGCGTGTGCAGGGTAAGCATTATTTTCATTTTACATTATCAGTTAGAAAAAAACATTTATGTGCATATACATATACATACATATATCTAGCTAGTCTAGCTCTATTTTTCACACAAATGAGAAAGTATAAACTTTTCATCAAATGCAGAAAAAATCATTAGTTTCACTAATCCTACCCTACTACTTATTTAACAGAGCAATATGAAGCATGTACATAAGTACGTATCTACCTACTGGCATACTTTATCCAAAAAATTAAAAGTCTTTTTCCAGTTTAGACTGGAATGTAGGTTTGAGAAAGTATTTGTTACGTACTATCACCATTTAACGTTTAATGAATGAGTAATTCATTTATCGGTAGAACATTGACTTGGCTAAAGCATTTAAATTATTGATAATTTTAGCATAGGCTTAATGGTCTCTTGTTAGGTTAGTCTCAATAAAAATGGGCTATTTGCTAGCTTATGACTTGAACTGCTTCCAACTCCCACGTGCCTACAAACATTCCATTTAATTATTTCACACTACATGTATTCAAGTTAAATTTATAATTTCCAAAGGCTTGTGAAATTTAATGGGTTTCTTTACGTACTTAACTGAACACGATTGTATTATTTAAACATCCTCTATTCGATCTATATAAATATTTATGTATGGTCATTGGCTGCCACTCGTCTGGTTTCTGAGGTCCGATTACGTACATATATACCACAACCAGTGGAAAGGATTGTCCGAAAATTTCTCAATTTTCTTTCACAAATAGTTCGTCCTAGAAAATGTCAAAACTTCTCACTTTGTTTAAAAAGTATCTTCACGACTACAATGCAGCTCTTGTTGCTCTATTAAAGATATGTCTACTTCCGCACCCCGTCCCTTTCAACTTTACAAAAGACTCCAAAATTCTCAAGTCCAATTTAAGTAAAAAAATCTGCGCCTTTAAATTAAGTTTTGACATAATAAACTTTTCCCTGCACTTCTCCATCTTCTTAAAGTGGTTCTGGGACATGGGGTTTGGACCCTCATTTGGAATAGATAATCGAATCAAGACACAAGTACCGGTCTGGAAATTGATCATGATGGTTTATTTCTCCACCTGTTATGCAGTATTCATCTTGATCACGATTCAGGCAGGAATCGTTGCTTCTGAAGCAGCTCAGTTGATCAATTTCTGCATTGGAGCCAAGTTTACGAGTGCGTATTTGCTTGCATGAAAAACCATATGGTGTGATAAATTGATGGGAATTATAATTACAGAAAAAATTGACGCCATGGTGTTCCTGTTGGCTGATAGCATTTTCAGTGGGTGTTTCCTTACACCGATCGGATACATTGTGCTCAGCGTGGTGTACCCTTGCATGCCGCCCCTCTTGACCAGCTTAACGCAGGAGAGTTGTCGAGGCACGGGAAAACAGGTCCATATTGGAATACTTGGAAAAATTCTGGTCGGAATGATGGAAGGGTACACGTGGACCATTATCTGGAGCATGACATCGGTGATCATTTTCATGCTGCTAATTCATCCTGGACGAGTTCAGATCACAGTGTTGGACAAAATTAAAGGGTAACCTGTGAAATTACGTATGTAATTTGACACATTTAATTGAATGGAATTCCCATGCAATTTTTTTTAATTTTTAGCAAAATTGAAGCAGGGTTTCTTACGAGCATCAGCGAGTACAGACAGCTACAAATTGTGTCGACTTTGCAAAACGAAATCTTCAAATCACCAGCAATGCCTGTATATCTCGGAGGATCAATAACAGCAGAGGTGGCTTCTATTTACGCCCTGATAAGATCATCGCATGAGTTACCAGCACCGGTATTTGGTTTATTTTGCACCGTCGCAACGACATTTTCTATCTTTATCCAGGTTGGGCTTAAAGTAGTAGCGTATCCAAATCTTAGGTCCAATAAGTTGCGAGACACGTGGAAGTCGCAGATGAACAAGTGGCTCAAAATGTACTTGAGGAGTATCAAACCACTAAAGTTGTCAATGGGGGATGGTACTTTTTTTGATCAGTTGACTTCCCTGAAAATTTGGCAATTTGCAATTCAGCAGCTTATAACTCTCATGCTAATATAAACGCAGCCCTCGGAAATATTGGCGTCATTATTCGTCAGAGATGTGCATATATTTATGCATTTATTAAAAACGTGAGGTATTTTGAACAATGATGCCTTTTTTACTTGACACTAACAATAAGTGCAAATTTTTGGAGACCGACAGGTTTTGAGAAAGCCGAAATAATTCAGAAAATAGTCTGTAAGATGGCCTGACTATCAACTATGGTGAATTTATACCATTATTTATTATTGTACTCATTTAAAATTATGCAAGCGTACTAGTGTTGAAACTATACGATATTTAGATTATTTTGCGAACATTCCGATTCAGTCTTGATCGATTCTCTCAACAAATGTATGCATGCATGTACCTAAGTGGCCTCATGCGAATGGATTAATCCTAAATAAATCAAATTGTCGCTTCATTCAATTTTACGTCGAAGTATTTAGCTAGATTATTCAGTCCATTTACAATTCTATGTATCTTATGTAACTTTGGCTTGCTTCCTACTTCTCTTGTGCTCAAGGAAAATTTCAATACACTTTATTTATAAACATTTTTAATGTTATATTTTCAATTTTGTACCTGTAATTTTGTATGTATTTAGATTTAAAATTTTGTTGCTATAAATTTTTCAGTAATCCAAGTCAATTAAAGAAATGAATTAAAGCTAATTAATAACGAAGACAAAACCCAATATTTATATAACTATCCGGTAATTATATGATGACATTGGTTTTCTTAGTCACAGATTTTATCAATTATAATTCATCGTGGATACATATTTACATACATACATATTTTTAATGAACCAAAAAATTGTAGTTTTAATATATAATTGAATATGATTATTGACGAAAAACTCCTTGATTTAAGTAATTCCAACATATCTAAGCATAGACAATAACGATAAGATTAATTTAAATATTTATAGTTGACTTGGATCTAATAGGGGCATCATATTGTTGTGTGCGTACACATATAGTTAGTATCCCATAAATCGTGATTGAAAAGTTTAGGTCAGGTGTCAACGAAATTCTCGCACATACGTAAACGTGAAAACCTTCAGTATTTTGCTCAATTCGAGTTGAAACATACTTTTATTATATTTTGAATCATGTATGCATACCTCAGTAACCCACTATTTTATTCAATTCACAGTGTGAATTTCACACCAAAGAGGAATTGAAAAATCTTGGAATGTCGGGAAACTCGATCAAAATCTTGTCTTCCTCCCGACGCAAAATATCTTGATACGACGACACCACAGGTCTCATTCCCCTTTGAGTACTGGTGCCACCGCCCGATGCAAGAAGAGTCTTAAGGCCACAAATGCTAACCTTGCTAGTTCCCAGTTTTATGTGAACTCTATGTGACCCTTCGATATTACTATTACTACTATTACTTCGATATTCGTAGTAGTTGGAAATAATGAACGAAGTCGGAATAAAGTGATGTTCCACATCATACAAGGCGGGGATGCTCGTAACAATCAAGTCGTCTCCATCCTTTGCGCAGGTATAATTGACACCAATGTTGGGGTGCTCGTCATGTACTTCAGTGCCATGCTCGAAATCCTGTGGGTCAAACTGATAGACGTGACCGTGAGGAATTTTTACCACTTGTGGTACTAAACCCCAAACCGGGTCGTTATTTCCTTCCACGTTCGTGAAAGAAATATGCATCGGCATTGTTCGTAAAATAATTTGAACGTCTCCTGCTCTCAATGTTGTGCCATTCACAATGATCACACGGTTCGGAAATATGTTAGAATGTCCTGGAAACTCAATCTTCAAGTCGGAACTATTTTCCACCTGAGCAATACTCGGGACATAATTCGAAATTCCAGTTTTGTTCTTTATCTGGGAAATGATATCGGTCAAGTCGATAACCTGGTTGCTATGGTTACTACCTGGTAACATTTGAGGATAAATGTGCACGTCTCCAAGTCCAGTAAAAATTACGTAGGTCGTACCGTTAAATCCGACAAGGTGAGACGTCACATTCTCCCGATTTGTCAATGTCGATAATTCCATGGGGTTTCCCGAATAGACAAAGTCACGAGCTGTCTCTATGATAAAACTGACGCCTAAATTCGTCGCCAGCTGGGAAATTGTAGGAATGAAAGTAGCTCGGATTACGTCGGAGGATAAAATTTCTTCCAAATTTCCAAAGCTAAATATTATTTCGGAATATTTCGTAATCAAAATTTGAAACCCATCCTCCGTCATAAATTCTGGTTTTGAGTAAAACATTTCCGTTTCATCAAAATCACTCAAAATGTGAGAATATTCCAAACCACTGGAATGCAATGTGTAAACTAAACGCGTAATGGTCTCATTTTGATCAGAAATAGAGATGGACTTTATGTCAGAAAGATTGAATTTGAGGTTGAAAATGTGGCGAGTATTGGCAAGTCGGGAGAATGAATCAATTTCTATGTCGAAGGTACAGGGCTCGATGAAATTGTAGTAGAAAATGGAGCTACGCAAATTTTTTACTTCTGGTTTGTGTCCATCGTCAATATGACCGTTAATTAAGTCTGAATTATAACCTGTGTCATTATACCCCGCGTTGTTGCTGGGTAATTGGCCGTCATCAATTTGGAAACTCACTCTCGTTCCGTTGCCAATTGTGACCCACAAATTATAATTGCAGTCCGGATCGCTCACCACTATCAAGTCTGCATTAGCAACGGACATTGTGTCACAGGCTACAAAGATTTTTTCAAAACTTGAGTCTCGTCCAGCAAACATTTTTACGTTTTTGATGCTTTTTACCACTTGAAGAGAATAACTTTCTTCCTCGTCATCCTTGTGGAGAATATTCAATGATGAAGAATTAATGCGCAAATCAATTTCCAAGTCGTAGCCAGGCCAAAACCCAGGCATTAACTGGAGCAGATTAGTTCCACCTTTTCCATCAATCTCGTCAATGAGGAGGGTGGACTCTATTAAGAATATATTGTCGTCTAAATCACCTCCAAATATTTTACCAACTTTCTCCTCAGTTTCTATGAGGAGGTCGTTAGTGGCTCCATTCAAACTGGTAATGTTTCCAGAAAAAAATGGTTTTGCAATTATTGTGGCGCTGATGAGAGAAACGGATGTGTCAATGGTTCCATTAGTTACTTGCAGGTTAAATGACAAATCTGCGAATAATTTACCATCACCATCGCTGATGAGCTGGAAATTTGGAGGAATAGCATTTTCAGATCCATTATTTAGGATGAGTCGAAACAATTTAGGAACAAAATTGGATTGTTGCATCACAAAATTATTTCCGCTGAAAGATACAGAGTTAACTTGTTGCTCCAGATCAATGTTAAGTTTAAAATTATGCGTGATATTATTGGAGCCAAGGACGTAAACTACGTCAAAACTCTCCAGGTCATTGACAACGTAGGTAAAATTTCCTCTTTCCGCATGATTCTCAACTTTGGTAAAATTATTGGTAACAATTGTGATATTTGGAGTACAGAAATTTTTCGGAATTTGGATAACGTCTGGATTTTCGAGAGAAAACCCACCCTCCAGTCGGACCAACTTTGTGTAACAGTCTGTAACGACAAGCTCAGACTTTTGCTTTCTCCCATTTACGATCTGGATTCCCTTCACAGATGCGACATCCTGGTCAAAGGTTAAAGTTTCTTTAGCCAAGTTAATCGTGACAAGGGTTGAATTTATTCTGTCATCTAAAATGAGCGAGTTTATTCCTCCGTAGCCATTAATTTGCCCGGAATATCTGGAATTCTCCAGTATAAAACTGTCATCGTACTTTCCCCCGTGCACTATTCTGAAGGAGTCACCCACCCGATGGATATTTTTGATGCCAATTGCACCCCATTTCTCCTTATTCGCAATGGTCTGACTCTCATCCTCAAATGCGTGCAGTAGCAGAACCTCTGCTGTTTTTAGGTTGAGTAACAAATTTGCTTCCGGTTTGTATGCATCCGAGACAAAAATTGGGGAAATCTGCGAATCTGATATATTCCCAAGATGAACGGAAAACTTTATAAAATTGCCTCTGCCCAAATCTAATTCGATTTCAACCGCATCCTGCCCAACTTTCACTTTGCTATCGAGAACTTTGTGGGGAGGAATTTTGATGGGGATAGAAAACTTGGTTTCGTTCGTCAGGCTAAAATCTCCTGAGAATTTAGTCAAATTCGAGGGTGACGTATGTACATAAATCTCAAAATTTCCAGGTCCTGTTTCAAAGAAATGTGTCCGAGTGTTTCCAGTGGCAATTATGGTGAGATTATGAGGGTACGGTTTGACTGTGGCATTGTTGGTAATAATAATTTCATCCGGGTCACTTTCACTCCCTCCATTTAGTGAGATTACTTTAAAACTATGCAAATCTAAGTCAACTCTGACCTGTTCTACCCCTCCAGCCCTGCCCTGCCAGACTTGAACATTTCGTGTACTAATTTTTCCCCGAGATGCTAAACTAATTGTGCCATTCTCACTAATTTTAACGAGACCTGAAATTTTCTCAGAGAAAGTGATCGTATTAGTTCCCATTGCACCGTCAATGCTACCGAAAATCTCGGAATCTTCTATAACGAAAATGTCATCTTTATCCTGCTCCGTTTCTGAAAGAGGAGACATAACCACGTTCCAATTTCCTTTTTGTATTCTAAATCTGTTTTCCACGAATGGAATTCCTTTCACCAGCCTCGGTCTGGGCGGTGGATTAAGAGGGGAAGTGGGCAGCAGATGGAATGCGATCAGATCTGAGTCAATTGTCTGGACCATCACGGTCTGTACAGTATTCTCGCCAATTGGAAAGTTAATGCTATCGTTGTCTAAAAATCTCCCAGTTACGTCAATTTGAGACCCAGCTATAACAATGGAATGACTGAGTGGTGTACTATATATCGAGGAAATTTCCTCAATGTTGTAATTCACGAGCATCACAATGGTCCCGATACTTCTACGGGTCAAGTCCAGTTTTAGGTTAGAGGTGAAATTAGCTTCTCCAAGCTCAGGCCCCATTTGGATAAATAGTTGACCTCTGTCCATCTCATATTTGATAAAAGTTGACCCACGCACGAACACGGTGAGGTCATAGACACACTCAGGGTTTCGTTTTATAATGATTTTATCTGGATGGGAAATATCCGACCCTCCATTTAAACTTAAGTGACGTAGTTCACAAAATGTAGTAATTTCTTCGACATCATTTTCTCGCCCAACGATTGAGTCAATATGTTCAAATGTGACGCCGCCCGTCACTTGACCCTTTCCGATGTAAAGCGTAGCAGTCGGATCCAACTCCTTCGTTAGGATGAGCGTATTTCTGCCTCCACCACCGAAAATTGTTCCAGAAAAAGAAGTGTTTTGCAAATAAAAAATGTCGTTGTCTTTCTCCGTCCCAGTAATCACCCAATTTTGGCCATCGCTTAGGTAGAACAAATTCCCCGTAAATGCCAGTCCTGTCACGTGTCTAACATCAGGAGGAGAAGATGACCCCAGCCAGAATAAGGCTTGTGTTTTAGAAGATTCGATATCTACCAAGAGTCGGAATGGATGGGTGCCGTTGTCCATGAAAAATGCGACAATGTTCCCCCTGTTCTGCAGGAACTTGTATCGCAATCAATTCTCAGATCAGCCCAACCTCCATGTCCAAGATGAAGAAGTATTGTTTTATTGTCTTTTTTTCCACTAATCTCAATGTCCTTCAAACCTCCGACATTCTCAACCTTGAGGACAATTTCGGCATCCTTTAAATAAGTTGGGATGTGCGCTTTGAGGTATGGTGTCCCCTCGTTGAGCAGAATAACCACTTTTCCCTCAGAGAAGGATGCGAATTCTACAAAAGTGTAACCATGAATTAAAATTGCTAAATCTAACTGGCCTTTGGAACAATGAGGAATAATTATCTGGTCCTCCTCCCCTCCACTATTTCGACCTCCCTGCCCCGCGATTAGTTTTGTGGTACAGGCGGCGTAGATTATTTCGACTTGATCCGTTCTGCCAATTATTCTCTCGACATTGAAAACTCCCAAATTCCCCGAGCTGAGGGTAACTTTTTGCCTGGGCAGGTGAACCGTAATTGGATTTCCAGCTGTACAGTTACTCGATAATATTAAAGAGTTCCCCACATCTTTTGAGCCGCCACCATCCAGTTTGCCTTCAACAGAAGAGCAGGGTCCGTCCAACATGAAGGTGTCCCCACCACCCCCCTCGAAAGTCTTGACCCCATCGCCCACCAAGAAAAGCGAGTCTCTCTTGTCCCCCTCATCCAAGAAAATTGCATCTTTACCTCTCTTCAAATCGTACAACATATACTTTCCCTCTCCGTTGGATCTCTCAACCCCAATGGCACCCTCACAGAGAAATCCTTTAGAAAAGTCCCGTCGGGAAAGTCGGTCACCTTGGAACGACAAACTTCCGGGTTTGCAAGAATACGAGAAATCAGAGGGAAGCAAATGATCAGGGGCCCATCGCTCCAAGAAAATGTATTGTTTAGACCGGAAATCGACCAAGTTATCAAGAACGTCATACCCATCAAACGAGTAACCAGGTTCGGGAGCACACTCGCAAAAATATTCTTGCAGTGTCCCAGAACCGAGGACTCTAAGATCGTTGGACTTGTATCTGCAGTAGAAGCCTTCCTGACACACGTTTCGAGGACCTTTGCCACAGGACCATCGCTGCCAATTCCACGAATTGACACGTACACCCATCACATAAGTATGTTTTCTCTCTTGAAGGTAACAATCTCCTTCCGGATTGAGGAGGGTTTGTGACGGGAAAACTTTGCCAATAAAGTCTGGATTTTCTTTCAACCACAAAACCGTCATGTTGACCACGATGTTATTTAAGTTCTTAGTTTTTATGAGGTCCTCCAAATATATGGATGTATCTGCACCACTCATATATCTTAATGCTTCGTCTACCTTTTCATAATCGAGAAGAGGAATCTCATCGTTTAACTGGTTTACATGATTTGCCGCTTTATAAACGGAGACAAATATTGTCGTCAAAATGTTAACGATCAACGCCACGGCTGAAAATACGGGAGCCAATGGGGGAAAAGCAATCGACAAAATTGCAGCCGTGGCCGCGACGGCGATGTCGATTGAGTCAGCGACAATGTCCGCGATGGCGTCGTTCTGCTCGTATTTCGTGGCGTTCGGATTGTTCAGTGCCTTCACGGAGCTGGTCAAACTGTAAATGCTAATTCCAATGTCGACTACAGCCCCAATAGGTCCGGTGACCTTGGCAATTATGGAGGACATTTTTGACCCTATTTTTACGGCAAGTTTAGTCCCCACCTTTTTAACTAGAACTGATCCAGCATTTTCTACGGCTTGAAGTCCCCCATCTAATCCCATCCGACCTCCCATTATTTCAAGTGAGGTGTAGTCCCCATGTCGAAGGGCCGATACGACCCCTTTTGCCAACATGACTTTGCCATAAACGCCTCCAAACTCACCAGTCGAAGAGGTGAACTTTGATGCCCGCCTGGCAAATCGACTCGAACTGACTCTTACCCGATCATAATTTGACATTGACTTTGGATCGATTTGGTCCGTGATGTGCGTTATGGATTTGGACAATGAGTTTTGATTGTTATGAATTTCTAGAATTTCCTGCTTAATCATCGCTTTCACCCTGCGGATCGACTCCTCATCGCCGATTAGCTTATCCTGGTTTTTACAGACAACTTCTACCACGGTCTCTTTCTCTTTTACGGACTCAAAGTCTAACTCGTCACGAAACGACTCTAAATATTTGGAAAGCTTTCGGCTGTCTATGGAAACTATTTGTTGATTTTCCTCGATAACTTGTGGCTTTGGAAATATACTTTCTTCTTCCTTCTTCTCGACTTTCACCGATTCATCGTGACCTTTATTTTTTACTAGTAAAATGCAGTTATGTTCTGACAGGGAGGCTGCTCTAACAGTTCTGGTGCTAGCAGTGCAAGCTATTGTAAGTTTGTTTAATTGGACTACGGGTGGATTCTGCTTTCTTTTTCCGGCAACTTTTGTATCTTCTTTTGCAACGATTAAACTTTCTACTTTATCCCAGCCTGGCAAGGATGACATTTGCTCATCTAACCCATGTGACTTGACTAAATCGTCAATTTCGCTGTTTTTTAACCAGCCTATCCCTTCGTTAGTCTTTAATAGTTTTTGCAGACCGGATTTGAAATTATTAAAATATTCTCCCAAGTACAATTTGTACTCGGAAATGAAAAGAGAAATCATACCCTTGAAATCCTTCGCTTTTAAAGAGTAGATAACTTTGGACATCCAATATCTGGCGTAGCGACGTCGCAATTCTTGATGGTTGGCGAGCACGTGCTGGGTAGGTGTCCTCCCCTTTGTTGGAATGACCTTGTTTTCCGACCAGGTCTCGTAAATTGTAGGAAAGTTGACTTCCCACAGATGACGATGATACGCCTCTCGTTGGGCCTCGGTTGGTTTCCCTTTTTCAAAGTCTGGATCAACTCCAGTGAAGCGATGCTCCCTAAAATACATGTAGTTTTACATTTCAAATTTAATATTGATCGATTTCTGGCATTTTAAATACTTACTTCAGCTTCAGCCCATTTTGCATCTCTTGTCTCCAGTCGTTCCTAAATTCGTCCATTCGCGTCTTTGCGTCAGCTACACTTCCACCTTTTAATTCTTTGATGGCATCAGGAATTCCGATCCCCCCCGTGGATGGGAAAAGGCGGTGTTTCTCATAAGGAATACTTAACACACCCATTTTACCTTTAAGCTTGTCATTGAACTCTTCCAAACCTCGGGACAGTTCCGCGTTGATGGAGGTAAGATGGACCACTTCATTTTGCTTATTTTCTAATTGTGCCAATTTTATGGGGTCAGGTTTTTTGGCAGGGTCAAGTTTGTCAATCACATCCTTCACCGCCTTTTCTCGACAGGATTTTAATGTTTTCAATTGGTCCTTCACATCTTTCTTTTCTTTAAGCAGCTTCTTGATTTTTGAAATTGTGTCGTCATATTCCTGCTTGATGGATTTCGGCCAGTCTTTCTTGTTCAATTTTGGTGGTGGTTTCGCACCGAAAATTTCTTTGTTTAAATTCTCAATTTCCGTCTCCAATTGTTTGACTTTATCACTGTTTTTACCAAATTCTGACTCGCCTAATTCTTTCTTGAGCCGGAGTCGCTCATCAATATCGGTTTTGAGGGGGGTCGGGAGATCCTTGACGTTTTCGAGGTATTCCATAATTGAGTAGTGTGGGGCGTGGTCGGACTCAATGAGTTCATCTCGGGAAACGACTGCCTGGAGGACGTCGTATCTCCCACCGTGTCCAAGAGCTGCGTTGAGAGACTCCTGGGCATCGGCTTTAATAGTGGCGTCCATATTGTTTACTTTTTCCTTGTCAAACGTTGTCCTGAATGCGGCAGCGTTTTTGTACTTGTCCAAAATTTTCGCTGCAGCTGGGGTGAGTTTCCTCTTCTTGGCCGGTGTGGCGGCACCCTGTCCTGCCCGCTTTGTCCCCAAAGGAAGCGGTGGTGACGAGTGACAGAGTTCCAAGATGACAAGAACGAGGAGGAGAATCCATATTGCTAATCGCAACAGGTTCGTCATCTTCCCTGGTAAGTTGCTAAATAAGTAAAGTAAATTTTGAAAATTTTACGTAAAAATTTTACTTGTAGATTATGTGTATGAAATCATACCTCTAATTAAGATTTGATTTAGACAGACTGCTATCTTGAGAAATATTTAATGCAGGGGACGTATTTGTGTCAACTCCTGGTGTGACAAACTAGTGACTGATAAAATTGCATGCTTGTGTTCTTTATAAATACTTTTTTTATAAATCCTGACGGCATAAATTGTGAATAATACTGCTTGGCATTGGATGCCTTAGGTCCAGTCAAAGTTATCCATATTGTTTCATGTTGGCAGCAGCAACAGAAACAACGCTGAGATTTAAAATTCTTGGTCACAAGATGATAAGATATGATATTTCGACATTTTTAGTCAATTTTCCGAGAAAATGTAAGCCTGGGATGATAAACCATGCTTATGCCTATGCGTATGGATGTAATCTACACAAGTACTTTAGCACATATGCAAAGGTTAACGAATATCTACATATCTTTCTTGGAAATTGTGTACTTCGCTACATGAACGTTAATCATAATCATCTCATTAATCGTTTTTCTTGGTAAAAGTATCCCCGAACACATGTCAAAGGACATCAGTTACTTATCATGATGACATCAATTTAATGCTACACTGTTGCCATGCAACTGCAAAATTACGTAACGAGTGCATTATTAACTACACAATTTATTTATGCATAACAGGAATTGTATCCTCTCCGTCTCTCACCAGCCAATATCTGGAAGAAATCTATCTAGTTCACTAATTTTAGCCCCCTCCCTCTCTTAATTTAAGTGTGCATATGCAAGAAGGATGGGTAATGAGTATTGGATCCGGATTTTCTTAAATAAAACTTGGAAGGGACAAAATTACAATTTTTTTTAAACATTAAGATACGTAGTCGTACATTTGTGCGACATTCACCGTCTGTATGACGACCAAAGAGACACACGCTCATCGCAAATCTCGACTAAACATGTATTTACATAGTCTCTATACAAGGTCATTAGAATGGATGAATTCACTGACTAAATACATAAAGAAGATGCATAACAGCTGCTATAATTATTGCTGACTATTACACTTCTGTATCTCCTAAAAGGCACTAACTAGTCAATAAATAAAGAAAAATGATACCTGTACTAATTAATTTTCTTCTTACGGCACGTGAAATCAGTGTGATTACTTGTACTCAGAATATAAGCAACTTTACCACCGAGGAAAGTCAGACAACGATAGATTTGGCATCCAATTATAATACTACTTGTCTCGAGTACACCAATATTTTCATCCCAAATAATGTAACATGTAAGCAATGCAGGATTGTAGTTTTTTTACTTTTGTAAAATAATTAATCCCCCATTTCATAATGTTCAACAGGTCCACCTCTAAATGAAACTGATCCTTATGCCAACGACCCTCCTCGAGATTCTAGACTTATATCGAGATCCATCAAGCCCTACAATGGAGAACCACCATCGAATCTACTACTTGAGAAATTTTATACCCCAAAGTATGTAGCAAATGCATATTACGACACTGCAGAGTTATGTATGTAGACACATATGAACATTTAATTGAAGTAACTCATTCTTTCATGTGCAGCGAGATATTCTACGTGCGCAACAATCTTCCCGTCCCATGCGTCCATGTTGGAAACTATAGTTTGGAAGTTGGTGGCATTAATCTGACCACGGTCCAACTGACGCTACGCCAACTGACCACACTTTTTTCCCCGACGACCATCTCGGCCGTACTGCAATGTGCTGGGAATCGAAGGAGTGAAATGAACCGAGTCAAACCCGTTTCTGGGACGAAATGGACCGGTGGTGCGATTGGAAATGCCAACTGGACTGGAACCAATTTACGGGATATCCTAGCATTGGCTGGATTTCAAAGAGGGAATTATTCACCTGATGTATTGAACACTCTCCACATTCAGGTAATATTCTTAATAATTGTGACTTGTCTGATTGGTAATTTTCTCGACGGAATATTATTTACTTACTTCTAACCCGTCCAGCTAACAGGGCTGGATCAAGACCCCAAGACTGGGACATATTACGGTGCTTCAATTCCAGTCAGTTACATCCTAGACGACAATTTCACACCGCTCGTTGCCTATGCCATGAATGGAAAAAGCCTCACACCAGACCACGGTTTTCCTGTGAGAGCAATCCTGCCCGGAATTGTGGGGGCGAGAAACGTTAAATGGCTACAAAAAATTACCCTTGCGACTCAAGAAGCGCAGACGATTTATCAGCTGGAGAAATATAAGGCGTTCTCACCCTCGATTACAAGTGCCACGGTGACACAAGAAGACTACAATAATACGGACCCAATCATGGATCTGCCAGTGACGTCTTATTTGGCTTCACATACGGATGGGCAAATTGTCGAAAATGGGACGATTTTAGTAGAAGGTAAGCACATAAACGTTCAATAAAAATATATGTAGAAGTTTGCAAAGGATTTTTGTTAGTGATGTTGTGTTTTTAATAAGGTTACGCGTACTCTGGCACAGGAAGGCACATTCAGAGAGTAGAATTATCACAGGATCTTGGCAGCAACTGGATTTTAGCGGAAGTGACGGAAAGAACCTCAAAGGTAGCACATTAAATTTGGTTTGGATAATAATTATAATGTAATATTTAATACGCTAGAAAATTTTTGTAACGATTATTTGGGTTACGTTCAGAAGTTGCGAAGGAACTGGTCGTGGGTGTTCTGGAAGCGTAATGTATCTTTATCAGTGGGACGGAATGAAATCTGGGTGAAAGCGGTCGACTCAGGGTACAACCAACAACCTCAAGAGATTAAGGACGTCTGGAATTTTGATGGTTATTTGAATGTAGCATATCATAAAGTTGTGCTTAATGCCAGTTAAAGACTGCAAGTTTCCTGTCAGTTAATGAGAAATAATTGAGGAAAAATTTTATGCAATAAAGTACAAAGTCGGGGATTTCCAATGAACATATATAGCGCTACTTTATTTTAAGATTGCCAATTTGACAAAACTAAGTGTCTCATTCTACATTGAATTGAATTTTTCTTACACTCCTCAAATGATCCTTTACTAAATAATATATAAGCTTATTGCATCTCTTTTTTGTTTTACTAAAGATGAGTACCGTACAAGGAGGTGATAATGCCAACTTTGATGGGCTGAAACTACCAGAAGCGAGCATTACGTTTCTTAGCTTTTTTGCCATAAAATCAGTCATATCCTCATCTGTACGTGTGCAAAAAAGCTAAGAAACGTAATGCTCGCTTCTGGTAGTTTCAGCCCGTCAAAGTGGTGTGGGTTTTGAAAATTTTGCAAAATATTTGGGACAAATTATAAAAAGACCAAGGAGACTGTCGTCATGCGACCCCGTGGTCAACAAAACTCTGCTGTTTTCATGAAAGTTAGTTTTTAGCCCGAGTCTGGGCTTATGGAACCCCCATGTCCGTCCGTTCGCCCGTCCGGCCCATCTACACGATAGAACCAAAACGGCCTAACCGATTGACTTGAAATTTTCACCATATGCATATTGGCCAAAACTTTGCAAAGTTAGGAATGGAGTTCGAAGATAGGCGAAATCGGTCAAGTGGTTGACCGGTGGGGGTCATCGGAGTGGTGGGGATTTGGGGAATTACGCACCAAAATTTCAAAATTGTCGTAGAAAGCTGAAATTTGGTACAGAGATTGCTAATGGCTTCTAATGAAAGAATTTGAAGTGAAATTTGAAAATTTTTCAACCGGATGTACCCTAGGGGTGACCCATACCGATTTTTCAAAATCGTCATATCGAGGTGAAATTTTGCATGGAACTTGCATATGGCTCTTAAGGGAAGAGTATAAATTGAAATTAGAAAATTTTTCATCCGGAGGGACCCTATGGGGTCACCTCCTCCGATTTTCAGAAATTAACTTGAAAAGCTGAAATTTGGAATAATGGTCCTTAGTGCTTTCTCATGAAATAATACGACGTAAGATATTAACAAAAAGTAACCAGAGTGGCAGTAGGGGGTAACCCCATGTTGATACAATCAGTATGGAATAAAAAAATAACTTAGGATTAGCATGTAGGAGGGTTGAATTTCGAAATTTTTGTAGGAGCGACCTCCACTGGTCATGGGAAATAGTCACGAGGAAGGGATGGCAATATTTTAATTAAAAATATTATTTTTAGAACTTGATTCAATACGAGGAATTTATACTACTGTTCATTCAAACTTAATATGCAGTACAAAATCTGAAAGGTTATCGAGAAAGGAGTCGAGAAATAACTTAAGATTAGAATTTAGGAGGGTTGAATTTCGAAATTTTATAGGAACAGCCTCCACTGCTCGTGGTATTTGGTGCCAAGTAATAATACCACCTGACTTTAGTTAATGCAAGAATTAGTGAAAAATAGTATAACATTCTGACAAACATGGGTTTACTAATCCATCCTGGTTCGGGCTTAGTAAAGCTGCACTGATAGGTTTTCAAAAAATACTTCATTTGTCTCTTTTTTAAATTGGTAAAAAATGAAATTTTTCATGTTCAATAAATATGACAGTTAGTGAGAATATTATGTCGGGTGTATGACAATTTGCGCCGAGAAAACGATAAGATAGATATAACCAGCGTCGTTGAATTAGAATTAATACAAATATTTTGGTGGAAATCGTCAGGTCGTAGGACAAAAATTTAGAAGCGGACTCTGATCCTGACTCGGGCTAAATGAAGTTCTTTGCATTTTTGTTGCCAACGGCGTTGTTATTTTTAATTGTTTAAAAATAATTTTTCGCTCAGGCCGTAAAAACCCCCTTGAACGGTACTCTCCTTTATAAACAATTATTTCAATTAATTGACAGATTTTAATTGAAGGATTGCATCATCTTAGGTATACATATGTACATACATACTTATTTACATTGAGAAGATTGTGTGTAATTACATATGTATGTGAGCAACGACGAGAAATATATATTGTTCTTCTGTTTAGTACTAAATAATGTTTTTTCCTCATGTTCGGTATATTGATTATATCCCTTTTTCAACCGTGAACGCAATAAATGAAGAAAATAAAATGAGGAAAATGAATACCAAAAAGTGAGACAAATTCTTTAATCCAATAATATCCATGTCGTGTGAAATGTTACTTTCACCAAGTTTTTGCTTCTGCTTCACAATGTGTTTCCTAATTGTCCATCCACTTTCAGATTTAACCCACAAATCAAACAATAAGCCCGACTCAACAATTCTTTGATATGCTCTCATCCCATGATATCTAAATTCAATCGGAAATACAAAATAAGTTGGCACCGTTCCCCCATAATCTAACCCGAAGCAACGCATTCGATCATCCCCTCTGAAATTTTGAACAGTATTTTCAAGTTTTTGTACAACCATGTCCCTAGAAGTTAAATCTGTGTAGTACGAGTAATGTCCTGCCCGGTTTCCGTCAGCGATGAATTTTTCCCTAGTAGTATTTTGAAACTGGGCTTGTGTAAAGTCCATGAAAATTTGATGTTCCAAATTAATTCCTAAACGTGCAAATTCTAGTTGTCCTTCAATGTACAATAGTTTGAAGATGCTCTGTCCCCTGATATGAATGATCTGGTAGGACGCGTTTACAAAATCTTGTAAAGATGCAAAGGTTGATGCTGAATACGGTGCGATAATGCTCCCTTCGATAAAAGTAGAGTACACAACACACAAAATGATGCATGAAAAGACAAATAATAGCTCCGGAATTGTCCCAACTTGTTCCGATTGTCCAAATAAATGGGAAATTTTGATGAAAATTTTACAAAAATAAAATTGTGCACTTGTCGCACCGACGAGAGGGCAAAGTAGAAATGCGACTATGCAACAGTACCACACAGAAGGACGAAAAGGTAGCAGCCAGGCAAATATTGTAACTGGGAAGCGTTCCCGAAATCTGCAATAGGCGATAAAATTGTAGCGTGAACCACTAAATCCCAGCAGATTTGGAGGTACGATTATTTTAGATGTCGCAGAATCGAATAATTCCGCCACCCTGGTTTCTACGGAAATTCGCAGTTTTTGCCTGACCCAGGTTTTGTGATCAATCGTGAATTTGGCCGTAAAGTTGAGGTATTTTTCAAACAAAAGTATTATTTCAGCATCCGCCGTGCATCTGGTTGCTATAAATGTCGAGCTTTGACTTTGCGAACCGAGTTTGGCTGCGGTTGAGAACGTCTCACAAGGTGTTCTCACCCAAACGAATTTTGTCCAGACATGGGCACCAAAAAAGTTGAGGTTGAGTTTCCTGACAAAGTCGGGTTGCAAGAAGTCTCTGAAGTTCTTGTGGTGAGGTATTTCAAGATGTAGCCAAGTTTGACCCAGCTTGCTGTAGTACTTAACATTGGAATGGTTGTTTTCGCAAATTCTAATAATTTGTCCCAAAAAATATTCCATATTTGCGATATTTGAAAAATTACAAGCTGCAATAATTGTAAGTGAACTGGTGGTGTCAAAAGTCGCCAAAGATAGTTGAGAATTGTTTTTGAATGAAATGTCAGGATTTATTAGAGATATGAAGCACAAAAATGAATGTTTCATTACATAGCGCATATTGTATGAAGATTGGAACAGATTATGAGATATGGAGTCAATTGTCCACGTTTGTTGTGGGTTGTGGTGGAAATTGATTAGCAATTTATGCAGAACAGTGTTGCCTTGTTCAGATTGCAAAGGTCGATTTGATTTAATAGCTACAGTACACGTTTCAAAGCCTTGGATAAATTGCATGCAGATAAATAGGGAAATATAATTGTGGATACGATGCATAATACAAAGCTAGAAATACGCAGCTTCTTAATGCAGGTGTCAAGAAGTAACTATTTCTAAAATTTATGTATGAGTATATATATATTTGTATGTGCTTAATGACCTCTAAAAAATTACAATGTCTTAAAAATGCGCAATATCTATGGATTATCATGAGCTAAATATTCAAACATATTATAGCTCCTTAAAGTGCACTTGGTTTTGATATCCTGACAGCTCCAACATCGGAGTGTAGAAATATGTAAATAAGTATGCATCTTATTCTGATATGGCATATTTGACAGGTACGACTTATTCGTATGTTACACTTATGCTCAAATATTTACAAGAGTACATGACGTTGACAACCCAAAATATTTATACAAATCTATGGATAAATACATAATTACTGATGCCGAATTTATTGAAATCTCCAACGAACATGATCCGCTTTGCAAGAAATAAATTTTATTTTAGCTGATTATATGTAGAATATGAATAAACAAAATTGGAAAGCAAAAATATATGTATTTAAGATAGAACTCGCTGTAAACATTTGTGGTACATGATAATATCCGCCTTTAGAGATGCCCAAGCTTTCTTAATGTGACAAAATTTCCCTGTAAGTAGTAAAATATAAATTACTTGGAGAAACTGACAGCATTAATTCAAACATGAAAGTCACTTACAAGAACGACTGCGGCGAAAACCCCCCAAAGGAGAATGTGATTATACAAATCGGATGACTTTCTCCTCTCCTCGGTAAACTTTTGTAGCTGTCGCCCCTACGGAAATTGGTTTCAGGAGAAGTTAATTACTTGAAAACACGAATGGACAACTCAACAACTCACCAAAAAAAGGACTTGACGATGGTAGCGATGCAGCTCCAGTTGCAAGTTGGCGATGCGTTTGTCCCCGTTTTGTTGAACTTGGTGAAGTTGTGACCTCAATGAGTTGAGCTCTTGCTCAATCGCCAATCGATTTGCCACCTCCTTAATATTTCTGAAAATAATAAGAGCAATGTGTATTTTGCTTGCAGTTTTAAGGTTTAAATGATAATAAATTAAATTGACTTACTGGTCGTCGATTTTATCCCAATCACCCATCCTGCCAAATGTCTGAGACTTAACGTAGTATCCGCTTGGCTGGGTAACTTTATATTGGTAATAATTAATCTGGTAAATTTATTGCAGTTTAATCACAAAAAACATAAACGGCCAATTTATCGTGTAAGGACAATTTGATCCTACTCCAAGTTAAGTAAATCAGGTGATCCAGTCATGATTTCACATGATCATTAGAATTTTCATTTATACGCTAAAAATTCCTTATTAATGCAGATCACGATCACAATAGCTTAATTCTGTGGGACATTGCTGTTGTGCATTAGTTAAGTATGCACATAGTAAAAATTGGAATGATACGTATGTATGGAATTGTATTTAATGCCTCTAAGGATAAGATATGTACATACATACGTTACAACTTGAGTCATACTCTTCTACTTTTATGTGTTAGTGGGGACAAGGTCTGGCGTCTTGCCATTGCATCACACCACCAGATGCACACCGACCTACATTCATAAAGACAAGAAAAAAATGTTCGGAATTGACTCGGACTCCTCATTGATTGATGAATAGTTCAGTTAATATGTGCTTTTCATATATTTATTCATGGAAGAAATCTACAAAAATAGAATTCTTGACGTCAACGGTATCATAATGGACGCTATTGTTAACCCGACTTAAAATTTGTCATCATTGTTATCAAAAAATCGATGTTCGCGTATTAGTAAGCCATTTAGCTGACGAAGAACAATGTGGCCTTTGAAAAAGACAAATCATCTTAACCCAATTTTTGCATTCTGGTGTCTGGATGAAATGACGAAATTGTAGAAGAAATTATTGGGCGATGCAGCAATCCTCGTGGGTAATTAGATTGTATGCATCTCATCTCAGCGTTCACGATAATTTTCTGATATACACTGGTTTCCTAATTACGGGTGTACTAATGATGCGCTAATTACTTGTGAGTCATATGTATTGACAATGGTCAATTTCACTAATTTGAGTGATAATATTGAATAAAGTCTTGTGCGGTCAGTAGTGCAGTCTGCTTTTGTCGCTTGGAATATATTTATTGAGAAATCAATCATGCATTTTACTGTTGTTTTAACCATTTTCATACATGCTGCATTTGGCGTTCCCATTTCACCAGGTAATATGAAATTCAATTTCTCTTGTTACTCGCATGCTAATATTTTAGATATAATTTCCCGAAATTTAGGACACTTCAACGCTCATGCAGATGACTTTGGTATGGCTGTTGTAGATATAGAAAAAGATGTGATTCTTTCTCCTGGAAAAGGTATGTAGCTAATTATCAATAACACTAAAATATGCATACGTAACTCATGATAAAATTGATCGTTAGGAGGGAACAACTTCAACGCAGAATCGGAAAACAATGCTCAAGCTGTTGTCACTGTGGGCGGTGCTGTTCATGGTTTCGCTACAAACAGGAGTTAGAAAATATTCCAGAAAATATTAAGAAATTTGTAGATTTTCGTAAATTTTAATAAATTATTTAGCTGGGGAAGAGTTTAACGCGGTGTCGAAGAAACAAGGGGTTTCTCAAGTTAGAGTAAACGGAGACCTGTTCATAGAAAATTTGGACCCTTCAGGTATTTAGCCATTATTGCATCTTTCTCAATAAATGATGACAATTTTTATAAACTTTATTAGTTAAGAAGTTTGATGCATCTTCCGAGTCACATGGTCAGTCCTTAGTACAGGTTGGAAATGTCGTTGTGGTTGCGGGAGCTCGTGGTAAGAATTCACGAATATTATTTTACTGAGACTTGCTCCCAATTATTAAATTCTTATCTATTTCAGGAGGAAAACATTTAAGGAGAGATGTGAAAGATGGAATCGGTAACGTCTATTTAACTAATAAAATCTCGTATGCTAAATAATGGCCACTTTATAGATCAAGCCCCCTGGGGAGCTGCGGCAGTCGCCGAGCAGAATTCGAAGCCATGGGAAACTATTAACCACGGCCCAGACGCTACTCCTGTGGGCGATTCTCCCATTTCGAGCCTTGTCCCTGATTCAAATCTTCATGTAGATCAGCCCACAGGGTCCAGCGTTAGCTCTGTCGAACCATCGCCAGTGACTGAAGTCTCACCAGCAGCCCCTCACGAAGAACATGTTCCAATCCCTGGATCTGAAAGTGAAACTCTGCCTCACCCGACTGAAGGCCAAAATCACTCATCTGTCCCAACAGGTACATAAGTACAAAGTTAAAATGAAAATGAAACACATGAAATTTGAGAGACTGCTTTTATTAGAAAACACGTCAGCCCCTACAACGTTCACGACAAGTGAGGCGTCAACATTTGAGACTTCGACAATTGTTCCAGTCGTTACCGACGCTCCAAAACCACACTCAACAGAAATTGTCCCAATCATTACAGACGCTCCTAAACCACGTCCAACGGAAATTGTGCCAGAGTCAACTACGCATTCGAATATCACCATAATCGATGAAAATCCGGTTCATGTCATTCATCCAAGTATGATTTTATTTTTCACGATATAAAATAAGCAATAATCAGTAAATATGTAAATATGTAAATATGTATGTATGTATGAAGTTTAATGCGTAAAACTTATTTCTAATCAGGTGGTGGATATCAGATTGGAAGTTTGAATGCTGTTTCAAAAGGTCAAGGTAGCAAATCCATGGTGCAGGTTAAGGGATTTGTCCAATATTAATATGATCATTGACTATCAAATAAGTCATTATCAACTAAAATTTTAACAAATTAATTCGAACTTCCTTCTCAATTATAAATAAAATATTTCGTTGTAAAAATTTTCCCAATCTGTTTAAATAAATTGCTGTGAATCATTGCGGCCAAATCCAAAACTTGATTTGAACGTTCTAGGGAGTTCCAACCCTGGCACCGATAACGTCCTCCTTCCCATAATGGGCGCATTCAAATGACACTCTTCAGCCCCGTCGTCGTAAAGTGGGACTGAAAAAATTCATAAAATTATAATTTTATATTTAACTTTGAAATTATCATTAATAAGATGTCGTCCGTGTTGACGAATAAACAAATTTTAGTATTTACACCTTTGTAAATAACTTACAATGCATCGACAAGTAGTTGGGGACACGATTCCTCAGTCTTTGACAGCAGCAATAAATCGCGAGTATTACGAATAAGATTATCAGTGTGGGTAGCATTATTCCAAGGAAAGTCGATATTTGCTGGATGTTTGAAGGATTCATATCCTCATTTGGAGACGACGCCAATCGATGATATAGATGTGGACAACCTTCTGGTTTAACGTATGATGGAGAATCGTCATCTGGAAATCTTTAATATGACAAACGTATGCAAATTAATTTTAAAAGTTGTATAGTAAGTTTTTATATGCAAACCCCACCCATCAGTATTTCTGAAAGATGCGTCATTTCCAATTTCGCACATTCTGTGTCACTTGTGAACGTATGAAAAAAGTAATTTTCTGACTCTCTGATCTCTGAGTACTGCACTAAACGCACTGAAACTTGCCTTGTATGTTGTACGAGAAGTAAACGCTGGATATTTTGTCTGCGTTGATTTCTAACTAGATCCTTGGCATTTTCGTTATTAGTCAAGATAGAAAGAATTGATGCACCAGAGACTTAAACGCTTTAAATGCCTTGCACAACTCATATTTTGTCGTACGAGATTTTAGCCATCTTTGCCCTATTACGACTTACTGATTCATGAGAAGTAAACAATGCACACAATTTACGAGTATTGTTTACTTCTTATTGTTATCAGCCCCAAAGTTGTCAAAGTCCAGTTGCTTCATTTCCATTCAGCTCCTTCCACAACCTACGACTTGACTTGTGGACTTAAGTTAGTAACAAGGAAATTTTATGTATATGCGTAGTTACAGAATATTGTCGCAACATTCTTTAGGTGATAAAATTGTTTATTTAATTGATAAAAATGCAAGTATTTACATACGTATTTATATTCATAAATATGAAGTTAAAATATATGCCTAAACATACATATGTACACACTTGTTACGAGTCTTGCCCTAGTTTGATGTTCATGTCAAATACTGACCGTGTAAGAATAATGACTCATTGGGATTTTGAGCTTTATTTATTTATCAAAGCAGACACTTAAAGGTCACAATTATAAGTATATCACAATTATATTGGGCAATATGCGATGAATTTTCTATTGAAGAAAGCTATCGTTGTTTAAATCCTCCATTTCTGAGCTGAGCTTGTTTATGCCCAAGACGATTTAGTCTCAATCGTCAATTCAAAACAATAAATTGTGTTTCAGAAATTCAAGAAGTACTTGGGAACTAACTTTACGAACTTGCAGATGCGATCTTTATACTTAAAAATGCAATGATGAAGGTCATCAAGGGCGGAGACCCAAGATTTATCCCAGAATGCTTTTAATCGTCATCATCAATTATTTCAGAAATATGTACCTACTTTCACATTCAATCCGTACAAGTCGTGTATGTGAAGAAAGACGTTGTTTTACTTAATGATTGATTTCGTTTCAAATCGTCGCATGCAAATTTCGAAGAGAAAATCATTATCCATGTAATCTTACTTATTACTTTGCAAACTCTTAGCAGGATGTTTTGTTTATATTTTGCCAACCACAAATCCCCAAGAGGTGTAAATATTTATTATCTTTCTGCCCAAAATGATGTTCTCTTTTCCGCAAGCTCAGTTCATTTCAGCCATGCAAGTAAAAAAAACACTAACATCGTACAAATATACTATCTAATACCCAAACCATAAAGTACCAGACCTTCAGATGATTTTTAAGTTGTAATTAATTTTTTAAAAATTCAGGCTAATTCCCGTACTTGTGAACGTATTTGTGCAAAATGGAAGAATCTGTTTGCAACCGTTCCCTTAAAGGACTTGTTGTTGGCATAACCTTGATTCAACTAGTGAGTTCATAATACATACATAAAAAATATTTGTAGTTACATACATGCATATTTCCTTGTTTTTCTCTTATGCAGATCTGTTCAATAATTGGTGTAATTGTGGTTGTTGTCTATGGACTGGCTAAAATCGGAGGAAATTTATTTGGGAGTAAGAATGCTTCAAAAGTGGGGGAAGTTTATCAAATTGGCTATTTCCGATTGGGTGGTAAGAAATCGTGTCGGACAAAATCCGATACTCAAATCTACCCTTGACATTTTTAAATTAAACTTTCCTAGTTTTTCAGGAGGAGCGATAATTATCTTCCTCTTAATTTTCACAATTATATCGCTAATACTTGCGAAACTGTTGTATGCAGGAGTTCACAATGTACGCAATCTATATATTTTATTGCAACTCATAAATCAGTACAAAATTAAATAAAGATTATGTATGTCTTTCAAGGCTGAGAAGAAAAAATGTCTCATCTGGATCGTCGCAAATGTCATAATTCTCACCCTATTTGTAGCAATTATTCTAAACGTCTGGATTTGGATTGTCTCCAATCAGATGAAACTTCCCATTGTTATAGTTGTCCTGACCTTCATCCCACCCATTCCTGCCTATGGGATATTTCTCGTGTTCAAATTTTGGAGACAATTGAGCAATAATGGGGACATGGAGACTCAACGTAACTCTGGGGATGGTGAAAGCATGCTTTAATTATGTATATGCATTAAAAATTGAAATAAAATGCAAAATTAGTGGTAAGACTTTGATAAGCACTTATTTGGAGGGGGATTACTTGGGTAGCGTTGCAATTATTAAGCACCTTGTAACTTCTATGCAGAATGGCAGCATTTGATATTCAAGCATTTATTGGAAGGGGAATTATTTGGTTGGTATCACAAATACTAATTTACATCGTGTTTATACTACGTGATTCCAAACAAGAACACGATAAGTAATAATTCCGATTAGAATCTGGAATCATTGTCGGTTTTGGGAATGTAAGTGTTGCAGAGAATGAATGGATTGGGAGACCCGAGTGAGAATGAGTCTTTTTGTGAAGTACAATCCCCGTGTAACGGGTTTTCTGAAAGCAAATTGCAAACCCTAGGAACCCGCAAGCTTGCACTGAATCCGAGTTGGGAGTTAGCAACACCATTTGAATGGCCTGCGATCTTTACGCTTCTGCGTTCAATCAGTTGCTGTTGTTGCTTGCTGCTGGATGATTCTTCTTTGGATGGGCTTTTAATTTTTACTATTTTGTAAACAAGGCTATTACATATGTCGTTAAAGGCTTGATCCTAAGCTCACCTTGACGAACGTGTAAAATAAGAAGAAATCCACTTTATTAGTTATAAATACTGGTTTTTCATAAATTGCAAATGTATTTTACAAGATGCCATAACGTAACTTGCTGCGCATCTTTGTAAAGTATGTATTGTCCATTAAGCCCAGTTATTTATGTAGATACGTTGCCATTTAGACAAATAAAACGTTGTGAGGGTCAATTTCTTTTGAGTGCACTGCTATTTTTTAAGGACATTTATTAATCTGGTGCATTTGAGGCTTCAGAAATCTTAAACATGTACAATTGTATGATTTGCTTTACTCCGGACGTGACGCAAATAAAAGTAAAGTGGTGACACTTTTGTTAATCGTAATTTGAGCCAATATTAATTGTTGATTTACTGTGGTCATGTCATATCACTTGACATTGGAGTTGCCTGCATAAGTTCAATTTATTTTAAACTGGACACCGCATCAGAATTTATCAATTAAGACAATATGCTCTAATTCATGGAGTCGTATATATACGCAATCATCAATTTTAAACCTTGTCATAAATAACATTCTTTCTGGTGGGCAGGACAGTTTCGCAATGATGAAGCTCTTTGTTTTTCTTGTCGTAGCCGTTGCGGGTAAGTTTTTATGGAAATTCTCAAATAACTAAGCGTCTAATGAAAACGTCTTTATAAATGTAAACGTTTCTAGTCGTCGCGGGAAAAGAGAAGGAGGCGGAGAAGATTGACTCCCATGATGAAACCCTCTTCGCCGATCGCGACAGGCTGTTGGACAATCTCTTTGAGAATTATAAAAAGCGTAATTATCCAGACAAGACAACCGTCCAGTTTGGCATGTATCTCATCAACTTAGATTTGGTTAGTTGTTCTTCCTTCATAAAATGTGATTACTTAACTGAGATATGGCTATTGTACTGCAGGATCCAGAAAAAGATATGCTCAACTCGGACGCCTGGCTGAAGTTTACTTGGACAGATTCCCGATTAACTTGGGATCCGAGTGAGTATGGTGGGTTAAAAAATATGAGGGTTTCACCTGACCAGTTGTGGTTGCCGGATACGCTTTTGTTCAACGGGTTAGTTTATACTAACTTACTTTTACCAATAAATTCATACAAATTGCTAACCTAGGACGCTATTTACTAATGAAACATGTAGACCGTCAATGGAATGCAGAGCCACCAACGCGATTGTCTACCCCAATGGAAAAGTTCTATGGATTCCACCATGCCAGCTAAAAACACATTGCAATTTCACCACTGACACCAGCCAAGAGCAAACATGCATACTGAACTGGGGAAGCTGGACGTTCGATGCGTTAACGATGGGACTTGAATTTTTCGACGGGGTGAGATATAAATTTGAGATGATTACTAAATTCTTGATAGAATTTTCATATTTTTTTAAATTAAATTTGTATTTGCATTGCAGGAAGACAAGGTGGACACCTCTCACTTGGAATCACAAAAGTATGCAGTGACGAAGAATGAAGCCATCAGGGAGGAGAAAGTGTATCCCTGTTGTGTTGAACCTTATCTCAACCTCAAGTTTACTCTCGGAATTAATCGAGCTAAATAAGTAATTTGAATGTTTTACAATTCCATGTTAAGAAACAATATGATTTAATTCTGAATTAAAATTCCAATAGTTTAAGCGCATAAGTTCGCACGTACAAGTTGCACAAGTGTATTAAATTGTCTTGGGAATACTGTTTAATTAACAAAGCTTTATAAAATTGCATGTTTTGAATTTCCTCTTAAAATGAGACTGAGGTTGACGTTGTGCGAATTATCGTCTCCGGGTTGGATTTATCAAAACCATCGTTCCTCTAAGCAGGAAAACTACATCACTCCACATCAAATTTTGCTCACTGACGAGGAGACAACTGAACGGAGGTGGTGGGTTTGGTACTGCATTTGCGTTGCGCACATAGCGTTTAAGTAACAGGAGCTGCGCCACATGCATTTCATACCCAGCATTTTTCTATTTTTTCCACCATAAGCTCAAATGTCGGGGCAACCTGAGACATTTGGCGCTATATGTGGAACATATAGTATGTTGTCAGGCACTCTTATGGGAAATGTCGGGGGCTCGTACAAAAAAACGGTTGGGCGTAAAGAGATGCCGTAAAGTGCATTAGATGCCTCTCGAAAAGTTTTAAAATGACTTTTTTCTAATTCATGGTATCTTGAACCATTTTCAAGAAATTCAATAAAAACCGATTTTTCGGTTTCGAAATCATAAATGTTTCGCTGAATGAATTGGGTGCATAACACAAAGTTGTATGTAATAGCAAATATGTTCATAACCGCATTATCTATAATATTTACTCGAAAATTTTTTCGAAATAATGCTAGGTACAGGCGGTAAGTTCAAATTTCCGAAAAATTTTGCAATTTCGGCTACCAATTTCTCCACTGAGCTACAGCCTAGACGATACATTTTGGTAACCTAAACTAAACGGGATCGTATTGGGGAAGGTCCCGGCTAGTGCCCTCGACTGATTGACTTTTTCGAAATAAGCCTTGGTTTTTAAGATATGGCGCGATTTCTAAAATTAAAATCCATAACTCATATTTGGTATGAAAAAATAGAAATTTTCAGCGGTTTTGCCGCATAGCTTGTTATCTGGATGTTGAAGAGGTCAACTATAAAACCATACAATACAGCCAATGTACATATGTGGAATTAAACCGAATTACAAAAATAACTAACTGAACATTCTGGCAAAATATCTAACAAATGGACAATATTGATCACACAATTAATATTTTGGTGTTTATGCAAGATCTGTTAAGCGTAATTGTTATAGTCTTAAATCAATCACAAACCTGGACGAAATACAAAAGCTGACTCGGCAATTCCCTGGAATTCTCGAAACCCGATCGCAGGTTTTTGTGGGATTAAAGCAACCCGACTGTCTCTGCATTTATGAAAATTTGAATGTATCCAAGTATTTCAAATATTTTTTGGGTGCAACGTTTAATTATCTGAACCTATGTAAATTCGATTGTATTTATTTCAGACTTTGACTTTAACAATGTAAATATGTACGTAATAAAAATTATTTTAGTTGTTGGGAAGATATTTGGATATATCTAAGAACACACTCATCTAAATGTGAATGTGATTTAATAAACTGGAGGATGGAAATAAAATTTGCTGGTACAATTCCTGCTCTAAAAGTATCACTTTCATTCAGTAGAAATGTTAACTAATGTTCATCTTAATAAATATATGTATGTATGTATACTTACACGCGCATTTGAACATATACAATATACGAGTAAATAGATACATGCATGTAATCATGGAAGAAGATACTATATATGCAGAATTATTAATTAACCGGTTTCGAGGATTACGTTACATATGTAAAGGGTGTTAATAAAGTCCGATCCCATGCATTTTTTGGAGCGTGGTTGTTACAAATTCAGCTGGAACTTTTGAACCAGTGAAGTTATTTATTTCAAATTTTTACCATGGGAGGAACAACTAAACGTGTAAGTCATGAGCATCTTAGAGTTGAGATACAAACATTGCATCAGCAGGGGCTTAAACCTACAGAAATTGTGCAAAAATTGGGCTGCAGCCGCAGAACGGTTTGGAAATGGAAGAATAAAAATTTTGTCCACGACAAAAAGCGACCAGGGCGACCCAGAAAGGTGTCACCTACCACAAAAAGAATGATTAAAAACAGACTTTGCAAGAAAACCGGTAGTTCATTACGTAATTGAGCAAGGGAGTTAAATGACTCAAAACGCTATAAAGAGAAGAAGAAGCAAATTAACTGTGTGACCGTGCAAAAATTTGTGAAAACTACGAAGTGGGGTCACACAGCTTACAAACTAACCAAAAAAACCTCTCATGTCACAAAAATATATCGATGACCGTCTGAAATTTGAAGAACTCCTTCAGAAAAGTGCCCATTTGAGTGAAAAAAGACTTGGTGAAGAATTGCGCAGTCACATCCTTTGGACTGACGAATCTATTATTGAACTATATCCAAAATTGAACCAACAAAATGTTCGTTACAGGACAGAAAACAAATCGGATGTACCATCAAGAGCGATCCCAAAATTCGGGCTTAAAGTTATGGTAGCGGGTGGATTTTGTGCACGTTGCGTGACCCCTCTACATATCATACCAAAAGGCCAATCAGTCAATGCAAAGCATTATATGGAAAAAATATTACCTATCTATTTCGATAGCATGGGGAACAAGGAAATATTTCCGAATGAAAGAAAAATAGTTTTCATGCAGGATGGTGCTATAGCCCATACAGCAAAAGCGAGTTTGAGTCTCATCAAGACGCAAGTTTCAACGGTCTGGAGCAAGGGGGTGTGGGCCGCTAACGGCCCAGATTTGAATCCCCTGAAGAACCAGTGGTCCATACTTCAGGAAAATGTATACAAAGAGCCACAACCCCGGACGAGGGAAGAGCTAGTAAAAAAAGTTCAAGATGTATGGAATTCGATTTCCAGAGGCACATTGGAAAAATTAGCACAGAGCCTTAAACAAAGAGTTGAGGGCATGGTTAAAGTAAATGGTAACAAGACCAAATACTAAGGTAAATATGTCGAACATTTTTTGTAAGTATCACGGGTAGTTTTTTTTTATACTAGCCTTCACTTTTTTACAGGAAAAATGGGATCGGACTTTATTAACACCCTGTATATAGCAAAGAAGAAGTAGAAAACTATTACACAAATTACCCACGCACTGCTGCTCAGCCATGTATCCATATGTAGCCAAGAGGACGGATCGGCGGAATAAAAATAATATGCTCCAACGATCGCGATGACGAAACCGAAATGGATAGCTGCATTTGACAGAGGAATAAAAAGAAGAAGATCACACCGCCGCCACCACCAACCATACCAACCAATCCATTATTATTATAGCATAATTTTTTATTTCGACAAAAGTTTTAAGCTTGCCATTCTTTGTGTGATTGTCATTTGGTCCGACTTCTGAGAAATGGTTGGGGAGGAATTGGCCACAAAGTTAGTTGGCTGCTAATGTTGGGTCATACCAGAGAGACAGGAAGAGAGAGAGAAAGAAAGAAAGTAGGCAGAGTTTGACATGGTTCACTTGGCTTCATCTTCCAACGTTCGGTACGCGAGTGTGTGTGGTGGGTGGCTTGAATTGGCAGGTGATGGAGGATGCAAGAATTTTGTGTCAATTCTCCGCACCTAAAGTTTGCACTAATCCGGATTTTGGAATGTTGTAAAATTTCATAAAATCAAAACCACGTACCGCTGCGTGCCATCATCGTCGTCGTCATGCTTTCCTCGTGGTGGAAAAAGTCAGAAGAGAGTAAAAGTCGTTGTTGAATGTTGAAAGTTTTAGGAATTTTTACTTTACTTGGAATGAAGCGGAGCGTATTAAACTGAAGGATATTGCATTACATTACTGTTGGTGGATGTAATGTAATGTAATGGGTTGGATATAAGAGATAAAATAGGTCGTCCTCCTCGGCGTCTCTTTAGTCGCAGTTGTCTCCGCTCTAGCTAAATCGCATTACTTCTCTCCAGCACCACCACTCTGGCCTCGTGGTGCTTCACCGTATTTCCATCCACCAACAACTGCTCATTGACATCATTGCTGCAAAATAATCCGGGCGCAGTTAAATCTAATTTTAAAAATTACAATGCTCAAATTTATAATTTCCGAGAAACGACGACATACTTTGTAGATATTGTGGGACACAACACAAGGCAGAAGAAAGGAGTGAATGGGTTGTAAAGATGGAGAAAGGTGTAAATTTAAGCTGGAGAAAGTCAACTCAAGTTTCCCCAACAGCTGTGTTCTCGTTAGTTATTACCAGTTGTAAACATAATGGCACTCACCATACCGCCACCAGCCAGCCAGCCAGCCAGCCAGCCAGCCATGGAAGCACACATCAACCAAGAAACCATTCTCTCTTACCTCATTCCTTTCCCAGCCTTCCTTGCCTTCTACCTGCTGCTGCTGCTGGTGGCCATAGGAAACGTGACCCCCTCATAAAATTTTAATCCCACACTAAACACAAACTGCCCAAGTTTTAGAGTTTGGTATTAAAAATATTGACGAAATTGTCCAATAAGGCGGATGCGTAGGGGTCACTTTACATTGATACTTGGATAGTTTTTTTTAGTCGTGAGGATGCCCTTCAACCAACCACTCACTCGAACGTCCTGGGTGGTGGGGGTGTGATTTAGTGTGATAAAGTAACCAGCCGTCATAGAGTCCTCCAGCTGGAGAAAGCAAATAGTTTGTGTGTGCAGTGAGAGGAGAGCAGAGACCAAATACCAAACCTCCGAGTAGAGAGAGAGAGAGAGAGGAAGAGAAAGCTGGAGTTGAAGTGAGACCAGAAGAGATAAAAGGCGAGGGAGTCGTAGTAAGTGGGTAGTGTGGATGTGCATTCAGAGAGTGAAAGTCCTGCTGATGTGTTGTTATACTTATACCACGACCACCACGGGAAGAGGAAGGAAGAGGGTAAGAGTAGTATGGATGGTCGTAGTAGTGGTGCTGCTGGTGGTGGTGGTGGCAAGGCTAGAATTTTGTATAATATTGACTCAAAGAAAACAGTATCGATCTGGTCCTGCCGGTTTTCGGAGAGAGCAGGCGAAGAAGAAGAAGAAGGGCCAGCAGCAGCAGCATCAGGGCTGCGTTGAGCACATTCCTTCCTTTCTCTCAATGCGACAGACGGGATAATCGGTCCACCACCACGTTCACTACTTTCCTACAACCAACATTTCAAGATACATGACATACCAGAAGAGGAAGGAAAATATGCACAACTAAGTAATTGGAACTCGCATAAAAAATACGCTATTAAATATGCAGCAGAACAGAACAAGGTGCAACTGACTGCTGACTGAGAGAAACAAAGAAAAAGAAAAAATTCAATCTCAGCTTCATGTTGGTTTAACCCTGGTTTCGTTTATCTTTCCATCACGCAGCCATTGTTTTGACGGGCAGAGAGAGAAAGAGGAGTTCATCTGATCCAACACTACAGAAATGTGTAGAAGAGAACATGTTACTGTCCGCGGTAGTGGGCGAGTGGGTGTACGTAGGCAGAAGGTATCATTATCATTTCATTCCCGTTGTGTGCATAACCTAACTTTGGGAGGGTATCACCTTCCGGATGATCTCGTTGAATTCCACTTATCCATTCTCCAACCGGGTTAATAACTCTGTTAATAACTCCCAACTCGCATGAAATGAATACTCACAATGAGTACGTATATATTACTTTACGTATGTATATATTACAAATTTGATAACGTTGAGAGAGCAAAGTTGATGCTAAAATTACAGCTAAAACAAATTGTTAGATACAATAAATGCACTTTTCTTGAGGTGAACTTGACTATTTATGCACATGCATGTAAACATTTATAAAAAACACTTATGATCAATTTTTTACTTTTGAATTATAAAGACGCTAATAATTTTAAGTATATAAACCAATATTGCATATTATACCTGAAAGTCGTATTATTAGTTCTTATGTATCCCGTCTACAAATCAAATTCTTATTTGACACAGAGAATGAGTTCCGGTATCCTGAACAAAATGCAATAATAAAAATTAGACAAATATGTAGGGCATTAAATAAGGTTTGCATCAGTACATGCATGTGCATATGTGTATATTTAGCATGTAATACTGTACATACCTTCGGCTGGATATGGAATTATTCATGTTTCCTCTTATGACGGACAAGGGTGTACTTGCAGGAGAACGATTTGGGACACATGTTACACTTGAAGGCTTGATCTGGTAGAAAATCATTAATTAATGTTAAACGTATGTATAGCACTGTATGTACATATTTGAATATTTAAGTCTGCATACTATAATCACGGTTTTTGGTGCTATTTGACTTTGAACTTTTCGAGTACTGACAACTTCTTACAGAGGAAGAATTATGTATAACCCTTCCATAAATTCGCATGGGTTGTTCCGGAATTAATTTTGGCATACTCGTATGACCAGAAAGGAAATTATTGGGTTTGTTTTCCTCGTTGGGAGTATGGTTTTCTATTGGAATTTAAATAGTCAATTATGAGAAAATGAATGATAAAGTAAAAGTATTTGCACGTAACTTACTGTCAGCGTCCAATTGTAGAATTTCATTGTTTACGGTCTCAATTTCTTCAGCTTCGATTGCATTCGGTTCCTCGGAATTGCTCTCTTCATGAACCGGGATGGAATTATCGGGTTGAGCAGGATCATCTTTTATTAAAAAATTACCATTCACTCGAGTTGATTAAATTAGAATTATTTGTGCAAAAAAATTGTGTAAAGATTATTAAATCAACTAAAAAAATTAAACACAGCTAACTTGGAAGAGTGACAACTGCTTTCTTCTTGATAATGCTGATTATTCTTTTCATTCTCTCCCTGAGTAGGCTTTGCGAATTCAAAATTAATGTTTCATTTGCCTTGTGAATTTGATTTGCTCCTTTGTTCTGTTTTTTGATCGTCTTTTTCGTTTTTTGGATGTGTTGGTTTAATTTTTTGACTTCCTTGTTCATCTCCTCCGATTTGGCAATTTCCTCAGTAATTGATTTCTCTAGCTTGCTGAATAGCCGTTTTTCTACTGTTGCAATGTTTTCTGTAATTGATTTCTCTAGCTTGATACATTGGCGTTCTTCTACTGCTGCAATTTCGTGTGTAATTATGGTGCCAATCTGTCCCCACGAGCAATTGATTAGGTTTCGAGTTTCGTCAGTCTTTTGTATTATTTCTTGAGCCGACTTTTCCAAATTTGTTATTCGATGCTCTATGGATTTCACTGAATTTTCCAATTCTGTTATCCGATTGTTCGTTTCTCTCTCCAAATGCATTTCAGCTCGCAACTTATTCAGGATTGATTTCTCAATCGATGGAATGTAATTCTGAACCACTTGGCTCAACATGATTTCGATTAATTCGTCCATCCTGAAAAACAATGAAAATTTAAGATCGTTTTTTTATGGAAAAATAATTAAGAAAATTTAATTGTTTTACATTTTGAAGCAAATCGGTGTAATACTCTGGTTTTAAATAGTGTGAACCAACAACAGAATAAACGTTTGCGAGTTACATTTGTGACAGCAACGGAGATTTGGTGATTGGATGAACTAGTGACTCACAACCTTACATAACAAGATAATAAATCTTTACTCGAGTTGGCTTTAAAATCCGACCCGGTATCCGATGTTAGTGGCCTTATGTAACTAGATAAATATTGGTACATGCGTACATGGTACATGCGTGTTTGCTCCAACTTATTCTTCCAATCTCCACAGACAATGAAAATTATGTAATGTAGGTTATACATACTTAATGCAAATGCAACGTAAAATTCTAATCGAGGTAATTTGAAAAGTATGAGATTCATAATGTTTTATCTTGCATTATGAATTTGCACTAATTTACTCGCAGAATGGCTTAGATTAAGATTTTGCAAAATATAGTGCATGTATAAAGCTTTATTATCCGCAAGCTCTTTGTATGTACATAGCTGGGACGCACAGCATATATTTTTTACTGTGTTTCATTCCTAATAAACGATATGCTTACTACTGTGACACGACAATTTGGTAAAAAACTGACTTTGCTGCACTAGCAAACGAAGGAAAAAGACGGAAACTATTGTATTCCGACTATTATTTGGACTATTATTTGAGGATTGGATTTGGGGTGCTGTGTGAAGGAAGAATTTTGCAAAGTTCAATCTCCGAGTAAGATTTTCTTACGTTGGATCCTGGCTGTTGGGCTGTTGGTCGGCTGGTTGTTGGTTGACGTGCTGCGGGCCATAGAATGAGCATTTTAGTTTGCAATTTTAATTATTAATTAGCTTATCGTAGTTTTCTTATTAGTACTAATGCATAATATATTTTCCTGATATTTTAAGAGCAAAATCCTGCCGTGTGGAAGAAATGTTGCTAAGATTTCGAACCATGAAATTTTACAAAATTAAAGATTTTGCTTTAGGGAATATTTAAAATGCAAATATTCATTTAATTTAGCGATATTCGAGATAGTTAAGTAACTGATGTCTAATAACTTTTCTGAATTGATATGTTTCTAAATGCCGAATAAAATTTACAGTATGAAAATGATATCCTATGCATAATTTTCTTTTAAAAAATTATGCGTATAATTTATATTGTACAATATAAAACTCCAATTGTTTCTAAACTATTTGATTAAGAATTTAAATGTTAATAATTTGTAAATATCTGACCGGAGTATTTGATTAAAAATTGAGTAAAATTGAGAAAACGCCAGCAAAACAAGGCAAAGCTTTGAACTTTGCAAATTACACAATGGACGGATGCAAACTAATGATGGAAAATTGCACGAGTTGCCTCTGCATACGGAGAGTGAGGCAAGTGTGGTACGTACGAGAGGCGTTGGATGATCGTGAATGAGGGGAATTCATCGTTGCTGGCTTATGGGAGTGAGACGGAAGAAATTTGAGGGGTACAAAATCCTCACAGGTTTTTCTTAGGTTGACTCTAGACTCGTCCACAACTCGTCGTACGGGAGGATCGGCTGCAATAGACTCTCCGCTTTCTCGCCTTGCAAAATCCTGTGCAAGTCGGACTTGGATGCGGATAAAGAAGAATATCTGTATTTAATTTATGACAAAAAGTGAGACTAACTCGCCCACGTTTTAAGAAAGAAGTATTTTTTGTTATGCCCAGCAATGGTTGATAATTCTGATGGATGTAAGCATGTATGTAATCCATGTAATTATAGTTCAGCGTTGGCTAAAATATCTAACATGCATTGAATACATGCGTGAAAGCAGCAATGTGCTTTAGAAATAAGAATTATCCTGCAATTAAGGAGACGTGTATTTAATGCATATGTAAATATGTTTCCATGACAATGTAATACATTTATTCATTGGATTCTTTGAATCTGTCAGAGATAATACGTTTTCCATGTTTATGTATTTTTAAAGTTCTACTGTACTATTTAATAAATAGTAAAAGTGAAGTTTAACACTTGTAAATCGGAAATAAAAATTCGTGGATCGCTCGCACAACTTTACTTTTACTACACATTTGAAGGTGGACCATACTATTTTACCTACTTAAAACCCGAATCCCAATTATATATTTACATATATTCTACACCAACTATAATTTTTAGTTTGTTGGCTACTTGGTTTTTTATGCATCGTAGAAGTTGTTGCTAATGCTAAATGCAAACCCTTATTTGGCAATATATACATAAATGTGATGCGAACTAGAGTAAAGGGATAGTTTTTTAACCAGTTACCTCCCAATTGCATGAATGTCATGAGTAGGGAGTCATGTAATTGTGTTACATCACAATCGTTTAGTGCATACAACAGTTTCCAGGTACATGAATGTCAAGTGTAATGATAATTAGTCCTTAGAAACACGATGGGGCGTGGATCAAAATTATAGAATTATGTGCATAACCAAAAATAGTACAACAAAATCACAAATTTCGACAACCAAAACTAAAGAATAGCCATACAGATTCTTTGTGTCGTAGACTGTGTTCAACCGTTCAAGAAAAATTACTGGGATAATGCAAATCCATGCATTGTGATTTTCTGAGTTTTAGGACAAAGGACGACTGGTTTTGAAAGTATTAGCCATTTCGTTTTATGAAACCAGTCTTGGTCTTCAGCGCTATAGCACAATGGGCAGTGATGCTTGCCAGCCAAGTTCCTGTGTAAAAATTTAATTCATTCCATATCGGAATTTATAACTCATATTTTTGAACATTTTGTGATCAAACCCACCCCTCGGTTTCTGGTTGTATCTTCATTTTTAATGTGGGCTTTTGGGCAATAAAATAAAGAGTTCCCACTGGCTGAATAATTGCAGGTACATACATAAACCTTCGTTTTTAGCGTGGGCTAACGAGCCATAAAATAAAGAGGTGGCATGCCCATGAAATATCGGCTGAATAATTATTAGAGATTTTCTAATTGTGGGTGCAAAGGACATTGATTCAATTTGGCAGCTGGGCTGTATCTAGTTACACGATTTTCCTGAGGAAATATGGGGGCGAATGGGTTAAATTAGCTAATTTGTAACTTGTAATGTAAATTACATTATGTAATCCAATTACTTCAAGTGTAACTTGCAACGCAAGTATTTAGTTCAATGCAATTTAACGGGCAAAGTAACTCAATTACTAAATTTCAAGTAATTGATAATTGGTAATCCAATTACACTGCACAATGCAGTTGGCCTTTATGCAGAAACAAAAATGGTTTTTCATGGAATTACTTCGAATCAGGACGCAAATCATATCGGAATCCATATTATGTACTTAATGAGTTTAATTTATTGCACGAACACTTCATGGTGTTGTTTAGTCGGCCATCCGGATAACTGAAATACACATCAGTCTACTATACTAATAACAATAATCAAAACCAGAATGTCGAATTTTTCTTAAGGTTTTTCGAAATTCGAAAAAGAAGAAACAAATAACGCGGAGAAATTTAAATATTTGTGGTTCCTTTAATTTTTTTCGAATTATTGAAAAACCCACTCTTGGTTGTTAGTAAGCATTTCGATATCTTTTTCCATCTTCGAGTCATCAATTCAATGATGGAATAATGTATTAAAATCAATTTTTTGCTGTTCGAAATCGAAATTCCGAGTTTGATTATTGTTACGCATAATGTACTAAAGTGCACTAAATCGTACATTATAATATTTAAAAATACTCCAGTAACCATTATCTACACCATCGCAAAGGTTGCATTGTATAATGGCCGCTTTACTTACGTAATATTTAATATTACGCTTTTTAAATTCGGGCATTTTAAAATATTATGAATGTTTATAAATTTCACAAGATTTTCACAATTTTGGTATTGCTTCAATTTAGTTAATTCCTACGTACTTACAATTAGATTTGCTTCGTTATTTGTCATTACTAGAAACATAAAGCTAACAAATTCGTAAATATGTCTGCGATACTTCATTTAATAATTTTGCTGTCCAGTTTGGAGAGAATGCAGGCAGTAATAAAATTAAGTTGCCTTTGCTGTCATTCTTGCGGGCTATAAAATAAGAATCAGTCGTTGACACGACTTTTTAACCCATAATTTTTGTTGAAATTAAAGAAATAGTCACTCACATAATCGAATCTTTAAAAGAGTAGCAATAAAATTGTTGCGTGTTACGAAATGAATTTTCACAAGTAGCCTAAATCTCGTGTTGTGCAATTTTACTAAATAACCTTTCTTTCTACGAAGTTTTATTTTACTACTAATAAAAGCATGCCGGATTTCAGTAATTTAAATGACAAATGTCTTTTTATAACTGATATTTTAATATTTTTTATCCATTTAAAAATAATTATTGTTTGCAGGTTGGTGAAAACTTTCTCCTCTACTTTTACCCAAAAATTTAAAGAAGTTAACCTCGGGGCTTTGACTCTCAAAATGTATAACATGGATAATGTGTTACGCAAACTTGCGAGCCCTTTTTCGCACTCGGAGACTTCTTACCTGTCCATCATGACCTGGCTGGCTAAATGGACGTTAAGGTCGTTTGCACTTCCGTTAACATCAGAATCTGTAAGCAAGGAGGGCAGACGTTTTTCAGTCATTAATAAAACAAGCCATTGGGTTATCTACGCTTGCACTGCTTTCTTATGGCTCTTCTACAACGTCATGTACTCGTTCTGGTTTTATAAACATATCTATAATTCGAACGGAAGCGAAGCTCTTCCCATTTGGCAAAAAACAATTACATTCTTCTTTTTTATTAATTATATAATGATATTTGGTCTACACGTATGTCTCCTCTTTCGTAAAAGCGAATTACTACAGGTGCTGAAAACTTGTGTGTGGATTGAGACGAAATGCATAGGAAGAGGTACTTAAGTGTATAAACTTATCAAAGTTTTACTCCTAATTTTGGTGACTGGAGTTATTGATCCAGAGTTTTTTCAAATTTCAGGAGCATCAATATACACTAACATCAGCATCTTTTCCAATCTTTATTGCCTAAAGCTGTCAATATTTTCCGTCCCAATAATGATGGGGGCGGTAGGATTATTGCTGCCCTGCATGCCACCCTCAATTGCTAGCACCTTATTCCTTGAGTGTCGGGATGGATGGGGCGACCAAGACGTCGAGATGTGGGTGCGTCTTATCAATGGGTTTGCGCAGGGGTATGTTTGGCTCTCTCTGGCAGTAGTTATGATTACCACGATTAGTCGGATTTTGATTTATCCTTCTGTAATGGTGGAATTGTGGATCAAGATGATTGAAGGGTAAGCTTTTACATCTTGTCTTATTGTTATTCTAAAATTCCACTTTTTTAAACCGAAATGTTACAATATTTAGACAACTGGATCATTATCATTTTGCAAGTCATGGATTAGCGGCTTATCGCGTCGCACAAGTATTTCAAAACTTGGTTGACGCTGTTATAAGTAAGCCTCTCATCACTATTCTCGTCTTCCTGACCATCCTGTCAGAAATCACTTCACTCTACGTGTAACCACTCTACCCACACTCTCCTCTCGTGCTCCCTCTGGGCACGAGCAGTGCATCTATGTGCACAAGGGGAAGAAGTGATGATGTGGCATTGAAGGAGGAGTAAAGCTGGAGCCATTTCTGTAATATATATTCTCGTGTACAAGGTAAAATCTCGCCAGTAATAAATGGACCTTCCAATTGTGACCATCTCTTCTTCCATCTACTAATTGTTGGTCGGCACTCATCCTCCCATCGCATCCAGCACCTCTCATCTTTCCATAGTCGTCGTGGTCATCAATTTCATAAATATTGGGTCATCCGCAACATCCAGGGAGGGCTGAGTCGGGGTCACAGGTAGTGTAAGTGAAGGACGGACCGGAATCGGTTCGTAAAGGAGATTGAGGGTCATAAAGTGACGACCTACCAGGATTCGGTTTTTTTAAGTTATTGTATGGGAAAATTGCCGAAGTGGGATAAATTTATTTTTATTGTGGGGAAATTGAGTTTTTTTAAAATATTTTTTTAACGGGTTTTTGGGGAAATACGTATGGAATCTTAATTCTTTTTGTAATTGTTGGATTGAGATATGCATTTATAAATGTACGTGAAGTTTTGGGAAAATTTTTAATATGATTTTTATTTTATAACACAGAAAAGCGTTTCGTGAAAGGTGGTCCCATTCAGTCGACAGTATAATTTTGGAGAAAACGATCTATCGCAGAATCCCTCAAGGTCAACCACGAAATTGGAGGTCAATTGGTTCCCTACATATATAAAAGTAGATTACGCAGTCAAAACGTTACAGAGATGAGGTTTGTATGGGCGTAAGAGGTCTTTATTACTTTTTAACTGGTATTAATATTTTAAGATTCGGGATGTGGGGTGACTTATTCACACCGCTCCTAGTTGTTTCGTTTTAGTTTTGATTATTATTTTAATTGTTGACTTAGTTATTATAAACCTGGGGAGTGTGCGCTTATCCGATACGCTCCTCGAAGGGTATATGTATGTATTTAATTAATTGTAGTACGTATGTATATGCAAGAAATTGGGTAGTAGGTAAGCAAATGGGAGTGTGCATTTATGTCAAACGCTCCTTAATTGCTAGAAAATAGTGGAAAAAGAAGAGGTATAGAATATTTCATTTTAGCTCAAATTTTGGGTGAATTAGCAATTGGTTGTTGTTTCAAATTTTAAAAATTACGTAAAGGAAGGAACGGGAAGTCCTTGAAAGTGCTTCAGATTATTGAACTCTTTGGTGCAGCGTCTTATATTTACATATTTGATAAATTTTATCTTGAACATTCTCCAGCAAACTCTTACATATTCCAAGAAGGTTGAGTTGTTAAAATCAATTGTAGACAAGTTTTGGTCACGTAATTAGTCATTTGAATTTCTGAATAGATATGCTAATAGGTAAAGTATCTTTGGAACCTTAAATAACAAACTAAGGAGAAGCAGAGCAAAGGAACAGAAGCAAAGTGAACTTGCGAATCGAAGCGACATTTGAATTCTTGTAATTTTCCTAAAGGAACAATACAAAGTAAACAGCAAGGCGATAACAAAGTAAACTCATGCAAGGAATGTATTTGCATACATATTAAAGTCTAGTCAGTACAGTTTTCTAAATTTTTGTTCGATATTCATTTAACAATAGTTGGGATTCAGTATTTTTTTAGAAACAATTTGTTATCAGTTTAGTTGGTTTATCAGTCATTCTGTCGGTCAGTTTGGTTCGTATTGGTTTCATGGAAATTAGGTTGAAGGTTCACAATATGCATTATTTAAATTTTGTCTAGAGTTTTGGTCATCTAATCATGTTATAAGTCAAGGTTTATTGTATTTAGAGTCAAATTCAAGTTATTTTGTGGAAAATTTCTGTAGTTTGGTTACATACATATTAAATTAAGAAGGAGGCTTTACAAGTTAAGATAAAGGTTCAATATACAGTCAAGTTCAGGTTGAATAGCGCGTTGTGATAGGAAAATTGTATTTTTGGTCATTGTATTCTCTACATAGTTATCCTAAAGTCGAAGGTTAACGTAGATATTTCACATTTTTCAGTTTATAGTACGATTCGTTGGTCACGTAGTCAATACATTTGAATATTTGCTGATTTTGAATTGATAGTTAAAGGCAAACAGATTACATTTCGAGTTTTAAGCAAGGAAAATTAAGAAAATTTAGGAAACATTACGTATGTACATACATACTAAAGTTTAGTTACAATTACAGCACAATAGTCGAATAGTACAGCAAGTATACAATTGAGTTTGACAATTCGGGTTTTGAATTTTTTGATTTGTTTAGTGGTTGATGCAATTTTTTATTTAAAAGTTCAAATAATTTCAAAATGAAAATTTTTATTTTTGGTGAAGTATTTGGGTGGCAGATTTGAGTTTCACAAGTTTCGATTAGTAACTGAGTTATAATTTTTTGGCTGTAAGTTATAAATATTAAGCGTAAATTATTTACAGAATTAAATAAATTGGAGAAAGTAGTAATTTTGGGAGTTTTAATTTTTGGCCTGAATAGGTAGCAACATAAGACCGTACAATAGGAAATCAATTGAATTTAGTTGACAGTCGCTTTGTTTATTCAAGAATTGGAAAATGCCTAATAATTCAGGAAAAGAGTCAACATCGCAACGAAATGCACAGACACAGGTTATTAGTGTTCAAGGTCTTACAGAAGCAAAGGTAGAATAACTGAAGCAGGAAATTTCACAACAGGTAGGTGAGAATAGTCAGGTTCTACACAGTAGGGAAAATAAGACACATTCAAAACTAGAGAAAACAGTTGAGAATTGTAATAGTGAAATTACACATAAAATTTTAACATTAGGGAATAATTTAATTGATCAGGTTTATACAAGTATTTGTGAAATGTTAAATTCTGTAGATGAGGAAATACCTACAAAAAGTAGAAGCCAAAATTCAGTAAGTAGAGAAGAAGTTCTGTCATTTAAACGAAAGGTTAAGCAAATTAGTAAAAATTTAGAAAATTTACAAAGGTATGGGAGCGTCCATAAATCTCGTGATCGATTTTTGGACAATTTTGACCCCCTCCCCCCCCTTGGTGACCGGTGGTGATAATTTCGCTACCCCCCACCCACCGGTCACGTGACACGAGATGATGCTCAAATTAAATCATGTCCGGAATAACAATATTTTTTAAATCATTAATCAAATTAGAGCTACATTACACACATGTGTAAATAACTATTTAATACGCCAGTCAGACATAAGAATTTAGGTCGAAGCAAGTTTATAAATATGCAAAATGAAAATCAAATTTATATAACGTGCGTGTGGTATCATACCACACGCACGATATAAACTCTCATGACATTTATTGGCAAAAAACTTTACTCATGTCACGTGACATCTGACCATCTACCCCGCCCCCCCCCGTGATAATTCGTGACAAATTTCAGACCCCCTCCCCCCCTCTAATCGATCACGTGATTTATGGGCGCTCCCTATGCAGAACAGGATAATAATTTTGTTAGGAACAAGAATAAAGTTAAGGCAGGGTTAGTAAATGAGTCAAAACCATCACACGTTAAAAATACTTGGGTTACTTCTAAAATTGTAAGTCAGCAGAATAGAAGAAAAGAGAACAAGGTTGTTGATTATGCTAATGTTACTTGTAGAAGGTGTCATCTTTTAGGACATTTCGCTAGGGATTGCAATGGACAATTACCAGTGTTGAGACCCCTTCAAAATCCTGTTACGTCTCAAAATTCGGTCACACCATGTGGCGAAAATCCTTTTGTGATTCCTAATCAATGTTTTAATCCTTATGTAATTTATGCGAACAATCATAACATTATTAATCAACCACAACAGTATTTCAGCTCTCCAGTACAGTCGAACTATTATTCGGCATAGATAATTCAAATTTCAATTAAAAATTTTATATTTCAAAGCATATTTTTCAAATTTTCTTTTTCAAAATTTCAATTTTTCGTGTTTTCAATTTGAATTGTATAATTGTACAATAAGTTTCCGAGTCAAATATTTCAAACAACGACGTTTAAGAGGAAGTTGACATGTATTTTTTTTAAAAAACTATGACTGATTTAAACATTTGTGTATATTTTACTTATTTTTGAAGTAACAATCTATTTTTGAACTATTTCGGATATTCTACGTATTTGGGAAGGTTTTGTGCGAAGTAATTAAAGGAAGGTGCGAATATCTCCTTTGGTAGGAAGGGTTTTAACTAGTCAGAGGTAAATCCGCTCCCGAGACAGTTAGGCTCAGTATATATTTCTATTTGATTTCAAAACATCTATCAGTTTGTGTATTTATTTCCAAGGTCTGATTGGAGCAGAATTTATCTAGTATTCATTTTGAGATTGATCACCTCAATTAGAAACAAGAGAAAGTTAATTCCATATGGTAATTTAGCTAGCAAAATTACGATAACAGGAAATTGAAAGTTGCTCACAATTATACGATACAGACTTAATTTTATCATAATTGAGTTTAGTTGGTGTGAGAAGTTACTCTCTCGTGTCGAATTTATTCACAGTTATTGATTAACAAACTGTCAAAACTTCTCTATAGCGCAATAGAGAATGTCTTTTTTTAGTTTCTGAATGTGTAAGAGAGAGAGAAAAATAAGAAAAGATAAGAGAAAGAAAATAGTACTAAAAGGTCCAGAGCTCATACGCTCATTTAAAAGAAATAGAAGAAGAGAGAGGAAAAAGGAGGAAAGTTGAAGGATAAAAGAATAGTAATAATTGGACCTGAGCTCGCACGCTCTTAGCAATTGCAATAATAATAAAGAATGAAGTAAGAAAGCGCTATATAAATCAAAGAGAATTTTGGGTTGATAAAGGTAAAGGAAGAGTTTTTGAGGTAATAAGAGTAATGAAGAGAGAAAGGCCTAGTAGGTTAAATTAAGTTAATTTTGCAAAAGGTTAAGTTAAAAGGGTTTATAAAGCAGGCTCGCACGCCAAATTTTTGGGTTCGCACACCCACAAACCGATGAAATTAATCGGATATAAGGTAAATTAAGGGTTCGCACGCCCATATTAAAGTTTTAAAGGGGAAAGTAAGTTTTAAAAGAAGTATATTTAAGGGTTCGCACGCCCATTAAGCCATGAAATTATGGTAGTATATTAAAGTTGAAATAGGGTTCGCACACCCACAAATAAAATTATTGAGATTAGGGAAAGTTGATTCGATTTACTAAATGTTTTCAGGGTTCGCATACCCATAATTAAAATAAAGTAAATTATTAAGGTTAGATAAAATTTTGGTTGTTTCTGTTAAGTTTTTAGGGTTCTCACACCCACAGAGTAATTTTTGATAATTTTAAAGTTTGTTTTTGGTAAATGTTAGGGTTCACACACCCACAATACGTTAAATAACGTTAATAAGTTTTCTTTAAAGTAAAGAGTTAGTGGTTCACATGCCGCAGAAGTTACATCGGTAAAGTTTAGAGTTCACACGCTCAATAATCCTCCTTAAATAGTAAGTTTAATTTTTTGTTGGTACTCATTTTACCATTATTTTTCTGAATAGAATTTTTAGTACACGTCAACACAAAGAAAAACTGGTTACAAGAATGTCAAGAATTTGAAATTGAGAAGCAAAACCAAAAACGTTCAAAATGAATTTCAAACAAATGCACTATTTAAAATTGCAATTATAGGTTAAAATGAGAAGAATGGTGACCCGCGCGTCTTAATTTTTCATTAGCAAAAGTATTATTAATTATTTTGATGAGTTTTATTGGTATAGTTTACACTGAGTAATTTTAAACAAGAGTTAAGAAGAATGGGCACATAAATTGATATTTTTGAATTTGTGGGAAATTGACATGATACAGTATCTGGTCAGTGTCATAATTTGAATTTTGAGAATTAATTTTTCGTATCACAATAGTCAAATCAATAATAATTGGTCAATAATTGCAACTTATAAATCAAAATATTTTATTAAGAAATAATTACTTGCAGTAAAATGGGTCATAATACGTTTGGTTATTACTAAAAAAGTCATCTCAAGTTGCTATCAGTTCAAACTCACGCACTGATTTCTGAATAATAATTCGTCTTTAGTACATTTAAATTTACATAACCATATTTTCAAGGAAATATCTTTCTAAGCTTAATGATTCTATCTAATGAGCACATATCGATTTGTAAATGCAAAAACATTCTAACGTTTTGTTCATCTTCTTAAAAAGTCACAATATTATCTGTCAGATTCAGTTTTATTTGGAAAATATAGCATTTGACACAGTTTAAAATCATCTCCATCAATGATAAAATATGTTTTAACATTCAGATAATAATAATTTAAAATATTCTAATTAGAAAAGTTGGTATATGTAATATTCGAAGTAATGTGTGTCAAAAAGTTGTCAAAATAGAGAGATAATATTGTCAAATTGATTTATTTTTAAGCTATCCATTTAACGAGATATATCATACTTTGTAAAATCTATTCTGTTTGTTCTTATCTTTAGTTTTCCATTCGGGTGAATGTCTTATGACAAAACTCCTATGTCGGGTCGTGCTCCTAAGAAACTCTGCGTAATATATTGTCTACATCAAATTAATCGTCTTAATTGGAATTTAGTATAAATTCGATCACCACAACGTCATCAGCAAGTCATCGAGTCTCATCGTCTTAAAATTCGCTGCAATAAAAATCGTCGCTGGATTTTCGTCAATCATATTCATCACTTGGATTTCGTCATCAAATGCAAATCTTCTAGAATATTTAAAATGGTACGTAAGGAAAAGTAATGTCTCGTAAATGTTGAATTTAATGTGATGATCGTATTATTTTGATTCGTAATTTGTAACAGATTTTTTTTTCGTATTGGTTAATTTTTATGTATGTAATTGGTACAATAAGTCGTTACTTCACAAATTTCGTTAAAATGTATTTTCGTAATTGATATGTACACAGTAGAACATGATTTTGATAATTTGAGAACGAATAGGTAAATATTTATTGAATGGTTCAGTCGCAATTGAATTTTTAATGTATTTTGTCTCGTAAATAGAGTTCAAATTTTGTCTTAAGAATTTCATATTCAGCAAGTAAAAAGTTTTCAGTTTTTGATATTTTCACACGAGTTTATTATAAGAAATGTTTGATTATTGGTTTTAAAGAGCAAAATTAAGTTTTATATGATATTTTGAAAGACTTTAAAAGAAAAGAGAAAGGCTTAAATAGGAAAATATTCGTACTATTTGCTAAAATGTACTTAATTTGGTTAGATTGTCAAAATATTAATTTGTCATTCACAGTAAAATTTGATAAAATATTGTCTGAGAGTCATGATTATAGTACAATTATAATCTAGAAAATATGATTTATAATATTCAAGATGATCCTAATCAATTAAAGGTAACGATGTTAAGATAGTAGATGGTCCACACCGTAGAATACAGGGTGATTGAGGGAGTTGACTTCTCGGAGACACCTCCTGATCATGATACCAGTATTTTGGGTACGGGAGCAGACTTTCCTTTAGGAGAGAAACTCCTGAGCCTGTTAGACGGTGCAGACATAGTCACAGGAAGTCGATGAAATAGATGTAATTTGTTGAAAGAATTAAATAGCTAAGATGAGTCGAAAATGGATTAATGCTAATATGATGCACAGTTGATAAAGATAAAGTTTCAAGATCATTGTTAAGTTGGAAAAGAAAATTGAAACATGATAATTTTGTTTGAAATGTCAGAATTTTAAAATTATTTAAGAAAACAAGATAAACTTGAAGCTAATATTGATTGTTAAACGTTAAGAAAGCAACATGTTAAAAATGACAAAGATCATGAAATGTTAATGGTTAAACAAAGAGTAGAATGAGACAGAGAAAGAGTATAAGTATTAAGAGGGTAAATGAGTAATGAGTTTAAGGTACAAACTAACTTTCACCGAGTAAAAGTAGTTTCTTTTAGGGGGGGTGGGTGTAACCACTCTACCCACACTCTCCTCTCGTGCTCCCTCTGGGCACGAGCAGTGCATCTATGTGCACAAGGGGAAGAAGTGATGATGTGGCATTGAAGGAGGAGTAAAGCTGGAGCCATTTCTGTAATATATATTCTCGTGTACAAGGTAAAATCTCGCCAGTAATAAATGGACCTTCCAATTGTGACCATCTCTTCTTCCATCTACTAATTGTTGGTCGGCACTCATCCTCCCATCGCATCCAGCACCTCTCATCTTTCCATAGTCGTCGTGGTCATCAATTTCATAAATATTGGGTCATCCGCAACATCCAGGGAGGGCTGAGTCGGGGTCACAGGTAGTGTAAGTGAAGGACGGACCGGAATCGGTTCGTAAAGGAGATTGAGGGTCATATACGTTATCATAACATCCTGGAAAAAACTAAGTTTTGGCGTGTCTGTATTTTTTTGTTTAATGGGAATCGATTACTTTGTAACAATTCACATCACGCTAGATTCCCTCAGTAAACCGTACGTTGCGACGGTAAATTTCTCAAAAAATATGAAAAGTCTGAGGTCACAAAATGCTTGGTTTAAGAAATTTTTGACATCATGTCTTCCGTTAACAGTGGGAATGGGAGATGGCAAGTTTTTCGACGGGTTGACATGATTAATTATTTGGCAGTTCTGCGTGGACAAATTGATTAGTTTGTTGCTCCTGGAGAAATAAGTTGTTTGAAGTCATAATAGAAATTGTATTGTAAGTAATGTAATTTTAAGTTATGTTTTAATTTATACATATTTGTGTAATTAATTAATAAGACGATAGTTATTATTGCAATTTATGAATTTAATAATTATAATGTCAATCGTGTCACCCTAGGGAGGCCAGTCTAATTTTGTATTGATAAGTTGAATGGTACTTGAAATATATAAGGGCAAACAATAGCATCTTGTAGTAAATGTTTTTTTATTCTCCGCATATTTAATTATTTAGGTTGAGAATTGGGATAAATACGAACTTTCATGGAAAAATCTATATCTGTTTAAGCTTAATAACAGATACGAATACATTAGGGTGTCCCAACTTTGTAAAAAAAAATCGCTTTTTCCGCTCACGATTTTTTCGCTCTTTTTGTAAACCGCACTGCGCATGCGATTCCGATCTTTTTTCCGCCTTTTCTGCTCAAAAATAAAATCTACTTTAAGATGATTTTTTCGCTCTTTTTACTACTTTGAGTGAAAAATCAGTCTCTCAGAGACATGTTTAAGGGGACATCGCCCGATTTTGATGCCCTATGGAATATATTGCAATATCAGGTGAGTGTATGAAAAGTGAGGGAGGATTTTATTCCATTGCCCCACCTGCGCCCGCCACACCCCCTGAAAAGCATTGCAACCACTAAAACTACCGCATTCAAACCTTTGCCAAAAATCCTATTTTCATCCCATTTTGGTAATTTTTGGATTTACATGATCTTAGATAGTTGTTTTATCATATCCAACATGAAGCAAATTTAAATTTTAAAAGAAACTCGAAAGTTTCCTGACCACCCATTCTCTGCTCCTGAGTATTCAAGCGATAAAAAATCGGGACAGTCAAGTATTGAGCGAAAAAAGCGGATTTCAGATTTTTTAGCTTTTCGCTTTTTCAGATCTTTTTTACAAACTTGGGAGACCCTATTGAATATTTATTGGAAGAAACGAAAGAAATAGTCGAGTCACTATTTAGTCACTAGAACTCTCATAGTAACTAAAAATATTTAAGAACAATTCTATAGAAGCGCATACTTTATTTATTAGTTGTTAGTTAAGTTAATTAATTAGGTTATTATTAAATTAGGATCCGATTACAAAAGAAAGAAACTTTTGGAAAATGTATTTATTCATATGGAAGAAAAATTGCCACTGAATTGAAACGCCGTAGTTTTGTAGTCCATGCGATTAGCTACCCAAATTAGAAAACCGGAAGTCGATATCTCGACTAGTTCCAAAATGAGAACAAAAAATCGGGAACAACTCGCAAAAAAGATTTGCCACTACTACGAAAATGTGTGCGAGCGCGTCCGGAAAATAGTTAATAGCCACTTCGAAAGAGCAAAAATTCCTAATTGGGCAATTTGCAGAGTTTTAGATATGTATGAGGAGAGCAGGAATGCTGAATTCAAAAAATTAAAAAATCGTCCTGCTCGTGTAGCGACCCCCAAAGTGACACGTAGACTTCGGCAGGAATGCCAAAATAACCTTGGGATATCAGACGGTAATTTGGGCTACAAATTGAAAATAGCAAAATTAAGTTTACATGACATTAAACCTACGAAGTTGGGGGTCAAATCCTATAAGGCGACCCCTGCACCAAAGTACAACCAAGGTCAGCAAAAAAGAGCAAAGCCCAACTCTCGGCAGATTGCTGAAAAACGCGTCAAGCAAAACATGCCCGTGATTCTGGTTATGGATGATGAGACCAAGTGCTCGATTGATCCAGATGAAGTCCCTGTGAGGAAGTACTACTCATGTACTAATAAGAAAACGTTTAAAGATTCCTTCAAATACACGCCGAAGTCAAAATTCCGCACAAAGCACATAATTGGGCAAGCATTGGACTCATTGGGGGACGTCTCAAAGCCGTTCGTGACCACAGCCACCATGACCTCGGAGAGATATCTGAACGATTGTGTAAAGAAGATCTTGATCCTCTTTATCAATAATCGTAATGTACTTCTCAGACTACACACAGCAACATTTCATTATTCAAAAGTTGTTCTGGACTACCTGTGGTCGAAAAAAATCGATTTTGTTGCAAAAAAGGAATATGCTCCCTACGTCCCTCGGGCAAGACCAATTGAACAATTTTGGGCATTATGCAAGAGAGAATATAGTCGTCGAACAAAACCAGCCAAAAACTTGGTAAGATTCCGTCAGATTTTGTCACGCACCTCAAAAGAGGTAGCGAGAAAGAGTGGCAAAGCACTTATGGGGACCGCGAGACAAAAAATTCGCCAGATAGGAAGGATGAGGGTCTATGGACCGTATGAAGCAAAAAATTGAATGGTAGGAACCTTGTTTATAACTCATGAAAATTTGTTTGTAATTAATTAAGTTTTTCGGATTTTACAGGCATTTTTCAAAAGTTTCTTTCTTTTGTAATCGGATCCTAACTATTTTTGAAGACGGTGGCCAAACATCCACTTTGACCGACTGGCATGAAGCGAGAAAGCGTCTGAATTCTTTATTCGCCCCCTTGCATCACGAATCTAAAAAGCTCATACTCACATCCCGTATGATAAGGGCCTTATCGCCGCGGCTTGAAAAAGCTGCGACATTGCTGAGCAACTTGTAACTATGACGCCAACAGGGTACAAAATGGATCCCGGGAATTCAGAGATCATCAAATAGTTCAAGGATCGAATAAAAGTGAATCCGCAAACTATAGCAGCCGACCAGTTGATGAATGCACAAAGAGTGACCGAACAACGGGCGACATCCAGATTGAAATGTCCTGACAAGACTGTGTCGCACGAAATAGTGTCTCACGAAACACCCACTGGGGATTTTGTAACACTTTCCCGACTAATGCGGCGAGTACTTGTCAGCGCTATAGCCCCATGGGCAGATCACATAGCAAATTTCTGTAAAAATTTAATTCATTCTATATCGGAATTTATTAGATGCATATTTTTCGACAATTCACTCTATATTTTGCATCCATACTCGCCCCTGGGTTTCTGGTTTGCCTTCGTTTTTAATGTGGGCTATTGAGCCATAAAATACAAAAGTGTTGACACATGAACTGAATAATTAATAGAGATTTTCTAATTGTGATGCAAATGACAACCAATTTAGCAGCTTTGTTGTAGTTACACGATTTTGGTGAGGAAATGTAGGCAAATAAGCCAATTTGTAACTTGTAATGCAATCCAATTAATCGAGCTCTAACTTGTAACTTAGGTAGTTCACTGTAATTTAACGGGCAAATTAACTCAATTACCGAATTTGGAATAATTGACAATCCAATTGTATTATGAACACAATGCAATTGACCCATGTATTCTATTTATGTACAAACAACAATAGTTTTTCATGGAATTACTAATCAGGATGCAAAGCATATCGAAATCCATAAGTTTATATAATTTGCTGCATGGTGTTGTTGTGTCCGCACTCCGGATGACTGAAATCTATACACATTAGTCTACCAATCGAAACCGGAATTTCGAACGACACAAAACAATTTGATTTTGTTAAGAATTGCAATTTTTAGAGCTGATTTTTTCGAGCTCATCAGTAGCAATAATTTGGTCTCCTCCACCCCTTGGGCGAAAGTTACAAAACATCACAAAGGAGCATCCGATTTCTCAATGATGGAAAAAGATATTGAAATGCTGCTACCGTAATTTTTTTCACTACAACCCGTAACGTAAAGCTAACAAATTCATAAATATTTCTGCGATACTTCATTTAATAATTTTGCTGTCCAGAGAATGCAGCCAGTAGTAAAATTAAGGTGTGTTTGCTGTCATATTTGGATTATAAAACAAAAATCAGTCGTTGACACAACTTTTTAAGCCATAATTTTTGCTGCAATTAACGAAGTAGTCGCTTACATAGTTGAAAGTCTTTAAAAGAGTAGCAATAAAGTTGTTGCGTGTTACGGAATGAATTTTCACGAGCAAAATGAATGTCGTGTTGCGCAATTTTAATTACCATTCTTTTTACGAAATAGTAATTTACTGATACTACGTAGTAATAGCGTGCCGGATTACAGTAATTTAAGCGACAAATTCCTTCTGACGGCTATTTTACTATTTCCATATCCATTTAAAAATAATTTCTGTTCATAGGATGTGAAAACGTCTTTCTCGTCCACTTTTAAACAAAAATTTGAAGGCGTCAACTTTGAGGCATTGACTTTCGAAATGTACAACATGGGTAATTTGCTGCGAAAACTTGCGACCCCTTTTTCGCTCTCGGAGACTTCATACCTATCCATCATGACCTGGCTGACTAAATGGACGTTAAGGTCGTTTGCAATTCCTTTAAAGTCAGAATCTGTAAGCAAGGAGGGAAGACGTTTTTCAGTCATTAATAAAACAAGCCATTGGGTTATCTACGCTTGCACTGCTTTCTTATGGCTCTTCTACAACCTCGTGTATTCGTTCTGGTTTTATAAAAATATCTATAATTCGAATGGAAGCAAAGGTCTTCCCGTTTGGCAAAAAGTCATTGCATTCTTCTTTCTTATCAACTATGTTCCGATATTTGGTCTGCACGTTTGTCTCCTATTTCGCAAAAAAGAACTACTACAATTACTGAAAACTTGTGTGTGGATTGAGACGAAATGCATAGAAAGAGGTAAGATTATATGCTTATCAAAGTTTTACTCATTATTCTGGTGACTGGAGTCATTGATCCAGAGTTTTTTCAAATTTCAGGGGCATCAGAATACACGAAAATCAGCATATTTTCCAATCTTTATTGCGTAAAATTGTCAATATTTGCCGTCCCTGGAATGATGGGGGCGGTAGGATTATTTCTGCCCTGCATGCCACCCTCAATTGCAAGCACCTTATTCCTCGAGTGTCAGGATCGATGGGGCGACCAAGACGCCGAGGTATGGGTGCGTCTTATCAATGGCTTTGCGCAGGGGTACGTTTGGCTTTCGCTGGCAGGAGTTATGATTACCACGATTAGCCGGATTTTAATTTATCCTTCTGTAATGGTGGAATTGTGGATCAAGATGATTGAAGGGTGAGGTTTTGCACCTTGTTCTGTTTATTGCTAAGAAAATTTCACCTTTTTAAAAACTGAAATGTTACAATATTTAGACAACTGGATCATTACCATTTTGCAAATCATGGATTAGAGGCCTTTCGCGTCGCACAAGTATTCCAAAACCTGGCCAACTCTGTGATGAGTAAGCCTTTCATCAGTATTTTCGCCTTCCTGTCAATCGTGTCTGAAATACTTTCACTCTATGTTATCATAACATCCTGGAATAATCTTAGTTTTGGCGTGTCTGCATTTTTCTGCTTGATGGGAATGAATTACTTCTTAATAATTCATATCACCCTGGATTCTCTTAGTAAATCATACGTTGCGACGGTGAAGTTCTCAAAACACATGAAACGACTGAGGTCCCGAAATGCTTGGGTTAAGAAATTTTTGGCATCATGTCCTCCGATAAAAGTGGGAATGGGAGATGGCAAGTTTTTCGACGGATTGACATCATTAATTATTTGGCAGTTCTGCGTGGACAGATTAATTAATTTGCTGCTCCTGGAGAAATAAGTTGTTTGCAGTAATGATAGCAAATTGTGTCATTTTAAATTATAGCATCATGTAGTAAAGGTTTTCTTAAATTCTCAGCATAAATATACCTTAGCAGTACAATTAGGTAATAGCATGTACATACATTGCATATTTATTGTTAAGAAAGAAAAGAATAGTCAAGTCAGTAGTAGAACTCTCATGATAATTAAAAAGATTTTAAAAATTAAATCTATAGAACCGTATACTTTATTTAATGGTTGTTAATTAAGTGGATTAATTAGGTTATTATTAAATAAATTATGTAGGTTTTTTAAAAGATTTTATTTAATTTGTGTTTAACGGAAAGTAATAATACAATCAATAATATGATCCGTTACAGTTTTAAAGAAGGTGACCAAACTCCTTCGAGAGACAACGACCCCCATCGCATCCACCTTGACCGACTGGCATGACGCGAGAAAGCGTCTGAATTCTTTATTCGCTCCGTTACACCACGAATCTAGGAAGCTCATGCTCACGTCCCTAATCGCCGCGGCTTGCGACAGCTGCGACATTGCTGAACAACTTGTAACAATGACGCCAACAGGGTACAAAATGGATCCCGGGAATTCAGAGATCATCAAATAGTTCAAGGATCGAACAAAGGTGAAACCGCAAACTATAGCAGCCGACCAGTTGATGAATGCACAAAGAGTGACCGAACAACGGGCGACATCTAAATTGAAATGTCCCGACAAGACTTGTGCCGCACGAAATAGTTGCACTGCCCTCTCTTGAGACCGGAGATGCTCTTTCGTCGCCACATTTTCATTGTCCCTGCTGCACGCAAAAATTCATAAATTGAGATTATTTACATACGTACCTCATAAGTAGTCAGTATGTTTAGAACTTACTGTGCCTCCCTCAACCAGAAATTGATCGTCACTGCATGAGTGACCGTAACATATCCCAATATCAAGGTTCCCGCAACTAGGTGAGTCCCCGTCATAAAATCCTGCAATGCTCCAAGCAAGACCAACCACCACTGAATCTGATCTCTAGTTCCCAAGAAGCTCGTCATGTAAAGGGGAGCATCATAATTGACAATATATCTGGACAATGATAAAAAGAGTTCTATCCATAAGAACGGATAGGCCCAGTTGTAAAAGAGGTTGCTTCCATCGTCCTCATCATCGTCATCGAATTGACCTTGACATAACTCCTCTACAAGGTGTCTGTTAAACAGAAACATTGCGTTCAAATAGACACGAATCCTGTCCTGATAAATAATCAAGACGATGCTCAAAATTGCGGCGTGTGAGTGCCAAGCAGTTCCTTGCAGACTGGAGAAAGTGGATCGATACCTTTCTCCCCAGATTTGAATGATTTAAAGGCAATTGAAGTGTGAAAGTAAGTAAGAACGCAAGACAAACAGCAGATGAAAAGTGACCCCAAATTCCATACGCGTTCCCAAAATGTGGAAAACTTTTCTATTACAATTCCATCAAGGGATCTATTTTCAGTCCACCGCCATGGCAACATGAAGCCAATTCGACCAAGCAATATCACTGCGCGAAGTCGCCAGATGCGATGCTTGCTTATAAGATAAGGCTTTTCTACTCCCCAAGTTTTAGCGGAATTTCGCTTAGGTATGCCTTCTTCGAAACTTGACGAAATCGTGTCCTTATCATCCAAGTGGGTGATTTGTTGTTCCTTGTCGGATCGTATTATTTTCCGGTTGTCACTTTCGAGCTTGCAAAATTTCCATGGGTCTGATGTAACCTTATATTTCAGGAGTAATGGGGGCATTCATTACGAGTTCGCATGTTCGCATCGAACATAATTTTGAATACAAATTTTGCCAACTAAATACTAGCCTTGGATATGTGCAACTTCACAAATTAATTCGCTAAAATTTTTTGTGAACATTGCCAACTATGCGACCTCGTAATGAATATCCCCAATATTTAAAAATATATAAATACTCTTAAAATATATATCCAACGGGCCACATAATATTTTAAAGTTTATGTAACTTGCACTTATGGATTATTACCTTAGAAAATGTACGGGGACGGCGTTTTCTAAGAGAACCTGGATTTTGCATTATTTCGATAAAGGAACAAATAAAATAACCAAATAGCGTCCGTCATGGTTGAGAAAGACCTCAAATTTGCGAAAATGTAACGTTTTTATTTGTGTCGGAGAAAGTGTATATCATGAACCTTGGTTCATGGTGTATATGTAGAATCAGGACCAGTAAATATTGCATGCAACAATGAAGCCAGATAGTCATTCCACGTGAAGGTAGATAAAACTTGACACTGTAAAAACATGTCATTAGACATGAAAAATTCCGGATTCCTAAATAAATACATCGAATGCTATCCACTGAACTAAAGTAATGATTTACTCACTTGATTTCATGGGTACAAGCCACTTATTAATTTTCAAGTATGGTTTTGGTGAATGAGCGACAATCCTTTGTATGTCCAACCCTAATATTTAGAACATACTCGTATGTGCGTGGGTAACTCAATTTGCATACATATCTAAGATGTGTAGATTATAAAGGCATCATAAATGTAAATTACTATTTCCTGTCAATTACTCCTTAAAATATTCATTAAGGCACGTCGAGTTTAAATTTACTCCTATAAATAAAGGGCTGTGCCAGTAACAATGTTCTACATAGTACATATTTTTTGAAACACCCGTGTTTTGTTAATACCAATCAAAGCTAAAAATAATCAAATAATGAAATCAATGAGTTCTAGCAGGTTTTCTTAATAATATTTAGCCAATTGTATGGGAAGTACGCACGTACATATGTAGATATATACATAGATAATTTCGAGTTTTTAAATAGAATGTATATTTTTTAATTAGCACCCGGCTAATGAATATTTAATAGGGCTGCACGGGTGGTTATGGCAAAAATTGTCTTTCAGATACTTACCTAAACTTTAGGCATCTTTCTGTAGTGCAATGATAATGGGCTAAAAAACCTGTATTACATACATTCCATGCTCTAGAGGTCGAGGTAGAGAATCTCATCTTTGTTCGAGAGTAGGAATGCGCATGCAATTTCTTTGATGGAGTGACAATCTGGAATGAGAGGTGAAAGTGGAGTTGAAAATAATGGATGGTCCGAGTTGTTGCCAACCTGTTGCTAACGAACTCGGTCTGCGAAATGGACGAGGCAGGCCGACATTTAGCAACTCTGGTTTAGTCGTGTTAAACTTGAAAACTGATTTAAAGAAAATGCATCACAGAGACAAGTTCGCAGTTTAGAAATACAAGTTGTTTGCCCAGTTTCAAATTGAGACGAGCTAGACAAGGTTTGAATGAAAGAAAGCCGAACGTAAGGACAGAACTGGGTCGACACTGGAGGAAGATCTTTGCTGGGAGAAACTCGATAAATTGATAATTTATGCCCACGCATCTCTATAGGATTTTTGCCTCTACATATTTTCGGACGGGAAGGACGCCGTTTTTATCTCTCCTCGTATTTACTCCTCATCACTCGCATCGGCCAACTGGACACATTTTCTGGATTTTTACTTGTTGCATCTCTCAAAATATAAAAATATATACTTCCGAAATTCCATTTTTTTAAAGAGTGACATAATTAGTAGGATGAAGCTCAGAAAGGTTTGTACTGCACGTTTTATATAAAAATGTATTTTCCTTGCATAATGTTGATGTTTCCTTGTGCAGTTTATCCAGTTTGATACGAACCACCACTACCCGAGCACATTCGCAGTGCTATTTCTCATCAATATGTTGTAAGTGTCAAGATCATTGTAGTTAGTTACCCATTGTACTCTAGTCACGGACCGCATGTACATACATATGTAAAGCATCTACTCCGACGATTTGACCCTATCGATCACATGCTTCTCAAAGTCTCGAATTTGCAGAATAGTAAAAGCATCCAACTAATTAGTTGTCGTACCTTTCAATTTTTATGAAAGTGTATGTTCCTGACGTGATGAAGTCATGCAAATGCAACTAATGAATATGTAATCTTTTGTTAGCAACCAAAATCATATTCGTCAACCGACTTGGAAATACCAAACACTCTGGATGACATACACCAACAAGTGTCACCAGGTAAATTTCACTTCTTACTGTATATTCTACATCATAAAAGCTATGTGAATATCAAAACATTTTTTCTAATGTTACTTTTTTGACAGATTTGAAAATGGGGTACTTCATCGTGACCACAGAGTTGGTCATCTCATGGAAGTTGGATAAAATCTGGGATTTTAAGGAGAGCCACTTTATCGATATCATAGAGGACTGATAGGAAATCACGGAGAATGGAGACGAATGATTATTGTATACATCTCACTACAAATAGATATTTGACAAGATGGAGAATTTTGTGCTCCAGTGTTCATTTTAGTCAAATTGTTCAGGCAAATGCAACTTTTTTGTCCAACAAAATTGATACGGTAATCGACGATGAATCAAAGATAGACAAATTATTTCGAGCTATCTAGAATCTCTTTGTGACTGATATCGCAGCGGACTGATGGGAACTGATAAGGCGAAGGCAGTCGTGTTCGACAGGATATCGACATTAATTTACTCATCTGAGATGCACATAAGTACACATGTGTATGTACGTAATAGTTCATAATATTACCTAAGTATGTACGTAATAGCGTTTTCTCTAAACATCAGTAATGCACTGTTATGTTCCATGTTTTCATACATCTAATAAACGTATAGGTATGTAAATACATATGTATGTTTATATGCGTATAGAATACGTAAAAATTGCACTCTTACATGAGTCATTCGTATCACTGGTAGAGATGCGCAAGAAATTATTTTAGCAGTATGACAGTCATAAATTGAACTCTTGATTTTCCTTTAATTATGACGTAATATAAAGTTTTTATGTGGCTGGAATTGTACAAATGTCCACAATGTATGCAATGAAAAGCGCAACTCGGAAAAGAAGCAAACCGAAAATATATTTTGAGTCTGTCAGAATACTGTTTATTTCTTATGTAAAAATGTCATTTATTTATCGATCTTGTGGAATAAACATTCCGAGGTACAAATTTACCAATCTCTGCATAATTACCCAAACATGTACCTAACAATTCTGATCCGCTCATATTGTTCACCTGATAATTAGTAAAATGACTACATGTTTACTAATATCTAGATTATTTTTATTGCAACTTTGTGACGTACTTATATTATGCAAATGTATACGCAAAAATTTAAAAATACTATTTACTTATTACTTGTATAATTAATCACGTGATAAGGTTATTTAAAGATACTACTTTCTTATGAAATTTAATATGTTGTACAAATGTTGTTTATTAAAATCCAATTTTACGAAGGAAAGCATGTTTTCAGAACCCCGTGTTAAAATAAGCGTCAAGTTTTATACCTACTTATGAGCTCCGATGAAATGAATCTTAATTATTTACTCAAGATCTTTTAGCAATATATAAATGCATTTGAAATTACTTACCTAATGTACAAACATTAAACGTGAATTTCTTTACAAATTTAGCAAACAAATAGTTATGCAAACTTCTTTCCATTAAATGCAAAATAAGACACGTATTTACATAAGTTGAATATTTACATGAAAACTAAATTTTAAATAGACCTACCTACATTCCAGATTCAAGAGTTTACAATATATAAAAAGACGTATGTTATGTAGCTTTTTCACTAAAATCTTACACTCATTCGACTGCCAGACTTCAGCCCCACAACTCGGACGTAAATACATCGGCCAATTTAAATTGCATCTCTACTAATTCATGGAAATAATAGGCGATTCTCAAATTAGGCAGAAAAGACCTTTGCTCTACTCATCAATAAATTAGTAGCAAAGTTCATGCTTTCCATGTTTTGAAATCTGCATTAGCAAAGTCCAATTATAATTTACAACGATCATATTAAAGTCCAAGGTACTCATCGCCCGTTAACAAACCGTTCCGACACCATATTGCAAATATCAAAATATGCACAAACAAAGACACTCAAACGAGACCCACCCACGTCACCTACTTAAAAACATACGTATGGATGCACATAGGTACATAGTGCATCGTGCTTAAATCTATAGCAATGCGATGAAATACGCAAACAATTCATTTTTATATGGAGGATGATCCTCCATGTAAAATCTCTTAGCTACCCTTTAATTTAATAGGTTGGATTACCGGATTAACGTTGCAAACATGATTTGCCTATGCTTTTGCGTAAATCATTTTTAAACAAACCAATTATCGTTGATCAAATTCCACTCCCACTTGAGAGGCATGTTCATAACAGGGTTCGGATTATCAATAATGCAACTGTTCATATGCGTGAAGTTAAGAGAACAATGGGAACAAATTCGTTCCAAGGGAAATTAGACGGGTATAAAAGAAGAGGAAATGCACGTTCAAAATTCAGTCTGCTTCTCCAATTCAAATTACAATCATCCAACTCCAGTAAAATTCCTAAAAAATCAAACCACATCAAAAATGAAGGTTTTCGCCGTTCTCGCCCTCTGCGTCGTTGCTGCCTCCGCTGGCGTCGTAAACCATGAAGCATGTGGTATGGCTTAATTGAATCACTGTTTCTTTTTTTTTGGGGGGGGGACCGAATTTTTACTAATGTTTGTCGCAATTGTGTAGGTGGAGCCGGACGAGTCGTCCAAATTAGGATTAGCGACTGCGAGGGGGCCATTGCCGACATGGTCCCCGCGGTTGAATACAACTGTGAAGGGGACATCATCCCTGCCGTTTCGTCCGCTGGCCTTCATCTTAAAGTGAGCGCCCTCTACCTTGGCTTCCCTGTCACCATTATCGACTCGGTCGTCCCTGACTCGGCCGTTCAGGCTGGAGCACAGTACACTCTCCGATGGTCCATCACCCCCAGCACCCTTCTCAGCGGAAACACCGTCCCCGTTTCTTCAGAAGTTTCCGACGCCGCGTCCGCCGGTATCATGATGTGCGGCCGAATCCAGGCCCGCATTGCCTAAATTTTTTACGATGAATCAGATATTCTTGTGTAATTGGCTAATCGATTCGGAATAAAATATGTAAAATTAATTTGGTGGCGAATTGTTAATGTCTCATAATATTGAAATATACATTTCATAAAAGGTATTTCATGACGCATATTTTGACTGAATTAGTACGAAGTTTCAAATGATTTAATACATAACAAATTAGTACAGATCACGGTATTTCTAATTTCTAATTTCAAGAGACATTTTAGAGTAAAAATTTCTTGAAGATTTCAAAAATATGAAAGGTTTATGTGGTTTATCGTATTACATACTTCACAAATTTAGTTTGTGTAAGAGCATGGAAAATAAAATTGATATAATTTGTAGTATTGTGAGCATATTTTAATTTGTAAGAAATGTTTAAAATTATTAAGTTTTAAGTTTTATTGCAGAATAAAGGGTTGACGTGGATATGGTAGAATTAGTCATAACAAATGAGATTACCATTAAACAAAATTAGCTTGGACACTTTGACATCATTACGCATTTATGTATTTACCTACGCTTGCAGTTTATGTAATAAATGCATCACCAACACACCATCCTGGTGTCAACCACTTGTACCCTGGATTAAAATCAAAGCAATAATTGCTTTTTCCAACACGCGACAAGAGTCCAGTACTACAAACCAGCACTACAGGGTACAAAAATATCCGAGTTGCAAGTTATTTACGTGCTTACTAATAGTGATAACAAAATTATGTAATGATGCACAACTAGTTTGTCGTTCAAGTATTTTGTCCCATCGTGGCGTGTGGCTGAAGCAACCTGAAGCAATGACAAACTATGGACGCAGTCGATATTTTGATCAGTATAAAAGTAATAATGGACTCAATCACATCAAAACTACTATTGGCATTCTCCGAAGAGAATCTTAAATCGCTATAAACCATGAACTGCAAAATTTCATCTTTGCTATTGTTGGCCGTTGGCATCGCGTGCGCCAGTCCAACCGGTGAACTCCTTAACGATGCTCAACTGGGTAAGTACTCATACTTGTGTTATCTAATAATAAAATATTAGGTTATTTATTATCATCAAGTTTAATATATCCAAACAGACAAGAGTGTCATCCTCAGCAAGGTTTTTCAAGGGATTCTCCTCCCCAAAGTTATCACGCATTTGAAGCAGTCCATCCCTCAAATTCAAGAGAACTTGCACTCCATCAAATTAAACGATCCAGCACAACTGGGTGGATTTAACCTGTCCCTCGAGTATGACAGCGGTACCTTCCCCGGCCAGAGGACATACGGCTTTGCCGCAGCGCAAGACATACTTCTTCACGGTGTTTCTGAAATTGTGGATGATTTCAATGTGGCGTATAGTACTGCCGACCAAACGGTAACCATTACTTGGAGCGCCGCATCACCCAGCAGACTCCGGGCTGAAGGAAATTACGAGCTCAAAGAACGATACGAGTTAGATTTGTGCTTTTACGGAGCTTGCAACACGATCGTGCTTACAACGAGTGGTCTTAGCCGATGGTTTGTCGACATGGAAACTCCCTCGTCGTCTTTAGCGATCACTTTGAGGATGCCAACGGTTGGACCGATGAGCGTGGTCAGTTACGAGGGAATGGTTGACCTTGCCTCAGTCCAGTTGGAATTCGAACATTTCGTCGTTTTCACCGGGGATGAGCTTGGACCTGAGGACTGGGAGTACAATTCAAGAATGGGGAAAGAGCTTGTCGACTTGAGGAATGAGGCTGTAACCCGAGAATATTTGAATGGTCAATACAAGTGCATGTTGGACCATGTCGTAAATGTGAGTAACAAAATGTTATTTTAAGGTAAAAATGGAATGAGTGTTATGAAATTTCATTCATGTTTAATCTGTAGGACTGCACCCTGCTGGATTGGATTAAAGGAAATTGTAAGATTTGATTTTTCTTGGGTGAATGGTAAAGATGATTACTCATATTAATTATTGAATTATTTTAGGGGATTGTCTGAAGGCTGAGATTAACTTTAGTTGTGTCTAATTGTAAAATGTTGTGACCGGACCTCAAGATTTTAACCGACAATGTGTGAAATGAGAATTTATATATTATTAATTATAATATGTAATGATGTGAATGTATGTATCGCTGCCAAGTATATTAAATTAATTAATTGCATCCCATTTTAAGTTGCATAAACTACTTTAAAACATTCAATTATATCCAGATTCATTCATCAATATCAAGATTTTTGGGGTTGAATTGAAAGCACGCCTATCATTTTACCTACTCGAATGAAAGTATTACATACATAAATGAGACCTTATTGTTTTATTAAAAAATACGAACAGAGAGACACATGACAAAGGATTAACCAAGTGCATAACCGACAACCCCATAATTTTGTTTGCCGTAAATTATTGTAAACCATGTTACAAATAATACGAGTCAGGCATTCGTAGTGATTAATATACCGTCATCAATGAAAAAAATTGCAAGTTTTGAGACAACGGTTGAGAAATGTTGCGATATTTGTAAGCTACAATGGTGAATGCAAAAACTTCAAAAACCAAAGCAACAAGCTTTCGCATAATAAGTATAACATGACAAGCTCATGGTCTATAGTGATGTACTTATTTATTGATCAAAATTGGATTTACTAAAAATAATTGCAATGCAATAACTTAAAAAGTTGCAAAAATCCCACTTGCAAAAATACTGTGCCATGACACAGCACATTACTCAGGTTTAGCTGGACGAATTGTACTCCAATTTATAAAGCATCACGCATATAAATACGTTTTGACATGAATTGCCCACTTTTCTCGTAACGTAATACTCAATTTCTATGGACCTGCAAAATTGCAAGTTCCATGATTTTGATGCGCAACTCAAAAATATATATCACTTTTGTACATTCGTTTACGCGAGGAGAAAATGGAATACTTCCATGGATTCCGGGTAACAAACAAGTGGGAACATACTCACGCAGAGTGGAGAAGAAATATAGTTGCCACTTTCTGCCCGGAGATCGGACTTTGCAAAAAGACCCACGTCCATGTCCCCCTCATCTACGCAAGAGGGGTGCCACCATGCAGGATGGTGACCACAAGGAAAGTAATTCAAACTAATTCTGGCTCGATATTTACTATCATTTAACCATTTTAAAATATTTAAGGCACATAATAATGTGCAATTCGAGGGAGAAACTGATGCAAATTCTTACAAATATCGGATTTTACACTTGGAAAACATGAATAAAAAGCGGATTTAATGAAAATGAAGAGTGTTTAGTTTAGACCAAAATTATTTCTGGTAAAAATACTTATAATGTTGGATTGGTCATAAATGTGACGTGGGGCGTGTGTGCGTCTTCGCGAATGTATGGAAAGATGTGAGTGAGAAGCAGTCGTTTCGCGAGGTACGATCGCCCTGCTCTCCATGAACACAAATGCCACTGCCAGCCTAAAAATCCACTCAAATCCCACATTTACGAACGCGAGTTGAGAGTTGGATGCTTTTCAACTAAAACTCATAGTTGCGCTTATGGTGCAGATGAAATAAAAGCTTTATTTTGGATGATAAAAATGAAATTTATGTATGTGTGACTGTAATCTAATAAGGTAATGGAATTAAATACATATACAATTAATTTATTATTGGATAATTTTAATTTGAGAAGTACATTAAAACAAGTTGAATAATTATTTAGTTTAAATATTGACCATCAGTTTATTTAATTTCTCATGTCTGACAGAATTCCTGTCAATTTTTGTTCATCTTAGAAATTAGGCCAAAATTACACTACTCAACTTTCTCCAAAAAATCTTAAGCTTTCTTGCGCACTATTATTCACTATGTACAAATGTCTATGTATTCTGTAGAGGTTTATATTTTATTGGTCCAATGAAAGATAACTGTGAATTTGATCACATTACTCGTACTTGCATATGTACTTATACATTGCCTATATCGCAACATGAAACAAAAATAGTTACAATAAGTACATGAAAGTATAAAGTATAATTATAAGTACACACATATAAGTACACAATTTAGACAAAATGACACCAGTTGAGTAGGATGAATGTATATACGTAATCCGTCATCTAAAACATTTGTGACAAATTAACAAACCAAGAATTTTTGAACTTGAGTTAATTTGACAAATACTTTTCTTGAAGTCGGGATAGAACTATGAGTTTTTTGTTCAGCATCTCTTGGGTTGTTTTTGGATGACTTAGCATTGTTTCGGCTTCCGATATTCCTTCACGTAGCAATTTCTCAGCGATCATCCTCCCTTCAACTTTATACATTCCTTCCTTGATTTTGTCGGTTATGACGCTCAATTCGTTCTTTGTCTTTTCTAGCAACTCCCTTTTTTCGTCTTTCGCCATGGACTCCACAAATGATTTCGACTTGACCAAGTCGGACTCTGGGATGAGTGGCGTCTTCCATTCGTACTGTATTGTATGCTCCTGTGCAAGATATTTATAATAAACCTTATCAATACTGAAAATCCCCTCATTGCTCAGACTAAATTTAACTCTATATTCCGGAGGACGAGGGTTAAAAGTACTGCAATCAGTTCCTTCCACGACAATAGTACCAACGTGATGTCTTAGATTTTGTGACGTTTCCCAGATGACAATTTTTTGCTGTCCTTCCGATAAAGACCCGATGGTATGATCGTCGAAAATTGTGGCTCCGACAATTGAATTATATGCCTCAAAAATTCTGGGCATATTGGTCTTGCCTGGGATTAGCGAGTTCCTTTCAAATCTGTAAGTTGCCCTTTCTTTGATATAATATGTTGACAATGGAGCATTTTCAGAACATTTCGACAGCCTCTCAGCAAGTATTGCGGCGCCACCCAATACAGAGATGCTCACATTCTCTGTTGTGCGGCCATAATGTCTAATTAAATTTTCTATCTCTGTGCTAGTTCCATAATTGATACAAATGCTTGCCGTGATATTGTCCTTGTTCATTCCAAACATATCTTTGAATATAGATCTTAGTTCATCTGCTTGTTTTCCAGTCAATGCTCTCATTACATTAGTAAGGCCGATTTTAACTGATTCAAACAATCCTGGCTTAGGCGATCCCGTGGAATGTAGATTTCCACAACTGCCTATCATTTCCATTTCCATGTTTGAGCCATGAATTCGACACCAACCATATAGTGCGGCATCAAAATAGTAATCGAAGTTGTGTACCACTCCCACTAGGACGCACGTGTCCACGCTATGGTCTCTCATTTCTTGGAAGCAGAGAGCAGCAGCTGAAGTATCGTTGATTAGTCTGATCTCTTCAAATCCGGCTAATTTTGCTGCATTTTTCATACCCTGGCGTTGTGTACTTGTCAAGCATAGAGGCACGGAAATGACTGTCCGGGTCCAGCTGCCCCCAATGTTCTTCTCAACGTCAGTCTTAATTCGCGAGAGAAACAATGCGATCACAACTTCTGGTGCCACAACTTGATATTTTCCATGAAGTAAGAGTTTGAATATTTGAGAACCTGGACTCGTAATTGTTTCTGCTATTCGTATCTTGTTTTGATTTGTAATCGTCTCTTCTCCAATTTGGATTTCATTTTCTTCAGTGACTGATAAAATTGTGGGGGTCCATTCCTCTCCCCACGGATTGGGCACAATCTCGACCTTGTTCTTCACCACTCGTCCGACTCTGACTTTGGAGAATCCAAACTCAATGGCCAGTCCTTGGATTTCTTGCCTGACTTCTGCTTCTGGGGTTTTGAATGAAGTGTAAGATGACGATTGTTGAGGTTTGATTTTGTTGGTAGGCTTTTGTGGTGATGCGGACACTTTCTTTTTCTGCTGATTAAATTCTTCTTCCTGTGCTTTCATCTTTTTAGCTGCTTCACGTTTTTTCTCCTCTTTTTCAAATTCTCTCATTTGTTGTTCCTCAGCGAGTTTTTGTGTCCTGATGTACTCTTCCTCTCTCTGTTTCCGCTTCTCGTACTCTTTCTTTATTTCGACCCAGTCCTTCTCGATGTCGCTTTCCAAAGCTATTGCGTACTCCTCAGGAGATTTTAAGTTCCAGTTTTGACATCTCCATTTTCATTAACTTGACAGCTTCTGTTTTGGAAGAGATTCATCAAGAGCAAAACCACCCACCCACCAAGTCAACAATCATCATCAATTCGGAAAACCACCCACCCACTATTTTGATGACGTAATATATGGACGATCCCTAGATGAATCTGGAACCTCCATTACACGAAAATAATCAATATTTAACCTTTAAATCAAGTAAAAAAATCTGTCTATCGAGAAAATGAAGTTTTATTGTGGTTGGTTAAATCTATGCAGCTTACGAAGGCTTTATTATTTAGAACGATAAGTATTTACTAGTTTTTACTCGAGGGTGTGGTCATTTCCTAGCTACACCCTCTAGTCATAGACACCAAGAGCTTGTTTTCCTATGAGGTGTTGGCAACACCTTGTTGCTATTCTAATTTTCTGAAAATATTGCACAAACAGAAAAACACACATCGACTTGGAATCCTAGGAAATATGTTCATGAGATGAAATTTGACACTTATTTCCAAAGCAAACGCAACACTAATTTTTATGTCGAAATAACAGAAATAAGTATGCATTCAAAAATAACTGTCATTTTCTGTCTCAATACACTAAAAATCTAACCTTTGCATGCAAAATATTGTTTGTATAATTAATTACCTTGCGGATAACGCAGCTTGATATTTGCCTTCGAATCTGATTAAAACAGAGTTTACAATGGTTTCATAAAGTCCAAGAAACTGAAATTTCTCCAACTTCACCCTGTCCAATGAATTCTCGGTTTGGTCACTGCAACTAATTTGACTACTATGAAGCACGAAATATGCAGAACTCGTTATAATACCTATACATACATATGTGCATGAATCAAGAAGAAGCAGATTTTCCAGTATATGTCATATGTATGTAGCTAGCATTAAATAAATTCATGAAACGTTTACCATGGCCTGGTCCAACTGCACACTTCTTCCTGCACCAAGATCTCACAATGCTATTTACAAATTTAAACCATTATATATTTGTTGTAATGCAAGTTGCAATGCAACCGTTCTCAAGTACATAAATCCATACTTGCCCTTATCATACAATTTTGAGTTTTAGCAGATAACGAAATAAGTCGAATACGTATAATTACTAAAGGAATCGTAGGCATAGAATTCAGAACGGATTTGGACCTATTCGTCATGCACATATTTAGACCGCATAATATTTTGTGTACGGTCTACCTTATGGCTCCACGTACTTCTCGACCCGTAATCTAATTCCATTCTTTTACACCGGCAATAATAATGTCGGATAATATTATTTAGTAAATGAACGATTTGTGGACGTGATCACTTTACATGACATCCTCCTCTTGAACCAAATACAATCATTCATATTTCATGACTGACCAATGTGAATGTGCCCATGTAATCAGAATCACGAGCTGTTTCGTTAAGTAATGTGGAGCCAAATCTGTGGAGGACAAAGACTAATAAACTGAGAGCTGGATATCGTTGTGCATGTGCATGATGCATAGCTAAACTAAACGAAACGACGCATCCAATTTCATTGTTTAGTCGTATTCGTCTCCAATTTATGCAAAACGTTATTCTAAATAAATTCAGACTAGCTCAAGTTAATGTTGGTAGCGGTAGATAAGTCTAGCTTTACAAGCAGCCTGATTTTTTCCACTTCTTCACAGTTGCAATCTGGATGTGGACTTGCTGTTAAGATTTTCATCAAGGCTTTCTTTCTTCTTTGTGAGTGTGCATAGACGCTGAAAAGGTATTAGAACGAATTATTTGAACAATTTAAATTCCAGAAACTTGTGACTTTTGATATGATTCTATAAATGAAGCATTTATCACTTTTCCATAAAAAATTGAATAGCTCATATATAATAATTTATTACAGATTTTGTTTCGTTCCCTGTCAATTTGTCGGCGATATTGAGTCGTTCAAATAGCAATTTTTCCCAAATTTGGTAAGAAAATATTAAGTTTCCTTTCTTATTTTAATAAGTTGGTTAAGATTCCTTGCATTTTAATCTGTGTCTTTCAACCTTCGATTAAAAATCATAATTTCGTCATAAATACGATTATGTAAGTAGCTTACGTGGGAGCTTATTTAGAACAAACTTCATAGTTTTGTAAATTGATTTTCGGCAGTCCATGCAAACTTTTGTTTGCGAATATCGCTATGTTACTTACATAATATCATTAATGAGATACTAATGAAATCAACTTTAACGTATGTTTAATTATACAGATTTTTGGCAACTTTTACCGCCTACTTGGAATTGATTAAAGTACAAAGCATTTCATTTTCCGGCATACCACAAGTCCACCACCCAAGACACAAGAGATCAACGCTTTACTGGTAAGTAATAATCTTTGTTTTATACTTTTCTGTATTTTTCTGCTTCTGCTGCATATGTAATTCTAATCATTTTTAACGAGTAGCACGACCTGCTTGTAATTTGCTTTACATTTTTATCCAACTAAAATATCTACATATGTACATCTCTCATCACACCGACTGCAACTATATTGGCATCCATTCTCTCCATATAACAGAAAACTACAACAAAACGCATCTCCGTAAACATGACCAGCCTACAAAACCCTCACGGTCCACTTCAAATCATCGACTTTGTCGAAAACCCTGACCCCTCCAACAAAAACCGGATGCTTCATTTGAACGAAGATGTCCTTTCAACCGTATTTCAAGCTGCGGGAGAACGACGCATCGCCATAATTTCCATTGCAGGCCCGTCTCGCAAAGGGAAATCTTTCTTCCTCGATTTCTTAATCCGCTACCTGGAAGCTTTTGAAAAGGATGACTCCGACTGGATGGACTGGGACGATAAGAACAAACCCCTCGAAGGATTCTCTTGGCGAACTTCGATTGAGCGAGAAACTTCTGGCATCGTCATCTGGAGCAAACCTTTCATCATTAAGGCGAACGGTAAAGAGATTGCGGTACTGCTGATGGACACTCAAGGCACGTACGACGAGTATACGACTGAACGCGAAATGTCTGCTATCGTCGGCCTCACCCTTCTCTCCTCGTCTTGTCTCATCTTCAATTTTTTCAACGGGATTCAAGAAGACGTCTTCAACTCGCTGGACACGTACATCAAGTACGGACAACTTGCTCTGGGAGGTGACGACGATGATATGGAGGTCGATCAAGACAAAGTCACCCCGTTCCAGAAACTTGTATTTCTCATAAGAGATTGGAATATGCCAACAGAATTTCCATATGGCTCGAAAGGGGGGAAAGCGTATCTGGCGGAGAAGTTGAAGATTAAGGATAAACTGACGGAAATGGGGGAACATGTGAGGAATCGTTGCGCCTCTGTTTTTCTGAGTTGGATTGCTGCCTCCTTCCCGGTTTGGGGGAGAAAGCCACACAAGAAGGGTTTAACGGATCCTTGGCCCAACTTTCTCCCAACTTTTGCAAAAAATTGGAAGAGATGATTAACGATGTTCTCAACCCTGATGACCTCCCGGTAAAAAGTGTGTTTGGAAATGAAATCCAGGCCGTCGATATGCCCAACTATTTCAGACAGTATGTACAAGTATTTAACCAGGATGAGCTCCCAAGTCCGATGAGTTTAATGGAGGCGTCCGCTCTAATATCGAATGGTCACCTGGTGACGAATTCAGTTAAGAAATATGCAGAACTTATGAAGAAAAAGCAGAGGGGAAAGCAATTCATGGCAGATGGTTTACTCTCATCTTCTCATAAAGCAGCCATGGCCGATGCAATGAAAGAATTCAAGTCGGCTAGAAAACTTGGCAGTAAGGAATCCATCCAGACTTTCGAGGAGGATCTTAACTTAAAAATTTCCGAGGCTTTCACCAAGTTCGATAATGACAACAAGACAAAGAGAGCAAAGCTTATTGACAGTGCGGTGCAGAGCTCTGTCACAACATACAGAGAAGCACTGCAGTCCGAGTTTGAAGATGATGATGCTTTTCTGGAGGAGAAGAAGCTTAAAAATCTGGCACAGTCTCATCAATCGACCGCATTATCAGAACTGAAAGAAAATCTGATAGAATGTGACGACGTATTGTTGGAGCAAACCGAGTCCGCACTGGAAAAAAAGTTGGAAGAGGAACAAGAAAAATGTTTGCAGGACAATAAAACTAGGAAACTAACGGCCGAAAAGAAGATTAGTACAGCTATAAAGGGAATCTGTGACCTGTACGAACAAGACTTGTCAGACCATTTGGATGAAGATAAGTACATAACGTTAGAAGAATTGGATGCGTATGATAAAGAAAGTCGGCCAGAATTTGCCAAGAGATTTGAAAAAGTGAAAAAATTAGGACCCAAAGATTTCATGTCTTTAGAAAGAATTTGGACTCTGATTTGCAACAATTATTTGAAAAGATTAAGAATAACCAAGAAATTGAGCTCAATAAGGTGGAAGCCGAAACATCGTCCCTTCTGGATCAAACTTTTACAGAGTCAGTCGAATTCTTCCGGTCAGAATTGGATATTGATAACGACATCGCAAAGGAACAAGCAAAACTCCAGAACACGGAAGTCGCCGTGAAATATTTAAAATCAAGACTAAGTATTCCAATTGAAAGCAGAATTGGCCAGTCGCTCCTGGAGAAATTAAGGGAGACACTCCCTATAAAATTTGAAGAGGTCGAAAAGGACGTCGTTAGAGAACGGCAAGAATGCGAAACAAGTTACAAAGACGCCGTGGAAGAAGGGTACGATATTTACGTTCAAGATATTGTACATTTTATTGGGAGTAATTTCTGCGAGGAGGACGAACTGGATGAAAAGCATCCTGACTGGAAAGAAAAAGCAATCGCAACTCTCTCCGCATACTTCAAGACTGCTATCCACCCTAATCATGACAAATTCGTGGCTCAACTAGATCAGAAAATTGAGAAATATTATGAAGAAAACAAATTGCATAATTCAGAGAAAAGAAATCTCGCCATATCAAAAGCACAGAATGCGGTTCATGAACACCATCAAGCTTATCAGAAAGAAATGATGAATAACTTAAATCTCGCCAAAGACGAAGATCATTTCACGGCGCTTCACGAAGAAGCTGTCACTGCAGCGATTACATCGTTTAAGACAAGCTGTTTGAGTCTGAATTCATCAATAATTGACCCACTTCTAGAGGAACTCAATAACAGCATGGACACAACTTTCAACGACGAGCTGTTGGACGTGTTTGACTTAAAACTAATGGAAAGAGAAATCGGAACCACTTCCGCTATCGCAGACGCTAGAAAGCTTTATCGAGAAGAGATGGAAAAGCACTACAAAAATGCCGAGTTCATGCGTCCAAAAGATTTGGAGGAGCTGCACAAGAGCATGTCAACCCTCGCCATTGACAAAGCCAAGGAGAAAGCACCAATATCCGAAATCCAGCTCGCAGACTTGGAGGCAGCTTTACTCGAAACCTTTGACGTTTACCGAGAGCAAAATGATATGAATGTTCCTGTCGACCCTGCCATCGGGATAGATTTGGGAACTACTTACTCATGCGTCGGAGTGTATTTGAACGGCCAAGTCCAAGGAAAAAACACGCTCCCTTCCTACGTCAGCTACAAAGACAATGGGAGCGTGTCAGCTGTCGGAATTCCAGCCAAGGAAACTTCTTACGATAACGCCGAGAACACCGTGTTCGACGCGAAACGAATCATTGGGCGAAGTTTTGACGACCCTGTCCTCCAAAATGACATGAAATACTGGCCATTCACCGTCGTGGAAGAGAAGCAAGTCCCAAAGATTGAGATCGGAAGTAAGAAACTTTTCCCGGAACAGGTCTCCGCCGAAATACTGAAAGAAATCAAGACGGCTGCAGAAAAATATTTGAACTGCAGCGTGGAGAACGCAGTCATCACTGTGCCAGCCTATTTCAACGACGGGCAACGCCAAGCAACGATCGACGCTGGTGAGTTGGCAGGACTTAAAGTTCTCAACGTGCTATCAGAGCCTGTCGCAGCTACGGTGGCATACAAACTGCAACATACCGACGACTCTCAACGCCACGTGTTGACCTTCGACCTAGGCGGAGGCACCTTTGATTGTGCCATTATCAAAATTTCTAAAGGAAAGATAGAGACCCTTGCAGTGGATGGAGATGCGCATTTGGGTGGAGAAGATTTCGACCAGAACTTGATGAAATATTGCGCCCTCCAATTCCAGGTAGACCATGGCATTGACCTCATGGATGGGAAGGATTCGACCACTAGCGACAAGACAAGAGTTGACGTACGAAAACGCCTCAAGCGCCTCCAGCTTGAATGCGAACGGAGGAAAATCGCTCTCGCATCGTGTCGATCAGTGGACGTGGCTGTAGACGGAATTTGGAACGAGGCAGGTGTTTCGACAGATCTCAAGGTCAACGTGACCAGGGAACAATTTGAGCTGATGAATTCAGCTTTGTTCGAGAGGACGATTACGATTGTGGACAGATGTCTGAAAAGTGCTGGATTGAGCAAGTGGAGTATTGAGGATATCGTGCTGGTGGGTGGGTCGACACGGATACCGAAAGTGCAAGAATTGCTGAGCGACTATTTTGAGGGTCGGGCCCTTAATCATACGATAAATCCGGATGAGGCAGTGGCTTATGGGGCTGCGGTACAGGCGGCAGCATGGAAAACTTGCACAGGAGTCGATGGATTTCAATAACATTCAGGACGTTACTCCAATGTCGCTTGGCATAGAGGTTTATGGCGGAGGATTTTCTGTCATTATTCCAAAGAATACAAAAATCCCGATCAAGTTCAAGGAGCAGTACAGGACGGCGCATAATAACCAAACCTCGGTCCAAATTACCGTCTACCAAGGAGAAGCTGATGTCGCTAAAGATAATAATTGGCTGGGAGAGTTCTTATTGAACAATATTCCACCGGAGGATGCTGGCAAGGAGAAGATAGATGTCACGATGGAAATTAATATGCAAGGAGTACTGCATGTCACTGCTGTTTGCACGAGCACAGGGGATAAGGATTCCATAAAAGTAATTGAGTATAAGAGAAGGATGGGGAAGGATCAGATTAAACGGATTTTGGATGAGGTCAGCATATTTACACCGCATATGTTTTTAGTACATTTTTCGAGTGCATAGCAATTCTAACAATTTTTTTGTTGATGTACTATTTACAGGCCAGACCAGGAGGAGCTTAATTGACTACTTCAATTATTTACATAATATTAGTAAATCATAAAAAGTATGAATAACTTACCAATTTTTTCTGTCACTCTGAAAGAGTATTTTGCATAATTATTTAATTAATAAAAACTATTTGATGTGAAACATAGTAAAACATACAATCTTCTCCTAAGCAGGCTCATACAGTTCAATATATTATGATCATTTCAATTATTGATTCAATGATAGGCATATTTAGTTTAATTGCATAATTATTTATGTTTCTGGATTCTCCTCTAAATTTGGGTATGTTCTTAAAAATATTTTTACACTCAACAACAACATGGTTTATGGTTTACTATAATCTTTCGTGAATTTCATGGTTTTATAAATCAGGGAACGGAGCTCAGGATGGAGATGGATACAATCGTGAAGAAGTAGGTTCCTCATTTGTGGCTTCTTATTTAGTCATTATTATTTTGTATGCATGTCATGCTTCAGCTTTTGCAGACATAGTTTTTCTTGCAGAATTATATGTAATAAGCACTAAATAATTATCTTATAATTACAGGATACAAACCCCACAACTGGAAACAAGGAACGATGGATATCATTAAAAACTCATTTCTTCTCCCAGCTCTGAAATTGGATGACCAAAAATTTGAATTTATATTCCTCCTGGATAATTCAGGATCGATGGCAGGAGCACCAATAGAACTGGCGAAGAAAGCTTTAAATGTTTGACTAGCTTTTCAAAGAAATAACACTATCAAAATTAAATATCACTGGAGCTATTGGAGATTTTTGTATGTTTTTTAGCTCATCCTGCACTCATTGCCGGCCACTTGTTATTTCAACATTATCACGTTCAACTCGTCCTTTCATCCACTTTTCTCCCAATCCATTCCATATAATGGGGAAAACTTGCAGAACGCTAAAGTACTTGTGAATGGTAAGATCTGCTAACCAATTAATTAAACAATTTGTATAATGAGGTTGAACTGATTCCAAGTTTGATGCATCCGATTTATGCCTGCGGGGGAACAGATATATACAACCCTTTGAAATATGTTTATTCACAACGACAGATTCCAGGATATCTAACCCAGATTTTTTCCATTACCGATGGCCAGGTACATATCTTGCATTGCTTGATAAATTTTAATTTCGTCTACGCACCGTATAACTGGTACTACATTTTATTTAGGTTGAGAATTGCGATGCGGTTCTGAGTTTGGTGTCCTCCATGGTGTCACATTCTCGAAGTTTTTCCCTTGGAATTGGAACTGGCGTCGACAGGAACTTGGTTATTGGGATAGCTGAGAACGCCGGTGGCATGCATGAATTTGTGACTTATGATGAAAAGATTGAGTCCAAGATTTTAAATCAACTAAAAATTGCCCAGAAACCTGCTCTCCTAAAGCCCATCAGACTTGGCCCTGCTCAGCTCATACTGGACGGGTCGTATTGATGGCAAATTCTATCCATATTAATCGGAATTTTCTGGATTTCTTAAATGGAAACAGTGGAAACTAATGTAATAAAGAGATGAAATATATGCATGATATTTTATAAACAGCTCAGTTAAGTACGTGCACTGGAAAACGAACAATTGGCATTCACAAATTCGAAATTTATTGCAATATGAAGAAATTAAATTAAATATTTATTACAATAAATAATACGCACTAATTAATTACCTCATTTTTCATAAATACACACTCACTTGTTCGGTACTTATATTTCATGCTACAATCTTTACAGCTTCGTCGAACATCTCGTCCGCTTTATGAGCAGCATTCTGCATCAACCAGATTCGAGACTTATCCGCGATCAATTCCCAATCGTCTTGAAGGGAGGCCAGCTTTTCCTTAAGAAAGGCAAGGACAAGAGTAACTGCAAATGCTTTAGAATCCCAGCCTCGTTGCTGTGCTCCTGAAATATGTTGGATATAAAAAAATTAGTATCACTTTTGACCCAATTTTTTGCACTTATCAATTTTCTATAACATTACGTTGACTGACGACAGTGTGGTTGACACTAATTGCTGCACAAACTGTAGGGTCCAAATTGAAAGAGCCGTCAAATTGCTGAAGGGCCACAATTCGGTGCATTAAGTCGGTTGAAGCCATTGTTCCAGTCTTTTTTAGTTATAATTCGTAGGATTTTTATCCAATTCTATAAAAAAACCGTAAGTATCAATACATGATAAAAAATTAACTTTAAGAAAACTTACACTGATGAAAGAAAAATGATGTCGGTTTTGCACATGTAGACCACAATGGAAAATATTAGTTGACTAACTTAACAGTTGAGTTTTAATTTAAACGAAAACGAAAACGTGATGCCGGTTGAAAGACCAAATACGTTTAGTGAATAAATTGCATAGATGTATAATAAATTGTGACTACAGATAGGATAGGATATGACCACGCTCAGGATCTTACTCATGGAAATTGAATGTAAAGTCGTTCGCATAACAAGTATTTTCTGTAGTTGTAATGCTAAATAGGTAGTGCTGTAAGTTATATCATAATGCTTCAACACGTACACCACAGGACACCAGTGCAGATTGGTCCCGTTAAATATTGCATGGAAATATGTATATATTTATGTACATATGCATGTATACGTATGCAAAATGAGCTCTGCATACTCAATCGTTTTCCCTTGCATTAAATGTGCTGCAATGTTGCAGGGACTTTTATATCATGTGTAAAATCTCTTTATTTTGTGACTTATAATTAACTAACATGTTTCAAAAAATTAATATTTACTTCATGACATATGTCAAACAGTCAATCAACCAATCGTAGTTGAATGGTCTTTCTTCTCCAACTGTTCCAACCACATGGACGCGTATTCCCCACCTTTCGCCAGGAGAGTTTCATGCCTGGAAATTAATTATAATTTAGTTACATGCTCACGCTTTCCCTTGACAATGAATGAAATTGATGCTCTAAAGCAGAATATGCTTTCACTTACGATCCACTTTCAACTATTCGTCCTCCTTTGAGTACCACAATTTCATCTGCATGCGTTATCGTTGACAGTCTGTGCGCCACGATCAGACTCGTCCGATTTTTGCAAATGTTTTTAATGACGGATTGAATTTTTCGCTCAGTTTTTGTGTCAAGAGCCGACGTGGCTTCGTCGAGGATAAGAATTGGAGGATTTTTCAGAACAGTTCGGGCAATTGCAATGCGCTATAAATGGGATTAAATACGATCCACGATGCAAAACATTTTAGTATGAAAATCAATATTAAAATATTTTTATGTATGTATGTACCTGTTTCTCCCCTCCGCTAAGCTTTAAACCTCTCTCTCCCACCTGAAAAAGGTGTAAAATTTATATTATTTATTTTATTTATCAAGTATTTTAATTTTTTAACGCGCAGTTCACCTTGCTGTCGTATTTATCTGGGAATTCTAAAATTGCTTCATGAATGCAGGCACATTTTGCTGCATGTTGGACATCATATTCCGTAATTTGTTCCATTTCATCAGTAGGTTTTCCATACTTAATATTATTGCTAAAAGCAGATTAATACATATCATAAAACCTAGTTTTGCGCGCATCAAATAAAATTAAGCATACTTACGTAATAGTATCATCGAATAATACACAATCTTGAGGAACAACTCCAATTGTTCCTCGTAAAGAAGCTTGTGTGACTTTGGTTACGTCTTGATTATCAATTAAAATCCGTCCAGATGATGAATTGTAAAGCCGAAATATTAATTTCATGACGGTGGATTTGCCCGAGCCAGTTGGACCAACCTGTGGCACAAGTAAGTGTTGAATGAAGTATTTAATTATTTTTTGCTAATCAAGCAAAGTACAAAACGAAAATTCAGATTATTTATATACATACCAGTGCCATAGTTTTCCCAGCTTCTACTCTAAAAGTTACTTCAGAGAGGACTTCCCTCTCTGGCACATAGCTAAACGACACATTTTCAAATCTAATTTCCCCATCTGTGACTTCTAAATTAGGAGCGTTTGGAACATCCACAATCTCTGGGGCTAGTTCCAGTAATTCCGCAACATCAGCAGCATCAACTGCAACTTTTTGACCCCATCTGTGAAATATTACAGAGTTGTATAATCCACAAAATCATAATGATACTCAAAATTTTTACCCAACTTACTCATACATCCAACTCATAGAATCAAAGGGCGCATACGTACTCCAAAAGAACGCTTCTAGCATGACAAAGTCGCCCAGTGTGAGTTCAGAGTCTCCAAGTACCATCCAGTAGCACCACATTTTCGCCGCCGTCTGACCCACTGTTCGAACCACATTCTCCAAAAACCAAGACATAGTCGAGGCAAATTTTGAATTAAATTTAAGCTGAGTCGTCTCTTCAAATGCTTCTTTGAACCTGTGGATTTCGTAACGTTCCTTGCAAAAGTATTTCACCGTCTCATAGTTGAGCAGAGCATCCACGGATTTCTTCATCTTTGCTTTGGAATCCTCCTTGTCCATCTTTTCTAATTTACTTCTCCACGTGGACAATAGAAATTTGGCGACAACGAGGAAAGCCGTGGTGAGAATGACGATGCAAGTTATGTTCCATGGATATCGAATGGCGAGGTGCGTTATGGAGACGTAGAGTTTTAACCACTGGGGAATTACGCTGAGTAAAATGTTTTTCATAAAGTAGGTAAAGTCTGAGGACGATGACTGCAATTTGGTAAGTCGACCCCCCGTCCCTTGTTCCAAGTGCCATCGAACACTTTGATGCTGTAGTCTGGTGTAAATTTCGACCTGGGTTCAAAAAGAGTACATGTTAAGACTCTTAACTTAAGATCGTGAATATTTTGTTGAATAATGTGTATATTTAGGGGGTAGAAAATTTACCTGAATTCTGCCCGCAGAATCAGATTCGACATTTCTCCACAAGTAGGTGCGAATATTGTGAGTAATCCCGTAACACGAGGTCACGTCTAACAAGGCCGTGAGAAGGAGTAGTTCCCAGCGAAAGTTCGCCATATTCAATTCGATTTTGGCCTGTGTGTGGCTATCGGAATTGTTGGTCATGGATGAGGAGAAAGTCATCGAGTCCACTAAGCAAATCAATAATGAGTAAATATTTGTAGTTGCAATTTCCCATCGATTTTTTTTCACAAAAAAATACTTTATCAATTTTTTCTTACTGATTTTTTTATTCAAAATTTGCTGGAACAAGTCGACGGGTAGGTCAATGAGTACTAAAAGTATACAAACTCCTGCGGACACTCTCGCTTCATAACTTTTTGGAATAAAGTATGGCTTCAGAAGAGATATAACTTTTCTTGTGTGGGCGATTGATTTGGCTATCTCAAGTTTTTGATAAGCCTCGACTAGTCTTTGACCGTATAGTTCATTTAATAATAAAATTCCTACGGATACATACCTGACTAAAAGTGTGACATAACAGTATGAAAAATATGTGGATTGATCACCTTCAATAATTGAAAGGATTTGAAGGAATTTGTAAAAAAGGACTATATTTTGGACTAAAAATAATCTAAGTATCCATGATATAAGATTTTTTCCATTTTCAATTTCGAGAATTTCACTTAAAAATGGAACGCTAAATACTTTGAGAGCTAACGTTAGGGTTAGAAACAATTGAATGTGACTAGATATGAGAGTAAAGTCTATGGAATTTACGGTTGAGTGAGGAAGTAAAAAAAATTCGAAAAGTGATACAATCGAAGTAACGCCAACTATAAATTTCTGTAAATTAAAAAATTGTATTATAAAAAAATACTCAACGTATTAAATTGTAAGGCTTACCGAAACATTTGATTTTACTTTTGCTGCTTGAAAATGCATAGTGCTGATTACTTGATTTAACTTTAAGCTAGATATTTTTCAGACAACTTTTATTTGAGATTGAATTATTTCCAGGAATTACTTATCCTTCCACCGGAATTGAACAAGTACTAAGGATGAGCAGGGTAGAGCACGCTCTTTTTCCCGACATTGACATTTGTAAATAATGGATCACTTTATGTACGTTGCAGCAACGTTTGTTGCTCGTGTTTGACACAGTACCACTACATACATTCGCAAATTGTTGTTTACTTGCTTACAAACGTGCGATAACGTCGGCTTTTCGCCTGCGGTTGTGGCATTACGTGTAAAATTGGTTTCATTGATGATTGAGGAGGAGATTGTCAATGTGCCATTCCCAATTTTGATGCCTTTTGGATATGCTGGAGATATGGGTGAGTATTTGAAAAGTGAAGGAGGGTTTTACTCCATGGCTCCATTTGTGAGAGCCACACCCCCCAAAAGCAGTACAACCACGAAGAGGGTCGGATGCAAACCTTTGCCAAAATTAATCCGATTTTGATCATTTTTGGATTTTCCTTATCCGGGACAGTTATTTTATCATGTCTCACGTGAAACTTAATTTACTACTATGATTTTTAAAAAATATTTAAAAAATATCCTTTATATATCTTTGAAACAATCAAAATTTAAAAGAAGTTGAGTTTTGAGTTTGATGTTGGACATCATAAAACAATTATCTCTGATAAAAAATGTCGAAATTAGACTAAAGATTGAATTTTTGGTAATGGTTTAAACTTCAAAAATAGTTTTCTTGTGCGTTTTGTTGCCTTTGAGTGGGTGTGGTGAGCATAAATGGGGCCATGGAGTAAAATCAGATCTTAGCATATTTATCGGTTACTATAACATGTTAAAAGGGCATCAAAATCGGGCACTGACACATTGACAATCTCTCCTCCTGAGTCATGATAAATATTGCGTGCAAAACTGCAAAACTGCAAAATAATAATTCCTGAGAAGATGACGTGGTAGCATTAGAGACAGGACTGATCATGTTCACCAGCAGGCAAAACAGGTGCCTCGTGTAGCATTGTGGAGTAGTCGTTGGAGTAGTCATACTGCTTTATGGTCATTTTTATGCAATGTGCACTCATCCTCAGTGTAGCTTCATATTCTTAGGATTAGTTACATTAGCAAATATACGGTTGTGCGTATTTGCACATATGTACATGTGTCACACGTTCAATTGACGTTACTCAGAATGGTCACTATCTTCGCAATTATTGTAAAATTTTAAATGCTGAAACTGAGAAACTTTTTAGTTTAATCTCAAACTGGAGTACGTCAGAAGGAAATAACAGATGTACATATACTCTTTATCCATGCAACTTTGAGCCGTGGCTATATCTAGCTCCATAAGAAACCCCCGTTTTTAACATTGCTCAGTATTTATGTCCATTTTCTGCTTCCAGAGTTTGTAAATTGGTCCTAATAATCTTGGATGAAATTAATTGAACTCATGGCGTTTATGAACTTCTTGAAATAAATACTAAAGCATTAAAGTTTCAATACAACTTTTTAATTCAATTATGAGCACTTATGTATCTATATACCAATGTGATAGAGTCACAACAAATTACTTACGCTAAAAGCTTTTTCCTGGAAATAGCTTTGAGTATAAGTGGAAAAATTTTCCACTTTGCCTAAAGTTATGATTAAGTTAATAAGGATAGTTTAGAGTGAATTAGGTGGCTATTTACATGTCATATGTACATTTTCATGGAGGATAGCATTTTTTGTATAATTGTATATAGATATATATATATATATATATGTAAATACCTGCGAGACAACGTTGTGCTGTATTGGAATAAGTGCATAATTGAGATAATTGATTTTGGGTTATGAAATATTTATTAATTACTTGAAAAATGACTGTAAGTCAATTTCATACGGTTTGAATCTTTACATACTTTCATGAAAATTTAATAAAACAACTAATAACAAAATCAAGTAACATTTCTTTCAACAAATTAATTTTTCTCGTGTTCCATCATATTTCCATTATTTCTTAATCTTCGAGGTCCCCGATTTTCCAGTGCCTGCTCGCTTTTGTTTCTTCTTCGCAGTCTCCCAAATCGGATCAGTCTCAGCAGGAAGTTTCCAATCCGGAAGTGCCAAACCTAATTGACATGTTGCCCAGCTATAGCAGTTGTGCGATTCGGTAGAATCTCCAGGTACAGGTTCCTTACCAACTAAATAATATTTGGGCGGGCAGTCGAAATCCAGTTGCACATTTTCAATCAACTTTTGACCCACCGTATTGCTTAACCGTGTCGACAAGTAGGTAATTTCGTCCAATCCGTTTCCAACCTTTTTCATCCATTGGGGTTTGAACAACGTGTTTCGACCTCCTTCAAAGTTTAAAAGTCTGATCCTCCCTGCGTGATCCTGGCCATCTTTCTTGCTTTTCCTTTGCACGAAGTCCATCAAGTAGGTGACTCCAGGCATTTTATTGTCCCCAGTTTGACTTCCTTCGAGCAGAATGAAAGTGTGGTTATGATAATTTGCTTCATTTGGGTATCGCTCCATGCGCGCTAGATGTACGGCCCACTCAGTTTCGGTTATCAGCCAAGATGACTCTATTTCGCTCATCCAGTCTGGAGACTGTGAAGTTAATGCAGTTTCTTTAATGTGCAAATCACTAAGTTTCTTCGCTTCCGAGTCCAAGTCTTGACCGCTTGATTTTAGATACCAGAGATCAGTCCCTTTCCAAAGTTTCTTAAGCTCTAGGTTTAGAATAGCAAGAAATTATGTAATATATATAATACCTTGTAAGTAAAAGTAATTATAGTATCCTTGCGCTTACCTTTACTCACTGCCTTGAAAATTTGTACTTGTCTTAAAAGTAAGCACAGATCTTTCACAGTTGCCTTTGGAACTTGCGTGCGCCATGATTCTAGGCTATTTCGGAATAGCCTGAACAAGGAGATTTCCCCACGGGTGTACTGCTCCGTCAGTTCAGGTGGGGTGTCAAGTTCTTTGCAAAAGCTCTCCCAGTTTTTATACATAGTTGGAAATCGTATCAGTTTGCCAGCAACCTTGGCCAAGTTTCTACCTTCCAATGACATGTTGACCAATCCACTTGAACTTCGTTTATTTATTGAGAATATATTGGAAATATGTGTAATTACGAATTATTTAATTTTGGCGAAAAAAGTTATTGCAAGAGTTAAGGTAGGGCAGGTAAGTTTACCACAACACAGACAATCAGAACAGTAAATAAACCACCACAATAACACTTAGGTATTATCGTAGAGTTATAAGAGGATTATCCACTCGTTCGCTCAGGAAACGTGCTGCACGTCACGTGCCATATCCTCCTATGGTATTTAACAATGTGGGATAGGACACGTGACTTGAGGCGCGTTTCTTGAGCAAACGATTGGATACCAATGTGATTAGCATAAAACGTTTTGTATGGAAGAATAATATGTTCACAGTGTTATCTATTTCCCTTTACACCTTCGCACAGCCCGAGCCAGATTTAATTTTATAGAATTATCCAAAATCTCAGTATTTTAAAGAAATAAATATCAAGAAGAATAAATTAAATTATGTAAATTAAGTTAAACTATGTACTACTGGTTAAGTGGAAATATATTTTATATGCACTTACGGAAATTCATAATACCAGGGATGTAAATGTCCCATAGATTTCAAATACTATCCAAAAACCAGAAATCGATAATACATGTTCATAAATCTCAGTCAAACATTTTCATCACCACAGGTTCTAAAACAATCGAAATCTTATTATCTCAGGATAATTTTGTAATGTCTGTTTTATATGCCAGACCATCGAGCCTTTGTGGGTTGGGATTTTTGGGGTATAAAATCTTGGAAAAACCCTGACGCGTAAGGGTTTTTGTGGGGTTTTCTTTAAGGGCCCGGGGGAAGATTTACTTTCGAAAATTGATTTTATGTTAGCAACAATAATTGCTAGGAATCTAAGATTATTTATCACTCTATAAAGTTACGACCACGATTAATTGACACCGTTTCTATGGCACGCTCACGTCCAAAAGCTTCTGTTTGATCACTTTTCCCTCAAGTTTTTGAAAAAAGGTTGTTTTCTTTTGTTCCATGGATACTCAAAATGCAATTCATGCCATCAATTTTGCAATTCTAAGCCAATTTGTGCTCTCTTTATGACCAAATATCTCCACTGCACAAGAGGGCACATTGTCAAAAAAAATGTACGTAAAATCTAAAGATATGATTAACAAATTAAACATAATTTGAAAAATGTGCCCTCTTGTGCATTGCTGAATTTTATTGTCAAAGTTGACGTGATTTCTAAGCAACTTCCCCCAGGCCCTTAAACTAATTTTTTACAAGCATAAGTTTCGTAGTCAAAGATTATTTTGGTAATTTCGACTTTCTGAACATTTACGCATATTCAAAAGGATCACTTTTATTAAGGAGGGGAGCTTGCGAGGTTGATAATAACAGATCCTGATGCCCTTTGGATATGTGGTAGGGTCCCATGAGTGTACTAAAACCCTGAAGTGGTTTAACTCCATGGCCACATTTGCGCCCGCCACACCCACTCAAAAATACCCAAAAAACGCTTTCACTCCAGTTTTCACTCACTCAAAACCTCGCCAAAAATCCAATTTTACTCGGATTTTGAAATTTCTTTCACCATTACACTCCCAGATAGTTGCTTTCTTCAATCCAATATCAAACTCAATTTTGCTGATGATTATTCCGCAGGGATAATTTGCGTTGTTGATTACTACAACAATGCTCATTCAGAATTTTAAATTTTAAAAATACTAAAAATTTCGAAAATATTGAGTTTGATATTGGATTGAAGAAAGCAACTATCTGGGAGTGTAATGGTGAAAGAAATTGCAAAATCTGAGTAAAATTGGATTTTTGGCGTGGATTTGAGTGAGTGAAAACTGGTGTGAAAGCGTTTTTTGGGTATTTTTGAGTGGGTGTGGCGGGCGCAAATGTGGCCATGGAGTCAAACCACTTCAGGGTTTTAGTACACTCATAGGACCCTACCACATATCCAAAGGGCATCAGGATCTGTTATTATCAACCTCGCAAGCTCCCCTCCTAAGTCAATTCGTACATGAGATAACTTAACCAAAAAAATTATTAAGTGGAGCATAAACCATAGCATAAGTATATGTACATACATATGTATGTATTTACATAGTCACTAATGTTAGTCGCATAAAGAATCTTAATATTTTGCATGATCAGAGCTACAACAACATATGTACATATCTATGTACATACATAATATGACCATGTTCGTAATATCATGAATTCGAATGGTGCAGATCAATAATGGTGCAAATCAATAATGGTGCCTAATATTCTAGACCCTCGACCTTGTTCGCTTTTACCCAGGCATCAAATTTTCTTATCATTTCGGAACTCAATTCTTCCTTCCAAGAACCAACTTTGCCCTTCCGCATGAACGTGAACGGTTCTTGTCCTTCTTCACTTTCACCAAGTTTGTGTACATTTCTCCGCCTGGCTACCGTTTCCTCAAAATTGCAGGCAGGATTATTCCGCATTGCGTGAAAACTTAAATGCTCCAACAATTCTGGCATGGCAGCTGGTGGTATATGTTTCTTAAGAAAGTTTGAAAGTTTCTCCAGCACGGAGGACAAGTCCTGTCAATTTTTAAGGAAAGCTACATTTTTTCAAAGAAATATAGGCAGTTTATTATGTGTTCGTACTTTGCTCATATCCTCGTATTTCAAGAACATAACGTTTTTATGGTCTCGTATTTCCCAAAAAGGTTGGACATGCTTCCAGTAAGGTGCGTAAAGAACTGGATAAATTAGAAATTATTAATCCACTATTCATATCAATTTTGCAATGCAGGTTACATATGTATATTTTGTAAGCGTACCACTCTCGGAAGTGAATGCGTCAACGAGTTCATCCAATGTGCCTTTATATCCCAGAAGAGCTCTCAAGTCGTGAAAATATGAAACGCAAGCATCTTTTGGGTTCCGAGCGACGTAAACAACTCTGCCGCAAGGGAATGGTTTAGTGCGGTCATTTGCGGTGAGAGAATCTGTCAGTTCCTTAGGAAGAAGGGACAGAGGTAGATGCGTCTTGATGACCCGAGGAGATTTGGCCTGTGCGACGATATCGACGCTGTCCATAACCATTCCCATGAGGGATGGATCTCGTTCTGGTTCCAGGGTTGGTACCAATGCAGAAACTCTGAAGAATTGAAAATGTGTGTACAATGCGCATAAACCAATTTTCATACTTTTAGTAAAAATTTTAAATATTTAATACTCGAGATACGGTGATCTTTCCAGGAGAGGTTGTTTCGCAGCCTCATAGTCCAAATCATTTGCGACACACCATACCATTTCCTGAGTCCATGTTGTTCCTTGACGAAATTTGTGTCCTTACTTTTTTGTGTGGGTTATTAAAATGTTAGCAAATCTGCTTACCTGATTTTGGGAAAGTGACCACCCAGATATCATCTGGTCGGAGTTTGAAGTTCTTTATCTTTTCGTGTAGTCGAATGTAGCCTCTCGGCACAACAATTTTCTCTGGCCCAAATTTTACAAAACCTTCAGTGTGCATTTTGGTGGACATATTTTCGCACCATGTTTTCCCTGCGGGATCCGTTATTTCTTGGAGCAAATCCATGAGAGTGGTTCAATATTTCCTGTAAAGGAAGTCTGAAACTTCTTAATGTAAGATTCGAATGAATCCACGAATCGGATAAGGGCTGAAATAATTTATTGGAATAATTACCTTGTATATTTGGGTGTTTAAAATGAGAAAGTTGGCAGAAACTTTTATGAATTTTGAATACAATTTAGTGTCAGCTCAGCTCGTGAAGATAATAAGTGCAACTACATAATGAAACTATGAATGTACACATTTACAATAATTTACATAGATATTACCATACATATCTAACATGGCTGTTAATGTATAAAGTTAATCGTAATCTGCTCCGCATAAAATGCTGGCCTTTACACAGTGTAAGATACATATCTGTCCCAAGTATGTAATTTCTTAGCATAACATACATATCCATGTACATATGTCAAATTCTTTAAATTATAAGAATATTTATGTAGGCTAATCAGAATATTCACGTTTATTTTGACATGTTCGTAAGATAACCCAGAAAGTCAATTTAACATCGGTATTATTATGCATTTAATTTAATTAACTAAAATAAGATAGGCTGAAGTATCGCATTTTTTTTACCCATTTTTTAGCCATTAGCCATATTATATATGTACCTTGTATAATACTGGTTGTATCCAGCAGCAGGCAGTGAATATTGTATACCTAAAGATTAGTGTCTCATTCATTCGTCATCATGAATCTTCCAAAACTCTCCTCGAAAGCATTATCACAACGAATCGCACAACTCTTTACATTGTGTATAATCATAAGATTCACATTTTTTGTCAAAGTCTTTTCATCCCATTCATATCACAAACTGACTCATTTCTAAAGATCCTTGATGAGATGTGCATTGTATGTTTCTTTCTCATACGCAAGGGTTTTTTTCTCACCTTTGCAGGCTTTGTTCCTTGGCGTTCCTTGGGTGCGATATTCATATGCTCTGACGTTTAAACTTCCTCCAAAAATAACCCTCCGGGTTCAGTCACATTTTCAGGTACATGCATTTATTTGTTTCTTATCTGAACGACAATGAATGAGTAGGCAAAATTTGAAATATGATGTACCACTATTTATTTGCGTCAATTAAAAAATGGTATAAAATCCATGAAAGTTGAGGGAGAAGTGGTCATTAGTGCCAAATAAGCATTCGAAAGCACATTGAAAAAGCCATATCGATAGACTTAAGGAAAATATTGTCATGGATCGTTTCGAAATGTGGAGAAACAAAGTTAAACTTGTTCTATTAGTGGGAACAATTCTTTGTCATGGAGTGACCGCCAGTCCGCCTCAAAAGGAAGAAGTTGGAGAAATTGGTGCCACAAATCTCGAGCCGTCTAGTCAGAAACTTTGGGACTTGGATCCCTTTGGTTCTGATAATGGCAGTAATGACGTAGTGTATAGCGATTACATCTTAACGCCTGCCTTTCCTTCGTTCTCGAACGACGATGAGGGTTTGTGTAAAACAATATTTTACAAATTAAGTATTTACATTAAAATGCTCATTGATTTCAATCTTATTTGCAGAGTTGCCTCGGAACGTTGAACAGACGGATGACGCGTCGGAGAGGAGAAAACGATTTCTTAGTAAGTTTTTCTTATAAGCTAAATAAATAAAAAAAAACTTAAATCACAGTATTGAATTGGAACAAATTTTAGTTGACATACTTATAATGGCAATTTTAATTTCCTGATACTTAGACTTCTATGTTGGAATTGGATTCAGGAAGAAATACCGACGTTATGGAAGACGTAAGTCGAAATAATTAAATTCATGTAGCAAAATGCTCATCAATCATGGGTATTTTGCATAAATGTTAAATTGTTTGTTCGTTGTTTGCAGGAAATTTTTATTATGGACGCTGAGTGATCATTTCCCATTGAACAGAACACCTGCAATCTCTAAAGTTTACGTTGTAATTTTTTGAGATTAGCTTACGAAATTATTTTGACTGATACCAATAAATTGTGTGCAATGTGTGTACGGATAATAAAGCACCTCAATAAGTGTACAAATCATTATCACGCCTCCCATTTCTACAAATTTGTGCTATTGAATATTAACAATACAATTATATAACGAGATGTATTACATAATTTAATGGTTTTGAACTCCTATCTTGTTTTGACATGATCCTACAAGTAATTCAATTACCCATTACATAAATAAACAAAAATGGTGCCATACATTATCTTACATGCACCTTATCGAACTTAAAATTCCCTTATAAATAGATTCGACCAATACAGTCGCTATTTGCACCCGCTCGTGTGATTGTTCTGATATTCACTCGAAATATTTAGACTTTGGCATAAAATATAATTTTAAAATGCTAAGGTATTTTATTCTCGTTGTTTCATGCGTCACTTTAGCATCAGCCCAATCCGAAGTAACAATCAGTTTGTCTGCAACGTAAGTACTTAAAGTGAAATCTCAAATCAGTCATGTTGATCAATTTCTCATAATTTTTAAGTGTGTATATGTAGAGAGTTGCTTAATTACGATGGCTTTTCCGGATGTGACACTGTAATTACGATTTTCTGTTCATCTACTGCATCCCCGTGGACACAGTGCGGAGCGGTTGAAATGATACCGGACAATATGAACCCCGTTTTCCCAGAGAGATTCACTTTCCCTTATGCAATAGGAACGGGCCAGGTACAAGTACATGCTTGAATTTTGCATTTTAGGTGAAACATGGGAGACAGGAGAATTTTAATTGTTACATATTTGCTCCAATAGCAATGGCGCTTTGAACTTGTTGACCGCGATGTCCAGTTCGACGACCCTATTGGCACCGTGATCATCTCTGTGGACGAGTATATGCAAACTATCACGACCGGAGGGACCATGACGAGGAGAGCAGATATAAATCGACACGGATACCTTCATGTTAAGAGGGAATCGTGATTCTGTAATTGAAATCAGTTTTACACTTATATTTTATGTACAACCATTTCAATAAAATTTCAAGTGTAATGCTATTTGTCCCCGACACTTTATTTGCAATGCATACAAATATTTTAAATTATGTGGAATATGAATTACAGGAAATACAATTTGAAAATTTCTCAAAATTTGCTTTCAAAATGCATGTATTTTTTACTTTCATTTTTTAATTGGTGTACATATTCTAATGTCGTGGCGTCTAATGACTTGCTAGAATGCTCAAAAAAATAAACGTAATACAAAAAGCTACAGGCACAAAGCACTGTGTCAAGGTAAACTCCAATTTTGCCATATTATTGGTATTGGTACAGTATTCTTTGTGCAGAATGAATAAATCCATTACTTACAGTTATTTACATATGTACATACTTATATATATTTCAAGAACCCGTTTATTAAAAAAGTCTAAATAGGTATCGTAATTGATTTATTCACAATATCAAATGTTGCGTATTAAATTCGTATTTGTCAGGTTCAGGGGGTTCGGATTCGCTGACCGTGCAAAACTGGAGAAGCATTGGAACAGGAATGCAGACGTAGAATGGAGAAGGAGCCTTGAATTTGGAGTGGTCATGGAACGCAAAGACGGGAAGTGTCCAACAACACTCAATCTGCAAATGCATACTTATTTTAACATAAAAATTTAAACAAATTTTATGTTAGCCCAACTATTTTGCACGAACCTTTCTGCCTCCTTTCGTCTCGTTCCAAATTTTGAACTGGTACGAGTGCCTCTCAGATTCTTGAGAATCTCCCAAAATTGTTGTCCAGAAATACATCACATCGGTCTGGATGAAACAATGGAGGAGGAAAGTCTTTCCATCTTTGTACGTGATTTCGATAGGGATGGCACGTGAACTTGTGCTTTCTGAACATTGCTTATTACAATTCACAATTTATCAATTTGTTAAAGTTAACAGTGACAAATCTTACTAAATTTTCCATGGACGATGTGAATAAATCGTGTATTATGTCCCCCTACACAGGTTACTTTATGATCCTGGAGTAGATGCTGGGGGTAGTCTTGTAATGGGATTTTTAATCCGTCGCATTTTTTTTTTGGACATGTTGCGTCGCTAAAATATTTTAGTTGATTAGCGAATTAAAGATGAGTATATTGGTGGAATATTTGTTAGTAAATACCGGTAATAACAGCTAACTAGGTGACTTAATAGATTTGCTGCCGATATTGGAGTTAAGCATCCAGCCGACAAGTTTGGACATTTACATTTGAGATCAAACTGTACACAAATTAGTAAAAAATTATTAGTGATACAAATTTTAGTAAAATTATTTTATTTTATTGCCAGACTAACTTGTCGAGAAAGTCTTTCTGCAAGAGTAGAAACTTGAAGGTCAGATCCACATAATCCACACTTTTTAACTTTTTTAGCACAAATTCCACAGATAATGTGTCCATTGTCACAGTTGTGTATCGGCGAGGGAGGAACATCAAGGCAAATTGTGCACTCGATAGCTTCTCGTAATTTAGGAGAAGTTGGTTCTTGTTCCATCTTTCAAAAGTAAAACATACAAATGCGACTACAATGTTTCACGTTCAAGTCCAGAATTGAAATGAAACTTGGTTCAGTTCATGTTTTTTGTGTGTTTGTATACCTAACCGATCGTTTTTCTCATCAAAAAACGTAGACTACTTATCTGAACAGGAAGTCAACTAAATACGTCATTTCGTTAAATTTGGATGGGTTTCTGTTAAAAGTATTGCTTTATGACTTGTCTACAATTTAATTTAAATTTAATTTAATTTATTCATACAATAAGGCACCCTACTATGTAGGACATTACACCTCAAGGATTATCATCTTCTCTCAAGATCACCTTCTCTCTTCCTCACAAGATTTATTATTTATTAATTTAGATACTCCTTATTAACATATGCAACCTTTGCCTAACAGTGTAAAGGTACATACGTATACATAGAGTAAATATGTATCATTTGACGGAATGACATAATTCTGATTGCCACTAACAAATCGTGACGGTAAAATTCGTAAAATACACGACGCGGTATGCTTATTCCAATAGTGCATGAGCAAAGTAATAATTTGATACAAATGATAAGCTTATGCCGATATCGTCCAATGGCATATCTACATACCGTAAAACCTCTATTTATAGCCGGGGCTAAAATCCAAAACTGAGGGTCACGGACCCGGCTACAATTAGAGACCGGCTATAATTAGAGACCCGGCTAAATTTTGTTCCGCCCAAAATTTTAGATGTCACAAGATCAGGCTGAATTAATTTGAGTTTTCTTATTTAGCAAGATATGTTATTAGTAACCCATTCACTTTAAATCTGCATTTAACAGGTTTTTCTGAAGTTTCTGTCATGATTATATCCATTATTAACTTGAAATTAATGGGCAAAAATTAGTAGTTCAACTTATTCGTTGATTAGCATAATGTGCAACATTTTTGAATGAACGGGGACAGAGCTGAAAGACAGGCTATAATTAGAGACCCGGCTAAAATTTTAAAATCTTGGTCTCTAGACCCGGCTATATTTGGAGACCGGCTATAATTAGAATAGGGCTACAAATAGAGGTTTTACGGTATGTATGAAACACTAGCCCGTGTCATCAAGCATATTAATGGGTACTGACTCACTAAAGTTTCAGTCTGGTCACCCAAATCCATTAAATTATCAAATGTCTCATTTCACAATGGTGGCCAATGCTCTTGTACATTAATTTCACACAATTCACCTACAAATACATCAGTGCATACATACATATAACTCATATTATCAAATTGTCATATTGCCTCATTTTGAGTCCAGTCAACTCGTCCAAGCACAATACATACGTCCGTTTGAGGTGCAACCCATGCAACCATGCCCCTTATAAACAATATGCGTGCCTAACAAAACAACAAATTAGCCGCAGATATAACGCAAAATAATTACTACAAGGTGCTAAAGAAACCGACAATTATATAATTAAATATGTTTAAGCAGTGGTAAACAAGTTGCACCCGAAATTACGCACGTAGCCTCCAACCTGGTGAATATTTTGCACATAATTTATTCATGTATTTCCATTACACAAAATAAATTACAGATTGAAATTTATGACGTTGGAAAATTACAGCACGTTATTTAACAACTCAGGCAGACACGCGGGCCAAAAAACATTGTTCCACTTAATTTCAATATCACTATCATGGAACCATGGGATTGAAAATGCGTGCCAGGTGTTGCTATTTTATTTTGTTGTTATTCCGCATCTAAAATTATGATTATGATGATGACTGTATAATTCGTTAGAGAATTATCGGAAAATTATTTTTAATTTGGTTATCGAATTAATAAATAAATTGATCACCTCGTACAATGAAGCTCAAGTAATGCGCAATAAATTGATGGATTTAATCTGATTTTAAATCAGAAAACAGATATCAATTTAGAAAACTTTGTGCTAAACAACAATTACTAGAAATCATAAATTCAAATTGGTCTGAAATTCTAATCTATTCTTTAGATATACATATGTACAAATATGTTAGCAATTGGCGTGGATTGGCATTCCCACTTTTTCGCAAGGGTAGCAACCTTCAAATTGTTGAATTCTTCTTCAAAGTCTATTGCATAATTCATTTATTTAAATTATTGGACTATTCGCTAATTCCAACTACCTTTATTTTTTAGTTAGTCAAATTAAAGTGGCTAAGTGAGAGTTGGTTTGCAAATAGTTGCTAATACCACAAATTGCATTTACCAAAATTTCCACTTCATTCATGCCGGCGGTCCAATTACACTAAAGTTTCAAAACCTATATTCCATCATTGTCGGTTTGGACTAACTTGACCAAGTCCACATAACTTCTCCCTTCAGAAAAAAGTTGCAATTTATCCGCAACAATGGAGATCTTTTCAAGAGACTCCATCTCTAACGAGTTTGACTCCTATGTTCCCGTCGCGGTTGAAATCCCAGCTTCGGAACTTGCGAAAATCCCTGACGGTCAAGACCTTTTAATCCGTGTCAAGAAAAATTCGACCATCACAAATGAGTATATTCCGCATAATGAGGAGATCTGCTCAAGAAGGGCGTCCTCTCAAATTGGAGATGAAGACGATTACGTATTCCGAGTCAAGAAACCCAGCATTTGCCCCTCAATAGTGAGCACTGAATCCGTCGTGGGTGTGGGTGGGGCACATGGTCACCACGTCGAGGGGGAACATGCGACGAGGAAGACTTCGCGACAAGAAGGACTTGCCCAGTTGATGAGAACTTTAAGCGGAGCGTCGGCTTTCTCCAGTGGGAGCAGACCAGAGAGGAGGATATCCAGGAAGGAGAAGGATGAGCATGGTCATGGCGGAGAAAGGATTAAGAAGATTAGCAGAGTGGAAATTAGTGGAGATGATATTGAGAGGTAAATTAATATTTTTTAAAATTGCGAAAAAATCCACTTTGCAAAAAAATTTGCGAAAATAATTGACAATAACAGCATTACTTTATTCTGTTCAGGATAAAACGCATAAGTCGCGAGGGTCCTGCCGACTACCATATTAAGCACGTCGTAGAGCATCATCAGCATCACTACCCGAGAAAACCACAGTCATCCTTCCGCACTCGAGAACTTTCCACCCCTGCCGAGTTTGAGGAGGAAGAGAACATCGGGACGGGCACGACCGCATCGCCCACTCCGTCAGGCGGAGACGGGTTGAGGTCACGAAAAACCAGTGTCTTCTACCCGCACGGGTTCAGCCTTGCGGATGGAGTTGCTAACGAGACTTTTGAAGTTGATGAGAAGGATAAGGATGGCAAGAGGCATGAGCAGTTGGCATCCCCCGTGGGAGGAGAAAGTCCTTGTCCTGGATCCAAAACTGGTCAAGTCGTGATTCCATTTAATCCGGATGACTATGATTCAAAGCAATGGCCGCAGGTGATTGCTGCATTCGCGGGTAAGCATACCTTCTGAATTATGTGGAATTAATAATTGCATAGAATAAGATTTATATTTGCATAATTCAGCAAACATGGGAGCTCTCGCGTTCGGATCTGTGATGGCTTGGAGTGCAACGGGGCTCGCATCTCTGCACAATAAACATGACGGAATGCCAGATACGAGTAAAGAGGAGGATTCTTGGATCGGGTCGCTTGCCATTTTAGGAGCCCTTTGTGCCTGTCCTCTGGCTGGAGTAGGACTTGAGAAAATTGGCAGGAGAAAGGTCATGATTTATCTGACTCTTCCCTTTGTTCTGGGATGGTTGTCCATCGCATTGGCTCAGAATATTTGGATGATTTATAGTGGGAGGTTTCTGACAGGTGTGAATTTTTGCTAATATTTTTCTGCATGTGGTAGCTATATGACACATTTTTAAAATTTTAGGCCTTTGTGGTGGTGCTTTCTCAATGGCAGCACCAGCCTTCACTGCAGAAACTGCTGACCCAAAAATTCGTGGAGGGCTTGGATCCCTCTTTGATTTACTACTATCGGTCGGAATGCTCTACATGTAAGTAATCCCGAAAATATTATATTGTGCAATTTTTGGTTGTAATTTTTGACAAAACTTTTAATTTTTAGATACGTTATAGGAGCATTTGCTGACTGGCGGATGCAAGCTTATGCTTGCGCCATTATCCCAATCCTGTTCCACCTGTTGATGTTTTTTGTCCCGGAATCGCCCCGATTTTTGGTCGAGAAAGAGAAAACTGCCAAAGCGGAGAAAGCCATTTACTGGCTCAAAGGAGTGAAAACATCTCCAGAACTCATCGAGTATGAGTTGTCCGAGTTGGAAAAATCTGTGGGAGACTTGCGTGGGAAAAAATTAACGGTCAAAGACACACTGCGAAAACCAATTATAAAACCAACCATTCTCATGGTGGGCATCATGTTTTTCACCACAATGTCCGGAGTCGATGCCGTCGTTGCGTATACGGTCGACATCTTTGAAAGTGCCGGAGCTGAGATGAATTCCCATTTGAGCAGTATCATCATCGGAATTGTGATTGTTGTAAGTGACACAATCTTTGTTTTCAAACGCTTTGATGACCTATTTATAATACTCAAAAATGTGTATTTAGGTTGCCACTATCCCTGCCGCCGTGCTAGTTGACCACGCCGGGCGTCGCATCCTCCTCCTAATATCTGAAGTCTTCATGTCCATCGCCCTGATCGGACTGGGTGGCTACTTTCACATCAAGGCGAATAATCTAGTCCTGTTCGGATGGATAGATTTCCACACGATTAGTTGGCTCCCGTTGGCCTGTCTCATCGCATTTATCATCGCCTATTCGCTCGGATGTGGTCCACTCTGCATGGTCATGACGGGAGAGCTCTTGCCAAATTATATGAAGGGATTGACCTCATCCGTCGTGCTCATGTCTCGGTGGGGATTCGCTTTCTTCGTCACCAAGTTTTTCGAAGGGATAAAAGAAGACATTGGTGATGATGTGACGTACTGGGGCTTTGCGGCTGTGTGTTCGATTGGGGCGTTATTTGTTTATTTTTTTATTCCCGAGACGATGGGGAAAAGTGTGGATGAGATTCAAATTTACTTTGTGAAGGTTAGCAAGGATAAGAAGAAGGTGTCGGTGGTTGAAGATTTTTCAATGCATGACGTTTAAAAATAATAATATATTTGCTGCAAATATTCGTATTGTGTTGTATGATTTGGATTTGCTTATTTATTATATTGAGTGTAAAATGATAATAAAGGTGGGGACTGGTCAAATATTCATTTATTTGTGAAGCAATTAATTTAAAAATTGCATGTAAATAAGAATAATGTCTGATTCCATTCGACATTTAGTCATATTTAATGATAGTATTTTTTTGTGCGTGCTGCAATATTTACAAACGGAAAGTGTCATTTAAATTTAGGATGCCATTTTTATTCTCTTGACAAAGCTTAATCCTATGGGTGGGTACATATATAAACAAGAAAAAAAACATGTAGGATTGACATGCCTTAGTCATCTATGCATTCTACATGTAAATACATACGTTGATGTTGAATTTATTTAATTCATCAATTTATGCATTGAAATAGGGTTAGAGGCAAGAGGATAATATTGAAAGTTTATAGATCAACAAAATTGTAATATAGGCTATTCTTACTCACTCTGCAGATAGTTCACCACAGATTTAAAAAGTGCTTTTACATATGTATTTCCGAAGCATTAGGACATCATGAGGAGAGAAGCAGTTTGTGATACACAAAAATCTAGCACTACCAATGCTGTAAATTTGTCCACGTAATTCGACCCCATCCTTACCTTGAGCGGAGTAAGGGATTTGATGCTCATTCTGATCCCCGACTTTCTCCCAACTTTCTCCCAGCTATTCAACAATTGGTTTGACTTAGCATGAACAAATCCCGCAATCGTCAGCTCAAATAGAATAATAACAGCACAGTCCACTAGTGCTAAAGGGAAGAATGCAAACCCAGGCAGTGCAATGACATGAACAAGTTTAGTGCTGACAAAAAAGCTAAAGACAAAAAGGGCAGAGACGCATGTCAATATTCCTGGAAGAAAGACCATCCTCGTGCACGTGTTTAATTGAATTTCCAAAATTTGGAGATTTTTGTAAATCCTGATATATTTGTGGTGGGTGTGCTCTTCTTGCTTGCAACTACTTGTCAATCACGAAGGGGTTAGTCAATTCCAAAAATAATTTTCTCCAAATTATTACAGAAAATTACCAACCTTGACAAAGCCTTCAAATATGCCAGGAAGGAAGTGTTCATGCCAAGAACGATGTTACCAATGAGCAATGTTGCCGGTCCAGCTACATGCGTCCACATCCAGGCGTCAAATCCGGCGAAAAGTGTATTTATTGAAAATGAACAAAAAGACATGGACTTAACTTGGCATTGGGAAGTACAGCAGCCCAGCATCCATTTCAAGTATGGCGGAGTGCATGGTTTGGTGACCAGTAGGAGAAATATCAAGAATGGGAATGAAAGACCTGACAATGATCCAAGAACGAATACTATTTTCACCATGAGTGGTCCACCCATGGGAAAGCTAGGATTATCTTGAGAAAACATAAGAAATTGTTAATTAATTCCAAATTTATGGGCTTTACATGAAATTAAGTAGCACTTTTTATAAAATTTCTCTCGAAATTTACAAAGTTGTTGATCAATATGCATCCATCCTTCTCATGGAGTAAAAGAGTGACACGGCAAACGGCACAAGTAGCATAGATGCAGAGAAAGACGACTCCTGCCAATTGTTTTGCCAGGTTGGTTGTATCTCCACGCAAATAATTTTTGCATAAGTGACCGCCCATTAGGACAAGGTAGGAGATATGAAGGACGAGTTGTGCATGGTAAAATCGCCTGATTCCACCTTTCAATGGGAGGGTGACCTGGTGTGAATTTGCATTCCACGCGTAAGGAATAGAGTACGAAAGGTTGCACAGTTTCAATTGAAATTTTAAAAAGGGGAGAAATCCTGAGCTGAACATATTGAGGAGATATGTATATAATGGTCATGTGGCGATTTATTTAGTTGATCTGAGGGTTATTGGGTACACAAATCGAGATAACTGGATTTTGAGCATGAATTTACAGGTATATCATTTATTTTTCCACTCCGTTGCAGTAGATTTAATACCTATATTTCCGTAAACGTTGTATACAAATGCTGCTGAAATAACAAATTAATAATTTGAAAGTAGCCAATCTAAGGTTGGGTTCCAGGTAGGATGAAATTTACGGAAATTTCTGAATTCACATATGTAGTTAAGTGTAATATCCACTTTAGAATTCCCATGTATTTATTCACGTGAAAATTTACCTCCACTTCACATGCAATTGGACGGCAGAGAATGGAAAATTTCCCAAACCATTTCTCCACCCCTACCAAACCAAAGTTGTATAGCTGCCAGGATGTTTTACCTTACCTTAGAAAAACGAGCAGAATATTTGCACTTCATTTCTTAGGAAATGATTTAAATAGAGATAACGTAATCACGGGTTGCATAGAAAATTACTCCATTTCCAACAAAAGGATATGTATATTTACTTATCTATGACAATTTAAATGTAATAAACAGAACTTTTTAAGTGGAAATGTTAGTGCTTGATGGAGTCTCTCTACGGTAATTACATATGCATGCATGAGTACATATGTACGTGTGCAGACATGTGTATGAAATTGAAAAGAGAAAGACAGCGGTCAAACTTTCTTAGCCGTTATTATATAATTGTACTGCCAACAAGGACACATTTCGAATTAAATTTACACATGAAAATATACCTTGTATTTTACAAATCTTAGTTTCTTCTTAATCTAAGTTCCTTCTAACCTCATCCGCGTAAGGTGATGATTATCATTATCAAGGACAACTTATTGTTTTCAGTCAGCGACTGACATGACTGAAAAGAACTCTTTAAAAGGTGTATGAAACTTCGCCGAAGAACATCCATGACGAATGATAAGTACGTATGTATATTGGAAATGTGTGTAAAAAGCATAGACATATGTAAGCTTATATTTATTTGCTGTCAGATTCGACAATAAGATAAATACTACGTAAATACCAAAGGTAGTAATATGCGTGTCGTATGTTTACTTTATGTTTAAGTTTAAAAGCAACCACACCGCATGCAAGTCCGAAAATAAGTTTCCAAATAAAAACGTAAATACTTCATGCTTTCATTGCAATTTTAGTCCAGAATTTTGTTAGATTAAGGTATAAATAATTATGTAAGAAATCGTAACTACTTAGGATTAAATAATTTTAAGCTGGGACTAGTCTTAAATACTTTCGAAACAATTTATTTCCCATACCGCTTACAAATATGCACTGCAATGCTATCCATTCTACAAAATTTTAATTAAAGAAGAAACACAAATCTCCACCAAACTTCCTCTAGTCTGGTACAAGCTGGCTTTGAATGTAACAGTTTGTCCGGTCAAAATATCCTGCGCAAACATAATATTACACAATTATCCTTAATTAAATATTACCCATAATTGGTTGCACATAATGAATATATCATTTTATTTGCATACGTTTGGAACAATGGAGTATTTGGCCGTGTAGAGGAATCCTGGCTGGACAGACGAATTAGGGAGCTCGACCTGGAGAATGACAATGCAGAAGCCGGCATTGGTGCAGACCTCGACCATGAGAGACAACGATTCGGATGGAGAACCTGAGTTCAAATTAACACAGATGCTGATGATTAGCAAGAACCCAATAATTTATCAAAAGTAAGATTTACTTGGGATGAAGTCATTCTCGCAGTTGTAAACTTTTCCAGGTTGAAGTTCACAGAAACCTTCACAATCCGAAATTCTAAGTTGGCGTTGAGTCCCAACCCCGCCTGAAAATGCAATACTTGCTACTTACCAAGTACCAAACCAGATAAGACACTCGAAATATGTGTAAAGCTTACCGCAGCGAGTGGTCGGGGTTACCACGCCCAATGGAGATACACCGCTGGAGGAAAACGGGGCCGCAATTGTTCGGACGAGAGAAGGTGATCCGTGACACGCTGTCGCAGTGAGGAGTAGAAGGGCGACTTTCGCAAATTGGTTCATTATGAATTTGCAAATGTGAAACTCAGTGTGAAATATGAAACAATTTTTGTGGGTTCGACGTTGAGTTGTGGAATGGAAAAGATTTGACCATGTGATGAGTAAATGTGGTGCGAAATTGTACATTATCAGAGATCAATCAATCATATTGTTGTTTATCAGTTAATTGGGTTAGTTTCGTTGGTGGATGGTTTGCATATTCAGTTTTACCGTAACTGTTTATGATTTGTATGTACCTTTACTTATCCATAGATTAAAGGATGAAAGCTCGGGTAGGCGTTAAAAAATTGAATGTGTTGTAAGGCACGGGATTTATACGTGTTGCATGCATACATACATACATTTTAGATAAGTTTATTTTAGATAAGTTAATTGACTGAACAATACGGGATCAATCATTTACATTTTTGTATTTCATTATTATTTTGCAAGTTGATGACGCTGGCTAACGCTTATGACCCTTCCCCTACATATGTACATATTATGTATAAATGCAGAAATCATTATTTGATGCCAGATATTTGAGGATACGAATGTGCACAAATATGTGTACATAGATATATTTATATGTATTTACCTATTCATGCACTGTGAAATTCTAACAAGGGAACATACCGAGGTGTCCAACGAGTTAAGGGTCGACACCTATACCAAAATGACCACAACACATGACTTATTAAACAAACTGAAGGAATTTCCGTGTAAAATTCACTTTTCGTCAAGTTGTGACGATATTTGTGACGAGCGCATGACCATCGGGTGCCAGCGGGAGAGGTCGGCCGCTGAACGATCAGGTCGACCGCAGAGAAGCGTCGTCGTCTTCACGTCGTCTTCAGAGATTTTGAATTCTTTCAAATTTTGAAAATATTTTGAAATTTTGCAGAAATTTTGAAAACATTTTGAAATTTTGAAACACTTTTGGAAATTTTAAAGAAATTTTGAAATTTCGAAAAAAAATTTGAAATTTCGAAAAAAAATTTGAAATTTCGAGAAAAAATTTGAAATTTTGAAAAAAGTTTTGAAATTTTGAAGAAATTACAAAATTTTGAAAAAATTAGAGGTGTGTAAGTTATTTGAAGTTTGAAATCTCTGAAGACAACATGCGTTCGATCTGATCGTTCAGCCTCAGCGGCCGACCTATCCCGCTGGCAACCCGATGGTCATGCGCTCGTCGCAAATATCGTCACAACGTGACGAAAAGTGAATTTTACACGGAAATTCCTTCAGTTTGTTTAATAAGTCATGTGTTGTGGTCATTTTGGTATAGGTGTCGACCCTTAACTCGTTGGACACCTCGGTATGTTCCCTTGTAAGACATAATGTAGAGGGAAATTTTGAGATTCTTCATTATAACAATTTTAACATTAATTTCCATCATAAAAGTTAGGTATGAATGGATTAGTGATGTGATGTAATGATTGATACAATTGCGTACTTTAATTATCTTGTGTGATGCCAATAAGCGATTTTTTATCTTTATATAGTCTATTATCTTGCTATATTATGCTGTCCAAAGATGTACGTACAGACAGTATGTATTGATTTACATACATAAGATTCTCACTAATTGAATATATAAATAAATAAATGTATATCATAATTCGGACAAGATTTGAGTTGCATGGAAACGATATCAAAGCTTCAGGTACATATGCATACATACTTACCCAAAGTGGACTTACTTATTAATAGAAATTTATGATTTTTAAGATGCAAGGTTTCTTTATAATAAATATATAACGCTAAAATATATAAGCTTATTTATATCCATGAGTCACACCAGACAAGTAACGTCCTTATTTTCTCCTCCATCACAATAAGACCATAAAAGTGTATTCAAGTTTCAAATTACAATTAATGTCTTGGCAGTAAACAGCAGCATTAAATTCGGAACGACCCGGACATTCTCACACTCTCGTTATTTATTCCTATTCGTTTGTTTCGTTGCTAAAATTAAGTACAGTACATATACATATACATACGTACATACGTTAGAAAATATTTCATAACATTTAAGCAGAATGACGCAGAATACACGAACTTAAACTTAAAAGTATGTACTACTTGCATTCTATTATTCTCCAGCTTTTGTGTTTGGTTGCATACTAAAATCACTAGAAAATTCCTTCATCTCACTCGTACATAAGGCCCATCCCACTTTACGCAGAGAAATGGTTAGTTAGTAAATTCATTGATGGAGTAATCAATTTTTAATTTAAAAGACCTATACGAAAATTTGAATTGTTTGGTCATAATTTTGTGACTCTGATTAATTAACTGTCGGCTTAATTAATTCGCTAGGCGCAGATTAACCCTCCCTCGCCTTCATGCAAGAAGGTGTGCATTGCAATTCGGGTGAGACCTTCAAATGGGGGAGTCATTCTCCCTGAATTTGAACGGATGAACAACACCTCGGGATTAATGGATGTCACGATGACGTGGTCGGAAGCGTTTCTCCATCACTTCGAGGTTACCGTGGACCCAGCTCGCTACTCTGTTCGTCGTCCTGGCTTCAAGAAGTATGGCCTCCTGGAAAAGGTATGAAGATGCGGTATTTCTTATGCAAAGTATCCAAATGAACGACACAATTTTCAGATTGAAGTTATGACGGCTGATTCTAAGCATGAAAGGAACGAATATGTGGTCCACGTGGAGGATGAGACAGCAGAGAACCCTCCTTTGGTACGCAAAGCGAAGGTAAGGAGTGACCAGAAGAATATCTAGAAGATAATGTTGCCAGTACGATTCTCTGCTCCGCATATTTATTTATATTCTTTCAAACACTTATCACCCAGGGTATTAATCCTGCAAAACTGAAGCGAGAAACATCTGCATCAACCTTCAAGAACCGGCTACTAGGACAAAATGCTGTCTTGAAGATAAAGCTAGAAGGTCTATTTGAAGTCTCAAAGGCGGTGGGTGTGAAAAAACCAAAGCGAGCACGCCTTGATCAAGGACCTGGACCATCTGTCAAGAAAGGGACGAAAACGAATGTAAAGGTGAATTTAATTAGGCTATCTTACCAGACAAATCAATTTGTAATGTGAAAAATGGGTATATATTTATTTATTTTTATAAATTTTTAGGTCAAATCAAAAGTGGATGAACGCCTTGTCCCAAAAGAAAAAATTGGGGAGGAGAAGAAAGATGATGATGAGGAAAGTCAGCAATCTGACCTTATGCAGGACCAGAGCGAAAGTATGGATCTTAGGTTGGTAACAATGAATTTTAATAAAATTTTAAAAACTGCGTTAATCTCTGAAATACTTCCTGAATCATATTTTGGGGAAATTGATGAAATTTGCGGACCACTACCGGAGCAGAGCTAAATTTATACAATTCTTAATAATGATTTAATTTTTGCAGATTGAATGAGATAAAAATTCAGGACAAAAATTGTGCGGACAAAATGTAATCGTTTTGTGAAATAAATTGATTTCTAACTTGTTATTAATTTATCAACTTATTCCCAGAATTGTAGCAATTAATTTTAATGATAAGATCCCCACCAAGTACATTCATAGTTAATAACATTAAAGATTTTTTCGAATAATTTACTTAAGGTAAAGTATTGTTCCATTCAACAAACTCTAGAGGAAATTTTGATTATCCATCTGTAGCATATGCATAAGCACATACATAAAATTCAATAGCTTTATTTTGATACGTATGCAAATTGCAATTCTACGGTATATTGATAAATGTGAAACGAAAAGAAACGACGTGATTAAACATTGGCTGCACCAATCAAATTATTTAACACTTTTAAATTTCTTAATGAAATATCATCCTCCCTCTAACAACTTCCTCAGAAAAAATATTGCACTCTTTCAGCTATAAAAGCTAATAACGAAAAACTCAACAATGCACCAAATATTAGAAACAAACTGTGCAGATCGTCAAGCCTTATTATATCAGCCCATTTAAGGGTTTCACTCGCATCCACAAAGTATTTACCCCGTCGCTGTTCCTTCATCGTGCTCCTCTTCATCTTTCGCAATTTCAAGTTTAGATGAATTGTTCTCCAAAATCCTTCAAAGAAACCAAACTCGGCCGTTACTCGTAATGCTGCAAATGCTTCTCTCCGCATGATGACATGGACATAGTCATACGTCTCCGTGCTGGAAAATTTATCTGATGCAAGTCTACAGCTATTGCGGACTACGTTTCTATATTCTTCCGTCGCGGATTCCAACTTACGGTCTGCAGCGATGACAACATCTGAAACCATTAGTTTAAGGGTTTCATTATGCTTTAGCTTCGAAAATTCTTCTCTATTTTCTAGCCGGACTGAATGCTTCTCCTCCTTTATCCACTCGCTGATTCCAAGGCGTTTAAAATCAAGCTCATATCGGAGCAAAAATCCTTCACTATTAGCAGAATGTCCAACCTTATAACCTGTCTTTAGAAGTGTGACAAAGCTGAGGGTATTGTCGCGCACGGGAGGCACAATTACTTGGCTGGTGAAATATGTCTCATATACTCCCAGGATCAGTATCATTACGAGGTGAAGTATCCACTTAAGGACAGTCTGGCTACCAGTGTTTTGTCTGACGTGGATCGCCAGGACTGTGAGTAAGTTGTAAAATAAATGAGAAATGATATTCTTGTCGGGTCCATCTTGCAAGGTTATCGTTATCAAAGACACGAACTGTGCAACAAGAATGCAAGCCCAAGCTTGTGGTTTATATGGGGTCACCCACGCCCAAAATTGTAGCCCGGTGTCATAGCCATGGTTTCGATTGATCACACAATATCGAAACTGTGAAGATATTACTTGCCTGAAACTATAACTATTTACGTTTTCAATGGCGAAAATCTCATTAGGATTGGCCACTTGACTCGTCAAAATGCCAAAACATATTTTTGACCGGTTACCACTGTCATGACGAAGTGTCACGTTTAGCACGGTGGCCAGGAATTCTGTTAGCGTGTATTGAGGATGACAGGGCGATTTGGGTTTAACCCAAGGTGAATCTTGACATCCTTTGAGTCTCTTGGGTTTTCCGACTGGTGCGGTGACCATGTAAAAGAATGAATTTGAAGATTTCCATGAATTTCGGAAAGATAAGTGATCAATATTTCCGATATGTGAACCAGATCCGTGTTGCATTCTCCACTTGACGGGACATAAATGGCAGTAAAAATACCAAATGTGTTGAGCTTCATGAAGAGGGTAAGTAGCAAGTAGGGCAAATATGCGGATGGAAATTTGCTTAGAGGCACAGTCGCTGAATGTAAGCAATTGGTTTGAACTTATCGTTGACAGAAAGACAATGGTCGCATGATTATCGGGTCGATATGAGCTCGGGTTCTTTGTGACATGATTTTGAATCGGTGACCAATCAACAGGGTTTGTCTTGTTGGGTTGTAAAGGCAGAATAACGTGTAGTGCACATTCTTCATGGAAATCAATTGCTGACTCGACACTGTGAGATGTATTTTTCCCAAATGATATAACAAAGATAAAGTTCCTGTGCCCTTCCATTAGTAAATTCATGAGAACTATCGAGATGTCATGTAATCTAATATCTTCAAAGTATTTAATATGAATAACACATTGGCCAAAGGGTGAAAAATCGATGAATCCATGCGCTTTTGCAAATGCAAAAAACAAGACAGTCTTGATAAGAAACATTCTTGATCTTGACAACGATTTCAAAAATTACTAGCAGTCTTTTAGTGTCTGACTAAGGCTATACAAATTTCTCTGCATTTATACGTATGAGCTGATTATTTTTCAAAAGTCCCATTTAAATTTGAGTAATACATATTTAGTATGCAGCTAAAAATCAATGTTAAATAAGCCGAGCGCACAAGTCTTCGTGTTCGTGTGTAAAACTGTTGCCTTCCTGGCATGCGATAACTAATAAATAATACATATGTCGTGCATTTGTTTGCCTAAATCAAGTCATCTCATGATTCGTGAATATGTCACGAAATGCCACGATAGACATATTTTCTAATGAAAAACTTAAAATCGTTGGTATCATCATGTTCATTACTTATGTATGTATATGTAAGAATAAGCTTTCTACATAATTGATTCTATGCATATGAAATACTTGTATAACAGGTGTCACATGTAATGTTATAAAAGAATATGCATATACGCATTTATGTGTTCACTTCGACGATTTTATAATCTTTGTATTAACTAAGAAAATTTATGGAAGGTTATTTTACATCTCCAAAAACATTATTGGACCAGTTTGGCAGATTTTTGTAGCTGGGCCGACTTGGTACTTTTTCCAACAGCAATGACAACTCCTCTCCCGGATCCTATGTCATCACACAATGACAATTTCAGCCTAGGAATGAATAAACATACGACTTGATTTTTTTTACCAGCCACCACTTTGGAGTGGAAAAATGCCAAGTTGTCAGTCTCCATGGGGTTATCATTTGTGGAATTAATCCCCATCGTTTTTGGACTTCCGGCCGTTACAGCGCTAGGGTCAACCTTTTCATGAAATTTACATAATTATAAATTATTTACATAGGTTTTGCCTAATTGGTTGATTTACAAACTATCAAAATTCCGAACCTGGAGTCCATTTGACACGATAATTCGCACATCTGCAGGAACCTCTTGTCCGGCTGCGAGTTCCACAATATCCCCAACAACCAACTTCTTGCTCGACATGGGCGCAACTTGACCATCTCGGAGGACGGAAATAGTGCCGTAATGTTCATCCATCTTTTTAACGTCGTCCTTTTTCTTCTCCTCTTTCTTTTCCCCTTTTGCAGCCTTCTTTGCAAGTTTTTGCTGTTCCTTTAATTGCTTTTCCTTCTCTTTCTCCTCCTTTGACTTTTTCGGGGCGTTTTTGTCCTTGTACTCATTTTTTCCGTATTGCTTCCTGTTCAATTTGGACTGGGAGGTGGTGAGTCCCTAAATAGAATTAATTAGTAAAATTTTGATAGCATGGCAAACTAATTACATTTTAAGAGATATAAATAACATCGTTACTTACCGTAGTTGCATTTGTGCCATATCGTGCACAAATTTCATCAACACTTAGCTTCCACTCGTCGCCGACAAGGTCAATCGTTGTCTTTGGTTTTGACATTGTCTTTATTTATTTTGTTTTAGCTGCAACTTGAATGTTATGAAGTACACCTTACAGCTCGTGAAGATTGACAGCAGTGTTATTTGTGTATGCAATGGATACAAACCTGGACATGGATTCCAATATAATTTGCACAAACTGTGAATATGATAATGAAATGATGCTCAGATGAGAGCATTGTATGGGAATGCAGTATAAGTCAGTTAGGCGTGGTTTGCGGTTGGTTGATTAGGAAAGCATGCAGTGTGATAAACAAATGTAGCGATGACAATTATGTCAGCAGAAGAGAACCTTTCATGGTTGTATTGAGATAAATCATTATGCAGTCGTGCAAATATTTCACGGGCAAAAGTGAGTGATAAACTGACCTTGTATGTTGAACAAGGTATTTATGTTTGGGTGGGTGGATGAGTATGAATGACGCATTCTTCATAAAATTGTGTATGATCTTTAACATGAGATACAAGAAAATGCATACTTTACAGCGTGGTCGGATGGATGCAACGCACGATCTGCACATATTACAATAAATTACTTTACACAATGACACATTTTTAAATTTCTAACCATTTTTTTTCATATCATTTAACGATGAATAAATGGACAATGTCATACTTTGAGTTGCACATTTTTAAGTACAACTTTGACAGGGTCTCGTTATCTATAAGTTTCAGATTAATATAACTTTGCTTGCTCTAATTTTACAGGACTTTAAACGAAAAATATAATTACGTGGACATATCTAATTATGTACATATCTGTCAATTTAATAATATGCAGCTTATTCACAACTTTTAATGGGATAATACAGAACTTATTCATTCACGATCTTTTATACTGATACAGGTATGTGAGTCTATGACAAACCGAATACGTATTCTGGTATACAATTACTATTTCAAAAAAGTTTCATCAACAACAAATATTAGAATAAAATGAAATTATTGTTACCGATCAAACAATGAGGATGACTCAAGTGAGCTGTAAAGCCATTTGTGTATTAAAAGAAAACAAGGGTTCCTTGGGTCCAACAACTCGACCTCTTTTGTTGCAAATATATACAATTACTTATCTAGCTATTGATCCATCAAGTTACATAATTATTTGTTTTGACACCTACAACAATTGACTTTATTTATTCCCAGCACAATTTCTATCGACCGGGTAAGGCAAATATAATCATGAAAAAGGGACACGTTTCTAGGTATTCAGCACTTTTGTTTGCTGAACGTCACCCTGTTTGAAGTAAGTATGCAGCAAATGGGGAACAATTATTATATATAGTTTATCGAATTCTGTTTAATGGTGTAATTCCCATGCAGTTCTCTTCACGATTGACTGACTGACAGCTTATCCTCGAATTGTAAGTCATTAATACGAGTATAGGTTGATGGGAAAACATGCAGTACGAAGAATATAAGTAAGTGTTGATCTAATTTAGCTTGCTGCATAGTTTCCGAAAAAATTATGAAGCTAAACTTGTCAAATAAACTTGTAGTGAATGGTACTGGGAAGTTCAGGTCATATTGGGTGTCATTTCGTTTTAAAACATCTTAGAGAAAATCAGAAAAAAACGGTTTGCATATTCTTCAGTGAGTCTACTAAAAAAGCCACAATGTACATATTACGGATTTATTTCTGTCTTTCAACCTTTGGAATTTCGAGTTCTACTGATATTTCATTTTTATTTGATCAAAATTCTTCAATTCCCGATTTTGAATTGTATCAATATTTTTACGTATCTTACACCAGATTGGATATGCTTGATGTAGTAAGTAACTCAAACTAATATGCAATAGCTATGTATGTATGCACATGCATACTTCATTGATTTTGTTTTTATGAAAGAACACATTTCAGAATAAGACATTGGAAAGTTCCATGAATAATTTATACAGAAATTTTACCAAAGATAACACAAATCCAGTTATTCTTTTCATACAAAACTTCAGAATCAATTCAACGGAATCAACTTACGATCTCGTTAACAAATCCGACTTTAACTTTGACAACAGTTATATCTGCTTTGCAAACGAAGAAGGTTTAGAAGTATGGGATTCTTACATGATAAGGCAAAATTTCTACCAAATCAGAGTTGGCATTCTACAGAAACCTCAACATTTCGATCAATTCGATTGGTCTGATTTCGTTCAGTATCGACTTTTACGGAGACTCCCAAGAAGGATGGACTTCAAAGGGACCCAATTACATTTTCTAGTCTTCGTAATAAATATTTTATTTTAATGCTTTATTTCTCATTGGATTGTACGCCGATACATTTTATATTTCATTTTATATTTCAGGTTGATCCAGTGGCAATAGTGTTCAGAAGATGGAGAGAAATGGACAACCAGGAAGATGAAAATTTGAAATTCACAACAAGAATTGGGGGAGATTGCTTTCTAGACTTGAAAATTCTTCTCAATTTTACGTGTGTAAACTGTATTATTCACTTTTAGCAGTTCAATTCAAATCAGTCCTAAAATTTAAAATCAATGAATTTATTCATAGGTACAAATTAATTCGGCTTAACGATGGGGAAGATCTTCTACTCTTTTCAGACAATGATAAAGATGGAAGCGCTGCTGATATGAGCACATATTTTGCCAGTCAGACAGTTGACAGATTTAAGCTGTACACATTGTTGCAGCCGTTGCAAAATGTCCCGTAATAAGATTAATTATTGATTTATTCTAATTCAATTCGGTACAATCTATCTTATAAGCTGGAAATGTTTGTTGGCAACGGAAGTGAAAGGAATTTTCCGTGACGGAAGTGAAAGTGGAGAAAGTGATTTACATATCAACTGCGTTGGTGCAAGGGGTTGGAAAGTCGATAAGTCAGTTATCCAGGATTTGCTGGTTAGCTTATCTGGAAGGGAAGTTAACAAAAATTATTAAGTGCGGTTATCGCTCTGCTGGGGGGAATGGGAGGGTGTGCCCCATGGGATATGGTTATCGCTCTGCTGGGGGGTGGGAGGGGTGCCCCCCTGGGATATGGTTATCTCTCTGCTGGGGGGGAAGCGAGGGTGTGCCCAATTGGGATATTATCGCTTTGTTAGGGGGAAAGGGAGGGTGTGCCCCCTTGGATATGGTTATCGCTCTAGGGGGAAGTGGTATGCCAGACATTATCATGGATATTTGCCTTTTATCCCAGTGCTGGGTGTGAAATGTTGGTGAGGTCACTTTCCGAAAGGACATTTGTTCCGGATATTTAAGGAACATTCTGTTCCGTTCAGGCCCCTTAAGGCCCGTTCGGAAACCAGTGACATAAATTTCGCTATCTGTGTATGGATGACGGGAAGGAGAACGGAAACGAATTCCGTTCCCTTCATGGGTAGACCATATTTAGATTGAACTGTTTAAGTTACAAAATATATTTACTTGGCCTACACACAATTGAATGGAATTCCCTTCCTCTTCCATTCCCCTTGGATATACTTCAGGCGCAGTAGTGAAATCTTCACATAGATGGAAGGGAAGGGGAATGGAATTCCATTCCCTTCGTGTGTGGACTACACAGTTATCGCTATGCTGATAGGCATAGGGGATGCCGGATATTAGTAGGAGGAGTTTGCCTATGGAAAGTGGTTACACCCTCAGTGTTGGGTGTGATCTGTTTGTGGGGTAGCGCACCTAACCGGCCACTACCTCTGTTTGAATTTACCCCATTGGGATGTGGCTATCACTCTGGTGGGGGTGTGCGGGCTGGAGCCGCAGTGAAGTCGTCGAACGATGGTGAAGGGTTCCGTTCCTTCCCTCTTCCCGTTGGATATACTTCATACGAAGTATTGATATCTTTGCATGAAGGGAAAGGAAAGGGAACGGATTCCCCTTCCCGTTGGGTATACTTCAGACGAAGTAGTGATATTTTTGCATGAAGGGAAAGGAGAGGGAACGGCATCCCCTTCCCGTTGGATACACTTCAGAAGAAGTATGTAGCTATTTCATATTTTGTAGAGGTGAGTCGGGCTTGGGCTTTAATCGGGCTAGCCCGAGCCCGCCCAGGCCCTACGGGCTTTGGGCGGGCCGGGCTTTTGAGTTGAGCCCATGAGTCGGGTCGGACCTGGGCGGGCTTTTCTTGAGTCGGGCTCGGGCTTTACTCAAAAGCCCGACTAATACTTTTCGTGGAGTTAGGAGTAATATGAGAGTCAAAAGTTTGGCCAAAAGCGCACCATTTGTATTTTATACTTGCAATTCACAATGCATTATTGTATTCTCATAGTATTTTCATTAAAAAGTAATTCCAATATCAAAAATTTTCAAAATGGAAATGATTGTTGTTATTGGTGTGAAAAAATTACTAGCAGGGTTGCACATCTAAAGTGTGAAAGGACGGAGAATTCAAAATAAGCTTACTGTGCAAGAGGATACATATTCAAAGAAGGTAAGGCTATTGGATCAAGCGAAGTCAGCATATCCTGAAATTTTGGTGTGGCGCCACACAATTTCCACTGATGCAGAAAATTACTCCAAGGATATTATCAATCCCCGCATCACAAGCTAGTGATGAGAGAGTGTTTTAAAGCACCGGTTTAACGTTGACCACCAGTCGCACTGAACTTAGGATTAGCGGCAGTAGTTTATCCAACCTGACATTCGTTCATAAAAACTACGTTTTTTGCTTACTAAACATCATTGACACTAACAGTTTTGGGTTTATTTATTTTTGTACCTTGTGAAAATAATTTATTTTTTACTAAACCTTTGAAATGTGTTTGTTAAATAATTTGAACTTCTTTATTTATCAATTCGTGTTTCGTCATGCGTAACTTAGAACGCTCTACAAATCTTATTTTTAATTGTATAAATAATTTGTCACGCCATAACAAAAAAGCCCGATTAAGCCCTATGGGCCCGGGCTCGGGCCTGGGCGGGCTTTCTCAAGGCCAAGCCCTATAGGGCTTGGGCGGGCTCGGGCTTTAGAAAATGTGGACTTGGGCGGGCCCGGGCTTTTGAGTTGGGGTTTGAATAGGGCTTGGGCGGGTCGGGCTTTTGAATAGGGTTTTTGAGTCGGGCTTGGGCGGGCCGGGCTTTGAAAATCTTAGGTCCGACTCACCTCTAATATTTTGTCAAGACTTCTTTCCAGCTCTCCCTGCAGCTTTACATAAGGAAGATGCCTCTCCCAACGACAGACAAAATATACAATAGCCCCGGAAGGGTGAAGACAGGGATGAGGGCATATGTTCCCGCGGTTATTCGATGCTCCCATCGGCTGCCCATGTTATACAAACTCCATCCCCTTCATGTGCAGACTACGTAGATTTAATGAATGGAATCCATTCCCTTTTCATTCCCTTAATCAAGGGAATGAGGCCTCAGATGAATTAGTCAAATCTTTTACTGGAACATATTTTGAAATCTGAGCACGAATATAATATCACACGCGCTTTGACATTCGACACACCAGTGACCGTGTGGACCAAGTAAAATATGTCGAACACGTCAAACGTCTCTTTGTTAACAGATTTTGAATCAGGTATAACAATATGATGTTGATTTTCTATGGATCCATTCGTTGTGACCATATATTTATTACCAAATTAGAATATATAGAATGCCACGAGCACTGTTTATATTTCCTAAATATCTTAATTTTCCTATCATCAACTCAAAACATCAATTTCACGTTCTTTACAAATTCCTTTGACTTCCGTCGGTGACAGAATTTGAGCTTATTATATAGATTAAAATATTTAATTGGTTGGAGTTTTCCAAAATTCGACTCAATTTTCATGAAAATCAAATAAGCTCGCGCCCGGCGGGAGACGGGCTTATACGCTAGTATTTTATAAATAAATTGCAGGTATGGCACATTTTTTCGGAAGCCTGGTCACAACTTCTTCAGAAATGAGCATTACAAACCTTTTAGAAAAATGTCTTGGGCTGGGATCTTCGTAACTTGGGGATTATTTGCCGGAATACTAGTCATCATCAGGTTTACTTTGAGATACTGTGTTTCATCAGACATTTGCAGATTCAATCTGGGATGGTGGATTATGTCATTTATGGTTGGACAGGGTAACAAATTTTAAATTTGCTAAATTTAAAATTCAAAAATTTAGTAATCATCTCATAAGTTTTTATGTACCTATGTCTTTATGTATGTACGTAGGTTGTCACGCTTCCCACGCCACCAAGAAATCCTTGTACAAATACGAATACCCGATTTCTCTGCGACTTTGCTTCATTACTGGAATGTTATTTGGGCTTTTAATCAATATAATTTACTCTTCAACAATCCTTTCTGCCCTGTCAGTTCCAATTTCTGTAATTCAATCATTCGAAGATTTGCTGGAACAAGGCTACAAATTTAGCACACATCACTTGAGTCAACCAATGCAAAATGTGCTTAAGGTTCGTACATTAAATGAAAAAGTTCAATAAAAAGTGCAGCTACAGGGATTTATTTATTTGTTTAATAGACTAGACTGGAGGTATTAAATGCGCATCGAGAAGTACATCTGGTCGATAATGCTCACCAAATCAGTCACATCTTGGAAGGAAAGCGTGTCGCAACGTTGGCCTATTTCGACTATTTTTATCGAGAAGCATTAAAGCAAAATTACTCTACGACATACATTTGCAGAACAATCGACAGGATTCTTGTCTCACCAAACAGTAAACCATTCCCGTCATCCTTCGTGGCACCAAAAGGATCGAAATTGAAGGAGTATTTCAATTACGGGTGGGTGAATAAGTCTGGATAACATGAATTTAATATGAATTAATTTGTGGTCCCCTACTAATTCCAGGTTGATTCGAATACGGGAAAGAGGATTGCACAACAAGTATTCTAAAGAATATGACATTTTTCACAACAATTTTGTTTGTGAGACAAATAAGGTTTCTTGGGATAGTGTGGCAGCGGCGGATGTTTATGTCGTATTTTTTATACTATTTATTGGTTTATTGGCATCACTGGCAGGAATTGTGATAGAAAATCTGGGAACTATAATGCCGAGCGCAAAAGTACAAAGATCAAGTATTAATTTCCTGTCTATTTATTATGGGAAGTTATCTTAATGACGTTGTTCGGAAAATTAGTAACTTATTTGTTTGTACTTTATCGTGGATTTGGTTTCTCGCATCTATGAATGAAATACATTTAGGCGAAAATAGAAAAAAATCTAATCGTGTCAGTGACACGGTGTCACGACTTCCGAACAACTATCGTGGTTCAAGTACGAAAACCTGATAACCATGAAGGAGTGCAGCTTTTGTATTTCAATGAAGTTATCTGGAAGTGAAATTTGCAATTAAATATAGAGAGCATTGTTTCATCATAAATAGTACAATATCTCTGTGTGGTTACATTATAGCTGAAGAGTATGATTGGTAGGCCGATTCTTTATGCATAACGTGGATTCTACAAATATCTATATAACAATAGTCAAGGAAAGTCATGCATGCGTGTGTACTATGTGTATGCAAATTTAGACGTAACTACGTTTGAATCTGGAAGTCTCCAAACTTTGCAATTAATCATAATTTTATCGATAAAAATTAGATGACATAGTAAGCTTCACATTACCGGCTTCTTTTTTTAATTTTAATAATTACTTCATTTATGTATATATTTTACATGAGCATTTGCATATATTCACTGGCTATTTCAAGCCCAATTGTCGTACGAAGAAGGGTCGACGGGTTGCTAATTTTCTTTTCTCTGATTTAGAATAGCCCCCATACCGATAAGGCAGTTGGCTCGGGTGGATTAGCCTCCTCACATCTTTCATCCATTTTGACCGGTCTTTCGGATAAATTTTCAATCTTTCAAACGACCCTTCGCGCAAGAAGGGGCTGATGTAGCGAAGAAGTGATTCAAACACCCAGTCGCCTTAATAATGTTGGATTAGTAATTTTAATAATTTCTTGCACGTGCATACATGAATAGTTGCTCACAGTTGATCATAATCGCTGCGTGTACAGTCTGAATTACAAATATTTCTATTACACAAAAATTAAATACTGATTTATCTATGAATTAGTGTAAGTATTGATATTACCTCTGGATAATTATTCTCAAAGTTGTACACCATAGAGAAGATGTACTGCAAAGCTATACAAATTATTACTCACGCCGTAAGTCGTATGCACTTATGGTAAACACATAATTAGAATTTAAGAACTCTCGCATTTAGCAAAAATTTGAGGAAAGATAAGAAAAATGATTTTCCAGAGCAAACTTTAAAATTGGGAAAATTTTGCATGCTCGTGATTATGCCCAACAAGAATTATCAATTTTCGTCACTTACAAGTATAACTGGCCAATTGACGATATTCGAGATTTTCCAAGTCACAAACGAGGTAAAGTCGGACAGAGGTTGACCTTTTCGTGTCGTTGAGGTTCATCTCCACTTTCTCCACAGCTGCCAAACCTGGGTTCCGGGCATAATAAGGACAACGCGGTACTAATACGAGACAAAATCTGGACAAACCTTTCTCCCACATTTGTCCTTGATACTTGTCAAAAGTGTGTTGATCCCCCTTGGCAGTGATGTAGTCTCGTACATCCCAATCTCCAAATGGCATTAGCAACACTGGCCATAATTGTTTATATGTAAATCTGAAAGATATTCTGCTAGCCAAATTAACATAGTAGATTTACCAGGGTCCCCATTTCGAGCATGAACAGTGACATTGTATTGGAACCGTTTCCATAATTTCGGATTTGGTGGAGCAGAGCGGAGTCGGTCAATATCGAATTCTTTACGCCACCTGATGTGCTTTGTATACAAATTAATATGATAAATTCGTTTTAATGAAATTTTAAAATTTCATGTTTTATATGGATGTACTTACATCCCGTATTGCTTTTTCTGCATTGTTTACATTCATTTTCTTAAAGAGTAGCCATCTGTGCATTGTTGAGTGTCCTTTGGCGTGTTCATTCCACATTATTTTGCTGACGCGAGCCTGAAGCTTTTTGTACATATTTATGTATTGGATTAGAAATTAATTTGATAAGTTATTTATAACAAATATTTAAAATTTTTAGTGAAATTTTATGGAAATGTTTTTTAGAAAGCAGTTTCCAACAATTGTTTATTAATTTCTTACCTGTTTTTCAGAATTCATTTGAAATTGACCAGTTATTTCAACTTGGTCCACCATGTTTAAATTATCCAGAGTGTGAAGCACAGCTATGACAGCCATTAATGACAAAATCATGGGAATTGTAAAAATCCAACTGACCTTACTAAATATTAATAAAATATTCAGTGTCGTAGAAATTTCAGATTTTGGTAATGGAGAAGAATATGAAGGAGAGACTCCATGCCTACAACTGACAATGACTTCATATTGATAGTAATACTTTGTTGGGTTAATGAATTTATCGTTGGGGTGATTTCAAGGCTGAGGACTGTCTACAAATGCTGAGGGAAGATATCACATGAAAAATGTGAGGATGCATAATTAGGTGGAAGACCGGTGTCATTACATCCTCGGACAAAACAGCAGTGATACAATAAAGCTACAACAATGTGAGGGACGACATCAGACAGTTTTTCCTCAAGGACAGAAACTGGAGATTATATGTAAAAAAACATACATGTTTTTGAGAATAAAAAAATTTATAAAAAATATGTGAGTAAACAATTTTGATCGAGCGGATCACGTAATTTTTTATGTATAGTTAGTCTAAACGCCAATAAGCATATTAATATAAAAATAATACACAATGAAATATTGGAAGTATTTTTTCACTCTTGATTTTGATGTATGATATATTAAGATATGCGTAATTTTCGGTGCATAAATAGTCTGCAATAAAATCGAGTTGAGTTTATCTGTCTGTATTTGGTCAGTTTTCAAGACACCGAATTTTGTATGTATTTATATATGCATCATTACTAATATTTGTAATTTTGCCCATCACTAAAAGTGCATAACCAATTGCCTCCATCCATCCTCTAGGAAATCTTTATCGTTAGCCATCTACGATGCGACGCCTGTATCTCTGGGTCTGGTTTCTTTTTCCGTTTATGATAGATACATATCTTCCAATTCGTTCTCGGTGGAAAATCTAACAATTAATTTATATTTTAAAAATATTTTTCATCATAAATGTTCCATTCTTGCAAATACTGTACTTCTGGCATTTAAAACTTTATAGATAATTTTGTCTGCAATAGTCTTTCAAACTGGCTGCATCTGTATCAAATTTGGGCCGATCAGTTGTGTACTATGGGAGATGACTGCAGCTCTTGTTTCAGATAACACACTGATCGATTAATTTAGCTTATGTAAGCAGATACGTTCGACTAATACATACATACATACATATCGATATTCATAGTAATTGATAAATCATAAATCTGATTACAGTTCCGACATCCTATAAGCCTGTTGTTTAATCATGTATGAATTTAATACTTGTGTACGTCAATTGATTACAGGAAAAACACGCAGGCATCTAAAAGTTAAAAACTGTAACAAACTTATTACAACTGCAGTGAATGCGAGACAACTACCAACAAATGTGCATATATATATTTATTAGAAACTAGAAATCAGATATTGCAATTCTTTTTCATTTTATGCAAAATGAAACTAATACACAAATCATTTTACAACGTTATTTTAACAATTTTGATCAAATATGCCGTCAATTCAGATGGATTAAGTTTGGATGAATTTGGTTATTACAAAAATATTGTTGTTGCAATTGACGATAGAACAGTACAGAACGATGTGCAAAACTACACGGATATTATAAAGGTATGCAAACTAGAATGTATCTTATGAGTCTATAATATGAAACTTTAAAACCAATATGACTTCAACAGATGGGAGTCCAAGACCTCTCTGACCTGCTTCATCATGCAACCAACGGAAGGTTTTCTATACAAAACGTAGACATTTTAGTCCCAGATCACTGGGATGTGGAGATTGATGGGAAATCCACATTGTATAAATTCAAACTCTTCTAATAAGCTTTAGAACCTTACTTAAAATGCTTTTAAAACTTTCAGTCAGTTTTATGAAGGAGCAGATTTTAAAATTTCACACACGTTTTCTCTTCCCTTCGTGGACAATCCGAACGCTTGGTGAGATAATAAACAGCGTATACCTATATAAAAAACTCTTCAATGTTACATGATATTTTTATAAGCAATTCATAAAAAATAAATTATCAGCGGATTTCCGGGTCACGACATGCAACTTCCATACAACTTTTTTGACTTTGGAGATTCAGGAAGTTATGGGCGTTTGGGGAAAGCGTTGCTTGCACAATTTGCTCGACTTCGATTTGGCGTTTGGTAATTTCCTTATAAGTTTTATTTCTTGGTAAAAGCACTAAATTAATAAATTAATTACACACTTCTTAGGGAGGAACATGGCTTTCCTGGAGACAACAAATTTCCTTATTACTGGAAACGTTTGCTTGGAACGGAATGGGAAGTTAACACTTGCACAGATGCACCAATTGAAGGAGTTTACAAAAACATGTAACAATGATCACGAAGTTATTTAAATCGGTATATAAACATTCTAGTAATTCTTTCCATTGTGTTTATTAAGATATGACGGTACTCCTTGTGGGCCAGATCCTGATGATGTTGACAATTTATACCCACCACCCAGCGATTGTCGATTTTTCCCAAATGCAAATCAGGTATCAGACTTATTTACTCTCGATCATGTAAATATTTTCTTACAAGAAAATTTAAATAATCTTTCAAGACAGCAAAATCATCTCTGATGAGCTACCATTATTTACCTACATTTGAAGCTTTCTGTAATTTTGATACACACGATCGGACTAAACCCACTCCACAAAATTACTACTGTCGCCATAAAAGTGTGATGGAAGTGATTGAGACTACGCCAGATTGGAAAATGGTGACAGAAGAAAATACCCCCAGTCTTGTCAAGTTCACAATTGTCAAAAAGTCTCCAAAACCCATGCTCTATATTCTTCTGGATTCTGGGTTCACGCAAGTACATATTTATTAACACGTAGTTTAATTAGTATGAGACTGTCTTATTAATTATTAATTATTCATCCTGAAAACAATGAAAAAGGTACCGGCACCAGTTCAAAGCCAAATTGCTTCTCGTCTTTCAACTTTTATCGAAGCTAGTGAGATGAGCAGTATTGTTGCTGGGCTTGGAGAATTTCCATCCACGAATCCTAGTGAAAGTTTTACTGAGGTTGTACCCTGGGCTCCAATTGGGAACTTTACTCAGGAATTTGTAACGTGAGGTCATACAAATTAAAAGTTTGGATGCCTATTGTTAGCTTTAAAAAATCTTGTATTTTAAATAGAGCATTTCACACAACATTTGGTTCTCAATCTGGATTCAAAGACTATGCTGGAGCATTACGAGAGCTTTTATTCTCATTTAACCAACGCAAGCATCCATCCGGGGCTGCAATTTTAATTGTCAAAATGAGCCCAGAACTAAATACAGGTAATCATTGCTCTAGATTTTAAATATTCTGCCAAACTTTAACTTAAGAGGTCCAATCGTACGGACCTCTAAAATAGATTCTACTTCATTTATATATGCAGGGGGTCTAACAATGGAAAGTCAAGTGATGATTCCTCTCTTGCTCGCTAACGTGAAAGTCTTTGCCGTGGAAGTGTATGGAAGTACAATCCACTCGGGAAATGCGCTAGAGCGAGTTGTCGAAAAGTCGGAAGGATTGCATTTGACTGTTTCGGAGCCATCCGATTTGCTAAAACCCTTTGACGATTTTTTGACTGAATTAGCAACCACGCTACAAACCCCATTCACGCGAAGCAAAAAATATGTTGTTGGGATGGATGAAATGGTTCGTCACAATAGGGCCGTGTGGCTCGAATCGACTTCTCGAATAACTCAGTTCGAAGTATTCGCCATGCCGTTGGCAGGAGGGTTTACTGACGTTAAGCTGTGGAATGGAACCGATGGAAATTACATAGATGTTGCGCTACAGGAGATGAAATGGGATTCTGCAGAAACGGTTCCATATGTTCGGAAAAACTTTTACTTTTCATCACCCGAAGAGGAAGAACCATTGGATGTGAGATTATGAAACGGAATTATCTAATATTTGTGCAACAAGTCCTAATTTTCCAAAATAATTTATACTTGACAGAATGTAAGATGGTCACGTGTCTCCATTGGGTGTGATTGGGGTGAATGCATAGCTCGTATCACCGTTTTGGTGCAAGTTGAAGACTTGGACTTAATCCCCAAAGATATCAAGCTCACAGTTACAACCTCAGCCATCAATGGCGTTGTCGACTTTTCAGAAGCGAACGCTGGGTCATACACCGGCACAGCTTTTGCCATTTATGCAAAAGTACTGATTTTTGAATAGTAAATCTTAGTCACATTTGTCAAAGATAATTTCAATTTGTGCGTTCTGTTAGTTGGAACAAGACGGAATTCCGTTCCAGTCAAGCCCGGGTCTTGTAGTGACTGCCGTAATATCCAGTCCCTACGCGCCAGGAATGCACGCGTGGTCTGTAGAACTTAAAGACGATGGAAGTGCGTCACCGGACATAACTACAAACGACGGCATATTCTCAGGAGAATTTCTCCCGGAGGTTACTGGCGACATGGTGGCATTTAATGGGATGTACGAAATCTTTGTCACTGCAAAATTTGCAAAATTTGTTGAGCCAACTGCACCCACTAAAATTAAGGACGACGTAGACGAAAGTCAAAGCTTTGCATCATTTTCCTCAATCGGGAGATTGTTCCCAGTGGATCAAGTACACATTGGGTGTGGGAGTGGTTACCTGGGTAATAAATTATTATTTAAGATGCAACATGCCGTAACTAAAACGGTTTCAAAATTTCAAGGTTGTTGGAGTAAAATTCCAGAAGAATTTTTTTTTATTAGCTCTAATCTCGAGAAGGACGTAGAGTTCGTCAATTTTCAGTTATTTGAGGTATGCACATGTATATTTAATAATTTATTCATTAACCAGAGCAATTAGTACTGTTTTGGTGAAAGATGATCAGATTTATTTATTGTAGGCGGTCCCCACAAGGATAATGGTATGAACCCCACTTCTTCGAAACTTAATAACCGGGTGGAATATTTATGCAATAATAATAATAATTAAATATACAGGATTTGGTGATAACTCCACTTGAGAACAATATGGTTAACCTACAATGGACCGATCCGCGAGTTAAAGACCCAAGGGGCCATCCAGGTATTGGTGATTCATAATACAAATTAAGCATTCATAAATCAATCAATGACCGATGAACTGTTTGAAAATAGTCCAAGTTGATTTTTATGAAATTCGACATCAGGATGAGGTTGATAAACTGTTATTCGACTTCGACCACGCTGAAAACATACCGCCAAATAAGGTGCCGAATACCCAACCACCAGGAAGGAGACAAAACGTCACTTACGATTTTGGCAGGGAAGCAAGTAGATATTATGCAATAAAAAGTATAACCACATCAACCGGCACCCCAGTAGTAAGAACTCGTAGTCAGATACTTATGTGTTTAGTGCAGAGATTCATGCTATATGAAATGTAAATGCATATTTGCCTGATAAAACTTGCAGTGGTCACAAATTTCCGTCATTGTGGGTGTGAATATTAAGACCATGCTAGATGCAAGCACCACTACGACAACTACAACAACTATTCGTCCCACAACCAGAACAACGCTACCGCCACGGACTACCTCGCCGGGTTCCACAATGACAGAAGGCGATACTACGAGTACGACAATCATAACCTCGACCACTCCGAACCCAAATAGCTCACCATCGCCAAGCCCCTCACCATCACCAAGCCCCTCGCCAACCCCACAGCCGTCGCCCTCACCAAGCCCACAGCCTACGCCCTCAACCACCACAGCTCCCCCCGCAACGTCCCCCTCAAAGTCCTCCGATACTCTTCAATCCTCCGTGATGGTCTCCCTAATCGGAATAGTTGCCACTGTTTTCATCAAGATTTATTAAACTAAACTACACATACGTACACGTAAATATGTATGTATGTAACTCTAGCTGCTGATTTATACGTACGTGGTACAGATCATTGTGAATTAATAAACATTTATGTGAAAGTTCCGACTTAATGTAAATATTTATATCTATGTACATAGGTTCTTGAATGTCGTATTTTATTAATTTTGTCATATCATCATTATTTGAAACCTTCTAAGATTTTTTTACGTTTAGGCTTAATAAATGGCACCTAAAAATCATGCCATCATTAGGTGGAGCTTAACTAACGAATTCAAGTTTTTGATATAAAATTACTGCGTCCAATGAAATGTGTGATTTTCTTCCCCTCCTACCAATGCGTATTAAAGAAATCGGTAACCTGTCTGATCATATCTTCGATGTCTTCCCAGACCCAGTCACCGTGACCGCCTTGGTAGACCGTGAAATTATTTGGAACACCCAACCCATCCAATTTTTCCTTTAGCAATGGCATTTGACTACTTGGCACCAGATAGTCGGCGTTTCCATAGAATCCGATTGTCTTGGTGGCCTCAGCAGTAACGTAGGTGATTGGACTTGCCGCCGTGTAGAGGTCTGGGCACTGCGTGTGTGTGCAGGGACCTACCAGGTTGAAGAATAAGTCCCACAATCCTGGCTCATTTGCATATCCAGAATCGCTGATATCCGTCGGCCCTACATGGCTCACAATGGCCTTGACATTTTTGGCTTCCCTGTCCCATGCATAGCCGTACAGCATGGCAAGATGACCTCCAGCACTGGATCCGATCAGGGCAAATGTTACATTGCGAGTAAAACTGGACTTGAGGAAAGACAAGGCTAAATGTATGTCCTCCAATTGTTTTGGAAATCCGGGGCTAGCATGGGTGCCTATCAAATTGGATATACTTAAGTTCAAAAGAGTGAATGTCTATGCAAATATTATCTTGCTTCTCTTCTTAAATACCTAATCGATACTCCATATTTGCGATGGCATAACTTGGAAAGGATGCCTGCATGAAGGGGACCCATCCGGCCATATCAGATTTTTGACCCCCACCCCAGGCACCTCCGTGAATAAGGACGATGATTTTTGTGATGCTTCCAAAATCCAAAGAGGGCAAATAAATATCCATAACTTGAGCAGGATCAGAACCATCGCCATACTGAACGTTGGGAACTTGTCCTGTAAAAGTTTGGATTGGCGAGGTACTTATTTTTGAAGTATGCGTGGAGAAAATATTTATTTGTGTAACACCGTGCATGCAATTCTTACCAGTTGCATACAGTATGCTTGCCGAAAAGAGTATGAAAGAAATGAGGAGACCGTGGGTTGCCATAATTTCTAAAGTTTGAAATTTTATAATGATAATATTCCCTTCAAGTTGTGCGTTGAACTATGAATTCTTCTTTCCGTATCTACTTTTTAGTACTCACAAAAGCAGAGTGTGTGTCCGAGTGTGGCAGGTGAATTGGATTGGATACGATTGTTTTAATATCTTATCGAGCTTACCTTCGTCAATTTTTTTTCTTTAGCACGTGTCATTTAACTTCAATGATTTTGTTTTTGCATAAGCTTTGTAAAATGTAGGAATAAATTGAATTGTATTTAGTTGAAGTGTTGATAATAATGAAGTGGTGGGTGTAGCTTTTATGTAGCTAAATATGTACATACAATGCGAATGTGACTGCTATTTATATTAATCTCAAGGTTTGCTAGTGTGACAACAGTTTACGTTTTTATTTATTCCGATTTGTATTTAAGTATCTCTCAATCATTCTCTTCCAAGATTTTAATGCTTTTGTATTTCCGGATAATTCCAGGAAGTTCTCCCGAACTTTTGTACATTTGATGTCGCGATCTAGGCAACATTATCCAATCAAAAATTTCATGAAAAGCATGACATCTACTTCGTCTCGTGAATGCAAGTAAATGAGGTGCATATTTTGCCTTTGGTAGAACATTCTTGCATTTAAGCGCCCTCAGAGAAATATCCCTTGGAATAGTGCCCTGGAATAATTTGATATTGCGATCTTCATGATCGTATTTAACTTGGTGAGACGAGCAGGTTTTAGAAGTTTTGTAATAATTTATGTAAGCGATCAAATCATTCTGAAGATAAAAGTAACAGGATGTTTATTACTAAAGAAAAATATCCAAATACTGGACGAATAATATCAACCTGGTTAAAATAGATTAAATTATCTCGAGTCATAGCAGCCATAAATATGAGTGTGTCGTACAAATTAAAATACAATGGTTATTTCGGAAGTACTTATTTACACATAATTAAAAAACTATCCTTCCAGAATTTGTATTAAACATCTTCTGTAATATCAAAGAGAGAAAGAGCGAATTGATTGTATGTATGCACTATATATATAAATATATATTGCAAATGAATGGCACTTTCGAAGGCAATGATTTGTGTAATACACTCTAACAACTCTTAATTCTAACATTTTCTTGAATCTTGTTATAACGAGATTAATCCTTAATTGTATAACCTACATAAATACTTGACAAATTAGACGGCATTGTTTAGTGAGATCCAGCTTCGTAAAATTCATAAGGCCGAAATTAAGCAAAGTCTATTTGACTTATTTAGGCATTTAACATCAAGCGCAATAAAAAGTAGCAAACAACGAATGGCTGTCTAACACTGTATTGGATAAATGAAGCACTGCTAGTTGCATCCTTCCATTTAGAACAAAAATCCATAGAACGGAATCCACTGGGGGGTTTTACCGGTCCTATGTCAGAATGTCTGCTCTCGGTCATATCAAGACGGAAGTTTTTGCTGGATGAGCGACACCCAACATCCTCAAAGAAATCCACACACTCTCCAAAAGTTTTAATTGACCATGTACCTCGCCCCCAAGTTTCAGGAATTTCTGTGCAGTTATCCGACAATTGGATGATCAATGAGTTTCCTGAGTAGTTTAGTTACATAAAATATTATTATAATTTCAACCCAAAATTGAGACAAATAATTTTAAAAATCAGGAATGCGTACCTTTAAATTTAATCTTATCAAAAATTGCAATCTGTTTTGCGCTTCGGTAAACAAAATCGGGCACTGGGGTCGGTGTGGGTCGAGTGTTGACAGGTAAGTCTTGATGGACATTTGATGAAACAAAGTTATTCAACTTGTCGCGGGTGAAATTTCCCGTTAAGTTTTTAAACGATTCGCCGTACTATGTAGCACACAATCATTAAATATTTTATCGCATTAATATTTCTGATTATTCGGTTTCTGTGGGTATTAAAAACTCACCAGCTCGTACAGTATTACAACGTCTTCACTGAAGGGGTTCATATCGGGTGAAACAATCTCACCAAAAGTGTACTTTGGAAATAGTTCTGCAACTCGTCTGAATACATTTCTCGCATCTGATCCATCCTATTTAAAAATGAATTTTCCATTTACTCGACCCACACAAGAATAAATCATGAAAGTGACATGGTTTTTTTACGTAATAGAGTTTGTTGTCTTACTTTAAAATATCCTATTATTGATGTTTCATGATAGTTGACAATAAGGTTGAGGTCCTCCGGTTCCTCCACCATTCTTGTTGCCGGTTTTGTATTCTTCTCCAACCATTGTAGCAATCCCTCCAAAGTAAACGTTTGTTGGGAGACGAATGTATCGGCATATTTAATCATTCTCCCGTATCTGAACAATCGCATAACTAGCGGAGCACTCCAGAGTGACTTGTCGCGGCAGGTATTTGGCGTTAGACCAAAGGTCTCTAAATTGTCACGGTATTTCGTCATGTTTACAGATGCAAATTTCATGTCGAGGTAATCTAGCATCCCGTTGTCGTGACCGACCTGTGCCGCCTGCTTGACGAATGAGGCGACTGGACACTGATTAGTATCTGATTTAAGTATTTAATTAAAATGTTATGAGATACATATGTAGATATTTTTAACTTTAACGTTTCTTACAGAATTGGACGAAAATTACGGACGTATTCTGGACGGCATCTATCAGCTCACTTGGACTCCAGTCATGCATTAAGATTGGCTTGATAAAGTGTGTATTCACTTTGACGAATGTTGCTATTCGTTCGACCGTCAAATTCTCATTCAAAGCGATTTGTATTTGACCAAACTGTAAGAAATGTAGTTTTGTAAATGTATGGAAAAGAATTAAGAAAATATCGAATTATGCACCTTCTGATTTACAACAACCGTGTCTTTCGAGTAGGCCGATCTTAAATCGGAATTTTGCACATCTGCAAAATCTATCCCTTGCAGGTCATCAGAATCTGCAGCAGTGTAAAAATATCGCCAGAGTTTCGGATCCTAAAATAGTTGAATATATAATAATTTCATAATTTCAGGGTAATGCTATTGATTATGGTTGGGTGTACTTGCAAAACCTACTTTGAAATAACCAACCACGCTGTATTTCTTGGTAGCAATAAAGGATGCCAAGTCAGGCCGAGTGGTAATAATCGTGAGTGATGGTTCTGCGTTCTTTCGAAGCCAATCCAGCATTTTTTCTACGGATCCTTGATATCCATAATCTTTCTTTAGCCCGTACCGATACAGAGTGAAAGTGGGGTTTCCAGAGCAGAAGGAGTACATAACTCTGATAACAAAAAGTTAAATTTCAAGTGACCAATTTGATTTTATAATTACATATTTGAGAAAATCTAATTATATATTTTAAGTTATATATGCATTTTCATACCCGAAATCTCGTATGGCACCTGGATCCCCTTTTCTATCAACCTTGAGAAAAGTTATATTCAATCTTTTATCATGTCCGAGGTCTTCCACGACAGACGCAACCCTTTCAAAGTCTTTCAAGCCAGGTTGTTCGCCTTCGCGACAAAATCCATCATCTGAAAAAGTCAAAATTATACACGACTGAAACAAAACAAAATGCAATTTTCGTCAATTTTTTTGTTTGTCTTACAATAAGCTGCAAATGTGAGAAGACTATAATCCACCCTCCAATGTACATCCTGTGGTATTGCAGAAATAATTTTGCCCAATGAACTGGGTGCAATCGCAAGAAGGAGAAAATAACCGACTATTATTGCGTAGTTATCCATAATTAAAAACTGAAAGGTGGTTCTAATTTCTAGTCACGTGGTTGGAAGCGCTATATGAAAATTTATGTGGTTATTAAATTACTTCCCTTCTGAATTGGTTTGCAGAATATATATGTCCTGCATGCTTGCACTTTTCTGCAGCTGCCGTCAAGGTTAAGGTTGTTGCTTGCTTGCTTGCGAATAAGCTGAACGGGGCCGGGAAAAATATTGATCCGGGATTTGTAGAGAAAGAGAAGCGAAAAGTAAGATTTGCCATGCAATCAAACGTATTTGTAAACGTGTTTGTTTGTCCACATTTAATGTATTCAATCATGAATGAGACATGTTTCGATTGACCATCTCTTAATTAATAATAGTTTAGCATGTTCAGTTATTGCAAACTTGGTTAAAATTTAAATGAATACTAATTCGTATGATTATCGACGTGAACCAGAGTTTCCTTCTGAGGATGAGTGAGCAGAGCTACAGTTGACGAGTAGTTGGGAATTGAGGAAGTGAGACTGTCTCATTTTTGAGGCAAGTTGAGATTTCATAAAATAAAATGCAACAGCTTGCCGTTATACATACTTGCAAAATAAATCAAGATAAATATTAAATATTACTTGGATTACTGCAAATTTGGGCTAGGCGTATTTTCAAAATCATATCAGTTACACCAAGTCTGGTTATGCACAACAAATAAAAATAGACCTTCTATAATTATGCATTTTTAGCAGCTTTGATTGTTTAAATAGAATGAATGAAAACGTAATTTCACGAAATATGAACTCAAAACTTGATAATTTAATGAAAGACATGCATGATTCAGAACAGATGAAAGTGTGTAACTTCAAGTAAATGCTTAGCTAGTTAAATTTATCCCATTTGTCAGTGAATGCATAGTCACTATTATTTTTCCATACGCTAATAATTCATGCTAATCATAAGTACTTATGTAACTTAATGACACACTGTTACATATTTCTGTCCTTGATTTCCACCCAGAATGCCAATTCCGCAGAAAAATTGGTCGTGTATGAATTTCATTGAATCCAAATATTGTCGGACCTTTTGTTCCTTACAATATTAAAATGATGACTGTGATTCAGAATTTATCCATTGTCAGGAGCTGCTCTTGTCCAGCCAGTCTGGGATTGAGTGCATATTATTATGATGACGAGGTAGCAGGTCAGTCCTGCGATGACGTGAGTTCAATACTAACCAAAATTTAGCTGCATTGCAATGAAGTTCAAGTCTCATCAACTCCTCATTTTGCACATGCGAATTTTAAAAATAGTAATTAGACAAATTTAAACCGGATAAAACTGGGTGGCTGTGTTATCGTAGATTAAAATAAAACTGTTCGGGTGACTTACTTAGTATTTTACCGTCGTGGAAATCGAGCGCTATGAAGGATACGAGTGAATTTGGTAAAGGTATTGCAATTTTACTTTAAAAAATTATAAGTGTATTTACATTTTCATAATATTACACTTGAAATTGATGCTGACGGATCTTTTGATTCAATTTTTGATTACAGAATAATTCAAAAAAGTAATAAGTTTTAAAATATCGGAATCAAACAAAGCATAAAAACGTAGATAGTCATGAAAAGATCAAAATCATGAACCCAACGTACATACTTTTGCAAGTTAATATTTGAAAGGTTTTTAAACTCCTTTCATTGTTATGTGAGTGAATTTGCATGAACATCGCACGATGAGAGTCCCATTGTCCAGCAATAATATCGTAATTATGCTTACTCAGCTAAACATGCAACAATGCTGTCTATTGTAAATTTAAATATCTATTCCAGCAAAGCGAGAAAATAGTACATAAATGTCTACGCCAGTGAGATTGATTGAGTCATTTTTAATTGCACTTAATAAATTGGGGTCCTTTCAAAATCATTAGAAATTAAAAATTCCTGAATATTAGGAAATTAAATTTGAAATATATTTATATATTTTCATAACCAGATGAATCCATGAAGACATCATGGCGCAAGAAAGCGCACAAACTGGTCAAGCGGCGACTCCCAATTATAGGATGGATTCGCCGCTACACAAAGAAGGACTTGATAAGCGATGCGATTGCTGGGATAACTGTTGGCCTAACCGTCGTTCCTCAGTCGATGGCTTATGCTGCGATTGTGGGACTTTCTCCCGAGGTGAATTTACATATATTTAAATTAAATCAATGTGGGAAACTTGTTTATTTGTTAAATTTATTTATGGACCAGTATGGACTGTACTCCTCCTACGTGGGAGTATTAACGTATATTCTGCTAGGAACATGTGCTCAAGCAACAATAGGACCAACTGCAGTTATGGAATTGCTCACGTTCCAAATTTGTGGACCTAATTATCCAGCTTGCGTAATTTTGACGGGATTTTACTCAGGAGTTTTCGAGCTTCTCTTAGCAATGTTAAGATTAGGTTGGTATAAATTCAGTATAAATTGATGCCAAGTTTATCTTACTTAATCGACATTGACATATTCATATTCTAGGTTGGATCGTTAGTTTCATATCTGAACCAGTTACAGTCGGGTTTACCGCAGGAGCCGCAATGACCATACTTTCATCACAGATTAAAAACTTTTTTGGCATCAAAGGTAGCAAAGGGAATGGATTTCTTGGCTACTGGAAAAAAGTTTTCTCCGATTACCCAACAATTAGCATGGCCGACAGTGTCATGGGAATTTGTGCCTTTGTCACATTGATCTTGCTCAAGGTATTGACAGAATCAATGGAAGTTGAAGTTGAAGGTTGATGATTTTATTTCATATTCCAGAAACTGAAGGATATAAAGCCGTCAGAAAACAAGTTTATTAAAACAACACTCTGGCTAACTTCATTGTCCAGAAATGTAATTGTTATCGTGGTCACGTCAATAATTGCGTGGGCATGGTCAGGGCACACACCATTCCAGCTCGTGGGAAATGTGCAGGGTGGATTTCCTTCAGGTTGGTGAGAGAATAAAAAAAGACAATGCAATGCGAGTAAAAAATAATGGATCTCATTTTTCCTTATTAAAAAAATTCAGTTGCACTGCCCCAATTTCGCCTCCCCGTCAAGCGTGTGGAAGATACTTATTACTATAATCTCAACAATCAGACTTATAATGAGACATCCATGCTGAATATGACAATAAGTACGGAAGGTGGTGACGATACCTACCTCTCCTTCATGGAATCATGTCAGCTCTTAAAAACCGGACCACTAGTAATCGCTCTAATTTCAATCCTTCAAAATGTCGCTATTTCGAAAGCATTTGGAGCCGGGGGAAAAGTTGATGCTACGCAAGTGAGATTTTTAGTCCAGCAGACTTTTAAGTGAAATCACATTGCTCAAAATATACTGAAATCGTATAACTTGAATTTAAAGTGCTCTACTATTCAAAATCAGCAATTATTTTACTCGATCCACAGGAGATGATTGCTTTGGGCGTGTCTTCTGTGTTGGGTGGATGTTGTAGCGCTATGCCAATCTCTGCAAGTTTCTCCAGATCAGCGGTGAATGATGCGAGTGGGGTCAGGACTCAAATGGGTGGATTGTTTGCAGGCAATTAGCTACAAATTGCGCATTGTTTTTTTTTATGAAAAACTTTTAGTGATAAATTTGATGTATTTGACATACATATGTAGGAATCTTGGTAATTCTCTCCCTTGGATTTCTCACCCCGTCGTTTTACTACATACCGAAAGCAAGTTTATCTGCCGTGATAATTGCAGCCGTGATGGTGATGATAGAGTATGAGAGTATCATTCCGATGTGGCGGATTTCAAGTGAGATTATATGTTTAATGAGATGAGTCATTTTAGAGACATATTTATGTACATTTTGTAAGGAATTATATTTGCCAATTCCAGAAATGGACGCCATCGCATGTTTAATCACCTTCGCATGCTCCTTATTCCTCGGAATGGAATACGGCATTGTGATCGGTGTGTGCATTTCGGTGGGTGGAATTCTGCTCAAATCCCTGAAACCTGAACTCACTCCGGAAATCAGGACGGACAGCAGAACTGGCATAAATTACCTGGTCATCACCCCGTCTAAATCGGGGATACACTTCCCGTCAATTGATCATGTTTCATCCACAATTCAGAAATTGTGCCTTAAACATAAATCTTGTCGCGTTATCGTGCTCAATTTTTGTCATTGGTCAAGTTATGATTATTCGGGAGCGAGTACTTTTGTTTCTTTGGTGAAGGGGATGAAGAAAAATGGGAGAATGCTTCTTTTTATGAATTGCAGTCCGGAGTGGGTGAAAGTGCTGGGATTGGCTGGACTGCAAAATGTACCAGCCATATCTGGCGACAAGGAGGAGGCAGACTTATCTGCGCACTTATCCAGGCTGGATAAAGAGGAGTTACAAGGAATAGATAGTCAAGCCATAGGGGTTTCAAACCGGACTGATAAATCTGTTGAGGGTGTAATTGCTGGTGTCATTTATACCGTGGGACAACCAACAGTAGATTTATGTCGTTATAGAAGTAAATGATTTAATAATTATCGGAAATATTAATATAATATCTTTAAGTTTAAAGTTTTTTAATTGGAAATAAATAAATACATCATCTAATTGTTGAGCATACTCTCGTCTCGTATATATAATATCATTCCATGATATTCGATTTTCTAATTACAATATAGTTTAGACATGTCGTACATATGTAAAAATTTGACGTATATAATTTACTTGTGAAACTGTGAAAGTAGACGTTACAATTTACTTGGTCAAGTATTTACATACATTTTTGGAGTACTAAGAATTATCATAAAACGATATTATTTTTAAATGCGAATGTTGTATGCAAGGGTTAAAACCCAGGTGCAGTGCAATGTAAGGGTTAAAAGCTAAAAATAATGTACGAACCTTTGTGTGCGACGTGAGTAAAAAAAATCCTGGATGTATTGACCCGGATTATTTCCAGCCCTAAAGAGTTACATATTTCCATGAAATGAATGTCTTAACACTAATCCATGAGTCCATGACAGGCATGCATGTTACTTGGTTGGGCAAATAATGGTTCTGATAAATTTTTAAGAAAAATCAGTATGCCTATAATAAGTCGATTGGTGAATGGAATTCGGCTAATCTTGCTGCGTTGACTGACTTGTCCAGTCTTTGACTTTCCATGTTTTCGTCGATATTTTTCTCACATTCACATATCTTTCAACACCAAAGCAGCCATTACATGCAACACGTTTTTAATATTTCCAGTGCTTTACTTAACTGAGTCATTGTTGGTTTAGACATCAACGGTTAAACACTGTCGAAACTATACACAAAACGCCATAAGATTTTTGTATTAGCACTTCTTTAACTCTGTTTCAATTCAAAGTAAAACTACTTCAAGCACATTTACACTTACAATTATGAACGCCATAATGGAGGAGACCATGGAGGGGGATTGTGAGGGGAATAATTCACTGAGTGAATATAGTGACTCGTTGATGGAGGATAATTTGGGAGGTTCTGGCGTTCATCCGGCGTTGCTAAATCCAGTGGTAAGGCATTTAAACTATAGAGATAATTACTGAATATATTTTTATCAATTTATAAATACGGTATAATATTATTATTATTTAAGCTAGCTTCTTTACAAGCTAGTTATGCCTGATATACATATTTGTATTTCACAGAGCATAATTTTCGTATAAATAGGTCACATAATCAAATAAATTAGATAATATGAATAGATAGTACTAGATACTTATTACACGTGTCATGTATATGTTTTGTAATTATGTAAAATTATGTATAACGAGTAGAATTATAATGTATATTTATCTTCAAATTTTAGATTCTGGACATAATTTTCGGATTCCGAACCATATCCGGACTCAAGAGGTGTCGCAGAGTTTGCCGAACATGGGAAAAAGTTGCCACCCCGATACTTGCCAAGAGGACGTATTTCTCTGTAAACAATTATTGCATTGAGTCCAAATCGACTGAAAAACCAATCTTACTTCGTCGCATTACTTGCGAAAGTGATAACTTTGGCAGCGAGACGAATGAGCATGACTTTTTTGCATTTGCTAATCAACGAGGAGAAAGTGTTCATGAACTTAAGTTGTATGCAAACTCTGACTTTTTATCCAGCTTCACAGGCTCGCTCTCCACTCGAAATAGATTTCCAAACTTGAAAAAAATTGTGATATGTGAAAGAGACTTTGAGTTTGATGAAAGCGTGGACTTTTCTACTCCTCGGTTTGATCCTTTATTGTCAAACGAGCTTGCAAATATGTCAAACATTCGGTGCATAGAAACCCATGTGGAAGAAATGAGCAGATCGAGAGATGTTTATCACGCAAATGTGCAAAAGTTGATAAGAATGTCGCCAAACTTGGAAGTGTTGAAGATTACTGATCATTTTTACCCTGACTTGACAACCTGTGGCAAACTAAAGACATTGGAATGGACTGGAAATCCAATATCACTGAAGGATGACATTTTTGGAAATGATGACCTTGTTGAAGTGTAAGGATTTATTTTTATATTTAATTTATCTATTTTGACATCTTTCCATCCTTTCATGTTGAAGTTTACAATGATTTTTCAAACGGTTTTGAGGACTAGATTTTTTTTAAACTACGCAGTTTTGTTTACACTCTATATATTTAATTGAATTGCAGGCGGTGCATTTAGCTCAAAGTCATTGTCTTATACTAATTTTATAAATAATTGAATTTCAGGGGGATTGAGGACAACTTTAGCTTGGCGAAATTTTTCAAAATGACGGAACAGGTGAAAAATTCTCTCCAAAAATTGGTAATTTCATCGTCCACGGACTTGTTCATCTCAATGGAGCTCCCCACAATTGAGGTAAAAGCCTATATTAACTATTAATTAATACTAAATAACCAACCTACTACCCCATTACTACCCCATTAATTAATAGTAACCTAATTCTAACCATTAATTAACTACATTAATTAATAAGTAAATGACCAACTAATTAACTAAGACTAACTTAATTAACTTAATTGACTAACTAACTTATTAATTATTAAATTCTCACGCAGGTCGAGGATCATTCCTTCAGTTTTCCCTATTTCCCCAACCTTACAGAATTTTGTTTCGACTCTGTAAATTTGTACGAAATCAAATTTGAGCATGCAACGCAGAAACAGCTACCGTCCTTACGAAAACTAAGGCTGTGTGAAAACGACCATGGGATGCGAAAATTCTTGGACGGCACAATTTTCAATATCTCGACCTGCTGGCGAAGTGTGGAAAGCCTTTCACTGGGTCAACTTTTCTACGACGAGTCAGACTATTCAGCACAATTGTTTCCCAAGATTGGCCAAATATTTCCAAACCTGATTCACTTGGACGTGACCATCTGCAATGGGAGTGGCGCAGGAACGCAGCTACTCGACTCTTGCCTCGTCTCTTTATCGAAATGTTTCAAGAAGCTGGAAAATTTGACAATTCGATTGGACTGGCAAATCACTTTACCAGAATTAATTTATGTTACGTCTCTCCCATTCTCCGGTAAGTTAATATTTGGCAGAAATATTTTATAAAATACTACATTTTATACAATGTACTTTTTTTTAATTGTGTACAGTTGGAATAATTTTTGTTGAATTTTACAGGGCTAAAAACTCTCAAACTTGTCAACTGTAATTTTAATCAGGCTTCTGTGAAGGATGAGGGGTATGGAAAATTGTGCAACGGATTATCGCCCGTCATACCCAATATTACTTTGCAGGGATTCGTATATGAGGTAAATTTCCTTCCGTATTCTTTCACTTGACATAAGTACGTACCTAATTTATCGCAGTTTTTAATGAAACGCTTTTGTTAAAATTTTATTTAGTTTAGTGGAAGCAGTCTTCCCAAGATGCACAAATGGATTGAGGAGCACAAAGGAAATATTATTTTTCTGCATTAAGTAACGACTTTGTAATGATATTTCATAAATGTACCATTTTTGTACTAAAACGATATCCATAACGTAAAGAATCTGCATACATATTTTTTAATATATAATTTTATAATTTTATAAATAATTTTAATACATAAATACTGTAAGATTCCCTAACCGTTGGTGTTAATAGCACTATGAATGTGTAAATAAATTGTACTGGAGGTTAAATAATGCGTCGTAAATATATGTATACCTACAATTAGTATTATATAGTTATGTCCATATATGTACATTTACATTTTTAATCAAACTGGATACATTAGGCAAACCTTCAAATTACATAGATTTTGTAGATGTGGATATTCTTTGAAGGTGTAAATATGTATTTTAAAATAATTTATAAGCTTTTTAAAAGTTGTTTATACAAAATAATTACCTGTTAAATTATTTAATATATTCATATTTTAAATAAAACATTTTAAAATCTAAAATCATGTCTACTCGCTTAAAATTTTTTTAGTACCAATGATGACAAATTGTCAGTGGCAATACCATAAAATAAAGGATTATAGGTTTCTGATGGAATCAAGAATACAAACACATACATCCATACCTTGCATATGTATATATTATAGATATTATTCCTTTTTAGTATACCTTAAAGCATTATATTTATATTTATGGAATAAATTTTAGAAAGTAATGTTGAAGAACAGAGGTACGATTTTAGATGCGCATAATTTTTCCTTAGATTTGCCTTATTTGATTAGTTAACCAAGTTATTATTGAATTTGTATTTCTTTATCGACTTTCGCAGTGGTTATGTGAATACGTGGCTTTGCAAAGTCACCTTTGTATGCAAAAACAAATTCACGTGTATAATAATTGCTCAATTTTAAAAGTTGTGTAAATAAAATTTAGCTTGTCTAAGGCAAAAAAATCATAATTTAGAATTTGACTACACACACGTATGCATAACAATGTCAATATTTACAACACTAAAATGAACTACTGCTCACAATAGCTTGGCGAACATAATGCTTCGGAATTCCCAAAAACAAATTAATCGTTGTCGTCGCAATTATGGAAAAAAACTGAAACTTTGTAGACCTTAACATTGCATAAAACTTGAACTCGTTCAGCCCTCCATAAATCGTGACATTTCGCATCGCTCTCAGCTTCTTCTTGTAATATATTCTTGTCTATCGATTCGCAATTTGAACACCTGCAAGTTTCCACAATTTCAACAGCATTTCCGAGAAATCGTTCATCTTATAGGGGTAAAACATGAGCAAGTTGATCGCTGTAAAGGTTAGGATTACACCACCAAAAATGTACCAGTACAAATAAATCGGCACGACGCCGAAACCTATGACAGCTCCGTAGTTGAACAGGGCCTGGACCCACAACCCAAGTCCCATCAAGATGAATGTCACTGTTTCTTGAAAATTGCAATTTCCTCGAAGTAAAATCGCATATGAGGAGTAAATTCGGATGAGTTTGCTCAAATTTATGGGTACTCCATTTCCACTGAGTTGAATCAAGCTTTCAAACACGTTGCAAGAAAATCGGAGTGCAGACAAGAATATTATGATGACGAGGGCAAGAGACGTCGAAACGTGTACGACTAAAGGAATTATCACTAGGAATCGTAATAACAGGTTGGGGATCGAATTATGAAGAAACGTGTCCAATTTCCACGTGGGGAATGCCCGATCGACAAGACGCAAGAGATGATAGAATGGATCCTTGTGCAAATATACACCGCCGAAAGTGACGGAAGGGGTTGACACTCCGAGAAATATGACAATCATGGAACAAACATGGTTGTCCAAATTGAAAATAAATGTAGATATTCGTGAACCTAGTTCTGGAGGTTTTGATTTGATCGAAAATGATGAATATGCTTTTTGTAGTTTTGTAGAGAATGGTACCAAGTTGTTAAGCACGAGGACATATTCAGCTCCATACGATAGGAGGCAAAAGTCTACGCTGGACTGATACATTCCCATGATTACTCCACCCACAAAAATTACGATGTGTGAAAATTGAAGAAATCCATCCTGGACAAAGAGTTGTCGCACGAGGAGGAAAATTGCAGTAAACGTGTTAAGAAATGCAATAAAGACAGAAAGGTGCCAGACCATGAGTTTTGGTCGGGCCGAGGTAAAGACGAATTTCTGAGACGTGGGGTTCCAGCAAATGGGGATGGGTGGGAGTGGTTTGACAAATATGGCGAGAATGTTGGCAGATTTGGTGAGAATGGGATTCCTGAAGGATGGGGTGTCCATGGAACGGTTTAATGTATCTACTTGTCCACTGTACAAAAGTAAACTCGCACAGTGAGACGTTTGAAAGACGTGGGTTCAGGAAATGTATAAATTATTCCAAGAATTCCAGCAAAAATAGTCTTACTCGAGATAAAATGTGTCACGGCTAAGGCAAAAAGTAATTGGGTTTTAATTTGGCGAAGGTACAATGTTATTGGCTGGTTTGTACATACATTGTGATTGTAAAAATAATACTTAAAGTCAACTGGTTATGGCCCCAATACTGAAAATACATGCATCATTGTAATCAATACAAGCTTTGGCCAATAATGCTACCAATTTGTCCTAATTTAATTATGCATATTTTAGTTTTTTTTAGTTCTAACTTTAAAATGCGATAATCCAGTACTAGATTAAGAAAGGTTAAAAAGGTTAAAAAAAGAAAGCTAATAACTTACAGGTTTGATATAGCCCGAGTCAGACTTAGGATTATCACTCAATCCGACTTTTGTTGCATGAAATATTATTGTAAATGCATATCAATAAATTTAATAAATAGTGATTTTGCATATTTCAATTCATATTCTTGGATTAGTACCAATTAGCGACTCCTATATTTCAGCTTTCGTTGTACGAGTTTTAAAAATGGATATGGGTCACCCCCAAGGGCCCATTCAGATGAAAATTTTTACAGTTTCACTTTATATTCTTTCATTAGAAACCATTATGTACATAAGCCCTGACTCTGACTAACGATTTTAAAGAAAAGTGAATTTTAATTCCGCTTCTGCAATCATGAAATATAGAAACCAAGAAATTTTAAAAACTTTACATGAAACAAGCATTTTTGTAGTTTTTAGTCGTTTTTAATTAATCTTACGATATTTTTTGCCTTACAAATATGCACACAACGTTAAATAGTAAATAAAAAATGTAAGTACATTACTACTGAATTTTATCCAAAAATATTGTTCGCATTGCACAAAAGTTGTATCTTTTGACAAAGCAGGGAAAGTTGGAGACGGTTGCAACCCTCGAGAAATAGGGCGCAAAGCTTATTTGGCCGCAACTCTCCTCTAATCCAACCAATATATTTGGCAATATTGGTATGCAAGGTCAGCATAGAGCCTAAATTAACATGAAAACAAATTAGCCACAGGGACAACAGTACAATTATGTTGTTTTTTGTACCCGTCGCTCTGCACGGTGGTACTGCTGCTGCCCGACTAACAATGCCGACTTGAATTCTCGACCCAGTCACAACAACAGGGGACCCTGAATCACCCTAAAAGTATAACACACTTATCCATTATCATCATTAAATATATATTAATTAATAACGTTTTAGAACTCCTTAATGCTCAAAATTATGTAAATTATGTTTATTAAATAAATTAGCATCATCACTTGGCAAATTGTTCTTCCATCTTCTTCATAGCCGAGACATAGTTGATAGCTAATGGGAAGTTGTGGTGTACGGCATCTTTCGACATTGGTTATGGGAATATCTACCCATTGGAGGGAAGGTGAGGGTTCTCCATTCTCAACTCGGATCCCTGGACTCGTAATATCAAATATTTATATTATTCCCACCCCATAAATTTTAGAGTCCTTACCCCATCCGGCTATTCGACACAAAGTGGCTTCCTCCGGTTCTTCGTCTGCCAGAGTGACCACTCCCACCGTTTCGCTCAAGGTTACGGGCGACGATAACTAAAAAAAATTGTGATACGTGGTGAGCTCATTACCACTGTTTTTACAGGTTTAGAATGATACCACAAGGATGGAGATGTCGTTGGCCAAAGTGATCGGGTTGAACAGGGGATGTTGTCTGATTTGTGATACAGTTCGAGTTTCTCCGCCCGACCCTGATTCTAATGACCCAACCCTTACTGACAATAATTTAGGTTTTGCAATAAAAGTGCAGTGCCTGTGATTTGAAAATGTTGCAAATAAAATGGGAAACATTTGAGTATCGAAGTCGGTACCCTAAACTCACGCTGCTGTGATAACTTCTCGATCCGAGATCAATGAACCACCACAAATGAAACGATTCAAAACAAGAACTGCGACTTGGTAAGGAAATTGACCCAAAGTTGCGGCATCCCCTCCCTGAATTTTCGGCGTATTGAGTAAAGACTGTGTTTCACTGGTGTTTTAGGAGGCTGAATATTTATAAATCACCATAAAAAGGACTGATTTTAAAATTGTTGGTTAATTTATTAAACATAACTCACCGGACTTTTGGGAATAAAATAGGACCGAAATAATAACGGAAATAAATGATAATCTTCGTTGCATTGTATGGAATTGTAGAAAAATACTTAATGGTAAGCTGTGGATGGTTGTATGGGTTGATAAATATTTGGATATTTCGGTCGGTTTATATAGTACAAATTTGTATTTGATAGATATGTGTAAGACAATTTCAACCCGGAAATCCTTAATGATATACATACATATGTACACATGTATTAGACTTTCGCATTATAATACGGTTAAGTTCCTTAAAAATATGAAGCTTGAAGGTTATATCTGTATTTTAGAAAAGAGCAGTCTCATTATTGTAGCAGATTGTGGTTAAGAATGAATGAATTCATAACAATGAACAAATTTCTACAATTATGAGTAGTTTAAAAGGTTAACTTCCGTTTAATGCAGATTTAAACCTGCCTGAAATTTCAACGGGATTACATACATTCATCAGTGTTCCAGATGACCTCCAAATTTGCTATGGGTTACATGTTATTTGATGTTTTTCAAGGCTCTAAATGCATGCGTACGTACGTACATATGTAATTGGGACACGAGGTACAGCATGCCAGATTTTATTGGTTTTTGGCATTGTGTACAGACATTAGAATATAGATAAAGAATATTAATTAAACTCTAATTCACCTGTTAAGATACCATACAGGTGACACATATAAAGAAAACAGTTTTCAATAGTTTTCATTTGTTTAAATTAAATATTATTCGAATTTGCGTTTTCGTAAATTCTTGCTATGTTTTGGTCCAAGACTACTTAAATGCAGCCTTATCCAATGTTAATCTTGAAGCTGTTTAAATATTTTGATTTTTCTAAAGGTAATAATACCAGTAAGAAAAAATTCTTAAAAAAAAGTTTGACATGTTATTTTTTATAAAATATAAAAATATCACATTACAAATAATAAGATAATATCCGAGACCCTTGGGGAAATTAAATTTTCCGATTTACTGTATGTCTACGACCTATCCTTAACGTTCTCTAAATGAGCAGTTACTGAATACATAATTGTGGATAAGCATCAATCATGTAAATTAAAACATGCGTGAATTGGAGAAATGTTTTAAATAAATGCATATTTATTTTGATACAACGTACGCAACATTTTTAAGTAGTTATTCATATATAAATTATTAATACATAGGTTTTCATAAATTTAGATTATATAGAAGCAGAATATCCAAATCTTCAAAATCTCGATAGAATCTCAAAAATTGCGTACATATTTTACATTAAAACTACCGAGTAAATTTATTTTTATTTCACCCGGATACATTATTCGGATTGCAAAGGAGCTGAACTTTTTTACAGACCAGTGAAAGTTGCAGACGGTTGCATACGTCGAGCATGGAAGCGCAGAACGTGTTGGGCTGCATTTCGGATCTTATCCAACTCAAATAGTTAAACAAATTCGTGTACACTCCTGGAACGTCTGTAAACAATTCGTTAAACATGGCACAGGATACAAATTAAATTTGCGATACGTACTTGGCCTAGCACATCCAAGTCCATAACTAACAATCCCAACTTGCGTGCTTGTCCCAGACAACACAAGGGCTCCGCCTGAATCTCCCTAAAATTTGAAATTGTATGTATGCATTTCGCAAAGTGTATCAGTCTCATAAAAGTCATTTCATAAGTATTTACTTGACAAGCATCTCTTCCACCTTCTCTGAGCCCGGCGCATATTTGGTTCCCCGACAATCCGGGGAAAGAGTAGGTTTGGCGACATGTTTCTCGATCAATAATTGGTAGTTCTATGTACCGAAGGGCTGACGACTGTTGTCCATTTTCCGCCGTTACACCTGAAACAATTATGTCCACATAAAACGTAATCAGTAAAAGTAGTAAGTTTTTTTAACTATCACTTTACCCCAGCCGGATGTCTCACACATGGCCCCAGCAGAAGGCTCTTCTGTTGGTAGCGTCACCACGCCAACCATCTCGTTCAATGTCACGGGCGAAGATAACTGTATAATTAAATGCGAAGGATCTAAAATTAATTAACTAACTGATAATTTTAGCCTTCATTAAACTAGTACCACAAGCATGGAGATGTCATTCTGCTGGGTTATCGAGTTGAACAGAGGATGCTGTCTGATTTGTGACACCTTTCGAGTTTCTCCACCAGAACGATAATCCAAAGATCCGACCCGCACGAAAATCTGGAACGGCTTACGTCCTTTCGTGCAGTGCCTAGAATTTCGTAGGCAAATAATTATCAATAATGTTTTAATGTCTGCTTAAATTTAACACAAACGCTGCTGTTAAGACTTCTCGATCCGATATAAGAGATCCGCCACAAAGTCCAATTCCTCCAATGATGATCGCGACTTGGTAAGGAAATCGTCCCTCCGCTGCTACCTCGCCTCCAATAATTTTAGCCTGATAAGGTGGGTTAGTATACAAATCCGTTATATTGGTTGACACTGTTAATAAAATAAAACGTGACGTTTAATTGTGATGTTTCAGTAAAAAATAAAAAATAAAACCAACCAGAACATTGGAGATGCATCAAAACTAAAATCAGGCCGGAAATCGCTAGCTTCATACTTATTTCAGGAGTTTATCGTAAAATGACGAATTCAGTCTGTTGAAATCACGAGTAAAAGTTGTGTGCTGTGAAATTCTTATATATGTGAAATTATGACAATAACTAAGGAAATAATTGTGGAGAATACAAATTCATATGCCGAACAAGTTTGTATAATTAATGCAGTCTGTGCCAGATGATGTGGTGCATAAGTGTGAAATATGGCAATACAAGGGCGACTTATCCAGGAAATTAGAAGTTCAATTGTAGTGAATGTCAAGGATTCCTTTCAAATACTCGGAACTACTTTTCACTTTATTTGAACAAAAAGTTTTAAAATAAATTTGTCTCAATTGTGCAATGTTTTTCACTTTGTGCAGTTCCTTCCACTTTATCCAAACAAATTGCCCAAATTACAAAGCAGGCTCATCTTGCTACAAAAGATTGTACCCGGGATACGATTACAAATGTCAAGAAGTCCAGTGCATAGCGTTGTTGGCTGTGTCCCATCTCTAATCCAGGCAGAATAACGTGCCACGTTGGTATACACTCCGGGAATGTCTATTGAAATTCGAAATTAGTGTTAAAGTAACGACAACAATTAAACGATTGGAATATATACGCACTTGGCCTGGCACACCCATTTCCATAACTGACAATCCCGACTTGCGTGTTTGTCCCGGCCAAGAAAAGTCCCCCGCCTGAATCACCCTGAAATATTTCATTTGCAAACATATTCATGTGTTACTTTGTCATTACCATTCTTTACGTTTCACCTGACACGTGTCCCTTCCACCGGCGCTGTGTCCGGCACAGATCTGATTCGCTGAAATCCTTCCGACCCCATAAACTGCTGCACATCCTGCTCGACTCACAATAGGCAAGTCGACATACTGGAGAAAGGCAGTCGATGGACCTCCCTCCATTAGCAGACCTGAAATAATTGTCAAATAGATCACACAAGGTAGAAAATTTTTGCATGTACGAAATCAATCACTGACCCCAACCAGCAGCTTGACACGCCGTGGACGCCGATGGCTCAGATGTTGCCAAAGTTGCTACCCCCACGGTATTGCTTAGCGTAAAAGGTGAGGAGAGCTTAAAATACAATACAAAGTACGTATGTACTACCGTAATTTTGTACATAATGCATAATTTTTGTTACCACTAATACGGACACGTCGTTATCTACGGTGTTAGCGTTGTACTGGGGATGCTGCCTGACTTGTGACACTGTTCGAGATTGTCCATCGGTTCGTGCTCTTAGCGATCCTGCACGAACCACAAACGCACCAGCGGAATTACCATATGTACAATGCCTATGTATGCATACAAATTTAAGCATTTTATACAAGGAGACCTTTCCCATGTGGATAACATTGTTGCATGATAACACTCACGCAGCTGTCAAAACTTCCCGATCTGAGATTAAGGAACCGCCACAAAGCGACGATCCACCAATGATTATGGAAACTTGAAAAGGAAATTGTCCAAGAGTTGCAGGCTGACCGCCAACAATTTTAGAGTCCTCGATAACAGATTGATATCCAGTTATATTAGTAGCATTTGCTAATCAATGGATAAAAGAAGTAAGTGCTTGACACATGCTTGGTGGTCTTAAAATTAAGTATGATAAATTTGTAGTCACCAATTTTTGAGGAGAGAATTGCCACCACTATGAACAAAATGCTTGCTTTCATATTGACAGAGTTGAATTAATAAATTATAGGACCTGAGAGGGATAAGTCAGTTTTCTAAATGCATAATGTACAAAAAATTAGTATATTGTTCAACAATAAGATTTTTCAATACATTCTGCAACAATTTGCATTTTGAACAATGCAAACACATCTACAAACTGAATTTGTATTTTGGTTTTTAAAGTAGAATATTGCACAACATTTGTAAAATGTGGAACAATTTGAGTGAAAATTGCTTATTTGTGCTTCAAATTGATATATTTAACTTCAATGGGGAGGTTTATCCTGGTTGCGACTCAAATTTGTATGATGTAACATTTAGCAATTAGTTATGTATATTTGCGTAGTGCGTATCCAGTACATATATTTTGTTGCTGAAACGGATATGGTGTGTTTCATGTATGCAAATTATACACTATGACATGTGCATAATCACCTAATGTTATTTTGTTCTAAATCTTCTGAAAATTGGCTTAGATTGAGTAATCTACCAATCTAGTGCAAATATGTAGCTACGAATGTTCAGTGACATTAAATTTTTAAAAATTAATTCAGAAATAAAGATTCAATTTAATAAATATAAAGATACATACATCCTCGGTACACATTCTCTTTAATAGGTACTTAAAATTGGCATACGACTATGTAAATATGTAAATACATACATAGGACATGGCTCTAGGCGATTATGCCGCAGAGCTTCAATTACAATAATTTTTCAATTTCCACTTATTCCCATTTCACCCATTTTTTAGACCGTAGTTGCAGCAATATCCATGAGTTGACAAAGTCTGGATTAATAATTAATAGCATATGGTAATTTCTAGTTGTAATTGAAATATCCATCAGCTTGATTATCGCGTACTTTAAATTCCTCAAGTTTATCATTTTTTTTTACTCTTTTGTAAACATGCCACTCATGACAAGTGTGCAAAATTCGCCGCACTCCTTAACTGCATAGGTACGGACATTTCACGTGATAAACCGTATTAAACGAACATAAAAAGGTGGCGTCATATAGTAAAATGTAAAATGATACCACATGAAAATTATGCGATCTAAGACCTTTGCCCTCGTTCTCACGGTATTGAGATGGTCGGAGGTCAAAAATATTGACTGCGTTGTGGTTAAATTCGTGGTTAAATTTATTCTAGAATGACACCCAATATGAAAATTAAGGTAAAATTTAATTCTGCACGTACCCCTGCCACTGTGGGGGGTGGTCTGATTGGCCCCATTATCGAACTCGACCGAGAACTAAAAATTAGAAGCATAATGCCGACCGCCGACAATGGGATTTGATTATGTCATATGTTGAGGCATTCTGCAGATATCCTGCCCACGGACGGACGGACAAAGCGATCACAAAATAAACTGTAGACAACACTTAATGACGATGCATGTAGGATGAAACTACTAAATGCACTTGGACCGATAAAAGTATTTATATTGATCTCAACGTTTGGGTTGCCCGAGTCATGAAAAACTGCACAATCTTTGTTATATAACGAAACTCCACAATGGCATTGGGAACATGTTGACAAAAAATTATAATCAGTTATATAAGCAGACATCAAACCCAGCCGAAAATTTTACATAGTCATCTCAGTTGTGCACAGAACGTTAGTGAAGCAACACATTTTTCATTTGTAGTTATAAATTTCAGAAAAAATGGGAATCATAACGACAACTTTGACAATATTGTTCTTGGTAGTCTTTTGCGATGGCAATAGAACATTTATCATGAGTCCAGAACTACCACAATCTGGAAAATATAGGTAGCTTAAAATAATTTAGAACATAATTTAGGTAAATTTTATAGTTCTGATGACTTTTATCCAGTCATGGAGTCCTTGTCGACAATACGTTATACATTGCTGGGCAAGTCGGTATGGACAAAGAAGGCGTCATGGTAGCTGGGGGAATTGAAAATGAAACAAGACAAGCACTTATCAATATGGGACATGTCCTGACTGCTGCTGGATGCTCATTTAAAGATGGTATGAAATAATTTATATATAAGAATTAACCGTTTCACGAGGAATTGAAATTTTGTACTTATATTTTATACAGTTGTGAAGACGACCGTGTACATCCAAAATATTAGCGACGCTACAATAATGAACCAGGTGTATGTTGAATGTAAGAAAGATACGTCTTGTTTTAAGTATTTTATGGAAATGAAAATTTGTATTGAGCAAGTTATAAAATTTTGTACAGTTTTTCCTCAAAATTACCCTGCTCGTGCGACTGTTCAAATCGCCAAGCTACACTTGGTATGCAAATCGTATAAATTCTCCTTTTACAGGTCTAAATTTATTTATGCATTTATACATCTCGCTGATTTATAGGATGCTCTGGTTGAGATTGAGGGTATCGCTGTGTTGGATTTGAGTTCTACCTCGGTTGCATCTCATGGTACTGAATTGAACTGGACCATAATTCTTGTCTGTTTTGCTATGAGAATGCTATTTTAATTTGTTATATAGTTAACATGGAGAATTAAGAATTGGACAATATCTTCTTCACTGTGTATTACTAAATTACATCAATTGTTTCACATCTCAAAAAATGTGCATGTAGTTCCAGTTCCATACATACATATGTACATGCACACGTATAGGTTAAACTCTCATTTTGGGGCTTCACAATGGTTGCGGTATTAAATGCACTGCATTTATTAAATGCTATACTAACAAATACTACTCCATGCGACAATCTGAGTTGAACTTTAAATCTGTATTAATTGATTTATGTGTGTGACTGGACGTAAATATAATTGCTGCAAGAGTGCAGATGGACTTGCATAATCTCAATTATACAGCGACTAAATTTTTAAATGTGTACATATGCTGTATGTACTTTTAACTAGCTTTTCTAACATTAGTGGAATAATAATCCAAACTTAACTATGTATACACATTGTTTTTACTTTATTCACAAAAGTAATAATCTGAGGATGACATTGATATTTAGCGATAGCAGTAATCAGAGTATCGCATTAATCCTCCATCACAATCCGTGTTAAAACTTTTCATCACAAATAGTAATTTAACATAGCGACACACCTCTCCAGGTCATTAATTTCTACTTGGAAACACAATTGTACCCCTGAATCCCTGAACTTGTAATTATTTACTTAACGTAAAATTATGCCATCTGCAAAAACTAGATTTCTAACAATTGCGTTCATGTTTCTCGGCTTTTGTTATGCACAAAAAGGTAAGTTGACTGAATACATTTGGTTATTCGTGTCCTGCGGTTAACATTTATTTCAAAATAGTTAATCGGACAATTATCATGAGTCCGAAGCTTCCACAAATAGGAAAATACAGGTGGACATAATTTTGCGTCCATTACCAATACATCATTGGGGCAGAAATACTTAACACATTTTTGATGTTTATGCATGTATATAGTCATGGAATCCTTGTCGACTCTACGCTCTACATTTCCGGGCAGATCGGATTTAATAAGGAGGGTTTGATGGTGCCTGGAGGAATTGAAACGGAAACACGCCAAACTTTACGAAATATTGGGCACGTCTTATCCGCGGTAGGGGCGAAATTTGAAGACAGTAAATGAAATATCTGAAATATAAGTAAATTCTGAAGAAATGTGGGCTTAACTTGTGGTGCTGGTTCTTGTTCCAGTTGTAAAAGTAACCGTGTACCTGCAAAATATTAGCGATGCAGCTGTAATGAATAATGTTTATTCCGAATGTAAGAAAAAGTGGCAAAAACTGAGCGTTATATTTTATTGATTGGTAAACAAGCTGCAAACTAATATAAATATTATGAACTTGAAGTTTTTCCAAAAAATTATCCTGCTCGTGCAACAATTGGAACGTCTTCATTGCTATTGGTATTCACCTCTTATATTTACGGATATCATGAAATACTTGCATACGCACGTGTACTTATTTGTGTACTAATTGTAGGATGCGTTGATTGAGATTGAAGCTGTTGCTGTGCTGGATTCCAGGAGTGATAACTCGGCTGGATTCCGGGTTGAATTAAACTGGATCTGCTCTTTCTTTGCATGTTTGACAGTTGTTTTAAATTTGTGGTGAGAATAAAAGGACAAAAAATAAACCACATAATCTATAAAAAAATATGAACTAGAAAATAAATAGCAGTTAACTTTATGGACATGATACATACATATGCACATTCGACTGCAACATTTATGCATACATTTAGGAAGTTCTGGAAAGTTTACAGTATGCAGGATGAATATAAATAAGTGTGTATAAGTAATGGTTTATGCACACCTGCATGGTTTTGGTTTTAGCAATATTACAGTAAGTATTCAGAAATTTGCAGACTAGAGACACCGTATCCTCTTCAAATGAAGAGACCTTATATCTGTGCGTGTATAAGCTGTACTGTGAAGTTAGTCGCCAATTAACAACATGGTAAACACTAATATTACCTGCTACAATAGCTTTATGTATCAACCACAAAAAAAGCTTTATGAAATGAAGGATAAACCACAAAATGTGGTTAAATTGTTAATGCAGTTGACTCTTAACTTTTGTCAGCATTGCATTTACTTATTATTCGTGTATCACATGGAGATTTTTACAGTTTACCACTTTAGTCATCTTTTGTGAAATTAATTATTTGGCGATTTGAGTACATGTTCCTGTATATGTATACTATCAGTATTTAGCTGTTTTATTAATCCTAAGTTTGACTGATATGTGATGAATCAGCAGGTACACTCTAGAAGTTAGTCATTTACATTTAGTATCCAGCTCAATGACCAATTATGCAAGAAACGTTTGACAAAGTTACTGCATTTCAGATCCCTCCAGAACATTCAGAAAGACAGCATGACGTTATCACCGTGGACTCGAACGACGAGGAATCATTACAACAATCAGAAGATAGTTGCATGCTACAAAATGAAGGTAATTAATTATGGTAAATTAAGCCACAACAACTTCGTAATTTTTATAACTAAATAGAGCAATCATGAACAAATAGGGAGCGATAAAATCCACAAATTCAAGAAATTGTGCCTCAGACCCTCTCGTCAGGGCTACACAGCGTTGCACGAAGCCGCACAGAATTCCAATCCAGCACTGATTAAAACCTTGTTAAAATCTGGAATGCGACCTGACGCCCAAGATTGTTACGGAAATTCGCCGCTACACCTCGTCGCAAGAAGTTCGAGCTAAATTAAACTTTAATTTGAAACAATGTAAAAGTAATTTCTTATCTTGCAGAGGAAACCGATGAAGCGTTGGAGTGTGCCCGGTTATTACTTCAGCATTCGCCCAATTTGACCGGAAAGCTTAATAACATGCTAAATATGGAAGGACATACCGCATTACATCGCAGTTTTAAAGAAGGACTGAAGGAAATGGTTAAACTTTTTCTTAACAGGCGTTACAAACTGGACCTAGATGAACTTATCGGCGCCAAAATTGAGAACATTTTCCTCCAACACTGTAAAAACATTAATGGATAAACATGCAGAAATTTATACAACATTTTCAAAATATGGCAATATTTCCTTCTTTCAGGCAGATCTAAAATATCCTGTGAAATTATGAAACTCATTGTTTCCGCGTGTACACAGTTGCAATTAAACAAACGGGATGAGGATGGGAGGACTCTGCTTCATTTCGCGGCCATGGAACGTTTGCCAGAAATTACTGAAATTCTAGTAGCCGATGACAGAGTGGATATCGCCAAGGTCGACAAATCTCAAAGAACTGCGCTACATTACGCAGCAGAAAATGGTGCATACAAAAATTTTAATGATGAATGGTTGAACCTTTTACTGACGTAAATCACGGGGTAATCTTGGTGCTAGGGTCTTACCCTTCTGGCTGCCTTTGCGTGGAACACCTCATTAGTCGGAAGTTTCCTAAAATGAAATGGAAACTCTATTATTTGTATGACATGGAAGACATGAATGGAATATCGTCGTTTCGATACGCGTTAAAAAATTGTGGCGTGGAAACATTGCAAAAGTTCCTTGCAGCCACTCCTCAACCTCATCGCTGGTACGTATGCTTATCCAAGTTATCATCATAATTATATAATTTACCCACGTTAATGCTCAAAGGATGACTACAAAGAAAATGAGTGTGATCTATAAGCAATGTCCTCTCGCAATTAAAGCTTTAATGGATAGAGGGTTTTCACAAAGTAAACCATCAATGTCGTCTAAAATTGACGAAATCGTGATAGATTTTGGGTAAAATAGATACATTAGTAGTAGCATAATGTTTACGTACATATGATGCATAAATACTCGAATTAAAATTACAAATAAAGAAATTGATTGCAGGCCAATAACGGGCTATGTCGATCCCCTTTCGAGAAAACCTATTCCGCAACTTGAGACTCAATACATAAAACATGCACATCGTTGGGATTATTCTGCCCAAAGGGAAATCCTTCAACATCCTCTTGTTCAAATTTTCATTGCCAAGAAATGCCAGAAACTTCGGGTAATATTTTCTCTCTGGATTGTTCGACAGGTATTAATTGTGGCAGCGCAATGCAGCTCATACTCAAGAGGTCCTAACATTTTCTAATTGTTGTCCGTTGATGCAGATTATCTGGCTTGCCTCATTTCAATTGCTGCTACTGACAACTTACTGTAATGCCTTAAACTCACCTAAAACTCAATATTGTTCGGCCACAGTTATGACGATCCACATTACTTGCACTTTACTTTATCACGCATTGAATGTGGTCACGCACAAATGGAAATACTTTTACAATGTGACGAACTTTGTAAAACTGACAGAAGCTGGTTTAGCGTCGGTGGCATTACACCCAGTCCTGATGGGATCCGAGGTTTTCGTAGAGGCGAGAAACTGCGCTGCAGTAAGATAACCATTTATCCTACGTATTTATAGTAAACACGAGAAAATCATCTTTACTTAAATAGATCATTTGTATGCGTATGTTCAGATAGGAATTATATTTTCACACATCCTCTTCATGCGAGGGCTCGGAAACGTATATGACGAAATTGGATTAATTGTCGAAGTTCTAAAACAGGTAGCTCTCGGATGTTATGTTGTATTAAGTGATAAATGTACTTACTTCATCCTCGTCAGGTTTTCATACAAACTGTGAAGGTGCTCTTGGCCTGCTCCCCTCTGCTCATTGGATTCACATACGCATTTGTAGTACTGTTTGACAATGTATGCAGAATTAATATTTGAAAAGTTTTTAGCACTTTAGAAGATTAATTGTGGGATAAATTATGTATATATTTCTGAAAATAAGGTGGACACCTTAACTGCCACATTTCCGGGTCAATTTGAAAAGGTTTTCGTAATGATGATTGGAGATTTAGAGTACAGTGACTTGTTCAATAAAAAGTCTGAAGAAGGTGGAACAACTCAGAAGAATAATCGCATCATGCAGTTCCTATTGCTCATGTCCTTCTTAATTTGCGTGACAATTGCGTACTTTAATCTGCTCACGGGATTCGCCCTGGAACGGGTCATGGTAGGAAGTCTTATGCTGAAAATTACGCAATACTAGTAATCGTTTTGACTGCCAGGAACTGCGCGAGAGGTCAAATGTGGACAGAATAGCCAAAAAGGTGAAGCATATTCATCGCATGGACTCCGTTCTGAGAAATATTTGCCTGTTCTCCAAACTTGTTGATGGTGAATACCTGAAAAATGTGATTCGACGACATAACGTCACTACGAAAAGGTAAAGCTAAAGAGTTGAATTATTAAGTAGCTTTCTATTAAAGCTATGTCATTTAGGGTGGGCGAATCGCTCCAGTTCGAAGCATTCTTTACAGATGCAAGTTTGGGCCTCGGCGAAGGGAAAATTAGGAAGCAAAAGGGATCGAAATTCTTCAAGAGGATGGGATCACCATGTGCTACCGAATTATCGGAACATGTTACCCAAGATATTTTTGCACTGCTCTCTAAGCACAGATCTTAATAGTTTCAATAAAGTTGCTAAAGAAATAAAATCTCTAAAATAAAGGATTTAAGGCGAAGATGAGAATTATATGTATTTATTTCCATCTAGCTTTCAATTCGAATTATGGTGCGTTTAACCACGTACAATTAATTTCCTCGAGATGCTCTATTTGCATACCAAGTTTGAGAAGTATTTAATCATAATCTCCAAGAGAGAATGATACCAATTAGTCAATATGTTCAAGAAATCCAAATTGGAACGATTTAGCACACTTTTTATTATTTATTTTAAATAAAATTTGTTAAATAATACAGTCATAAACTTACTTGATATATTTATTTAACCACAAAAAGCTTAAGCTTCAATCAAAATATTTGCACAGTATAAATAAGCTATTTTGCCAATTATGTATTTAAATTCATATAATTTGATTAGTTATATACATGTACATATCTGTAGATATACGTAAGTTTATCATTATCCATAAAGAATTATTCCAGCTTTGAAGAATCTACAGATAAATTTTGATAATATGTGAACAAAATGTATGAATAACATTTCGGGAGTTAGGTAAAGCTTACGAAGGTACTGAAATAGAAATTGATAGGGATATTCACTGTCGTCAGATAGCTCGCGTTGCAACAAATGAAAATGGAGCACATTGATAAAAATGTATTTACCAATTCTACGAATTTCTTGAGGTACATACATATGTTACTGCTCGTAAGCTAAATTTCACTCCACGCCAAACAGAATCACTTGTATCGGAATGTGTTTTTTGCTAAAGCTTCAAGCTTTCATCTTCATGGATTTTCAAGAAAGTTTGCATATTCCAATCAAATAAAGCGAAATGCATATCGTGCTGTCTTTAAAATATGGTCTGACCGAACCGTATCTAAATAACGAGAGAGTCCTCGTTCCTCTTGAGGTCCACGTCATGGAGATAAACAACTCGAAGACCCAGCAACAATAAGCCAGAAGTGACCACCTCCACCAGAGTAAGGACAATTTTACCATTGCGTTCAATACAGATCCCAACGAATAGCAGAATTGCAGCCAAAATGATCCCTGTCAATGCTTTCCAGCAGTTGTGGATTACTTTGGAGTTGCCCTGAAATAATAAAATTGACATATTTTTTACGTCGAGGGACTCTGATATGCATACTTTTTGAAATTAGTTTATTAAAGCTTTCAACTCACAGCGTAGATGCCAAAGAAAAGGAAGATGCTGATTACGTCAGACGAGATGGCAAGCAACAAGTGGATGGTCCAAAATGCCTCGTGGCCTATGTATGTTAATAATTTGCATGCAAAAATTATCACTAATAACTTTCATACGAATGTGCATGAATTTCAGCACAAGACCAACCTAATTAACAAACTAATTAAGGTAATTAACTAAATCAGTTTTTGTCGGCAGTAAGTGCTAACTTGATTAGTAATTTGAAAAAAATTATGTACAATTTTCTCAATTCTTGATAAGCCTGAACTTAGGAAATTGAAACGACTTACTTTTATCATCTCCCTTAAGACCGGTTACCAAAAAGTGGACTGATAGTACACACACGACACAGTAGAAAGCCTGAAATTTGTCAGAAAAATTATGTGAACCGGAATTACATCCACTGGATCTTGAAGCCAAGTTATGTACGGAGCGTGAATGAAGTCTTTAGCTTTGCGTATTTTAGGCACGATTTATCAATGTACGGATTAAAATAAATTTGAGAAATTACAATTGAGACGATGGTGACAAGCATTGCAGCGAATCGTAAATTAGGGAAACTCGGTGTTGGGAATGAACTGAAGAATTGGTGGAAGGACCAAGATGTTGTGGACCCATTCGAGCTATTATCCGCAATCGGGGACATTGGGAAACTAATCTCGTTCACGGATTTATAAAATCACGCTTTGATTTTTAATAGCAATATGCAAAGAGAAGAGTGCTAAGAAACGAACTAAATTAAGTTCGGTTGGAAGTGGGATTGCGATTGATGGAATGCTTGAGGGCCAAATGTCGTTGGTTATTTTGCAAACGTATGCAATATGAATACATACGTAGGAACATGTAATATCCTGGATAAGTTAAATAAGTATGTACACATAAGACTAATAAGTAGTTATACATACAGTACAGATTCAAGATCAAAGATGCGAATACGTCAAAATTGGATTGATGGAGTATCCAGGACGGAGAGCGAAATACGATACAACACATTTAGTTTAAATCTATACTTTTTCCAGTCCAGTTATTTCTTAGGACAAAGCAATAATGGCAGCCAGGCGCCATGATACATAAATAATATAATTGTAATTACATATATTCCATGCTAGCTAAATATATATAAATAATTTAAACAGTGAATACATACGATGTTGCTCATGCCATGCAAAGGGTTGAAATGTCAATATATAAATCCATCTGACTAATTTAATACCCAAGTATTCTCCTAGTTCGACAATGAGAAGATATCAAATTTCCTTTTAGTTGAAAGAACATTTGATTCCTTGAGTCTGAATAATCTCCTTATCACTAGCATGAAACGTGTCGCATTTATTTGTGATGAGGAATCTGTATGAAGCGTGCAGACGTGTGTATGTACATATGTAAGACCGATGTGAAATTTTAACCTAAAAATATTGGGTGTGCTTAATGAGAACTTTCGCGTATGTATCTAACATATTTACATATCGTGCAAAATGATCATATCAACATGACTTACTAAGTTTTCTGAAATTTCTAGATTTCGTAAAACATTTGATGGAAAACGTATCGAAGAGTTTCGAAATTTACCCAGCAACTGGGCATGTTTTTATTTTGTACATAAATTATTTCAAAAACTCATCTTCTACCACAAGCGATAGAAATTCATGGAAACTAAATCAAAATAGGAAAAGGCGACTATTTTTATAGGTTTGTGAAATTTGGGAAATCATGTCACGATAAAATTTGTGTATGTGGGTAGGATTTCTATAAATTCTGACACCTTTCCGTTTACAGATATCGCAAAGCACCATATTGACATACACAGTTATTGCATGCATAAATACATATAATTACATACGTCCGAAAATCTATATTATCACAATTTCCAGTTTCATAACAACGCGTCGCATAAACTAAAAAAAAAATCTGACAATCCTAAAGTCTTAAAAAGTTCAATTTCTCTCACTCGAACGAAGGCATGCTCCTAAAGCATCGATAATATGATTTGATTCTAGCTACATGAATTATGAGCACTGATAACGTGATTATCAACCAAAACAAACATTTACATAAAATTAGATTTCTAATGTTTGCATGTGCACTGCACTTGCATGCGCATTGAATAATAGATCGCCGTCTTCAAATAATGTTGCAACCTGGAGAATGATGGGGATATTTATAGTAATATTAATATATTATTGATTGTAAAGTAATTAAATGCAACACGTTGTGGTCATATGACTTGTGAGATACTTGGCATTTTATTCGCTCTTAATTACATACCTATATGTCTCGCATCTTGCATGTAATGACAAATATTAATGAAACAATAAATTATGCTGTTTATAAATACGTCAAGTACATATGTAGATTGAAAGTAGCGTTTTATTGTATCAGCGTTTTCAATTGTGTTAAACTATTGAACAAATTTACATAAGTAATGGTAGGTGGTACGTTCTACAGGACTTTGTAAAACATACGTACATAAGTATAAGGGAGATATTATTTTAGGTTTAGCTTACATAGGTAATTGACATAGGTATTCGTAAATTCTACATATGTACATGAGAGAAAGTCCAGAAACCGAATGCTTAAAATTATGGACGGAGGATGCTCCTACTTGTACATGAAAACTGTAAAATAATATTCAAGTGCAATTTACGTACAAAAATAGAGGAAAATTTAAGCACAAAATCTAATCTCTTATACAAAATAAAATAATTAGGCAATTATTTATAAGCCCGACTTCTCATCTCAAAATGAAAATAAATTTATGTGAAAAATTGAGAAATATATAATCTTGCTATCTGAGCAACTAAATAAATCTCCACCTCAGACAATAAAGTTTACCTGATCATCTCTGCATTTGACGTTGTTCTTGAGCTCCTGGTTGAACTGGAAGAGGACAAAGATCAGATAGAGATGAAGGAAGTGTGATGCCACCACCGCCACCCCCAAGCTGAAGCACCCCTGGACATAGACCATGAACCACATCCCGAGAATAAGCAGCACTCCGGTGACCACAATCGCCCCAAGAATCACTAAGCATTTATCCAACATTTTGGTTTTACCCTTGAATAAAAAAAATTATTAAGAATTTAATATTATTTTTTATTATATTGGAATTTTAATTAATAGCTTACATTACGGATTGCAGTGAATATGGTGGCTTGTAAAACAAAATGAAGAAAGAGGACGATAGGCCAAACTGTGAGCCGCATCCACACAATTTGAATATCTGAATAGAGCGAAAATTATTAATCAAGTATTAAAATTAAATTATTTTGAGGTCATTATTTTTAAATTTAACACCCAACGGCATTCTTAATTTGTAGAGATTATGTAAATGAGAGAGCGGTATTAATTATTTAACCATATGTACATTTAATACTAACATATTTTCGATAACTTACGGTGTATGCCAGGCTCGAAACAGGAAACGAGGGACCACAACACCAAAATTGTCATGAAAACCTAAATATGTATTTACGTGAATATGCATGTATAAGCACAACCAAACTAAATATCAACAAATACAATTAATCCTAAGGAATTCTGTAAATGCTTACCACATGAAAAATGGTAACGCACTTAGCCCTGAAGGGCTTCGATAGGCCACACTTTATCTTGACCGAAAATTTGACCCCTGGATAGTTTACGGGTTCGGGTTGAGCCATCGTATGGAAAAAGGAACGTGCGAAGGAAGTGGTTCAATCAATGGTACAGAACTGAAGTGGGATCAAAGTGAGATATCCTTGGCAAATGCATCTTTGTCTTTAACACAAATACATAAATATGTACAACAGTCCACTCTATTGCGTCATCAGGATCACAAAGCGACCTGCTGTATTGTAAACTTATTCCATGCACTTACCTAAATTTGCACTGGTCAGGCCTGACATAGATCTGAGTGACATAGGTAGTCACTCATATGTATATTTATGTCATGGATATTATGTGCATATCTTCCAACCGGGATAACGTTTTAACACAATTTGGATCTCGCTTAAACGCACTTAAGATCAATTAAGTAATTTGCAAGATTTTAAAATTAAAAAGAACGTTTTTTTGCAATATTCCTGATGATTTTATGAGTTTTATTATCCACAGTCTGAGTAAGATATTTTCAAATAATAACATCAAAATCTTCCGAAAATTATTTTACAAAATATCAACTTACTACATATATGGATGAAAAGTTACTACAGCTTACATACATACATATACATATCTATTTCGTTAAATTTCATAGATGTCTTTGAGAAAATGCATACACTTGGACGGGGCAATGTGATGCATTTGTGTAATTGAATGCATTTTATCTATATACTGAATATTTAGAATAATAATTTCCAGAATCATAAATGTACGACCCTTGGAATATATTTCTGAAATCAAATTGTTTGAATCCATTGATTGAATAGATATATTAGGCACCATTGCGAATTATTTACAAGTCGATACATTATGGTTGTGTGACAACTTTTGGCAAGGGTGGAATAAATACTTGTGTTTGTCACCAATATCTTATCAGTAGTCTTCCGTCCGGTAATATGATACAGGGTTTCATGTCCATGCCAGATTTCATTGCAAATGAGCTACTGATTCATAAAGAACGTAAAATGTGAGTCAGCGGCGTCTGGAATCTTTCTTTGTATGTACCGATAGAAAACTGTAGAGATATTCGTATTTACAATAGCAGAATTTACTTGCTGAACACGTTGTGCATGAAAACTTTAATCTTTTATCCCATTATATGAAAGAGATATCTCTCGAAACTTATCGATAGGAAAGCAATCGAACCAGACACGCTTAATGTTTTTAAAATCAGTTAACTCAGCCTATTATTATTTCTCGGAACAGTTGATTAAATGAACAAAGCAAATCAAAAAGTTTACTAGTGTGTATTAGTTTTATTTACTAGCAATTATTCAATTTTCGACTCCCAGAATAATTTCAGCTATCAACTATTAATTTACATGATACAATAATAATGTACATATGCATGTGTTCCTTTTGTGAAATAAATGTAAATCAATTATTTTCTCATAATTTGGCCCAATTATCCTTTCACTCCTTCCAAATTATTATTTGAAGTTCAAGGATATGTTATGCAATAAATAAGTTCAGTATCTTTTATAAGTTATCTATTTTAAATTTATTTACGCTTTAAATTCTTCCGTCGAATCTCAAATCTGATGTAAAGATTTAATAATTGTATGTATTTTCATTTGAATTGATTTTTGGAGGAAAAACAAGTCAGAACAGTGAACTTGTATGTTTCAGCAAACTTAAGTTTGCTGAAAAAGAAATTTCTTTTTACGGATACATATTTGAGTGTGGTTCTTGGATTCATGCATTTTTGACATATGTAAATGCATTCTCTTGGCTCAAGTCCCTAACAAACAGTATATATTTGTACGAAGGTATGATATGAGACTTTCAAACAGGCCCTCCAGCCAGTGCATGTACATATAAATTGGAGTGAACTTAAGATTTATAAATGGATATATTTATGTATTTAGATAATACAAAAAGCATATCTTATCCTTAAAGTTTGAACACATTCCCATATAAGAATTTTAAAATGAAGATAAGTACAAAGAGTTGCTAGTTTAAAATTATTTTTACACCTATATATTTGCATGCAAAATTAAATTCTATTGCATAACTTGTATGAATATTGGGTACGTAAAAAGAATTAGGGGAGAGAAGTTCCGTGTTGTGCCCAGGTCAGGGCGTCTCCTAGCAACGAAACTCTCACATTGAAGTTTCAGGAATCAAAATAATAACATTTCATCATGTGCTTTCACATTTCATCCTATATTTTAAAATTTTAATTCTTGCTGTATATACGCTACTACAAAATTTAAAATACTTGTCTCGTAGCCCAATTTGAAATATGGCGAGCCCTACTGATAGTAAATTGAGGGCCACTACTACATCAAATAGCGAGTTGCTCCAAGTGAAGGTCAAGTTGCAGAAAGAGGCCGTGAAGCAAGATCAGTTTGCTATCCATTATGATAAGCTCAAAGCCCTTAACACCAGGTATCCATCATTTTACCCACACTAATAAACATAGATATTTATTTACACAATCATAAATTAATTTTGAATAAAAAATTGCTTACTTCCAGAATGGAGACTGGTCTAGATTTGCCAGTAATTGGTGGCGACTTGACTGCCCACAACGAGCTCTTGGAAAGAAAAAGAGCAGAGAAGGATGCTGAAAGTTTATTAAAATTTCCTAAAAAGTTTGATCGAACTGGTCGACCGAAACCGGTTGTAACCCAATTTGACACGGTAATTATATTTCAGTAAATTATATAGGGTTTTACGTACAATTAGCATGAAGGAGCTTTTATTTTTTGATAAATTTTAGGAAATGCAACAGTTGAGAATGTTTATGGAAAAGTTGGAGGCTCGTCATATTTCTGGTTTAAAGACGAAGGAAGTTTGCACCCAGATTACGGCACAGTGGGAGAAGGACTATTTTGCACTGTTTCGCGAATTTGAAGATTTCCAGTCGGCCATGACCACTCTGATCCAGTCCGAGGGGAGAGCAGTGGAAGAGAAGGTCTGCAGAAAAATATGATGTACGGTTTATGGTTAACAATTAATTTATACATTGAACAGATTGCTCGATTTGAGGCAGAGAATGAGCAAATCCGGCGTGAATTTGAGCGTGAAAAGGTCAAGTTGGAGGCTTCAAATCGTGACTTGCAGAGGGACAAGAGTTGCAACGAGTGTGAGATTCGCGTAGGTCATTAGTATTTGGACATAATTTTCTGCATAGATAAGGAATAAGGCTAGTAATTAATTTTGTACAAGTTAAGAAATCTTGTGTACATATGTATGGTTTACCACTTTCTACATAGTTCTCAAATTGTGCATAAGAACATTTATTTTTTTATCCTCAGACATTACGCAACGAATTGGACGAGAACCGACGAAAATTGGAAGACAAATCTATCACGTTAGATTCTCTGACTCGAGAATTGGACCTAGTCAAGTTTCAGTCTCTTGCCGTACGTACATAGAAATTATAAAATTTAAAGAAATATATTCCTTGTTTCCGTTTAGCATCAACTTAACTCATTCTCATACCCATTTTGCATACATACAGATAAATAGTCCACACCATGAGGAAATCGCCTCTTTGGAAGTCCAGCTCAAAGCTGTCCAGTCTCGGAATTCATTTTTGGAAAATGAGCTCCAATCCCAGTCGGACAAGAATTCACGAATTTTACAAGAATTTGATACCATGAGAGAACTAAGTGATGTCAAAAATAAAGAATTGAGGGACAAAATTCACAACTTAGAATTATCACTGTTACAACAACATGACCATTTCAGCAAGCAAATTCAAGGTGAGCTTAGATATATCGAGAAGAATATGATATGATGAATTATTGGAAAACTTAATTATTGGTTTCTGCTTTTCATGAATATTTAGCATTTACCGATAGCATGAACACACAGAAAACATACATTTCCGAAATGGAAGAGCAGCTACGTGATAAGGACGATGAAAATCAAAACATTTTACTAAAAGCTCAAGACCATGTCAAAAATTTTATGGACGATTCCCTTGAATCGATACAAGTAATTTACTACTCAATTAGAAATAGTATTACAAGAATAAACTAAAAAATTTTTACCATATCTTTGAAAATGTTCTAGAAATTGGAAATAGAAAAACAGGACTTGCTCAAAATGAATGAGGAATTGGACAATGAGTTGGACAAGTTGAGACAAAATCTCGCTCTTTGTTCTGATCGAATATCTAACCATGGTCAAGTCTGTATCCAAATTTGCAAAGATGCATTACAACCTGGTCAACTCGTCGGGACCGATTTGTCGACTGACAAGTCTCAATTGTTAGTGATACTCAAGGATGAAGGGAAACTCAGCCATCAGCAAGGGCTCAGCACTGATCAAAAGTTGTCTTGGGAGGAATCCATGCTGAGAAAAGTTGCCAATTATTCTTTGAGAACTTCCACTACTCAGTTTCTCGAAAAAATTGACCATCTTCAAGGGAGGATTTCAGAACTTGAAGATAAGCTCAAATTGGATAAATACCAGCGGGGCGAGGAGGTCAGCAAATTGCAGAAGGTATATACATATTTACTCAATTGTAATTAAGATTAAAATTGTGAAACTCATTAACATGCATATTGCCCCTAGAAATGCAAGAAGTATGGACAACTCATTCGAAAACTGAGATCAAGGATGTTACCCTCACTTGAGAACGAACATTATGCTGATGCTATTGTTCTGAAACGACCAACTGCCTCATTTCACAACACGAATACGAACAAATTATTCGCTAAAAAGTCTCACATTCTTGTAACGAGGAAGACAACTATTCCAAAGAAAGCGCGGAGAAAGAAGGGAGAAAAGAGGTGTATCACTCTTACCATGCTACAAGAGAAACATGTGCATTTTCAAGAAATTTTGAAAAATGTTGGATAGTTATCCTAATCTGTTTTTAAGTTTTTAATAATTTGTAAACAAAAATTGAATTGCTGTCAATGAATTTCAGTAATAAACTTTTATAACAGCAACGACAAAAATGAAACGGCGGAAGCGAAGTGATGGAAATAACATCTGACTTTATTATTTCTTCCTATTTTACAAAAAAATGTGTTTATTTCTAATTTTCATATTTTTTTTACAAATTTCAGTATTGAGCTGATTTCATATTTGAAATATCGAGATTGATATATCGATCATTGTAGGATTTCCCACGGGACGGGACGGTACGGGATTTCGCTGTCCCGTCCCGTCCCGAAGATTGACCGGGATGAGACTTTCGGGACGGGACGGGATGGAGGCCATCCCGTCCCGAGTCCCGTCCCGATGGGACGGGACGGGATATCCCGAGGTTTTTTTGTTTAAATTGAAATTTAATTCTTTATCAATTTAAACATACTTGGCTGTCAGTATGGGTTGCTGCTTTATTTTCTTACTGCATAAATTACACAATATCAATTACCACTCCCACCGACCGGCCAAATACCAATAATTTCAAAATTTAATTTTTAACTATTTATAGTGGAAAGTTGAGAAATCGCCATCATTTCGACCTACTTACATATAACCTGCATATCAAAAGTCAGAACAATTATTTTTTTAATTTTAAAATCCAAATTTGTTAATTTTTTGAAAATAAATTTTAACTATGATGGGTAGCATGCAAATATGAATTATTAAGAAATATAAAGACAACCAGCGCCAAAACTCACCCGGGTAGAAATCGTTATGTCGAAGTATGCATAACACGCTATACCGACCTTGCACATTACACTGTGCATACGAATCTATGCATTGTTATGCATACATATTATGGCGTTTAAAGTATGCATTGTACTTTGTGCACATCTATGTCGAGCATTTATGTCGTTACCTATATGCGTGATTTAACACGCATAATTTTGCCAGACAAATATGCATTTAAGTTTGTGGATATTCTTTTCTGCAGAATTATGAATATAAACGCTAAAATAGACACCATCGCCTTAAATTGCTCCTCTAGTTGAGGAATGCTTTTTGTCAGCACAGTTTTAATAATTAAAACCGTTTAAATTGATTTTTAGGAAAATTCTCATAAATTTATTCTAATTCAGAACAATTTAACAAACCTGTGACTACTGCAATATTTCTTGTTTTATCATATTGACATATGTATTTCGTATTTTCAACCAAATTAGCTAACACTATCTTTACTGGCTGTCCAATTTGAAGAACTTTATATGAAATCGTTGACAATTTATACTCAGTTACGCTTAAGCGTTTAACTAGGAGAACACCATCGCCTTCCTTAATACATACAATATGGAGAATTACATAAAAATTGGAACTAATTTTAACAATTGAGTTGATTCGCTTTTTAGTTTCCTTTTTACTGGTGTGAAACATCTTACCATTAATTACAACAGAGTTATAGGAAAATCCATCATTACAATTGAATCCTATTTTTACTAACAGTTTCTTTTCATGATTGCTAAATATGTATAACTTTTTGGCACCGAGAAAAGTGCATAATTCAGTTTTAAGTGACTTCTGATAATATTTCCGCCTTTCCGTTGTTGATAAATAATAGTTTTTTGCCATTAAATTTGAAAAAGAAACACTTGACAAAGCAAACATTCTCTGAGCAATAATTAATTTCTTTGCAATTTGTAGTCCGACCTCTGTCGTCCCAGAGAAGCTATTAGTCAAAACACCATTATAATTTTCAAATTGGAACAACGAGTACGCCCAAAGGGGTCCCCAGTTTTTTACACAATCAACCGAATGAGAGACCAGATGCACATTAAACAAACAGTACGAACTGTCATACAAATCTGGAAGAACTACACAAAACTGCTTGATTAAATTATCTGACGTTTCTAAATCTGCTCGAGTAATTACATCTTTGCAAAGAATAGTGATAGCTGTAACAAAGTTCGAGAAATGTTTAAGATAAGGTTGGCTTAAGATTCCGTTTAGTAAAGGTACGGCTAATATCATCCAAATTTTCCACTCGTGAGCTTTCCAATATTTAATATCCTTAATTTCTCTCAAAATTCGCTGACATTCTACTGGAAACTTGCACAAATTTATTCTACAATTGATTTCAACTTCTTGGTGCCCAATATAAAACGGGAAATTGTGATTTTTGCTATCCAACCATGCACACGTTAAAGTACGAACAACACCAAGCAAACAAGTGTGCATGTAGTCGAACACAAATCCGTGGACAATGTCAAACTTTGGCAAGAGGATTAGTTTTGATGGGGCCTTAATTCCGAATACATTGGTGACGTTGTTGTTGCCATTGTGTAATAAATCCCGTAATTCGCGAAGATGTGATGTGAAATTTTCTTGACCTCTTGACTGGTGAACTTTTTTAGTTGGGAATATCCATTTGTGCCTTCTTTCATCAATCCAATACGTCTCCCCTTTTATCAGACACCACGGGCAGCTGAATTCGCCATTGTACTGATTTATACCTTGTAGTTGACATCTAGCTGGCGAGTCGGCCGCAACCATTGGAAAGTATACATTACTTTTAATCGATTTACCGTCAAAAGTCCAGCTAATACCGTGTGTTGCAAGGTCCTTTGACTGGTCCAAAAATGGTTGAAGAAAAATATCGAAATTTGGCTTCTTATCGCCGAACCATAGCCCAATTAATAATGTGTGCTTCCGGCGTAATTGGTAAGGTAACTCGTTAATGGACAGCAAGATTGGCCAAATAGAAAAACGGGATGAATTAAAGACCGAAATTCCATCCGAGTTAAAACAGCAGGTTATATCAAAATTTGTTAGACCCAGTTTCTTGTATGACGATCCATCCATAATGTCCCTGAGCTGTGTTTCGTTTCTGTTTCCTCGGTCGATAAGACTTCTGTACAAAGCTCGTTTTATATCTTCATGCTGCAGAGCAGATTCAATTGTCTGCTTAACATCGAACGAAAGAAAATATTTTCCGTCTTTGACAAATTGTTGAACGTTAAACTTGTCTCCACAAGTTTGGCACGCTCCAGACATTAAAACAGCACTACATTTCTCACAATAAAAAATTTTCTTTATGGCGCCGATATCCACCCCAAGTAATTTCTCAGCCAGATAGGGTGATGTTGGCATGCTGTCCCCCATTGGTAAATGAAAATTAAGAAGAGTGAGCAAATCGGATAGAGCAGATTTTGATAACTGGTGGCGACTTGCAAATCCATAGACCATAAGATAGCTTTCTATTGCAGAAATCTTCGCTCCATCAAATAACAAGGGCGAGTGTGTCGTTGCAGGAGTCTATACGCAAAAAATTTAATATGACATGACAATTCTTAACTATTTATAACATCATATTTTAAACTAACAGAACGGGGAATTTCATCATCACTTAATTCCTCTTCGCTTGAGTCGATTGGCTCTTGAAATGCTTCCTCCTGATTAAACAGATTGACAAAAAATCAGGACTATTTTTAAACCGGAATGATTCCATCATTATTACATTTCGATTAAGCTGTAAATCATCCACATCCTCGATTGACCTTGGGGATTGGCCCTTTTTAACGGAAGAAGGTACAGTTTTATGTTGGCCGGACTAAATAATAAAGATAGCTATTTTTTAAATAGTTTCACATTAAAAATAAAGTTTACCTTTTCCAAGATACGATGAGTTGTCCTACGGGGAAGTTTGAACCCCCCTTCTCCAGTAGGGGAACGAAAATAAGTTTTATAGCTTTTATTTTTTGACATTATTATTTACTTTACATATTTGATCTCAAATCCTCAATCTCTCTTAGCCCCTCAACTGAACCGCCTACACTGAAATAAGGAACTCGTGCCAAATATTAGTTTACCACTCATCTTTGTCGACCACAATAAATTCCCAAAATATTGAAAATTTAATTGAGATGGAGTTCCTTCTTGTTGAGTGGGTGGAGGAGGCAAGGACATACTCAGTAGTGTCAAAGGACAGACTTGTCGACGGTACACTACGTGCCTTATCACAGGAATTGGTCGGAAAAGTGGCTGGGGTCTTTTGGAGAGGAAAGAAGGTCTTCATGTGTAAAATTTTAGAAATTGGTAAACTTGCTCATACTGTATAAAAACAGTATTTAATGTATGTAAATGCCCTCAACTTAATGTATTTTGCGGTTTTAGGTGAAACTGAAGGAGAATTGACTCGAAAGGCTGATGAACTAGCATCAATTGCTGAAACGGATTCCAAAATTCAGAATGCACCAAAATCAGGTAATTAAAGTTGAATTAAAGGGACTTTGTAAATTAATTTTGGCAGAATTTAAAACTTAGTTTTTTGGTATATTTGTCTTCCAGTGAGTGGATCCTCCGCTAAACAAAAATCAAAGGGCCGACCACGTAAAACGGCTGCCACAGATACCGTCCGTGCTCTTGATGAAGTACTGGGTCAACTCGATCAAGTGGATGCTGATTTTCAGGATCAGAGCGCTGATACTTCAGAAAATCAGCCAATTCTGAACACTGAACAACAAGGTCAAGGTGGTAAAGACTACGAAGGTACGGTATGTTTTTTACGATCATTTTATCACAGCATTAACCAATTTTATATATGTTTAATATAGAAAAATATCGATCTCTCAAATGGAAATACAAGGACCTGAAGAAGACGTACAAATCTCTACAACAGTCAACTAGCACTGAGGCAGAGGTAAATAAAAGCTACTAATACTCATTTGTTTCACCTTAATATTTTCCCAATTAATTAATTTCTCTCAATCTGCAGATAGAAATTTATCCGGGCAGTGGTGTCACAATGAATGCAGGAGAATTAGCCTCAATCAAATTGGTGTCCAATGAACCCACCGTTACCGCTCGTAATTTGTTTCGTCGACTCTTTACCGTGGAGGAACTTTCGACACATTCATTATTTGGGAAAAAGTGTAACGCTAACAAGGATGCAGTTCCTCTTCCTCGAATTGATCAAGTGCGGTCAAACGCTGTAATCGGTAGGAAAAAATAAAATACGTACGACTAAGTTTTATTGCATATTTTTAAATACTTTTAATTAATTATAGGTTATATCTTCAACGAAGCTGGACTA